AATAACTGATTTTTTTTTCATCGATTTCTTTTCAGAAGGTTCTTGAAGTTAAATTTATCTGAATCAAAAAAAGAATATTGTAAACACTTCTCTCTAAACTCCAGTTTCTAATTCATAATCTAATAGAAAAAAACTGTTTTCTCTACGATATATATCACTAGAATATTTCAAAGCGAAAGAAACCAAAAATTAAAATTTTGATTTTTTTTTGCGTCTTGAAGCGGTCGAAAATATTTTTTTTGTTGAGTAAGAAAAGAATGTGAAAAAAGCAAATGGGCAAAGCGGCAAAAACGATAGGTGGAATGACAGATAGCCCAATCTTGTATCATAACATTACATTCGATACACGTTTTCATGATTTCTCCAATCAACTTTCTCTGAAGAAAAAATCCCTTTTTCTTTTTTCAAACTTTAATAAAGTCTAAATTTAAGCTCAAAATCGAAATTCTTTCAGCTTCACGTTACGATAGTCTTCAGGAATAGGAACTCTATCCTTGAAAATTGACGAAAAAAGAAAAAACTCAGGAAGGAGAAGCTGATATCAAAGATTTGCTTACTATTATGTTTTATGTACAGGCTTAAAAGGAATAATGCTGATGTTCTGCAGTTGCTTGATAGGAACCAGATTGTTTCATGAGAGATGCATCGTCATGGCGTCGACGGACACCGAAAACTATTAAGCCTATTGCTTTTGTTTGTTTGTGGTCAAGAAGCCTCTACAACTGTGAAGACTTGTTATTTCGTGTTTCTTTGGGTGCGCGAAAAGGCTTATTATGTGTTGAAACGTTTCTTCTTTTGAGGTGTTGCTCAGAAACACCTGACCGAGAAACTATTTTTGCTTTGATTGCAAGTTTTCATGTTTGCTAGCAAAAACATTTTTGAAGTTTTCTCCTAGATTAAGTTGCTACAGGCGCCGTTTTGAAATTCATTTATATGGTTTTCGAAATTAATCTCAGTTTTGAGTTTCAGACAAAGTTGAAAAAAATAAATGATTTAAGTCTCCTGAACAATAAAAAATCATCAACCCATTAAAAAAAGATTCCTGAAGAAATTGATGAAAAGTTCTGAATTTCTAAAAAAATACATTCTATTCGAATAAAAAAACTCCCGGAACGAAAGCTGAAAATTCTGAAAATTTCCAGATCAAGGCGGCATGTAATTTTTTTTTTTGCTCACAAAATAACCACTAGAAAAATTGATGCAAAGCCCCGAAGTTTCAACAATACATTCCATTCAAAAATTTTTTTATAAATTTTATCGATCCGTACTTCATAACCTCTTCCACCTTTTCAAACTATCGAGAAAAAGCTGGGAAGAAATTGTAACTTGATTTTCGATCTCCAAACATACGGAAGGCTGAAGAGGGCACAACCGAAACTTGTTGCAATATTGGCCCAATCAACACGACTGTGAAGGTCGTTCATGTGCAGGCTATATATCCTTTTTTGGGGAATTTAATATTCGGTCTTCAGTTCAATCAAAAATCGATTAGCTGTTTTTTTGAGAATGGTAAATATTTTTGAAACAAAAGTCGAAATTCAAGGTGATTAGGAACCAAAAATTTCTTGCTCATCCTTTTTTTATAACATAAATAAAAATGCTGATACATGAACAAAGAAAAATATAACTAAAGTATAGAAAAATCCTTACAAGTGGATGAACAGTTTGAGGACGATTCAGCGGATATGATGTGGAAGCGAAACAGGCTACTGGTGTCGATTTCTTCCTTGTTCCTATTGCATAACTTCGTAAGAATGCATTTTGACGTCTTCAACTTCCTGGGCTTTCTCGGCGACAAAAAAAAGTACCGTTGCCTGTTTTGAAGAATATCAACTATCAACAAATTTTGTCCCAAGTTGTAAAATAATTTCCTTTGACTTTTTAAAGTTATCTCCTGTTTGAACCATGGGGAACCCAATTTCTTTAATTCTCAGGCCGGCTCCGGCTCTAGGGATACTGGGCTTTGCTTTACGTTCGTAAGACCATGGAGACTCTTCAAAATACTTTTCGGCTAGACAACCCCCGCTTTTGTAGTTTGCAAAATAACTGCGTTGATTGTCTCACAGAGCACATCAAATAGACAAAAATAAAATTAATGAATCCTCTGGGAGGCAAGTTCTACAGAGAAAAGCTTCTCGTTAGGTTTTGAAAAACAGGAATCATCAGAGGCCATTTCGCAGTCAGAATGGTTCAGTCAACTTCTAAAAGCTCAAACTTTTTACTCTTAGCTCTTTTTCGGATCATTATTTTCTGAATCATAAGGAAGATTCGGTCATAAAAAATTTAGCTAACTGAAAAAATGAAATGTAAGCAATTACTCATTGACTACGTCTAACTTTTTTAGTCTACTTCGTTCGAAGAAATTCAAGTTTCTGTTTGTTCATTAGCTCGATAAATTATCTTTCAAGGAAAAGTTGATGAGCCATCAAGTTACTAAAGATTCAAAAAAGTTGTTTTGCTTACCCAGGTAGAAGTTAGGAAGCTTCACAGCAAGTGGTTAAACGCCTTCCACATAGCTTCAAAACACCTTCTACTTAGAAGAAAACCTCCTGGAAGCCTTTCCGAAGCATTCCAGCAGGCTTCCAGTAGGCTACCAGCAGACCTTTTTTCATTTTTTCTTCCAAATACCGTCCAACCACCTTTCGTACGCCTTCCAAAGGTTTTTTCAAGACCTTTTTGCTTCCATACATCTACCATCCTCCTGATGGTTACCTTTCCAACACCTCCTCAAATTTTGCCCGAGTTACTTACTTTTTTATGGATCCAAGAAAATCTGTGTCAGTTTCACAGTAGATCAAATGGAACGCATTTCTGAGGAAACGCGCAATTTTTTCTGTGTCGGTTGGGCACAAGATCCAGATTAGGCTTTTTTTGCGCAATACTGATTATTTTAAATTTAGAATAGTGAGAAAAAATAACTATCGAAAAATTTTGCTTTCAAGGTGACATGAACTTTTTGGACCCTCTCTTCAACTTCCCAAAAAAATTTTCAAGAATCCAGGACAGTTTTCATTCTTTCTTCTATGTAGAAGTATCACATATTGCGGTTAGTTCAGACAATCAAACAATGAGGTTCTGAATAATTAGTTGATTTCAATAAGAGAGACCAAAGGCTTGAGGAGAAAACCAACGACGTCAGCCGAGTCTCCAGCGGTTTCGTTTTTTGTCAATTTCCTGGTACATCGCATGATCCATTATTAAGTATAATGAGTTATTTGCCACAAGGGCGGGTTCTAGACTAGGACGACTTTTGTGCCACTTAATGACCGCAGTTCGTTATGATGCTAGACACAACTCGGCCAATCATTGGTTAGCTAAATGGCTTCGTTTGGAACTTTCTCAGTGTTTCTTCTTGCTTTGAACCCCCGCTTGGCGTCACTGGCTCATGAACTCAAACAGCAACTCATCATTAATTAGTTCACGAATAAAACAACTGTTCCGTCTGAATTTGTCTTATTATTCAAATAGTTTTGCCTGAGTTTTGACCTAATAAAAGTAAAATTTCGCTTTTTATATGTTTCATTCTTTTTTGTAGCAATGTTCTAGTTCGAGCTCGATGCAAGTGTAGTTCACCAATTTCAATATAAACGTCGCGGGTGTTTTTTTTAAAAAAACTTAATATATCGAGAAAAAAAGAGGTTTAAATTTTTTTTCTCAAAATCATCAAGATAGTCTAGCCTTTCCGAGCTCCACAGTGAAACAAGCAAAATTTAACTTTCAGATATTCTTCAGTAAGACAGATCAGTTTCTGAAGCTTTTTTCAAACTCAATCACAAACAGAAATCATCAAAACTCGTCGACACTTTTTTGAAAAATCTCAGCATCATACCGAGAAGTAAAAGTAATTTCACAGCCTCCTTCGTTTTGTTTTCGAAAAATTCTCTTTGTTAACTTTGACGGGGGCTGTGTTTGAAATTAATTACTTCGTCAATGTGTTTTCCCTCATTCTTTACGGTTCCCTTCTTAAATTATTCCTGCTTGTTTTCTATGAAGCAAGGAAGGAAAACCAATTTTCAGTTGTTATTATCTAATCCAGAGTTTTTTTCAGATGATTTTTTCTCTCCGAGTCCGAGTAGGACGCTTTAAAATCTTCCCACGTCTCTTAACAAGCGTCAAATGACAAAGCTGATTATGTTCATGGATTTATTGAGTAATTTAAAGTGCTACTAAAGAGAAGATTTTTTTCCGGGAATTATTTATCTTTTTTATGGCCTCGGTAGTTAAAAAAGTCAATTTTACTGTTTTTCGATGCATAGGAACGAAAATCTTCCAATTTTTGAGAAATTGGAGATTAGAAGCTTCTGTTTAACTTTAAAGAATACAGAACAAGAAAAAAACCGTAAACTGATTTATTCTTAACGAATACATTCAACTTATCATATGTCACTATTAATTTGTGATTAACTGAAAATTATAACTCAGAATAATTTTTTTCAGTCAAAAAAAGTCAGCAAATAATTTTAATTCGCTACAGAAAAATTTTTTTCAAAAAACCGTATTTTTTTCAGCCATGTTTTGCTCATTACGATTCACATCTAAAACCTTCAGATTTTGAAATTTTCATATTTGATAGACGTTCTATCTGCGTCATTATCATTGTAAGTGAATTCCGTGACGTTGAATATTCAGAATCTCTGAATTATTCATTGCATTTGTAAAAATTGTTGGCATAACTACTTCTGTCTGTTTGCCATCTCATCTGATATTTGAGTATTTTGACAATCCCGAAATGAACGTCTCACGCTGGGAAAAGATTTGAAGCCGCGCCATTTCGTAAAGTTGTTCTCAAAGGTTTCTGTCACATACATGATTCTCTCCTGCAGTCACATATGTATGCATACTCAAAATATCAAACATCGGTGCTTCATTAAACCAATTTGTAGGCGTTTTTCTCGTTTCCTCCAATTTCGATTCTCAAGCCGCCCGATGGCTAAATATTTGCCGCGTGCCTTTAACATTTGTCTCCGTAAACATCGGCAGATATTCTTCAGATCTTATTAATGGACTCTCGAATCGCGGTTACTCTTCTGGTCTTGCTTTCTCTCATGTCAGTGTCCAGGTCCGAAGCCTTTTCCAGATCACAGGTACTGCTCCCTTCTTTTATTCACTGTGTACTGAACTTCCATTTTGTTTCAGTGTTTTTTTCTCGAAACATTTCGTTAGAAACAAATTTGGATAAGATGAAAAATAAGCAAAGCCTTCAGTTGGTCACGCACTCATAGAAAAAAAGCCCTGTTTGCTTCAAAAACAATTTTTAACAAAATAGCACTGATTTGAAAATTTTCAATCACAAATCTTCAGAATTTCTTATTTTTCGAATCCCCCAAGGTACTGCTGACGTGTCTAATTCAAAAAATTTTATAATAATCTGCGGCCAGAGTGAAGATCCTGTTTCAATAGAATGGGAACCGATATTGAAAACAACTGCGCAAGGCTTAATTCAAAGTTAATCCGATAAAAGGCAGTTCCCGGATGAGATAAAATGCTATTTTCACAAACAAGACAGCTTCTATGTTTCCATATTCAGTGAAGTTGTCCTTATCAGCAAAAAAAAAACGGAAAAAAATATCGGAAGCTATTTCAAGCGATAATCCTGAGATCTTTTTTGACTGAAAATTCCTCCCGCGGAAAAGCATAACTTTTATGGACCCAAACCCATGACTAATTTGAACTAATTCAGTTGCGCTATGGCGCTCCTTTGCCGGCTTATGCACCTCACGCCCTCTACAGATTTTACAGTTCAAGACAGGTATTTCTAAAATCATCGCATAAATTTCCTTCACTCGGTATTTTTCAGTTTGCGCCAGTGCTGATGAGCAAAAGGAACAATGCTGAAGTCGTCAATCATATACTGAAAAACTTTGGCACACTCGACCGTCTTGGAGATGTTGGAAAATAAAAAGGCTTCTTAGAAATCTGTGGCTCATTATTTTGTGACTTGGATCCCATCCATTTCAAGAATTCCTTCTTGCATCTGTCAAAGGGAAAGAATTCGTAGAACTTTTTTTTCAGATATTATTCTTCCGGAAAATAAAAGTATTTCTCTGTTTGTTCCGTTGCATTGTGTTCCTTTTTAATTATACGGGGCGTGTTATTGAAGGGTCGCTGAGAATGGGATTCTCAAAAAAAAACCAAAGCTAGGTTCTGAGGAAAAATTATTTTTTTAGTCATAAAATCCTGGGAAAAAAGATTTTTTTGTTTTTTGACATGGTTGATACGCAATTTTTTTATTCCTTAGATAAAATTTCTAGGGCCAGTTAGATCTGAAGATAGAAATCAGGGCTTTTTAAAAAATTACCAGCTTTGGTTGAATGAATTAAATCGAAACAAAATTAATAAATCTGGTTGTGGGCTTGTAACGGTCCACTCGATCACAAGTTCGATCCCGCCGCCAGCGAATCGGAGAGTTCAGGAGATTGTTCAAATGTGAAAGTTCAATTTCGTTACAAGGACAGATAGTACCGTCGGATAAGATACGAAAAACCAGAGCATCGGTTACAACTTTCTTGTAAGAAGTTCCGTTTTCTGAAAATTTTTGAGGCTGGGTTTTTTTTTGTGAGCTGAAAATTTATCAGAGTGTTAAAAAAGAAACAGTCATCATAACTCCAAAAAGTTTCTGACGATATTGTATGTCACTAGATCCATTTTTTATCTCTGATATCAGAATTTTGTTTTACAAACTTGGAGCGCCAACGCCTCCTGATCAATACAAAAGCATGAGAAGAAGAAAATTCATAAATCTGACTCAAAAAATGTAAGAATGAAAACCAAACATCGATTCAAAAGAATATTTATTAAATACGCTGATTGTTTCACCAAACCTCACAACCAAAGTAAGATAGGGTTTCAATGAATAACTGGTCATCCCGTAACGGAACTCGATTTTGAATCATTCTGTACACGAAAAAAGAAACATAGAGGCAAGTACACATCGCGATAGCTAATAACAGTTTTGAACATTCTCGAGAATTTTTGCGTTTAAACGCACACAACGACTGTTGAGCACATCATGTCGTAGAAGAAGCGGTTGAAAGGGAACGTGAAGGCAAAAGTTGTCAAGGGGAACAGGCCGTTCACCACAATGTTCTTCACCAGTGAGCGGAGCAGGCAGCTGAATATTGTTATTGAGAGTGACTATGTAATTGATCAATCCAAATTTTTCACTGGTAAGAAAAAAAAATCAGAGAATAAAGGTTTTGTTAACCGTAGAATAAGACCTAATTATTCTGAAATTCGGATACTGTGTTTTGAACCTTTCAACTGCTTGAAGAAGTTTAAAAAACATGGATTAGCTTTTATTCGAAATTCCTCAAAGTTTAATCTTTCAACACACCCGATGCTGGAATTTTTTTTTAACTTCGAGGTTTGATTTTTCAAAAAAATTGCTTCAAAAATTTCAGCTTAAAAAATTTGACCTTCTCGTTTGACTTACTAATTTTTCCAAATATTGTCGAATCTTAAAAAAAGGTTCGGATTGTTTTTCGAAAGATTACTTCAAGTAAACTCAAAAAAATTGATAATTTTTTTAAAAACAAGTTTTTTTTAGTGACCGGCTTCTAAAAAGTGTTCATTCAGAGAAAGCTCCAAAACATAAAAAAACCGAACCAACTTGAAAAATTCAGCCAAACTAATAAAAATCCAAGAGTTAAACCTTTTGAGGCTGATCGGGCGTGGTCCATTGACACGGACGTTTTCTGATGTCATCGTGACGTCATGCACAAAGAAGGCTTCGATCACTCTTATTCCCATACAGTACTTCCCAGGCGTCTGACCGTTGGCCAAGAAGCCTATGTCATACGCCATAACGAACGCCTGAAAAACAAAAAAACTTTGAAAAGAGATAAGCCCATGAAACTAACCTCGAGAAAACTGCAAAAGATTTTGCAGAAAACTTCCAGAGGAAAGAGAGCTTGGGTAAGGACAATGAAATCGACGAACACTATGTCGTTAGTTTCAGGGTCGATTACTTTGTCGTAGTCACCCAAATCGCTGAAAGTTTTCATGAAACATGGTCTTCCTTTTTAAACTCACAAAAGCTCTAGGTAGGCCAAGAAAAACAAGAGCAGGACTTTGAGGGCCAAACAGAAAATTCCATCGATCAATTCTGCGGCGATTCTTCGTGTGAACGATGCAGGACTGGAGGAAATAAATGTAAATTCTGTCAGATCTAACGTAAGCAAATTTCACAAAAATTACTTTTTTCAATGATTTATACAGTTTCCTCTCCAAACTTTCTTGATCAATCTCTGATAAACCAGAAAAACTTCTGAGACCTTCCAACTCCCGAGTTTTTTGAAAAGAAAGCGTTAAACTTTCAGAATTGTGTATTTCATCGGTTTTCAATGAATTTTGTGACCCTTGAAATTTTTTTGAGATTTAATGATCTTTCTTCTCAGTAGAAGAAGCAAAAACTGAAAATGCAGTACAAAAGTGAGTCCTCATTCTGAGTCTTTCTGGTTTTTTAAGTGTTAAATCGTTTCGTTTCATAATAATCTTTTTTGAAACCGTAAACACATATTCTGAAATTTTTGTAAAAATGTCTTTAAAGTCTGAAGAAAAATTACTCAGTTTCTTGTTGTCATTGATCGAAGAGAAAATAACTCCAAAGACAACTTTTGTACAAGGCTCCTAAGCTATAGCTGATTCACGGCACGCTTCAGCCATCGAAAAAAGGGTCTTGACACGATAATGCACGAGATAGTGCCTGGCTGGTAGAGAGCGCAGACAGGAAACGCCCCTAAGCGTCCCAAGCTAGCCGTGAATCAGAGTTAATTTTTGGGTTTTTCGCTGTTCTCTAGTTGAAAACTTTGCGCTGTAAAAAACTCAACTTTTCGAAAAATTACTGCTTCACTTTATTCTCAGAAGGTTCAAAAGCTTGGTCGGAATGCAATTGTTTTTTGAAACGAACGAATAAAATTTTGCCCAACCGAAAATCAACAGCCGGAGCGTTGAGAGCCGTCTCGGTAGGTGGTAAGTTTCTCAGAAAGTCGACGCCAGTCGCTCTGGCACGAAAGTTCTGAAAAAAAAATTTAGATAAATAGGTAAACGTTAAAATATTAATTCAGCAACAAGCAAAATAAAAAACGAACGTTCATCGGCGAGCTGGGATTGATTCCCGCTGACATTTCCTGACAAGCTTTCGCCCATTTGTGATACTCGGAGACCTTGAAAAAAAGAATAACAGTGTTTAAAAAAATGATAGATTGAATTGTATAGAAAAAAATTTAACGTACCCAACTGCGAACATTATCTGCGTAGCTTTCAGAAAGAGCCATAGTCCTTTGTCTCAGAAAAACGATGGGCTCAAGGCTTTTCGTCTTCTCAAAGTTTCTTCAGCCATTTTTTTCGCTGCAAAAAAATAAATTTATAACATGGAGAAGAAAAATAAAAAAATACTTTGAAATAAAAAAAGACTGGAACGGAAGAGTGTCCTGACGCGGCAAAAACAAGGAGGTAAACGCGCTCCAATGAACTTTGCGCGGGAGTTTTGAATGTGGCGGAATTCTGTGCTTTCCATATAACAATTATGAAGAAAAATGTTTTTTGAGGGATTCAGAACATTCAAAATTCCTTAAAAAAATAAGAAAATTCGCGAAGTGATTATTATTGCTTGAGTTTTTCATTTTGGAAAACGCAGCTATTTTGTAGTTCTGGAAAAATTGACCAAGTTTGCTGTTATGCAAGACCAACTTTCACGATGTTTTTATCATTCAATGAAACAGGAAAGCAGAGTAGATTCAAATTTGAATAGAAAGCTTCTTATGTTATCTCTTTTTAGAACGGATTTTTTTAATTATGTATCCAGGTTTTTTTCTCTTGCTGACTAGGGAACTACTCGGACTCGGGTACGCGTTTCGAGTTGAAACTTTGGTGACTTATAGACCCGGGTAGAAGTACTTGGAAATAAGAGAGAATATCTGCTAAACCACATAGGCTTCTGAGAAAAAGCTTTTTGAAAATGAACAGTTTAAGTTTGAAAATTATCAAGTTTTTGCTTTCCTCCTTCTTTTGGCTGGAAAAAGAGTTTTTTTAGAGTTTATCATAGCGGGATCATTCAAGGCGGTTGTATTAAAAATATGAAATAAGGTAAAAAAAGCAGTATTCTAAAAAAATTTCAAGCCTAATTCTCACATTTTCTATTAATTTTTTCGAACCTCAACGCGCTTTTTTCCAAATGTTGACATGGCAATTTAAACCCATTTTTACAAGAAAACTACAAAAAAAAGGTTCCAAAAAAGTGCAGACTTCTAAAGAAACCGCTTTATTATTTTCTAGATTTTAAGCGAATTCCATGATATTCTCTAGATTTTATCATCAAATAATATCGTTATAAAATGAATTTATTATTATTCACTCCTTATGAATTAAGTATGTTAGTGAGGCCAGTAGTGTGTGTGTCTTAAACTTTCAAAAACCCCAGTGGGCCTTTTTGAGACTGTACAGTTGAAGATTCCGTGTAAAAGCTTCACTCGAAGTGGTGGCTCTTATTCTGAGTTTTCCACCTGAAGCACGGTTTCCGGGCTCCAGCACAAGATCTGCTACATTCTGAACTTGTCTTGGCGCAACTGGGTGAACTAGGAGAACGAGGCGAAGGACCTTAAGACAATGCTTCAACTTTTTCGACTACAAGTTTGGACTTCTAGTTCGCCAAAGGCGGTTGTTCGTTATAGCTTCAAAAGCTCTTGTTCACCGCCTTGTCGATTATATCTATGACTAAAACAACAAAATAAATTATTTGATTTTGTCGAGATTTTCTTCGAATCAAAATCGAGAATCTCAAACTAAAATCCCAGAAAATGAAGCTGCTGAGATATACATATCAGTCTGCCCTTAGCCTTTCCACTAATCTTCAGAGTGAACCTCTTTTGTCGTCGTCTATTTTTGGTTGAGCTGTGTCTTCAAGAACCTTTCTGTGAGTGTCATGGATTATGAAAAAAGGTATGGAGACTCGGGAAGGAGATATCCGCCTGGAACAAGCCCCTCATGCATTGTTCTATGTCCAAAAACGCGTCTAATTCAATTGTTGTGTCGAAGGCTATATTTGAAGGAGACGACTGACGGCCATTCCAAGGCCGATCGCATGTGTATGGGTGTGTCGTCAAGAAAAACAGAATCGACGTCGGCGTGGACGCCAACTAAGCGCGGCGCCAAATGATGAACAGTTTACCAATGATAACACTTTGCCCGCTACTATTACTTGCGCAGATGCGCCAAGTCGAAGAAAAAGTGTCGGAAATCGATTGGAATCGGCCTTTTTCTTCACATTGACTTTCCTGTTCCATTTGAAGCTCAGCTCTTGTTTGATTTTTTCGAGAGTACTTCTTTTTGGAAAATTATATCTAGAAGCTGAGGTTTGTTATAGGAAAATAGTAGAGCTGTCCTTGAAATTTTACAAAAAAAAAAAACTTTTCCGATTTGTCTGAAATGAAGCTTTAAACAATGCTTCATCATCATCCGAAAAAAATGCCTAATCCAAGTTTTGAAAATAACATAGCTCTCATTCCTGTTTCACACAAATTGCTCTTACCAGGCAAAATCTGCAATGTTAAAATAACCTAGAGAGGAACTTTTTTTATATCAGATCCAAATTAATTTCCGATTTTGATCATTTTTCGAAAGATTCAAAGATTTACCGAGTGTTTCGAGGTCCACTGACTTCATCACGTATTTCAGTAAGCATTTTGTTCTCACTGAAACAAGTTTCATAAAGGTTTGTTGAGCCCTTTCTTCCATTTTACGTAGATCACATCAATGAAAATTTTGATATTTCTCTGTTTACACGGTGTTTTGTCTTTTTTTAACAAAAAAGCCATAAAAAACGGAAACGAAACGATCATTCTCAGCAAAAACGTTCTTTTCTGTGCGTGTCATAATTTAGGCTATTTAATTTTTTTCCTTCTCTTGGATCTGCTGTACTACACTGGTCAAAATTGAATTGATTCTTCACATTTTTTTGTTTCATTTCATTTGAGGGAAGCTGTGTAGTAGGTTTCAATATTTCATATAAAATTTCTTGGAGTTTTGACATTTTTAAGCAGTTATTCGTGAGCTCACAGCTTCTGTTCAAATCGAAAAAAGCCTTGTTTCAAGGAGATATAATTTTTTTAAGCACATCCGTGGCTCGAAATGTCTTCAAAAATTCAAACCGCATTTCGAAAATTCTGGGTTTTCAGTCTAAAAATCAAAAGAATTGATCGCTTTTTTTTTTTGCAAGACTCAAAATTTCAGACGAACACTCTGTGTTCTATGATTTTCATTCCCCAAAAATGGATTTTCAAGAATTTTTTCGAAATATATGAAACATCCGTGGCTTCTTTTGTCGGGAGTCAGGCAGGTTTCGGGTATCTTTTTGATACAACTTATCCAAAAATGTGAGAGCCCAGTTTTGATGAAAACCAGAGGTTTTGCTTGCAATCACTTTTTTTTGGGCTTTCATTTATTTATAATTTGGTGAAAAAGTAATGAGCTTTTTGATAAAAGTTAGTGCATTCAGAAAAAAAGATAACATTTGATTAATGCAAAAAATGTTATCCATATGTATCAATGTTATTCATATGTATCAATGGCCATCTTTAACTTCCTTCGGATAAAACAACCTTTTCGAATATCGTTTATATTGTAAGCCAAAAACAGTAAAATCACCAAAAAGCTCATTTTTTATTTACCAACCTAAAAGTTTTCCTCATTCAATTTCCCATTATCCGAGCTAAGACTATCAGGTTCTGAATTCGTGTCCTATCTTAAGTTTTTCTACTCCCTCGGCGGCTAAATCGTGACGATGGCAGCCGAAAGATACGGTGATAGGAAGATGGACAAAAAGATGCTTGCCACAAATGCATAAGACGCACCCGCGTCTGAGAAGGTGTGGTCGATGGGCGAGTCTTCGCTCAGATCGAGAGGGAGTCAGAGATTCCTGCGCCAACGTCCCCTAAGGCGCGAATTCCGCCGGTTTTTTTTCTGTTTTGACAAGGTTATTTCAAGCTAAATAGTTCATTTAGAAACGTAAATCGATGAAATATATGAAGTTTTTGGCTTAAAACTAATTAGAAGAGATTGAGAAAAATAGAGGTTGTGACCAACTTTCTGCTGGAATTTCTGCACTGAGAACTTTTTGATTGAAGTTTAGTTATTTTTGAAGCAACCCACGTAAAATCATCCGTATTTGCAATTTTTTTTTTCTGAGTACAAAAAAGTGCTAAAAAGTTACTTGCTTTGAAAATAAAGACGTCAGAATGTATACCTTGATGACTAACATCCACATCATGCTTTTCGGAAGTTTTTCTTTACCTCGAAGCAAAAAATTGAATTCTAGTCAAGGGCTGTAACCTAAATATTTTATTTGAATTAATATTTTTTTCCTTAGAAATGAGATCCGAAGCTTTAAAGGGATTTTTCATTAAATAAAACTAGTTTCAAAAAGCCCCCCTCTTCCCCCCGCAATGCAAATTTTTGCTTCTTCGCCATTCTTCCAAAAAGAAATCCGTAAAATTATTTTTTTGAAATAATTCCCAACTTTCTCTTTCGAAAGAGTTTTTCTGTAGAATAATTGTTCCCCAGTTTGAAATTCTCAACTTTGTTCGTCCTCACTTCTCATCTTCTGCCTCAAACCTCATATTTGGGTACTTTTTTTCTTCTCATGAAATTTTTTGCCTCTCCGACATCTTATAATTGTCGCATCCGGCGTACACATTTTTTTTTCAAGCTCGTTCACGCGTTTTCGATCCTTGAATAATTGAGCTGCAATTATGACGCAATGAGTTTGCCGCAAAATGAGGAAGACAATAAGGCGCAGACCGACTCAAAAGACGGCGATGAAAAGAGGAAGGTGAAGTCAGAGCCTCAAAATGCCCAGAAAGTTGCCGAGGGCAAAAAGGTTTTGAGTTTTAGCAGATTTTGTAGAAAATCGGTATCTTTAGGAGGACTGTGGCAACGTGTCAACGTCAGCCGGACAAGGATTACTTCAGAAAGCCCCGACGCTTGAAGAATTAGACCGGAAGCTGGAAGAACTTCATGAGATGACAGAAGTGACTCATCTTCTTCGTCACAGAAACAGCTTGAATATCGACTCTCTCTCTGGTCTCACCAAAGAAACTCTTCATAAAGAAACTAGGAAGAGCGCGGATCTTCTTTGCTACGTTGTCAATGAAACGGACGAACTTGAAGTTGAAATTCCACGAGGCAACAGCTCAAACTGTGATTCCAAAAACGACGTCGATCACAATAAGTCAGAAGAAGTGACATCAAATAAAACAACAAATAGAGCATCCGTTCAACTCGTTCCTGAAACGGAGAAAAGAGAAGACGATAAAGAGACAGTTGAAGAAGAATCAGAAGATGACCTAGTGGACGACGACATCTATTACGACGATTTGGCGTCTGTACTCTCGGAGGAAATCAACGATGTCGTTCGCGACACTGACAGCGGAAGTTTTGAAAATGCAGCCGTTTCTAAGCTGCAGCCTTGCTCCGACGATAATCAATCATCAAGTTTTGATGATAAAGTTTGAATCCTGTTTTAAAAACTTTATGAGCTTTTTTTCAGTTTATGGGGAAAGTCGCAACGTCTACCGGCCATCACAGTCTTTCGCAAGCTTTCATGAACAAGGTTATCTAAAAATATTGTTTCATTGTGTCAAATTAACAAGAAAAAGTGCGGAGTATCTTTTGTTTAGATTTTTTTATAAATCTTTTTGAAAGTAGCCCCAGTTTTCAAGACTCCTTTTTTTATAGGGATTTTTTTCGTCCTTCCATAAACACTTCCTTTATAGATTACTTTCCCGATTTTTAAATTAGAAGAAAAAAATCCTTTCATATTTAACAGAGATAAAAACGTTTCAAAGCAGGAATCTACGGGTTGAAAAGAAGATTTTTTTAGAATCATAATTCTATCAAAAAGCCGGAAAAACGCTGGTTTTTTTATGTCGACCAATAGCCAGATTGGTCTGAAAAATTTATCTATCCTCAAATCCTCAACTGAATCTCCTGCACTTTGCTCGTTACCATATTTTAACGGAAATTCTTTTTTTATTAGATTTTATTGTGGCAGCCATATTCCTATTATCGTACCGACAAACAATTAATATTTCTCAGGATGCTTCTTCGAGCCACAGAGCTTCCCTTCTACACGAAAGAGCGCTCAGCAACGATTCACGCACGACCAGCTTGATGTCTTCCTCGATTGCTTCATTCCGACGACCTGTGTCTCATTTTTCCGTTGACAACTCTTGTTTTGAGCTCGACCATTCTGCGCAGCATTCGGGTACTCCCATAGAGAAGGTGAGCCAAATCTTTCAATTTAAAATACCGAGTACAGTAGAAAAGTAAAAAAAAAGGAATGAACTTTTGTAGTGAGAAGCACGAAGGTATTCGAAAGTCGCTTTTGTTGCTTTTTTCTAAAATTGATACAAAATTTTGAAAGCAAAGACGGTTATGAATCTATTGAATGTAGATCAAAGTAAGAAAAACATCCAGTAGAATCTTGATCACCGTGACAGGTCCCTTGTAAATTCAGATGTTCGTGAAGTCGTCAAGATCAGCGCCCGAAATGAGTATTCATGACGTCAAGATTTATGACGAATCTTTAAAGTCTTCACTTTTCGACGGCGTCATGACAACTAGCGAGGTAAGTTTTTTCTCTCCATCGCATCGATTCTCTGCTTTGATTGTCATCAGTCATTAATCAAGCCAAGTTTCGAGTTGCAGCCGAGTGTCTCCAACGCCGCCGTTGATCGTTGTGCTTCTGGCGTCTCAGCGTCGTGCCAGCCGCCCAGTTTCTGTTTACGGTGCGCAATTCACGACGGCGTTTGGAACGTCATTTGGATACCGATTTTTATCAAAATACACAAGAAAAAGTTGAATTCGTAACAACATCAGCCACGAGCTTGGTTTGACCGTAAAGATCGTTTTTCTTTCTAGCTAGAGTTTTTGAAAAATACAGTCTCTGATGAAATATTTGGATTTTAAAAAGACCGCGAAAGCAATATTTGTTCAACTACTTTTGGTTTTTGGAACGTTTCATCATATCTCCAGCCCTTTCATTAACAGTGTTGGAGGGAATCGAAAAGAATTGATTCCTGTTAGACCTGGCGTAATTTGTTTTCCATACAAAAAGAGATTTCACCCAAGCTTTTTTGTTCGTAGTGAACAGTTTTACAACATACTAAAAATCATTCCAATTATCTTCTGGATAGATTTATCGCTCGTCTTTTCGTAACTGAAAGATTGGTTCCAAGAATGAAAGAGAAGGAGAAGAGAAGTGGGATGGGATAAATTCTGTCTAAGGAAAAAAAATTCACTGCTTTGAAAAAAAAAATGGCATTTACAGATTGGATAAAGGGCTCCACGAATCGCCCATTCCTTTGTCTCCTAAGGTTGAAAAGGTCTACCCATTTTCAATCTTGCTGTTTGATTTTCTCTTCCAGTTCTTTTTTAGCGATTGTTAGAACTTTAATTCTTTCATAACTATTTCAGAGCTCTAAGAAGAAGAAAACTTCGAAAGAATCAGAAGTCATCTTGGCGGAAATGAAGCCGTCAACTTCTTACTCTGAACAGAGCGAAAATGTTGTATTGCTGAAACCGGTTTGTTTTATAGCTTATCTGAAGCAATAATTCAGCAGGACCTATTTTTAAGTACGCGGCAGCTAAAATATGTAATAAGGATCAAAAAATGATTGGTCGATTTCTTCTGACAGATTTGGTAACGAAGAAACAAAAAACTGATAAAATCAATATACAGTAATAGTGAATCAGGTTGTACTATTCGGAAAGATAGGAAACAGGAACTTAAATCTGAAGAAGATCAATCTGAATTTCGCATCAAATCAGAGAAAACAAGAAATTTCGTCTTCGAATTTTTCTTTTTGTGTTTGTCACTTGCAGTTTACATTTTTCTTGGATTTTCTCCCTATTTTGAGCTTTCCGTAGTTAAGTTTGAAACTTCAACATTTTAAACTAACAGTCTTGACCAATGATTTAGTGATAATTCGAGAAGATGAAGAACCTATCTACCCATTTTTCATTTTGTTTCAAGAAAAAGTACCATTTTCATTCGATTAGCAAAAAAAAATTCGCAATTTTTTGTAGCAAGTCGAAAACGCCGAGGGTGGCAAAGAAGCCAACTACGATCACGTCAGTGTGAAGCTAACGGCCGTTCGTTTGGCCAGATCTTCCAAAAAACCTCTCTACATCCTCGCAAAGCTCGACGCTAACGAGAGTCATTGTTCTCCAGAAATCAACGTTCGAAAGTCGTGGGTTCCAATTTTTAGTTGTTCTTTGCAGTCTTTATCGCTCTCATGTCTTCTCAAAATGTTTGCCCAAGTGTGGTGAAATTGACGAGACAATTGTAGTGCAACTAAAAAAGGCCGATTTGTAGCGATGCCGTGCTCCACGATTTTTCTCTCGAGTCAACCGAGCCCTTCGCCCACCTCCATATCATTTTTTTCGAAGGTTCTTTTAACCCTTGTTCTTCTAGAAAGAATATAGAAGATAGCAATAACCCTGAAGTCTGTATTTTTAGGGACACGCTCGAAAGTGGCACGGCCAGTGGGAAAAGTTTCCTTGAGGAGAACTGAAATCGCGAACGCAGTCGATAAAGAGTGGCGTATGAAACTCAGCGCCGTTTCAAAGTACCCAGAGTTCTGCGGACAAATTTGCGTTGATCTTCGACGTCGTGAGGGTTTTTTCTCTCTGAGGTTGGTTATTGCCCTCGGGCCTTATTGCGGTTCTCATTGCAGAAATTTCGGTTTATTCGGTTTTTTGTGGCAGAATTTGTTCTGCGTGAGACTAAACTTCAGTTATGACGTGTTTTTCCTTCGGGGCTGAGCTGCAATCTACCTAGTGTTACAACTTCTTAGGCTTCAGTTTCTGGGATCCTCATCGTTGACCCAAAACTACAGCATTTCTACTCTCTTTTTTTCAAGTACAAAAACATCATACCATTGCATTTCTTTGCCGGAAATGCCTAACACTTCTTATCATTTCGACTGATAAGAACAAACTTCACGGCTTAAATAATGTTTTTTTTTCCTTTCTTTCTTTTTCTCTGAATTTTGCTTATTCAGAAATCATGAGTATTTTTTTTTCGAGCTTTTGAACATCCGCGGTACTCAATCAAGATCAATTTGAGCTTTACAGGATGTTAAGGAAAATTGTTTAACTCCAAAATTTTCAAATGTTTGCAGGACCATTTTCCTTAGCTTGAACAGGTGTTTCAAAAAAAGACGTTCAAAAATGCAAGAGAAAAATCAGCTGGGTTCGGTTAAGAAATCTCAATTCATCGCTGATCAAATATTTATTTTAGTGAGGCCTCCGCATCATTGAAAAGGATCATTCTCTTTTTATTACGTCCAATCGCAGCCGTTATTTTGAGGAATTTCTCTGTAATCCTGCAGGCGCTGTTCAATCTTTTTTTTTAGATTTAGTAGCTTGGAAAAATAATTGAGATGAATATCACCTAAACCCATAGAACGTTATTTAAAGAAAAAAATCGCAATAGAGTTGATAGAGAAATCACTTCACAGCTCTTCGAATCTTTGTAATTTTTTGAACTGCGACTGGTAAAACTGAAAGAAAACTTCTTTTCTTACGACATTACAAGTCAGATTTCCGAGAAATATTATGCCTCAACCCGTAATGAATAAGAGCTTCTGAAAAAAATCTGATGAATTAACAAAATAATCTGTTAAGGAAAGTATTTCTGCGGGCAGTTTTCCGCATTGGACTACTCGCAAAAAAGTTTGATCCTGCACATTATCGATTTTTTTCAGTTGTGAACCTTTTCCACGATTTGGAGAAACTGTCACTATCAACGATAGATGTAGTCCAAAGAAAAACAGTTTTTGAGCTTATCTTGTACATTTTAACAGTCTATTTCTCCATCACAGAATTTGGGACCACATCTGCGATATTCACCTCCCCGATTCCCTAGTGAAAAAAACGAAATCCCCAGAACTCCTGCAAGTTATTACGCGTATCAGAATTTAAATGATACCTGCTTGATTTTTCACGTGAATGTGAGCGAACAAACTGATAAAATTTCTAAGATAATTTTTTTGAACGAGTAGCGGTTTCGCAACAATCATTTCTCAAGTGCTGAGATTTATACGACACCTTTAACGAGAAATGAAACATTTTCGAGGTGGAGCACTTGGCAGCTGGCCGGCCACCGCTTTGAAAACGATCTGAGTTGGGGGCGGTTGAATGATGGACTCGAGAAACGAACAAGCACTTCCTTTACACAAACAAACGCCAAGCATGCTAGACTTGTTGTACGCATCGAAGCCGCACTCTAATTACGTCTCGGCTGCGTAGTCCCGTCTCCGTTCTTGACTTTTACCGTTTTTTTCTCATAATTTCTTGAAAAGATTGAAGGGAATGAATTCGGTTTTGTTTCTGTTTGACTGTCTAATCGTTCCTAGAAAAAGAAAAATAAGCTTTTTGAAAAAAATTTGAAAAAAACAAAGTTTTTTTGAAAATTGTGAATGAACCTCGTAGAAAGTGAGTTTTTAGTTTATGATCTTATTCGTCATTTGATTTGACAAAAAAGGAAAAAGTAAGAACCAGAAAAAAACTTAAACACATAAGAATTCTAGTAAATTTAGTTGTGTCTCTCAAATAATCCATTTTTTTCTATCCAGAGGTCCTTCGGAAAAATTTTTATCAGAATTTAAATGAAGCAGGTGTTTTTTTTCAATGTGGCATTCCCATTACCCATTTCGTCATTATTGCGTATAAACTAAGATTTTTTTCATTCTTCAATACGGTTGGAAACGAAATCCCAAAGATGGGTGCATATTTTCTTCTCGTTCTTGAATTTTTTCATGGTTCTTTGATTTATTTCGAAAGAAAAAAGATTCGTGATCTTTTATAGGCCCAGTAAAACATTTTTTTAACTTCTGACATTTTTTTCATGAAAAGAATGTTGTTATAGTCTATCAAGAAAGCTTAAATTTGAATTTTTATGTAAATTTCCAAATTATTAATTGTTGAACACAGTACAAAAAAAATTTTCTTTCATTTTTCCATGGAGCGAGAGTTTTTTTTTTCCGATCCTTTGTTCATCAAGCGTTTGTTCTCCCCATAAAGTACATTTTCGGCGTTCAACCTCCAATTTTTTTGCAGTCCATTTCTATGTCAGCTGATACACCTTTTTTTTTAATTCGGACAACAAAACTTTGAAAGGCGAGAACATTTTCATTCTCAACTTTTTCTTGTTTCCATTCCAAAAATACTTTGTTTGGAAAGTATGGTAAATTTAGCGTGTGCGTCAAATCCGCTCGGTATCTCCATTTAAACCTGGATTAGTTTTTTTTTGTTGGAGCTTTTTAGATTATAAACATGAGTTCGTTCCTCTTTGACAAGAAGGCATTAGTGGGAAGTTTGACATTTTCCAAAGCTTTCCTCGGCATTTCTTGGCACTTCTGAGCAGCCACCTGCGCAAACTCTTATCTTCGAGAATCTGTCTCGGCTTTCATCCGTTTTTTAGCTAATGAGCCAATCTTTCTGTAATAAATATTGCCGAAGGGCAAGAAATCCTCCTTCAGACCTTGAAAGGATTTTTCGGCATAGTCGTGAAATTTTTGAATTTTACGTCAAACATCCTGTAAACTAATGAATTTTCAATCAATAACTCAAGTAAGAAGAAATTCTATAAGAAATACAGAACTATCGGAAAACCCAATTTTGGTCCGTTTTTTTCTCGAAAAAAACCATCACCCACGCTAAGAAATCTTGTATCATTTTTTTCGGGAGATTCTATTTTCTACTTACTAATCTTTCACTATCTTAAATGTCACGAGGTAGAGAACTGCCTAGAAAGAAAAAGTTCTTCTGCAGGTTCTTCTGCCTTCTTCTGCAAAACGTCATAGTATTTATCAGTTGCAGGAAATTATTCCAAAAGTAATAGTTCCCTTGTTTTATTGATTCACTGTTTAGAACTAGAATTCTACCAAACTATCCATTTTTTCTGTTATTTTTGTCCTTCTTGTTAAAATAACTTTTTGATCTTTTATCCAAAGTAAAAAAAAATTGATACTTTGCATTAAAGATTGGAAAAAGTTTTTTTTTTTTTCAAAAACCAGAACGGATATTTATCTGTTTTTCGAGTTTTTTAAGACTAAGCGCTAGTTCAAAGTTTCACAACTCCAAAAAAGGAAACGTTTCAACCATTTTTGAAGCGTTTTTCACAACACTTTTTTCAGCGCCTCTGAAAAAAGAAGACCTTACGAACCAAGCTACATTATTTTGTATTTGAATCGTTGACTTTCACTTTCAAAACACTGTGACGCACAAGTAATTTAGCGAATTTTGAGAAAATGTCAATGAGTCATATCTTCGTCGTGAAGTAATTGGAGAAGCAAGCCGGAAAAAAAGTGAACACTACGCAGAACGAGAAGCACAGACGTGGCACGAGAAAAAATGAAAAAAAGCGCGAAATGACGTAGTTGGCGCCTTTTGTTTGTCCGAAGTCTTCGTCGGGTCTGGTAGGTCGCGCAAGATTGATCGACGGAAACTTGGGAAACAGTAGAGGCCAATGGCGCCAACTTGAATACTCGACTACACCCACGCTGAGAAAGAGCGGAAATGGAACCTTTCGAAGAGGAAGAAGGAAGCCAGAGTCAATTCATTGCTATAAATTTCAGTAGGACCACGTTCAATTTCTTATTGAGGTCTTGCGACTTTTCTTTTTATCGCAGCGAGGGGTTAAAAATGATCTGAAAATTCCTTGAACTCCTATTATCATCTCCCATTTGTGCTTCAAACTCTTTTTAGGCTTTTTAGGCTTCAAAGCTTCCTGAGGGTCTTTGAATTTTTGAGACATGTCCAGTAGATCATCGCTTCAGAACCCACTGACCAATCATTTTTCGAAAGAAAAAGAAAAAGCTCGAAGAATCGACCAATTTTGGAAGGCAAATTATGTTTTGCACCGTAAATACTTCTGATTTGAAACCAGTTGTGAAAATTTTTTCTGATTCAAAAAAACCTGAAAAAAATTTTTGATGTAAAAACTTTTTGGTATTGAAAAATTTTTGATTTTTTTCATTGAATTATCTTTTTCCCAATTCCCCAAAAAAATTCAAATATGTTAATGTTTCAAATTTTTCAAGCTACGGAAAAAAATATATGCGAACCTTAATTTTTTTCTCGCAAGAGGGGGCGAGTCTTCGCAGCCTCTTAATCTACGAAAAAACTTCCGTTTCCTTTTCCTGCTATTTGCATGCCATCTTTCAACTTTTCATCGTTTTTCTAAGAGCATAAGTGGCTAAAAGAGTTTTTTCCAAACTTCTTTTCCAAAATTTTAATTGAACTGTGAAAACGGTTGATTTCTCGATTTTTCATGCCCATGGAGATCATTCGAAAATTTCTCTTAACTGATTTCAACCAAGTTCATTAACTTTAGAGAAAATGATTCTCCATCAAAGAAATGAAATTGTGCGGGTATTTTCACCGTGAAAAATCTGGAAAACTATGCTTTAGTTAAGGAATGAAAAAAGAAAAAAGAGAAGCATGGCAAAAACAGTTTGACCCCGCATTTTGGCGCGCGACTTCTCGAGAGTTCGCGGGTCCTGGCCAGACTCTCATTACGTCGTCAGTTCTTTTGGGTGACCCCACCGTTCAACAGTTTGTCAGCTGGTTTCTCTGCATTTCCATCTCTCTATTTATTTTTATCGTTTTACGTGCTCGTTCCCACTCGACTAAGCTTTGAAATTTTTTTTCTGCCTCGCGCTCTCATTCTGAACTTTTGCGGGGCTCGCTTTCATCAGATTTTCCGCATTTCATTGCCAACTTTTATAGCCAAATAGAATCTCTCGATTTTTGATGTGTATAATATCTAAGTTTAAACGAGCGAAACAATCATTTCGAATCTAGTGTAAACAATTCATTGATGTGAAATTGGATTCCTTTGTAGTTTATATCATCCACACAATTCCAATATTCGTTCTCACAACGTAGCTTCCCTTCAAAAAACTATTTTTTTTGTCTCTGCACAAAAAGACTATTGTTTTCAACTTTATTTGTTAACTTTTTCATCACCTGAAAGTTTTAAATATTTTTGAGAGCAGTTTGAAACCAATCATGAAACAATTTGACAAATGAAGATAGTATCATATCTCATAATCAAGTTTTCGCTTTCTAGCAGACCAAAAAAAAACAAACAGTGCGCCAAAGAGAGATGTTGAGACAATTTTCATGCGCGTTTGTCAAAGTGACTGAGGCGCTAGAACTAAAAATCTTTTTGACAAGATAGGCCAGCTTATTTTATTAAAACATCCTTAAAAGTCGGCCGAAGCATTTCTTGATTTACTAGATGCAGATATTTTCATTCTTAGTTCCCTTAGTTCGAAGTTTTATGTTTTTTTATAAAAGTTTACTGTTTTGAATAAGTTTTTTTTTTCAAAAATGACATGAAGGCCTCAAAAATCGCCACCTTGTACAATAAAAAAATTAAGGAAAGTTATTGAAAATTTTCGATCCGTAGAATGAATTTCCTTATTCAGACTATGAGTCCTTTTACCGCCTACTACTTTGAAATCTCCGTCTCGGGCCGGCTTAAAAAGTTTTTTCAATTTTTTGTGATGCTCATTCGTGTTCAAGTGCGCTTTTCTCTGGTTTAATGTGACGATGCAAAAACCGACATAAATCGAGGGCGGCTCGGGAAAATAGAAATAGGCGAACGAAAAAAAAAAACGCAAAGCCGCCAAAACGTACGTGTTCAGAGTGATCGATTACGGTGGGCTGCAGTTGAAAGACACGCAGCAACTACATCTGCTCGTCTCGACACTTGATAATCCAAACGTTAGTGCGGCAACATCAAGAAAGAGAGATTTGAAGAGCGGATTCCAGGAGTTCGGCAAACTCTCGATTGGCGCTGATCGACGTAGTGTTGAATGGTTGGAGATGCCCTGTGTTGAGGGGCTTTTATCTTTCCGAATGACTCTCTGGCAAGATATTCTTAAAGGTGTCAACTCCGTCTTCCATGGCCAAGTCCGGTTAGTTACTGTCGGAAAAAGCTTTACCCATTCCTCCGTTGAATCCTGTCAAAATGAGTTCAAAGGACTATGAACGAAAACGGGACAGAAAACAGCCCACTGAAAAGTTCTACGCCTTCTTTCGGTCGAAATCTCAAATTTTGAAAATTCTTGAAATATTTGGGCTTGAAAGTTGTTGAATAAAGTGAATCCAACTCAAAACTTCTTGTTGAATGTGGCAAAAGTCCTTTTTGAATTTTTTTTAAATTTTCGCCGCACAGTTTGTTTTAAATTTTGGTAAAAGTTCAACAAAAAAAATGGCTCAGCAGAAAACTAAAAATAATTGTGTGATGATGAGAATATTCTTTGAACTCTTCATTTCAATCTTTTTGCAGAGTGGTTCTCATCGCAGATTTCCCGAAAAAAATTAAGCTAAAGATTTGCTTTTTTTATAATCATTATACTTTAAGCGTCGATGTGGACGAGCGTTGGCGGAGCGGTCCTTGTAAATGGTTCTATCTCCGATCACGACACGCCGACAACGCAAAGCAGGAGGTTTTTCGTGAAATTAATGATGAATTAGTGGTTTTTCGGACTTTTTGGATAATGAGATTAGCTTTAGTCAGAGTGTTTCTGTCTATGAAATTGTGTTGTTCATAACGCCCACTGCTTTGAGCTCGATTAGCTCATTCTTTCTAACTTCTCGCTGTTCAGATGGATGATGGAAACGATATTGGAGAAGTTATGATCAAGACGACCCACCGCGTTGAACACGTCCTGCAACTACATGTCTACAGGTTATCTAGCAGAATTGCGCGTGGGTTTCACTGATGAGCTTTCAGACCTCTTCTCGATCTCTTGTGTGCTTCCTCGACTGTCCAACCTCTTACAGCTTCTCTGGTGGCTCTCATCGAGTCGCTGCCTAAAGTAAATTTGAACTAAACTATCTGATTATTAATTAAGATTGAGGTGGACCTGGGCCAAGTTTCAAAGGCCCTTGTCGAAGTGTCACCATCAGAAACTCTTCGACCGTTGCTCGATACTCTTTATGAGAACAATATCTACAAGTGCCAGTGAGTTTTTAAAAATGAGACTCGAAATTACTGTAAAACATTCCAGAGACGAAAATACTTTGTTCCGAGGGCAGTCTCTGGCGGGAAAAATGCTTTTTGAGATTCTTAAAACATACGGCAAATCTTACTTGGTGATAACTCTCAAGCCTGTTATCGATAAGGTTGGTTCAATCCAAGTTTGCACAAATAAAAATCTTCCCAGATTTTCAAAGAACGCAAAAACTGTGAAGTTGACCCGTCTCGATTGCCACCAGGAAGTAGCGCGAAAGATAAGAACGCCGTGAGAAGAAAAAGTTAATTACTTTGAAAAAAGTTGTTTTTTCCAGTATCAAGCCAATTTGTTGTCTTACTTCAACGCCGTCTTTGAATGCGTCACTCAGAGCTCAGCTAATTGTCCTCATTTTATCAAGCTTCTGCTGGCTGATTTGCGAAAAGTTGTGGCCGAGAAGAAAGGTGAATACTGAAGGATAAATAAAAACAACAGTTGATTTTGAGGACGAATTGAAATGGAGCGACTTGCGCTTTCGTCTTTCGTCATCATGCGCTTTTTTGCGGCTGCTGTTTTGAGTCCGAGAGCTTTTGATATCCGCAAAGAGCAACCGGTAAAAAACGAAACTAAGCTGGAATGTACCAACATTTATTTAGGATCATCGAGTTTCGCGTACTCTTCTGCTTCTCTCAAAAATGCTCCAACGCGTGGCTAATTGCACTGTCAGCGACCGTCCACTCTCGCAGAAGGAGCCGTGGCTGAGTGAAGTCTTGGAGCTGGTCACCGGAAATGAATACAAAAATGGCATGACCAAGTTCTTAGACAAGGTAAGTGTCGAATTGGATTTTCAATAAAAAGTAGTTCAAAAACCTGGACTTCTAACCGACCTTATGTTTTCTGTTTTAGATTTCACTCGCTCCAGAGTATGAAATTGAAAGAGAAACAGTCACCGTGTTCAAGGTGAGCAGAGAGGCATGACAAAAATAAAATGAAAATGTTTAGTTTGGACACTTGCAACAAGTGGACCCAACGCGGACGGGCTGGAAGAAAATCTTGCAAGCCAAAAAGCGATACATCCAGTTGACCGACACACAACTTGTCTGGCAGAAAGACAGCCAAAGTAATCCCACAATTTCATTAGTGGCTATGAAAATTGTTCCAGGCAACCCAAAGGGATACTTGATGCTTAGCGATATAAAGTCTGTGACGGCCGACGACAAACATTTGATCACAATCACTACTGACAAGCTCCAGATGCACTTCGGATCTGCGAGCGCGTCGGACACCACCGAATGGTGATAACTTCAAAAATCTTCCAAGCTCAAGGCGTTTGACTGGAAAAGTTATAGTGGCCACTATAGAGGTCCGCAACTTAGAGAGGACACCAAAGTGGCCATTATGGAGATTCTTTATTTAGTGGCCACCTCAGTAGTTTTTCATCCATTATTCCGACCAGTAAATCTGACAGTTTTGGAAAAAACAGATTGGACCTGTTATGTTGATCCATTGACCCCTGAAGTGGCCACTAAAACTTTTAGGGGTTTAGTAGTAGCATTTCGACCTCTATAGTGGCCATTAAAAATGTTCCCAGGAGTTTCCAAAAAAGTTAAAAGTATTAAACTTTGAAAAACTTCCTTATGAATGAAAATGGAAACTTGGAAGTGTTCCAATCCTTGAGTCGAAAGAAAACTCAATTTCAAAAAATCCTCTTTTAGGCTAGCGGCTATTGAGAAGCAAAGAAAGCGAATACGCCGCGAAACCTTCGGCCTCACCAATGAAACTTACGTCAGCGACATCGAACGCAATCTTGACGTCATTCACGTAATCTTTTTCTGTCTTTTCAACTTCATAAACGCTATTTCAGTGCATTTTATACAAGTATTATGACACCATGCAGCAATGGAGTCTAGATCTACAGTCTTGGGAGAAAGTTGACAAAAAATCCATGCCTGAAATTTTGAAGGCCGATTACTTGTCGGTAAGCTTCTACCATGGCAATTTTTTCTAATCAATAATTGTAATTTCATTCAAAATGAATGTCAGTATTCTAAAATAAACTATTGCAAATGTAAAATCGGGCAACTTGTATATGAAATTTCTCTTTCGAAGCTTTTTAAAGTCCAGCGATTTGCTCAAAATTTAACGATAGAATCACATAGACTGGAAATGTAAATAATTCAAACATCTAATAAGATTTTTGTAGGCGGAGAACCGTGAAGAACATCGCCTGAAGCTTGCCGAAACACTTCGGAATACTTTGGCTGTTTCACAAACCATCCAGAAAGTTCACAACGAATATGAAGAGCTCCAGAAGGTTTTTTAATCACTTTTTGTAAAATAAGGCTTGAAATTTTCAGGAGAAGAACATGACCAAAGAAGAATAGACGCTTCTTAGAACTGTGATCTGCCGCCGGCACCTATTTGCATAATTAACTTGTCTTTTAATTTTTCCTACCGGTTTTCCACGCATTCATTCGGACCAAACATATCATAAGAACTAATAATAATCGAGATTATCTTACTAAGACTCTTTTTAGCATAATTATACTAACTATGTAAAAAAATTACTAATTCTATCTAACCAATTGTTCCCCACTAACTTCTTTTCCTTCTACATATCATGTGAACCCAACCAAGTCTAACTGTTTTCATAACTTAACCCCGTAACTTACCAACATATTGACAAAAAGATTCGCATCATGATCTCACAACAGCTTTCAAAGTTCTACGTTATCAACGAATTGTGTTTCCAAAGATTTAATAAATCATCATTTTCATGGTTGTTACACACAAGAAATTTATTAATCGAAAAGAATTTTGGGTGTTATTGAGGTGGAGACGGCCAAAGGCGTCTGGAGAGTTAAGGCGGCGCAGATTTGTCCAACTTCCAAGGCTTCGTCAACCGTCTTTCCGCTGGCCAAAGCACACATTACGCCGCTGTTGAAACTGTAAAGCAAGTTTAAGTCTTTGGAATAGAATATGGGGAATTTTATACATGATTTTTTTTCCAGAAAAAGTGGTGCTTTTTTTCAAAAAAATTTTTAGAATTCAGGATCAGTGAGGGGTTTTTCTACTCGATTTTTCGATCGAATTTTTGTAAATGCTTTGAAAGCTCGATCTTGAAAAATATAAAGTTGGTAAAAAAAGAGAACCTTTGGATAAGAGTTAGTTAAGTCAGATAACTTGATTAATTCAAAATTTATTCACATGTATGTGAATGACCTCTATCGTCCTTTTGATGAATCATTTTTTTTTTCATTTTGTTCATTTTGAATCAAAAACCTCACTACTCGGCTATTTTGGAACTGTATGAAGTTTATAAAATTCTTCACTTTTGAAAAAAATCAGCTTGCTAAATAATAACAAGATTTGGGATTTTCGCAATATGAGCCCTACCGAAAAATAATTTTCTTCATCAATCTTGCAAAGCCCTCTTTCTCATGGCGATCTATGTTTACGCTTGAAAAAAGATAGGACGTTATCTTACAATCAAATCATTTCCCATGCTCTTCCATCCGAGAATGTTTTTTTTTGTATAGCGCTCCGATGGTAAATTCAGATAAATACGGTGAAAATATCTTGCGAATTATTGAACGACCGACCTGTCACCGGCGCCGGAGACAGAAAAAACTTTCGTTGAGTCAACGGGAGCAGGAACCAATCGAAGTTCATATTCTTCTTTCTCATTTCTTAAAAGTGAAATGAAGATACCAAATCACTGGGAAGTTTACTTGGAAACAACTACAGAGCCCTTTTCCGCAAGGGAGACGACAAGGAAAGAAAGATCTTGGAGGAGAACTTTATTTCCAAGCACAAAGTCAGCGACAGTCTCAGGCGAGGACAGAGCCTTATCTGGAAGAGTTTTTTTGCAAATTTTTCGAGAACGAGAAAAGAACCTGTGGTCTGGACCCCGCACTCTTGAGCCCACATCCTGAACTCGTTGGCATTCGGGGAAGTGGCTGTGATCTGCCGAACCAAACCCGTTTTGAAAACTCTATTCATTTTTTTGATATCTGTGGGCTCTACCCAAACTAAAAAAAATCATTAAATACACCCACGAAACGTTGTAAAACAAACTTTTGCGTTTGTAATAGCTGCCGATTTCAATAGCTTTTTTCATAGTCTCAACGGATAAGTTACTGTCCAAAAGTAGGAAATCCGCCGTGCCGATTACTTTTTCCTTTTGGGTGATCTAAAAAAATAATTCTGAGTGTATGAAAGAAAGAAAAAAAAACCATTTCTGGAGTGATGAGGGACAAAACTTTTCCGATCGAGCTGACGCCGTAGCGCACGTTTCCTTTTTGGTTCATGGACATATAAGTCGCTGTAGACGCATTGGAAATTGATACAACGCCAGAAATATCCTGAATCATTTTCTTGAAGATATCCTCAGATACGGCTCACAATATGAGAGCACTGTTGGCGCAAGTAATCACCGTGATCGTCTTCACCCACTGCAGAAATCAAAACGGACTCACATCCCAATCTGAAAATGTTAATTACTTCTTGAAAGAGTGAACAGAAAAAGCGCGTCTCAATCGATTAGAAGATCAAAAACCAAATTCGAAAACTGACCATTTCCCACAAGTTTCTTTTCCCAGCACCATTTGGATCCATTGTAAACAAAGAAAAAAAGCTCCGACTTTCGAGTAACGCACCGAAATTTGAATGGGGAATGGGTACAGGGAGAACAAAGGGAGGAGGTGCCAACCGAATCCAAAAGGAGACGCGTTCCCCGCCTCGTACTTTCTTCAATCCGTCGCAGCGAGTGGCGTCTCCTCTTTTCCTCTTCTAGTTTCAAACCATGCTCTTCGGTCAAAATTTATTTCAAAAATTAAAGATTTCGATTCATCCTGTTGAAGCAAGCTAGTACTCTGGCGATAATTACATAACACAAAACTTTATTTTGCGACTGGTATTTTCACACAGGTTCTCTGATTAGTTTTTTTTACGGACATATGTCTTTATTCTGATAGCTTTCAGCATTAGGGGAAAATCTCGAGAAAAGCAATATCGTACAGAAAAACTGTACGGGCTTCTCGATTTTAAGAAATCATATGATATAAGTAATTAGCTGACATTCAAAACTTGGAAAATCACAAAAAACTGAGTTTTCTCAACTTTATTTGAGAATTTTCGTTATCCCGATTATGGGAAAAATGTTCAGTTCCCAGCACGCGGCTCAAATAAACCTAATGAACCATACCGTATTCATGCATTTGGTGGACATTTGGACTTATAGGGACTCTCAGGCCCCAATTCAGGGGCAATTTAAGTGATTTGAATCGGGAAAAAGTTTTTCAAAAACCTGGCGATGGCGTCCGCATGATTCCTCGCAACCCCACCGCACCTCTGAAACAGTTGACCGACGTAGGAGCCACCGTCATTCTGAAAAAAATGCACAATTTTTGAATCTTTTACGCGCCTTGTTTTTATGGATTTTCATTAAATCAATAGATGGTTATTGATTTTCACTCGAAAGGAGGAGGAAGCGAACCGAGGGGCATGGACCATCCCTTGCCCTTTTCTTACCAAACATCTACTTGCGCAACGATTTTCATCTTTCTTTCAGCTTTCTCTAGGCACGAAAAAATGTTTCAAGGAAAAAATAACTTCATACGATCCTTGGCATTATATTTTTGTTCGCATTTTGCGAGATTCGAGGGCTGTCATTTGTTTTACTTTCCCAACAAGATCCGCCTCTTTCCCATTCTTTCTGTATTTTCAGTCTTCGAGCTTGCAAACCGACACGATGGGTCGCCATACCGATTGGATTTATTGGACAAATTTTCTCATGCTGATATTCTCGGTACGCTCTTCCGTAGGAGTCAAAACTCATCGCCTGTAACTTCACAATTATGACGTAAAATTTTCTAGGCGATCGTCTTCCAGAGGATCTTCAGCATGTTCCAGAGTGACATTTGGAATTTGGTGCCCATCTCCTTCCATCACCCAGTCTTCTACATTGCCACGTCTCTCTTCACTCTCCAGGTGCATTTTGATTCTTCAAGTACATGAATTCGACTCAAAGTTAAGGTCATCGTGAGCGTTAGCGCAATAATCGCAACGTTGTGCGCCGAACCATCGGTGCTCAAACTCTCATGGGCAATGACCGTAGTGCTGCTGTTCGCCGACTTCATCATGATTTTCCCCTTGGCCGCGCACTTGAACTCTGCCTACATGTTGTTCGCCCCTTATTACAGTATGATGGCGGAAGAACTGGTATGCTTTGGTTTCTTTTTCGAATTGTTCATTTTCCACAGTCTTCCAACTGCTGGTTCTGGGACTACTTCAATCACAAACTGCACTGCTGCCCTCCCCAGCTCATCGTGCAAACCTGCCTTGGTCCATTTAAGAGCAAAATTAAAACAATTATAATCTTTTAGATAGTAATTTCACAAAGTTGGACGGCCCTTGTGTCAACGTCTCAAATGAGTTGGAATGCGTCAATCCAATCAGACAGTGAGATCTTATTTTTGATGAAAAAATGTTGGTCAAAAACTCCTAAAAAGGGTTTTTTGAGTTCCTCTTTCCGAAGACAACGGAAGGTGTTTTTATGAGACCCAAAGTACGCCATCAAAGTTCAAATTGTCCAAACAACAAAAACGGAGCAAACAACAATTTTTTTTGTGCAGATTCGAAAATTCATCGATCGATGTTGACTAACTGGGCATATCATACTATATTACAACCACCCATCATGAATATTGGTAAAAATGATAAGTATTGTCAATGCCGAGGTGGTATCATTATTGTTAGAAACCAAGCTTATTAAGTAAGAAAGGCGGTATGCTAAGAAAAAATTGATCTATTCATATCAAATTGAAGAGAAGTTGGGACAATAGTTTTTAAGTTGGATGCAGCGTCACATTGACCTGGCCTCCTTCATCATCTACTTCATCCTGGTCCCCCTCAAAATGCTAATCGCCTGCGCGGTTCAAGGCGATATGCGCCGTTTCTTCTTTGAAACGGAAATCCGCAAAGCGTACGTATCCTCACTTTTTTCCCGCTTTAGGAAGATTACTTATCAATAATATTTTACAGGAGCCTCGATGACTTGGAGTCTGGTGAGGAAGAGACTAACGTCGATTTTCCTCTCGCTACTGCAGCTGCGCCTGAGCTGCTGCCCAAGCCGATGGCTGAACTTGCAGTTCAGCATGTCTCGACCACCGACACTGCGATTGGAACCGAGAAACCCGAAAAATTTCTCAAGTTGACCCCCCGCGTCGAGTTCATCATTTGAGCTGTTCTTATGCGACACTTTGACGCTTGTTAATGAAGTTAATTTTTGCTGTTTTCTAACACGAATAAATATCTCAGCTGAGCAAACAGAAATATATTTTATTTTTCACAAAATACCTTGACATCTTCCTCCGTCACTGCTTCGAAGTCGACTATAGATGCTCCAATGGAAACCTAAATTTCATAATTATCATTTCTTTTAACCTCATTATTAACTCACTATACGCGGTACTTTTAAATTCGTCTCATTCTTCTTGTTCTCCGAATCCCGAGAAAAGTTTTGAGCTGGAGTACCTTTATTAGAGTTCGCCTTTCTATTAGCCAGTTCCCCAGCAATTTTTGCATTATTTTTCAGCAAAGCGATGTCTGAAAAGTAATTCATAAGATTTTCTACAACAAAGTTAGCAAACTTGTTTTCATTGAGGCTCCTTTTGTGAGTTCATTAACACGAGCCAAAATAAATGGCGTCACTCTTTGGGAGTTCACATTCTGATCTCTAAACATCAATTATGATTTGCAGAAGATATTTCAATCACTTTGCTTCTTTCAAAGCTTGGTCAATAGCGGTTTGTATAACTTGACCGTCAGCTGCAAATTTTTCTGGTATCGGGCAAGCAAGAAGAGTTCCTGCGGAAAAGCCCAGCTGCGCAGATGTTTCTGTAAAAAGTGTTCCCTTGCGGAAAGAGCTTTTTTATCTACCGTACCCTGGAGAGCGATGATCTCATCGAAGCAGGTGGTACAGAACTGCCCTTCACTCTCCGATTTGCTTGTAAAAAAGCTGGGGAAGATGTTTTCTTTCCCAAACACCACGCAGTTCACCGAGTTTGTTTCCTGCAAAGATGAGTTTTATGGAAATTTGATAGCGTGATTTATACCAAGTATTCTATGGTTTTTGGTATGTCCAAAATGCTTTTCACACCGGAGCAAACTACACACACAGGAGTTCGTGCTAGTTCTTGAAGATCCGCAGAAATGTCAAAAGCTGGAATAATAATTCATTGAAGTAAACTGAAAGGCTTTACAATTTAGTATTAAATAATAATAGGTACAGTGGAACGATTTTTCCTATGTTTGAGCAAATACTCTAGCCGAGAATTGAGGTTTTTTCAAAATATGGGCCTGAACAAGATCCCTCGGAAACAAAAGGATTTTAGGGTCTCAAAATCAGAATATTTCTGTTGAGAAAACCTACGGTAGCGACAGAAATTATTCGAAAAAACGCGACCTTGGTCACAAATTTCTTGTCAGGAAATTCAATCTTTCTGAAAGTTTCTGAAGCTGCGTTTTTTTCTGTGAACGGAAACGTCATCAGAGTGTTCAAAGTACCAGTCATCACGAATCCAGAAAGTTTCAGAGAGATTGAGCTCCTTAAAAAAAAGTTGTAAAAAGTAAAAAATGTTTTTGTCTTAGAAACTTTGGCAATTTTTTCCTTAATGAAAAATACAACTCGATCGTTTTTTTTTGTGAGCAGACTCCCCTTTTCCAAAATTCTGATTAATCCTTAGCAAGGATAGAAACCATCCCTTTACTCCACTCACTTTGTTCGGCTCCTCGATGGACGCCTCCAATCCCACCAGTTGCGAAAAACTGAATACCAGCGGCGTGGGCTATTCTCATTGTAGCGGCTACCGTTGTCCCACCGAGTTCTTTCTGAGAAAATTCCTAGGAATTGTAAAATTTTCGCGATGATCTCACCCGCACAAGCGTTTTTGCAATGTCCCTGGTTGATACCTTAACAGCATTTTTTGTGGTTGCTACTTGCTCCAATTGGCTGTCGTCTAGTCCAACGTGGATCTGTAAAATGTTTATTTTTATTAATAATCATTTGTTTTGAACATTTCCATCAATGAGAGCAATAGTGGCAGGTTGACTTCCGGAAGACTTCACTTGTTCTTCTAATTCTTGCGCAGTTCTATAAAATAAAATCAGAAAAATCAAACCCATTCAAAATAGAAAAAAGAACAAGAAAACCAGAAAACCAAAAAAAAACTCTTGGCATAGATCTTGTTTTTGAATTTTGAAGCTTTAAAGTGTTCAAAATACGCAAATTATGACAAAATAGCGCTATTTCAAGATTTTAAAGATCCTCAATTTAAAGTAAACAACGTTCCCTGGTAAATATCAATAAAATTTCGAACGAAACTCACTTCAAATTGTGCGGATACGGAAGGCCATGAGTTATAACTGTACTTTCAAGAGCAACAACTCCTTTTCCATTCCGTAAAGCTTCTTGAACCAGCGGGGAAATTCGCAGAAAATGGGAAAATTGACGGATTTGATGGAAAATACGCTTAGTCGAACGCGACATCTCCATCGACAGACCAAATAGCCAAAAAAAGACGCGTGTCAGATGTTATCTCGGCGACCCGCAACTTGCCGCTGATAAGGAGATCGAAGAGACGAAAAGAACACAGACGGGTACCTGGAAAAATGGCAGTAGATCAAGTTGATGTTCTCGAAGTTGCACATGGATTTCTAAGGAATCATAAGATTGCTTTTACAAATTTTTGATCTTTTTTTTCCGTTGTGAGAAACGTTTTTCTGTTATTATAACTTGCATGTGAAAAACTGTTTGAACTCAACTTTTCGCACAATTTTTCCTCGATAATGAAAATTTTCTTGATAAAGCTTTGAACGGAGATCAACTCGTTGTGCGGTTGGAATTTCTCTGAAAAGTGGTCAGAACCCTTATTCATGTTCCTGAAAAAGATCATAAAAATTTTCAACCTGCCCAACTTCTCATTTTCCAAAAAAAGAGGTCTCTAAGCCCTAAAATAGTCTCTCAAATGGGTTTTAAGGGTTCACTTCGCCTTTGAAATGTTCTTTCTCGAAAACTAGGAAGGTGTGCAGATTAAGTTTTCCGTATTTTTGATGGTTCACGAATTTTTTGGTCACTCTTAAAAAAGATTTTCAAACGCACAGTAAAATGACGTTCCTTGTTCACGAGTAAAGTCCAAAAGGTCTCAAAAAGAACTTTTGGAAACAAGGCGCCTTTGATCTCAATTTAATTTTTTCTGAAAAAGGCCGTTCGAAGAGGAAAAAAAGAGCGAGAAGATTGGAGATCCCGAGAAACTAGTGACCCTTTTTTAGGAACTCAAAAAGGAGCTTTAGGCTTTTTTTTTGAGGCTTTTTCGAGGTTTGGACTTTGTCTGTGTTTGAGTATAATTTTGTTCATTCTGTGTTTTTATTCTCAGTTGTACCAGACCAATATTTTTTTGCTTTCCTTTTTAAAGGTCTTTTTGAAGGTCAAATAGAAACTCGAAATTTTCATTTACAAAAAAATATCACAAAAAAATATAATGACACATAAGTTCAGCCATAAATCGAATTTGTGATTACCCAATTCTGATTTAGAAACTATAATGATATCTTGAGATCGTCAGCAGAAGTCATGCTCACAATATATTATCACATAATTAGTCGCCTAAATAATCTTAGTTTGGCATGAGAACGGGAGGTTTTCCGCAGCTGACAGGTTGGAATCGTCCTAAAGGAGTGCGGTAAATGTCGCCTCGGCAGAAGTTGCACGTCTTCCTGCAGATCCGAAAAGCGAGATTGGCGTACTGACCGTCACAAGACCACTGGGACTGGAAAAAAAGATTTTTGCAAGTTGTTTGAGTTGCGAAAACTAACTTTGCCCCAGACGTCCTGTTTCTGCAAGAATCTTTTGCAGAAGTCGGTGCTGTGACGGTCGAAGCAAGCGGCAGAGCGTTCATTCTGAAGATTCAGGAATTTCTAATTTTTCAAATGACGGTTGAGATTCACCTGCTGGAAGATAACTTCATATCGGTCAGCAGCGCTCTCGATTCCACAAGTGTTGCAGCATTGAATCAAAGAGAAGTCAGCGTCGCTTTTGCACCTAAACAAAAAGATCGAATAGAAAACATTCCTCCAAGAAGAATGCGAAAAGTTCACCTATCCAGAAACTTGGTCGGGTTGGACATTTGGAGTCTGCGACAAGCAATGCTTGAAATCGAGTCTGAACAGCAAGGCGGAAACGACGCTCCTAGCGCTGAAAAGGTCCATTTTGGTGCGAGTCCATTCAATGTTGGCAAACGTTTCAACGGAAAATAGCAAACAAGAGACAAAAAACGGGTTGTTACCCTTGGATAGTTCAGTGGCGGTACGGTTGTCCTCTTTGAAATACGGCATGGCTCGCGGATCCGCTTGCGCAAACTCGGCACAGGCTATAAACATAGTTGTATATGAGGAGCACCTAGATATTTTTTGGTCTCGATTTCCAAATCTTGGACCATTTTTTGTTTTTAAAAGGATTTAAATTTTTTTTTCTTTTCGAATCAAAATACTCGTGTAAAAACTTTATTTTGCGGTTTGTTCTTAAAAACATGTGTTCATAATTTTCTAGAGAGAATTAAAATAGAAGGAGAACTTTTTGGTGCATCAGATAAAGATTTTGAAACGTTCAACCTGCACAACTTCCTAGTTTTAAAGAAATAATAACCGAAAGTCCTAAAGTCTCTTTTTGAGTGTTTAATTCGTTTGAGGCATATTTTCTCGAAAATCAGGAAGTTGTGCAGGTTGAGACTTCCAGGATCTTCATCTGGTACATAAATGAATTATCTGGCCGATTTCAGGAGGATCCAGTAAAATGACCTCCCTTGAAAGAGCGTTTTTTTTTGTCTCGATGAGCTTCAAAAGGAAGAGAAAAATGGCAGAAATGGTCAGTTAGATCAGCTATCCGGTTGAAAATTAGTTATTTTTGATCACAGTCCAACTTTTTGAAGTTCAGTAGCTATCCTTTTCATTATCAGTATAAAAACTCAAAAATTGTGTTCATCGACGACCTTATAGAGTATTTCTCGATCACCCCCATGACTTCAACTAAGCTTCAACATAACTAGAAATTCACAAAATCTCAAACCTGCGACGAAGCAGAAAGCAGAAATCGCGAAAAACATGGAAGACGTGAAAGATGCCAAAAGCCGCGGCTTGGAGTCTTTATAATAGTCCTGGTGGCCTTGTCCGGTTTAGCACGCCCATTTTGCCGCCGGCGATGCTTCGAGGAGGTGCCGGGTGGCCGATGCTGCAATGTAAACGATGACCGGAAGTATGTCAGACTGACGTGTCTCTCAAAACAACCATGCCCCTTGAGTCTACCTCAGTAAAATAACTGGTTTTGAGAAGTTTCAGAGATTCATTTCAATTGAAGCTGATTTTGGGGTCTTGGAAAGTCTTTTTTCTTTCAGAATTAAATCTAGATGCTGCCACTTGCGCTGAAATCTTACTTCTAAGATGTGAAATTTTGAGATTTCTCATTATTTTTTAGAAAAGTCCAGATTAAAATTGAGAGTTTCAAAACTCCATATTATCTTAACAAAATTTGTGCCCTGTGAGACAGTGAGATTTAAATTTTCACTACCTTAAGTAATGTTGAAGAAGATCATGAAGACTTCAACAATATCAAAAAAAGAACATTTTTTAGGGGAATTTACTTGTGAATTCAGAAAAATTCTCGATAGTACTCTATAATCACGCTCAAGATGACGGTTTACAGGCATTTTTCATTTTTTGTTTCAAGCCGTGAAGATTCAATGAAGTCGCAATACGATGATTATTTATGATATTATTTCCATTTTCTTCTTTTTTCGAAGATGATAAAAATTTCAGAAAAAAACTTTTCTTTTTTTGCGAATCACAGCTAAAGTTGAATGAAAAAGAATTTATTTCAAATTTTCCGTTTCAACTAGGAAAAGACTTGAAAATCAAAAACATGAATATAAGATCAAAAGATCGTTTCTAGTACTTTTCTGCCCCGATTCTTCACACTTAAAATCAGGTTTTATTTTTTTTTTTTGCGCTATCATTGAATGATTAGAACTCATTTTTGGTTGGAAAAATCAGATTTTCCTTTTTTTTTTCGTTGCTGAACTCTAGTATTCGAAGGTTATAGTTCTTTTTTTTTGGTTTTTTAGAACTTCAGTGCATCGGATATTTCTAAAGGTCAACTCGTCAGGATACTCTTGTTTCTATGTTGTATTTCAATTCTTCGAGTCAATCTCTGGTCCCAAATACCAGCAGAAGTTTTTCGCTCTGTGTGCATTGTGAGCGCTTGTGTGTTCATGAGCTTAATGTCTACATTTCATCCCGTTTTTTTCTCGCCGCTGAAATATTTTGCTGACCACTCGTCTTGCCGTATCAACGTGTGTGCGTGCGTCAAAGTGTGCACACCAGAAGAAAGCTTACGGCACGGAAAAAACAGCTAAACGCACGTTCGGCATTCTTTTCCAAGTGGAAAATACACAAAGAATATTCTGACATTCGGATTGGACATTTTGGAATAAGTAGAAATTCGAAAAATTGTAGCAAACTGCGAAAATCCGAGAAAATCCGGTCAAAAGTTATTAGAAAATCCAACGGGATCTCAACTTCTTTGATAAAAAACCGTTTCGAATAAGTTTCGGATGGTATAAATTTACTACTCTCTCGGTTTTCAAAGTGGGGTCGTTAAAAGAAAACCAACCCCCATAGTTTCCTTTTGAAAATTGAAACAACCGAGAGCTCCAGTCTATGCAAAAATACTTCAATAAATTCAACTACTCTGAAAATTCGAGTAAAATTCGCAAGGATCCTCTTGAACTCCTGGTAAATGTGTTTAAATAAGTTCTTTGACGTCGAGAACTCTTTCAAGGGAGGATATGAAAAAAATATGACTAACAAATAAAAAAATGAATGAAACGTTTCAGAAGAAACACGATAATGTGATCATATCCAAAATTTTAAAAAAATAGGTATTGCGTTTTGAATTTACGTTTTAAGAGCTGGTAAATGGCGGTAAAGCATTTAAATTCGATATTTTTTTTGGAACATACCAAAAAAATTTATCAGTTTTAGTAGTTTTGAACGACTTTTCATAAAGATTTAAATATCCATCATCGATATTTTCCGAGAAGCTCGTTGACGACAGTTTCAGTTGAAGTGGCTGTTTTCAGGATATTGGCTGTTCGCTGCAAAACAAGCCACCCAGGAAGGCAAAGTGCTCCGAACGAATTGTCTGAGTGCGTGTTTCTCCTGTTTCACCGAGGCTCAAAAAAGCAGCCAAAGGAAACCGTTTCACCGATTCCTCCCTATTTTGAACAGCGGGATGAGATTTGAAAATCGAGACAATGAAAGAGTTTGTGGCAAAAAAAGCAAAAAAGTCAATTATCACTAATTGAGAAGACCAAAAAAAGGCTTTTTTTGTAAAAAAATCTTTTTCAATTTTCTCTGTGGACAATGAAAAAGTTCTTGAATACAGTTTTTTTCTTTTTTTATTAGAATGATAAAAATTCCTTGAATCCTCTACCATTACTGAGATATTTCGAGAATTATGAACACCTAACTCGATATTTTTCGACAAAGAAGTTCTCTCTAACCCTGGAATCCTCACACAAGTGTGACAAACTGAAATAAAAATCGTACGGGAATGAATAAAAAATGGAAATTGCACTAAAATTATGAAGATTCTAGTTCACTTTTTTTACATCAGGGTATCTGCTTGGAAGTTATTTAAGGTATGGAAGCTTCCACAAGGAGAAATTGAGTAAAAGTTTGAAAATTTCAGACAAAACGATTCTGAGATTTTTTTTTAGTTAAAAAAAAATTTTCAACCTGCCGATCTTCCCATTTTTCAAGAAATGGAAGATCCAAGCTTCAAAGTGGCCTCCTCAAACGGATTTTGAGAGTTCTCTTCGCATTTAAGATGTTCTTTCTCGAAAACTAGGAAGTTGTGCAAATTGAGTTTTCAGGATTTTTTTTTCTGGTTTTTGAATGAGTGCCAATTTTAAAATTGTCAAACGCACAGTAAAAGGAATTTTCTTGTTAGAGTATAAAAAATAGCCATTTCTCAACTTTGAGCTTTCTTTTATTATAGTCTGGGAAGTTCTTCAGAATCTCAGTTATAGCATCCCTTTCTTTGTCAAGTTTCCCAAAAATTAGTCACATAAAAAAATCCGAATTCGTTGAGAAATACCTCTTTCGCGTGTTCTCATCCCAAATTTTGATCCCACTTGCCAGTAAAGCGTCAGGTACAAAAGCTCAATTGGTGCTTCGCCTTTTACTCGTTCATCTAAACACACAGAAGCCAAACGGCAGCAGTCGGGTGAAAACAAAGAGCCGCCGGAACCAGGAAGATTTGCACCGCCACGTATATGCCAATATATGCAACTCAAACAATTGTGTTTGCGCATGGCCGTCGCGCTACTGAGTTGGATCGTCGTGCAGCCGACCTGATCCGACCTCCCGGCTGGCCGTCAAGGACGTGTCCCACAGTGCCAACCGTCTGCTCGCCTTACTCTTATCTGTTTACCTACACGGTTTCGCTTGTTCACGCCGCACCTGTAGAAGGAGAGCCAAGAAGCTTCTGACCAGCGACACTTCAGCGAGTCTTCAAACACAGTACAGAACGGAACGCTTGGAAAACTTCAGCTGAAAAGATAATTCTGCGCAATTAGAGTCGCTAATGAACATGAGATATCACAAAAAGCCCAAAACAAAGCTTGAAAAAGTTCATTGGTCCAAGAGTTGTTATTTTAAGATGTTAATTTTCTGAAAAAATCATGAATGCAAAGATCGCACGTATGCTACGTCTCCTAAACCGCAGAAAGTTGAGCTGGTTGTTATTTTGGTACTTTACTGTCAGCTCAATCAGTCGTTTCATTGCAGATCGCAAAATGGATGAAATAAAAAGCAAGATTCGAGAAAAAAGGTCTTTTTTAATATTTAGAGAAAAAAATTTTCGGGAAATCGGTTAAAGTGTCATTTCTGTAGCAGAAGTATTTGAAAAATCGAACTTGCAAAATTTTAAACTTTTTGAAATAGAAGACAACCTCGAATGATCTGTTTCCCTAGTTTACGATAGTTTTTTCGACTTTGACACATCTCAAAAAATCAAGGAAATAGATTGAAAGCCTCAGGATCTTTAAAAAGTTGCGTTCTAACCAGCTGTTGTCATTTTTCAAATCAGCAACGAAAAAAAAACTATGAAATACCTCTTTAACATCTTTGTTGGGTCCATTTGAATCAAGAGTTCATCGAAAACATATGGAATGAAAGAAACTAATGAATTCACTTGAGAAACATTATTTTGAACAAAGAAAAAGTCTATCATGCTCCACTTGAAGTTCAAGAACGATTATCCTATCTAAGCTCATGATTTTTCCCTCTGGAGACTCAAGCAAGCGTTTTTGATGAATCGATCAAAGAAAAACCTTGAAAATGTCAAAGTTACAGCGGAATGTTTGAATATTGGGAAGCTGAAAGCTTTTTCATGGTGAGAAAGTTCAGTTTTTCTTATTCCAATCCTTTTTTCATTGCCATACGATCGAAAGGTTCGGGTCAGACCAAAAGGTTCGTTTCGCTGCAAAAGCCGGAAGTGGGAGCAGGGAAAAGATCAAACAAAAGTCTTAACTTTCAGTTTTTTTTTTCGAAGGCGGCATTGTAAACTCCCAACCTACCGAAGTTCACAAGGAAAAGATCGAAAACTGAATTTGCCAATGATCAGAGAAAGAGTTTGGTTTTCAGAAACTTAATTCTTTCCTGATAGAAAAATAAATTTCAAACACAAAAAAACGTTTCTATTTCTTTATATACTGCAGAACCAGGCGTAAAAATTTCTAGAGCTTAAAAATTACAAGAACGAAGAAGCTTAAAAACTTTTTGAAGACTAACTAAATTTGTTCTTAAATCATGTTTCATAATGGATATGGTAACATTGCTCGATTGTTTCTTTATTTTTTTGGTACAAAAAAACATTCAGTTATCGCCAATGAGTTTTAGGCTACCAAGATTCATGCACAGTTTATTCTCACTAAAGTTTTAGTCTCCACTCTTTGACTTCATTCTTTCTACGTCCCTGAACGGGAACAGAAAATCGAACACAGTTCCACCGACTGCAGAGTAGATTCCTTGACCCGAGTCCCCACAGTTCACACAATAGCGTCAAGAGTTTGGTGACGGCCGGAGAAGGATTTCAATTTCGCCTCGAGCGCCAACTTTGACTGCAGCTGCGAAATTTGCGCAATGTGTACTTGGGGTTTGGCGAGCCACGCCGCGGTCGTCGTCGTCGGCGGCGGCGGCGGCGCAAGATTGTTGGCCTCCGAGAGTGGACAGCCGACCCAAGAAGGAAGTAGAGCGACAGTTCCATCCGACTCCGTCGGCGGTTTGGCACAATTGGCGTGGCGCGGCGACAGCAAATACGCTGGCGTCTCTGGGTACGCCGACGTCCGAGAGAACGTAGGCCGAGAGTACGGAGCGGTCACGAGTCGCCTCAGGCAATCCTTAAACCAACTCTCTTTCCAAAGTTGGTCTCGAGCTTGGTTCGTACTCCACATGAAGCCGTTTTCGTGAAGTAGTTCTTTTGATCAAACGGCTCAAATTCAACTCGAGTGATCGCTCTTTACAAAAATCCATTTCAAAAAAAATCTCAACTGATCGATTCCGTGGTTTTCCGCTTCCCCAGGTTTCATATCTCCTTAACAGAGATTTTGAACGAAGACTAGTCTTTAATAACAAGTTAAATTATTGTGAAAAATCCGCACGGATGATAAGTTATCAAAATGATTAAAAAAACGACAGAAAAAGGCCTTATTGGTTAAAAAAACACATGAAAGGTGAACCGCCGATCTGACCCAATAAAGAGCTTTTCCTGTTTCATCAATAACCGAGCTTTCAATATGAACTTTATTTTCAACAGAGTTTTATTCAAACTCGTCAGAACTTTCAAATAAACAACGAAAAAAATGTTTTTTTGGCATTGAAATCAAGTTTGGCTATATTTTTGTGAAAATTCAATAAACTATATCAAAAAAATAATTGCTACATTCACTGAAAAACTACTATTTTTTTCAAATTCAGAAAAAAACTGAACATGGAACTTCAATACTGAAGTTCTATCCAGCTCAAGGACGCCCGAATTTTCGGCTGCACTATAGTAGTCCATTCATCTTTGACTTGTGTGACCTTTGAAAATATCGTCAAATGGGCTGTGACGCCTGGTATTAGGATCAGCATGTAAATGATGGAAATGCAGATCAGCCTGTGTTCGGGCGGGTTCTGTTGAACACGGAAAATTCGATTTTTCACTAGAACTCAGTTTTTATGTTTGTATAATGTTTTTTATGGAAATTCAAAAATTCAGAATTTCAGTTATTTCTTAGAAGTTATCTACAAAGTCAACTATGCTTCTGAAATTTTTGTTTTCGACAATATCTGAGATTTCATTCCAAAAAAACTTATTTTTTTGTCAGTTCAGATTATTCAAAAATCAACTAATAAAAGTTGTAATTGAAAACTTTTTATCATTGGTTCTTTTTTTCTGGAAAAACCAAGCCAAAAGTCGTTTCATTCATCTTAGACAGCGATTTTTTTCTAGACAACGAACAGTTTTGTAAGATCCTTGCATCCGTCCCTTCAATCAAAGTTTCATCATAAAAATTCAAATAATCGGTTTCAGTTTTGATCTTCAAAACTAGTGCTCCTCATTTTTTGCTACATGTCTGAAAAGAAATGAGTCGCAAACTCCTTGATTTTTTTTTGGACAGATGATTAAAAAAAGTCCTATACCAAGATGTTTAAAATGTTCGATAAAGTGGATTTATTTTTGTTACGTCACTCTGAAGTTATGATGAGAGAAGATAAATTTTCGCCACATTGAAACAGAGAACTGTAAATCGTAAAAAAGAGCCGTTCAAAGAAAATTCCGTACATTCTAAAACTCTTGATTACCGTCTATTTTTTCATTTTGACTCCAGAAAAATAGGCTAATCATTTAAAAAAAAACGTTTGATATTTTTTCAAAAGCCCATTCAATCAGAATAAAGAGTAAAATTGGTTTTTTTGGAGCGACGGCTCCTCTCAAACACGGCGTCAGCGGCTGAGCCTGTTTTTGGTAGCGCCGTGGGTCACGACGTTCCGCACACGCGCCGACCTCTCGTCCTCAGGCCGTTTCCTTCTGGCGCCTGCTTTTCTTCCGAGCCAATACCAACATCGTTCTTTTTGGGAAAGCAAAGTGAGTTTTTTTTTCTTAAACTATTCAAAAATTTTGCAAGTTTTTTAATAATGTTGTTTGAAAATTTGCTGAATGAGCAACCAGGAGTCTTCGGTCATAAGATACAACTGATTGAGATCATTTTTGGTGTCGCTTTGCGTACTACCAGATCTTACGGAGAATTTTTTTCAGACTGAAATCTGCTTGTGGAAAAATATTCAACATGAGCTCAAAATCGCTTTTCTAACTTTCGACAAGCTTCTTCTCGATACTCAATTTCTCTGAAGAATTTAGAGTGAATCTGATTTTTTTTTCTCAAGGAAATAACTCCGAACTGATTCAATCTCATGCGATAGTACCATTTTCCTGAACCTTCCCCTTCAAAAATTGCCTTTACAGAAAAATATTTTGAACGCAAAGACCGCACTGCTTTCATAATAATTTCAATGGAAGTCAGTCGTGAACTTCATTGTAAAAACCAAACCAAAATCTAGAAAATAATTAAAGATTGAGATGACGAGTCATTTTTGGCTCAACCTACTGAAAGAAAAGGTTGTAGGCTTTGGCTCATTTCCAGCTAAATGGTTCCGAAAATCTTATCAGACTCATTCACACAAAAGATGGATGAAGGAATCTTGGGAAAATTCTTCCAAACAAAATTTTCAGAATTTTAGTTTTAATCAACAAATTTTCTCTTAACTAGAAAGCTTGTACGACTTCTGAATTTAAAAAATCGACACCTTAGAGACTGAGTTGATGGTACAGAGCAGCACCAACTCTGAAAGAACCTTCTTAAAAAAGGGTTGCATATGCGAGTTCAGTTTATATTTGACTTTAATAAGGTACATCTAAAAGCGTTCTGTTCAGGTATCAAAAGTTCCGAGTTGAAAGACCACCCATGTAGGGAAAATTTCTCTTCACAAATTTTTCGTAGAAATAGAAAGAAGGTGATGATCAACGTACAAAAAAGATTTTGAGACGTATCAAACCAAATTTCAGTTGCTTTTCGATAGACTTTTTCGTTTCGTTGGCCTGTATGAAAGGGCAACGAGAATTGCGGGAACTTGTATCAAAGCGTCGGCCGGCCATTTACAGCGGCCAAGACTCCTACCAGCCGGTGCTAGGTGACCGATGCGTCATATGTGCCATTTAGGACCTCGGCGACGTGAGAATACCATACGTGGCTCTGATTTTTGTGGGGACTTTCCGACAATTTTTGAAATATTTGATTCCCACAATAAAAATTAATCAATTTATCGTAAATATCATTTTATTAAACTTCAGTTTTGATAAGAAAACAGGGAGAACTTCTCACCAACAGAAATCAAGCATATTCTGAACTTTTAGCTTTCAAATAGTGTGCATACAGTGGATGAACTGAACAACTTTGGACTAATTTATTCTCTTTCAAGGTTTTTCTCATGAAATTTTGGTTTTCAACCTTTTTGGAAGAGTCAATCTATCAAGATGCAGTTCTAGATCGTATCAGTGGACCACAATTTCCTTTTTTTCCGTTTGATCAGATATGAAAACGAAGAGACCGTGAGAAAAACGTTTCTCGCGAGGTGTACTAGAAATTTCAGCGATTAAATAGGTGAAAAAGAAGTTTAATATAGCTTTTTCTTCGTTTTTATAGCTCTTGCCAGAACTTGGCTTGAGGTCGAAGGCTTCAAAGCTTTAAGTGGTAGCTTGGCATATTGGAAAGCCGAGAAATTCGGAAGCTTTGAGCAGATCTTTTCTCTTTTCTCTTTTTGAGTTGAGGGTTCACTTTCGGAATACTCTTTCTTTTAGTTTTATTCCGTTTGACATGGCTCTGAGCTTTTGTTCACATTTTTTTCAGAAGCAGTGGGAAACAAAATATTACCAAAAACCATTCAATTTCAAAAAAACCCATTTTGGTAAGGTTTTTTCCTAGTTTGAAACTATTGGCAATATTCAAGTGTATGAAAAATAGAGGACGGGAAAATTTTCCCAACTAGTTTATGGAGAAAAATAATGTAATCTCAAAATTAGTTCCTCACTGCTTTCTTTTTGGCGTAGAACTCAGAAGAGCAAAGTTTTCATTTTAGACATGCCTATCTCAAACCGATTTTTCAGTGGAATTATTAAAAACTTCATGGTAAATCTTCTATAAAATTGAAAAGAAGTTCTGAGAACTAGGAGCATGCTTCTTCGGAACGCAGACTTGCTCCCACTTTCCTCATTTTGGCATGGATAACTTCAATTGGACTATTTTTAGAATCATCAAGAAACGAAATGAAAAGAAGAAGATCTCTTTAGATTTCTGATTACAGTAATCCTATTTAAGAATCATGCAAAGTTCCGATCGGCATGCCTGATCTCCACCAGGGAAGCTTCGATTGCGGACCAGATTTCACGGCTGGCGATAGTACGTCGGCGTATTTGAAAAAGGATTGAGTTAGCGAAATTCTCGTGCCTGTGTGTCTACAAGTTTGCACTTGCTGACCACCGTGGTGATGGCGCGTGCCAGCGCACGACACTCGTCGCTCACCTGTGCGTGTGTGGACGTGAGCGCCAGCCCCCGAGGGGTCATTGTTTGCCGTTTTCGTCGGTGTTTCGTACAGTCGACTGTATGCGGTGTCAGAAGCCATCGGGAGAGGCTCTTACGGCGGTTGCCTCCACCTCTTTCACCTCCATACCACTTCCTCTTGTGACCTATCCGTGCCACTTCTAAGCTTCGTCGGAAAATGACTCTGTCTTCTCAGGACCGCCCTTTTCGAGGTTAGATTTGTCGCGCCGTGGCAGTCGTACCAATCGGCTGTCCTTGAGCGTGTGTCCTGTGGCAATAGTCAGACTGCTGTGTTTCTCTTTTGTTTCCCCTCGCTCATCCGTTGGGATCTATACAGATCTCCACTAATCCAAAATCGACTTCGTTCTCATCTCAGATTTTTGCTCTTTCCACACCTTCTCCCCAAACTTTTCGTTTTGTCCTCTCAATTATCTCGTTTATTCTTCTAATTTTCGTCAAGGAGAAAACTCAGACCAGTATAATTTTCTTCGAGTCCCTTACTTGGATCACTCTTCAAGGCTCACCGACAAAAACGATATTCAAGGGCGTTGACTGAAAATCGTTGTGAAAAAGTGTACTAAAGAGTAGAGGTCATTCTTCTATGGCATGACCAATGATTCAACGAAGAACGAATTCTTTTTTTTTGGTTCGGCGTCCTCTAGGTGGCATTTAGATATTGTGAAGACTCGGAAAATGAACTGGCAAAGGCGTGAAAGAGTTGATGAAGGTTTTTTTTGTGATCAGATGAGCTTCAAAAACTCTTTTTGCAAAAATACTTCCAAAAGTTTTGCAGATAACGTTTCTCCCAGTTAGGCTTTTTTTTTTGGTAGCCGTTCAGCTTACACAAGTTTTCAAACCTTTATCACACCGTTCAACATGATTTTTGCTGAGATCTTTAAGCTTGAAAAAGGATATCAAAAACTTCTAATTATTCTATATATATTTTTCTTTTGGCATGACCTTAAGAAAAGGAAAGAACCTTGGAAAATTTAATGACAGATAGGTTTCCGGAGAGAAATTAGATAACACTCTCCAACGGGATTTTTGTTGCGATATAAGCTTGTTTCGAACTTCAAATGATGTCACTTGGATCAGTTCCTTTGCCATATTTGCCCATCTGACCCGATCCAAAAGCATCCGGAATGGCCGTGCGGCGTCGACGTGTGTTTTTTTTCCAACTCGGTCGACATCGTCTTCAACTTTTCGGCCGTTCTTCTTATTCACTCCTACAGGCCACCAAATCGTCTTCTCCTTAATGGGCAGCCGCGGAAATCGCGGATGTTTTGAGCGGCGGCGAGAAGGAGGCGCCGCACGCTTTCGTGGCAGGCAGCCTGACCTCGTTCCCTACTGAACCAACTGCGGTCCACCACTCCCATTTTTCTCGATTGTCTATCTACAACTACTACTGTCACTTGGCGCCATTATCCACCGTAGCGAGTTTGACTGAATTCCCTTCTGAGTTTCGTTTTTGCCTTCCGCCGGCTTTTTGACCCCAATTCTCAGCCTGCCTTCTTTTCTTTTAGCTTTGGTCAGTTTCTGTCTTTTCTTGCATCCATGCTGGGATTTCTAAGTGTTCTTTTATCAGAAGTAAACCATCAAAAATTGAAGATCCGGGAGTATGGATGAAGAAGAACAGATTCATTTTCAAAGCTTGAGGACGTACTTTTCATCAGCTTTTCTGAGTCCTTCCTCTATTAGGCTGTACCGTTCAATTCTGTTTAACAGTTCGATGGCAGAAAAAGAGAAAAGTTCGGATTTTCTGATACCGAGGTGACCTGATTTTCTGATACCGTGACTTACATTACCAAAGCTCGAAAATTCCTCAAAAAACTGAGTTTTTGAAAATCAATCTTGCCGTCGGACCAAAAAAAAAACTGAAAAGCATCTGAAGAAAGTTGAGCAAGTACTTGAATTTTAAGAATTTTAAAATTTCAGTTTCGACTTTTCTAATGAGATCAACTTCGTTTCTGACCTTGGAGAGTCTTTCCTTGACGATGCCGCAAAAAATTAAGTTCATGGCACTGAGCTGACTTTTTCAATTAACAGCTCTATCTTTGAGTCAGGATTGCTGGTCCTGTTTTCCAAGCGAGGAAAAAATACGATCACGGCCGGACAATTAGTACAAAAAAGCAAACAAAAGTTTTTGGTTCAACTCCTACAGAGACGGCTCCTCCAGGTCACTGCGCTTTTCGTGCGAGCGAACACGCCAAACAATAAGTTTTTTCCTAAAAGCACTGATTACGCCGAAATAAACAGATGATAGGCGGCTGCGCGGTATCATGCCGTGTTCTGTTTTTCCACCAACTCGTCAACAATATAACCCCGTTGTCTAGGAGGTATTGGCAAAATAACTCCATGATAAGTCGTCTATGAGCACGGCTGCGTTCCTTTGGACCGACATCAGCGATAAGCCATTTTTCCCTATTCAAGCTTATTCTTGTGTGGTCCAAACCTAGCTCTCATTTTTTTGTTCCCGTCGTGATAAAGACTCTTTTTCGTTCCAAGCTTAATCCTGCAAAATAAGTTCTGGGTATACGTTTTCTGTATAGTTTTCGAGAGGAAAACTTCTGATGCCAAAAAAAGCTTGCTTTATTCATAACTGCTTTGAAATTTAGGATGATTTTCATTCATTGCAGAGCTAACTTTTTTCAGAAATTTTCTGATGAAAGCTTTTTCTGAAGAATTCTCGATGCAGACAAAAAATTACACCATTGAGAATCAGGTCATTTTATCTCTTTGATCTTGTAATCCTAAAGAAAACACAGTTTTTGGAAGATGATTTTTATTCTCAAAATTGGTTGACTCTTTCATGGCAAATTGTATCAAGAGTGATTTTTTCAAGTTCGCAAGCCTATATTTCGTGCCTTTGAAACAACCGTTATCTTTTCAGAACTAACCAGGTTTCTCAAAGAGCAGTGTAGATTTGTTTTCTGAGAAAAACTTCAGAATGGCACGTTTTCTCCGTGATATCAAAGAATGTCTACGGCATTCAGCTTCATCCGAAGCGGGATTTTGCAGAGAGTCCGACTGCAGTCATGCCTTCTGCCTGTCAAAGCTGTTATGATAGTCGTGCCTGTCTGTCACATCTCTACAAGGTTTGCGGCGGTGCACGCCATTTCAAAACTAGGGCGCCAATAGTTGAGATCCGACCTCGCGCATCTCTTCCATTTCTCGTTCGGTCGTTCACCTTCTACGCCGCCGCCGACCTCCGCTTCCCGGCACGGCCTCCATACCTCTTTCCGAATTCGGGACAAATCCAACATTGCGCATTGGGTCGTCGCTGGTTTCCATTCAGACATCTCCCACTCTCTAACAAAATTATTCAATTCATGCCTTCTGTGCATACAATCTTCACTTCCTTGTGAGAAGCAAGCAAGTCTTGAACTGATCAGTGACCTCCTTTCCGTTTCAAAGCTTGAAAAACTTCTCTATCCTTTTTAGAAAAAGATGCCTTGGCTTTTTCACTCATGCCAATAACGTTTCCTCTTGATTTATTTGAGAATTTTCGTCTTTTTTTATTCCTGCAAAGCTTCCAGATCTATATTGTCCTTTTGCTTACTGTAATTCCCCTCGGAGCAACTTTTTGCCGCACTACTTTTTCTCCAAACAAAAGAAATACCTTGTGTATGATGACCCTTTCAAGGAGTGCGTCTGCCGGCGAATTAGATGCCCCTAATAGGGTAATTTGCCATTAACTCCATCCCAATATGAGCACGGAGATTCAATGCCGTCGTTTCTAATGCCGCTCCTTTTGGGTCGAGTGGCGGATAAGTCTCTTTCCTGCACGTAATATTCCATTGTTGACACATTGAGAGGAGGTCAAACTCAGCGCACGACGTCCGTAGGTGCTTTCCCCAAGGCGTCCGCGAACACTTTTTTCTTCAATCGCCGCTGGCACTTTTTCATTGAGGTCGCGGTCGTGAATAATAGCTTCTCCCTTACTGAAAACGGTCATTTTCACTTTCTATTTCCTTTTTATTTCAAGAGACTGCAAAGAATGGAGCGTTTTTTTTTCATTTTGAGTTTTTTCAACAATTTTTGATAAAAAAAATTCAAAAATTGCTTGATTAGCATTAGAAGTTAGAAAGTCGAAGAATGCGTTTTTTAGGATCCTCATCTAAAGAACTGGTTACTGAAAGCTTGCTGTTTTCTCACAGATTGCCGACTTGCGTCTACAAGTCGAGAATAATCTTTGAACACTGTTTTCTCAACATTTTTCTGCGAGCTCGACCTCAAGTGATGAAGCGTTCTTTTTTAGCAGCTGACCGAAAAAAAAATCGAAATGAGCCAGCTGAGGTTGAGTGAGATAACAGAGAGGCTGGTAAACATGCGGTCAGCTCTCCTGTTAGATGTTCTTTGACTCATTGGCAGATTTCAGTCTTAGTTGCCAACCGAACATTGTTTTTATCATCAAAAAAGAACGCAGGACAAAGTTCGATCTCCAAATTGATTTGATGACCGCTGCAATGAGAGATTTCCCTGCATCCCTTGTTTTTTTTTCTTCTGTCCACTCGATCTTATTCACTTTTCATTTCTTGTTCCGTAGATAAAATCTAACCTTGCCATCGCTTGGGGCTCAATGATTGGAAATCAACGCGAAACTTGTTTGTGTTATCAGCCAAAATACTGAATTTCGTTGCCTGTTACTTCGTTTTTGGAGAGCGGCTGACCAGCTGGTGCCTGCCACGGTTTGTTATCAGGGGTCGTTGGCACGCGCCGCTGAGGCAATCAGCTGATCTCGAGGCTACTTCGTTCACCTCTTGCCCTTCCTCTCTGTTCACGTGTCTGGTTCTTTCCAGGTCCACGAGTTCGCTCCATCATTCGTTGAGCATCATCCATTTTTCGTTCGTATCTTCAATTTTGATCCCTATTCCTTTTTCCGTACTCAGCTGAGCCATTTGCAGAAATGTTGGGTCTGGAGAAGCCTGGATCTTCAGATCTTTCGTCCTCCTCAACTGACACGTCGGCCATCTCTCCGGTCAGCGTCAGTAGCATCCCCTCCTCTCCCGATAAGGAAAAGAAAAAGGTTTGGACACGTTTTGTTGATCTTTTCGCCGGTTTCCAATTGGTCAACGGCGGACTGTCCGTGTGCAAATTTTCTGCGCACGTTCTCATTCTACGTCACAGATATTTGCACAGCGACTCTTCGCGTGCCCCCAGGCTGATTGGCACGAATCATTCGTACTGAATTCTGTGCTTACAGGTTTCCTTCGTGAGCTACAACCCCGACATCCCGCAAATTGTGACGTCTTTCAAGGGATATCAGAAGCTTATGTTCCAAGGCTACCGTTACAACATCTACCAAGTTCGTTTGTTTGCCTCTAATCATCTTCGATAAGAAGAATCAATCTGTTTCCGGTGTGATGATAAGAAGAAACCAGCTGATTTCGTAATCTGAGAATCATTTTTCTATTTCCAGGTCGCTCCTGAAAGAAATTTCAAGTCGTGGCGGTGCGTCTGTGCAAAGAAGATGTCTGATGCTGGACAATGGTGCAAATGTCGAGCGGAAACGACGATGGACGACAAGAATGCCTGCACAAAAGGAGCCCATAATCATCCGCCAAGACATCACGTTGCCGAACTTGAGTTCATCAAGGTGAGCAATTTTTTCGTTGTTTTCGCCCTTTTTCAATCCGTTCTCAAAAGAAAAGACGATTAGTGGTATTTTGGTTTAAATTTCGTCCATTCTGGATCCTATGACGAGCACGTGAGAACAGGTGTCTGTTATCTTGGCTTTGTGCCAGTAAAACTTATTTTTCATCATGTGACAGTATATTCAGGTAGTTTAGAGTCAAAAACAGCAAAAATCATTTGCATCTGAAATCGATTTTTTGTTCAAAATTTTGTGGACTCCCATAAGATTAGAACTACTTTTCTGTGAATTCAAACTACTTTTGTTTCAAGAACTCGTGAAGAGTGAAAAGTGTTGTTCGGTGAATCAGAAGCTGGCTCAATATACCAAATCAGGAGAGAAGAACTATTAAATGTTCAAGATTTTGATCCGATGTCGATCAGAAGTTCAGAATCACTCCAAAGACTTATCAAGTTGTCCACGAATCAATTCCGTGGAGTGTACTTATTTGGAGTACTGAGATAATAGCTGAAAAAAGAGGTCAGAAGTCGGCATGGACTTGAACCAATTCTGAGTGCGGCTGAAACATGGTTGCTTCTGTGGCGCCGCCGTCGCAGTTCAAGGCCGACGTCCGCGGAATGGCACAGCGCAACAGTCACGCACCCGGGTGTCGTTAACCCACATGTTTGTCCACGGCAATGGCAAATAGATGGCGATTCGACCTCGATTTTCAAACTTCGGCCTGATCCGAAAGAGATTGTTGGACACCTCATCAATTTGACCGCGTGGGATTAGGTCATGCTATGATCGGAGAGAAAGAGATAGACCTTTTTTTGGAAGGAACGGCAAGAGAAATGAAGACACTGACTTGACTGAAAGATCTTTCGGCCTTTTCTGAAAAGGCCAAGGTGTCCTTTGCCGTCTTGAAGTTCATTTGTACTTGCGCGAAAACTTTGATCAAAGATTTTTTCAATAAAAAAAAAAATCAAGAAGTTAACGTGGTCTTTTTTAGTCCCAACTGTTCGTGACGGCGTTGGAAAATCCTGAGCTGGATGCCGGTGATTTGGTGAACCAAGCGTCTGAATACTTAAGCGACGGAGTTTGTGAGTTTGAAATATTTAGAAACTGGTTTTATTGACTTTTTTTTAGCTTTTGACAATAAGGAAAGCGTTCGAAAAAGCATAGTTCTTGCCCGATCACGAGTCGGAAAGCCAAGAAAGCCCCGAAGCAGACCGTCAAATCCCCTCAAGAGAATGCGATTTGATGCTGATGTGAGTTTGAAATCTTGCAGAACTGTTATAATTTTTGTTTATTGTAGACTGAGGACGAAGATGACTACAAAACCGTCACAAAGATCAACAAAATGGAACACGATGTGGTTAGTATAAAATCAGCATAAAGTGTTTAAACGTTTCAATGTTTAGTCATGTATTCTGCCCCTGTTCAACAACGGACTGTCAATGGTGAAAGTTGAGTCACCGTTCCGGCAGACGACGCCGGTTCATCAACAATCCAAAGCCAACGATCACAACAACCTGCTCCATGCTAACGTCTTGAACGGAATGTAAGCTTTGTTGGATTTCCGAATGGAACATTATCTAAGACTTCAAAAACTTCATTTCTTAGAATGAAAATTTGCAGGTCCAACCCTTGGATGGGACTCGACGACACGATGACTGTCCTCTGGGCGAATATGCTCAATCCGATGGGTGGCATGGACATGCTTTCGACGATCGCTGCTTTGACGAAGCAAACTTCTGCTGCCGCCGCACCGGCCGCCATGCCCGTTAACCCCCCTCAGAACAATTTGGTGAACAACCACATCCCCAAGGAGGTAAAAAACCTATTCATTTGATACGCTCAACCAGAAAAATTCAGGCAACTATAGCAACTTCTGTTTCGACCATCAAAGAGACCCTCCCTGCAATGGCCAACATCCAGACGAGCCCAGTCATTCCTGCCGCCAACCTCATGCCTACGCAACCAATCATGAAGGATAGCAGCTGTCAAACCGCCGAGGTATAATTTTTAAACACTAGTACAAAGGGCGGTCGTTCTGTTAAGTGCAGAATGAAGATTCACGTGATTTCTCTTCAGTTCAACTGATCTGAAAAAGCCCTTTATTTGAGCTCATTGGTCTGGAAAAAAAGAAAAAAAAATGGATTTACAGGAGATTCGCGTGTCACAGTGCTTGACTTCTGGCTGCGGCTGCCGAGTAGTTCGAGTTTGTTGCTGCGAGGAAGGCATCTGCAGAAACCGGCGTACTGCTGCTTGTTGATCAGTTTTCCAACTCTTACTTTCTCGGCAACGTTACTAGTCATACTAACCGAGTTCCCAAGCATCCCATTTCCCCTCCAGATATCTCAGATTTTCTTTGTACTTATTTATCTATTTATTTATTTATTAGCATCCTTTATGAACCTCAAGTAAACCCACAAAACTAGCTCTTACTCCATCGATACATGTAGCCTTATACCATTGAAATTGTTGTGATATTCTCATTAGTCTTACAAATTCGCTTATTGCGGTGCAATTTTATCCCTGAAAATTTACTCGAAAAAACCGGTAGATGCCGCCTTTGTAGGTAGGTGCTTTCAACCATCGATGAATTTGTTTCACGTCATCTTTTGCATATTGCTGGTCGGTTTTACTGCTCCCTTTAATATATTTTTTTCTTCAGACGCTTCCGAAAGCTTTATAGTCAATCCTGAATGAATTGTACACTTGATGATACAAATTGGGCATAACTATCCTCTTAAGAAATCTTTCACTTTTGAGCGGGTTCTGGTGATTGTGCGTCGTTTTCGATGTGGTTTTTTGGAAATTCTTCTTGTTGGTTACTTTAGTTATGTTGTAATAATGTAATAATTACAAGATTGTTCTCATTTGTTTCTTTTTTTGTGCAATCCCTCACTCCTCCAAAAAGCGGTCTGAAAGTGATCTTTTACGTGCGTTTCAAAATGGCTGGTTCGCTGCAATTGTGATGTCCAAATAGTCACGTGTTTGGCTGAAGCATCCCTCATACTGTATTATTCAAAAACTCGCAATTTATCTGTATTTTTTGTTCGGTGAAGGTTCCTCAGGATTCGTTCAAAACTATTGTCTTTCATTTAGTTCATTTTACGCCAAAACCCACCCCCGAGGCACCTCCACTACCAAAACGCAATATGTTGATTGGTGTCATTAGTGATTCTGAATCAGAAAAATGTGATAATCGTTTGTTTGGTTAAGTATAATTCAAAAATATACAATAATCAATGAAAAATAAAAAAATTTATTTGAAAATTATGTTGAACAAAACAACAAAATAAAAGAAACGCAAAGTATGAGAGTGAAAAATAAGTTTCTTTCTCATCAAAGATTAGCTTTTGAACCAAGTTTGGTCAGAAACTGAAGGAAAACAAAAAATGATAAAAAGCATTTTGTCCTTTTATTCGTTAGTTAACAATCAGAAATAGTCTTATCCTCATTTCATCAAGATTTTTTGAAGAAACGCTCATCAATATGTCCGAAAGGGATCGATTCGAAAATAAACGCGCAGCTTTTCTCCGTTTTTCTCACGTTCAATTGATAATCAATTGTCGATCAACTGTTCGGAGGTTCAGCAGCTGACACATTGACCGGAATCAACTTCAGCTTTGCTCTCCTTTCCAACTGTTCCCTTCGTGCGTCTTCCTTCTGACTTTGCAAAGTTTGCGACCAAGTTACTCGCGACATTTTTTCTATGTCAAACATCAACAATAGATTGGAAAACAAAAACTAAAATGGAGCGATCGGTATTGATTTTTCATAACTTGCCGTCGGATGAAAGTGGCGCTTGCGGTCATTTTTATTTGGGTCGGGCCGTTTGACCTGACTAAAGTCTCCTAGTTTTCAATTTCCCGTTGAATCTACAGTCTCGCATGTTTTGTAGAAAAAAACTCAAATCGCAAAGAGCTTGATTCACACAAAAAGATTGCACGTTTTTTCGATTTCCTATTTTGAAAAATTGAAAAAAAGTTTTAGGATCATTTAAGCTTGATAAAAAAACGTTCATTTTTTTCAGAACCAAAAAAACAACTGAAAAAGGCACAGAGCTATTCAATCTGATTACTTTTGTCAAAAAAAGTTTTAGCAAAAAAAGATTTGTCAAAAAAAGTTTTAGCACCACAGAAGTAATCAGATTGAATAGCTCTGTGCCTTTTCAGTTGTTTTTTCTACCTAAAAAGCAACTATGATTTAATAAAATGACTTTACGGTTTCACTCATGAGGGCTTATTATGACTTTTACTCGAACAATAAACTATAAACTTTGTATGTCTGTTTTTTTCCTCTTCTATTTCTTTTATGGGAAAGCAAAACTCAATTAAAAACCTTGAAATCAAAGCCGATTTGAAAAATCTATTTTTCGTTCCACCTTTCTGAACCTCAAACCACGCAATTCCTTGCTGTCAAAAACTTTTTTTTTCCTTTGTCGCTGCACGCAAAAAAATGGAAAAAAAGCGATTTTTCGAACCATCTCAAGTTTTATCACATTTTTTTCATAGTTATTTTTTTCTTTTCGAAAAAAACCATTCTCTCTATATTATTCTTTGGATGAATAACCAACAATAGACCAAAAAAATCCTCAATTTTTTTGCCTTGGTCCTCACTAGGAAGGTCATCTTATTTTACAGTAAGGAATTTCTTTGAAATTGGTCATCCTTGATATATCGAAAAAAATTTTCCCTGTTCAATTTTGAAGTTTTTATAAGAAAGGATATCTCAAAGTTGAAGGAAACCCTCGATATTTTTTTTTGGACTCAGTCTCCAATTTTGCTACCTTCAAGAGAGCTTCGTTAACCAAATGAGTCTTAGCAACCGGGCCATGAATCTCTCCGTCTCTTCGCTACTTTCAAACCCGGCAGTTTTCATGTTTTCATCTTGGTTCTTTTCAAATAGCGACCTCCAAAAGGACGTTTTTTGTCCCAATTTTCCAATATTGAAGCAACATCAGAATGAGGCATAGCTTTAATTAAAAACTTTCCTACTTCTTTTTACTTCCGTTGTGAAAAAAACTCTCTACTAAAAAAACCCATGTTTTCAAATCATTTTTGCAAAATTTTCCAAATTCAAGCTCACTTTATCCATACGATTCGGAGTGGCCTTCAATATATATTTCTACATTTTTTTTTCTCAACTCCCTCGTTTTCCGAAATCATGATAGTACTGTTATTCAAAGATAAAAACAAACATCAAGTTTCACGACGCGAGATGACTCGGTAACGCATGAGATCAAACAAACGGCTCATCTCACGAACACCTATAAAACACGCACAGAAAGCCTTTCCCAAGCACGAAGCCATTTTTGCAAAATTTTTAAAGCCTCAAAGCCCAGCAAAAAGTAAATAGAATATGTTTTCGAACATCATGCTCTTGTGTGTCTTGATCTCTATCTCCCCATTTTGTTGATCCGCGGTATGCCCAAGTTTCGTTGTATACATATTTTCCGTCAAAGTGATTTTTGAAAACCAGTCCTTCAGACAAATGCGATGGGAACTTCTTTTGCTGCTCGTTTCTTCTTCTTTTGCGTGGTTTTACGGTCGAGATGAACCTGACAGGTGGAGCGTTGGAGGAGTGGGTTAATTCAGTATTTTCCATGTTTGAGAACGTTTTCAGGTGTGGCCCCTACCTCACAAAATTGTTTATGGGAAGAAAAACCGCACTCTCAGCTTTGACAAGATTGGAGTAGATTTGGCTGAGAAAAAAGATTGCGATGTTTTACTCGCGATGGCTGAAAATTACAGTAAATTTTAAAGAGGGATTTCAAAATTGGTTTTGTTTCAGTGAACAAATGGCTCTTTCCATTTCCTGTCATCGATAAGTATGAATCCGAAGACTTCATTATCACTGTTGTTGTAAAAAGAGATTGTCCCACCGGTCCTCCGGATCAAGAATCAAGCGAAGAATGTAGGTTTTGAGCTACATTGTTGAAAATAATGAATATATAAAAGTTTGAAATTTCTAGACTTGCTCCGCGTCTCCATGAACGATGCTATCATCAATGCTGAAACCGTTTGGGGAGCTCTGAGAGCGATGGAAACCTTCAGTCAGTTGATCTTCTACGATGAACGCTTGAAAAAGGTGACAAATTTTCTTATCTCATACGGTATACCAAAATGGCTACACGAATAACGACGATCAAACCTTTTTTACACATCAACTAACCTGAAACTTAAAGAAACTGTGAATTTTCAAGGCTAGGCGCTAAGTTTCAAGTAAGCATTGTGTAGAATCGGAAATGAAAAGCGAATATTTTTTTGTGATCTAGTCTACCTTTGGTCTTCAAGGTCGAAGGTATTTCATTAAAAGCCTTCGAAGAGATTCTGTCAAAGTTCTGGGAAAGACAAACCTTACTCAACTGTTTAGTACCAAGTGAGAACAGCAGAAATATACGACAAGCCACGTTTCCCCGTCCGAGGAGTCATGGTCGACTCTAGTAGACATTTTCTCTCTGTCGCAGTTTTGAAACGCCAGCTTGTGAGTTTTCTGCTGCAAACTGCTGGAAGTTGAGCCAATTTCCAGGACATCATGGCTATGAACAAGTTGAACGTGATGCACTGGCATCTGGTGGACAGTGAAGCTTTTCCCTACACTTCCTTGAAGTTCCCAGAGCTCCATGGAGTTGTGAGTAGACAAAAAGAACTATCACAGAAAGACATTTTTAAGGGAGCATATTCTCCGAAACACGTTTATTCGAGGAAAGACTTGGCAGAAGTCATTAATCATGCAAGGTTGCGCGGTATTCGAGTTATCCCAGAATTCGATCTGCCAGGTGGGGTTGCTTTTGAACGTTGTTCAAGTTCAAGAAAAAGTTGTCAACTGCAGGACATACTTCTTCTTGGAGAGGCCGGAAAGGGTTCCTAACCGAGTGTTATGATGATAATGGAAAACCAACGTATCCAAACCTCATTGACCCGATCAACCAGAAAAACTTTGACTTTCTCGCTGTTTGTTCCATTTTCAGTGAAAATTCTGAAAGATATATCCAGGAGTTCCTCGAAGAAGTAACAGAAACTTTCCCGGATAAATATTTGCACTTGGGCGGCGATGAAGTCGCGGATTTCTTGTTGGAATGCTGGTTCTACTTATTTTTTTTCCTCTTTGAAATAATCCAACTTCAGGGTTCGAAACAAGAAGATCCAGAAGTTCATGCAAGATAAAGGCTTCGGTAATGCTACCATTCTTCTTGAAAACTATTTCTTCGAGAAGTGCGTTTTTAAATTATTCTGTTATTTGATATGATGCTTTAGGCTATACAAAAATCATTGACGAACTGAGATCAAAAAGAAAGCCGATATTTTGGCAAGAAGTATTCGATAATAACATTCCAGTGAGTATTAAGAAAAATAAAAATATGGTTGGTATTGATTTTTTAGCATCCTGAAGCAACTATTCATGTTTGGAAAGGAAACACCCACGAAGAAATTTTGGATCAAGTTAGGAATGTGACGAAGAAAAACTACCCTGTGATTGTATCGGCATGCTGGTATAAATTTTTTCATGTGCCGTTTCCTAAAAGATCTTAGGTATTTGAACTACATAAAGTACGGCGCTGATTGGCGTGATGAAATCGCAGGGACAGTTCCGTCAAATTCGAGGTAACTGACAAGAAAAAACCTCTGAAAGAAGTTTTTAAGATATTATTACTGTGATCCAGCGAATTTCACTGGCACTCCCGAGCAAAAGGCTCTGGTTCTGGGAGGAATCGTCGCGCTGTGGGGAGAGTTCGTGGATAACACTAATATTGAAGCCAGACTTTGGTGGGTTTTTAAGCAAAGAATCTTATCAGGTTTTGAATTTCTTTTCTTTAAAAAATTGAAAAAGAAAAGATAAAAAACGCGATTTTGGTCACAACTTTCTCGCAAAGAATTCAATCTTCATGAACGTTTCTGAATTTGCGTTTTTTTTGTGAGCTGAAACTCCATCAGAGTGTTAAAAATGACAGTTATTACAGCTTCAGAAAGTTTTAGAAAGATTGAAATCCTTACAAGAAAGTTGTGACAAGATGCGCGTTTTTTCGAATCTTTTTTGACGGTACTGTACATCAAAATAATTGCTCAAAAATAAAAAAAATGTTGCTTTTGAATTATTTTTAGGCATTTATTTCAACTCCTAGAGGAGAATGATTGAAAAATACAAATCTCAGAAAAATCTTAACGAAATTTATATCTACTCATTTTTTTATTCCTTGTTCTTTCTGTTCGTGTGAATGGAGCAACAAAAACTTTTCAAATTGTAACTTCAGTAACAAGATATTGAAACCATGGGTTAGAAAGAAATTGAACCGGAAAAACTTTCTAATCCGGCGGAAAAAAACGCCCACCCTTTCGCTTTTGTGCAAGACTTGAAGAATTCCAGAGCATACTGAGCTTTCTTTTGATATCTTTTATCAAGGCCTCGAGCATCGGCGGTGGCGGAGCGGCTCTGGTCTCCCGCTGAGAAGACCGTCCGAGCAGAGGACGCTTGGCCGCGTCTCCACGAATTCCGCTGTCGGCTGGTCGCACGAGGATACCGCATCCAGCCAACGAACAATCCCGACTTCTGTCCTTTTGAATTTGAAGAAGTACCTGTTTAGTGGACTTCAGATCTTTACTATCACTATCTTTTTTTTATCATTCATTGTTGTACAAACCAACTGTTTTTAGAATCTGAAATTTGAAGACATGTTCTGTAAATACTGGTTTCAAGGTGAATTTGTTGTTTTTGAATTTTGTTCCACGACATTTTTTAGTTTTTATTTTACTAGCCAAAAAATTCTCATTTAATGGCGAAATTTATAATAAATGATTTTTTACGTTTCCTTTTTGGAAAAATTTATGCTTTTTTTGGTCAAGTTGAGGTGATTTTTGTGAATAAAATTTAATTTTTAACGTTTTATTTGTTCATGGATGTTGAAACAAACTGATGCGCTTGAAGATATGTAACTTTATATGAAACGGAAATCTTTATTTTTTTCTGCTAATTTGAACGATAAAATGACTTGAGTATTGATGAAAATTTTTGAAACAAAAATAACCAATTATTGCAAAGCGTATTGAGCCGCTTTTTTTTGACTAGCTACTTTTGCCTTTCTTTTTTTCATACCTTTCTAAACTTAACAGTGCCTAGCTTTCACGGAGAATTGAAAAAAAGAGGCTTTCTGGTTTTTTTTCATGTTATAAAGACTTTAACAATCATTGAAGTTTGAAATCTTCATCATTTTCAATCGATTCCGACAGTCTCTTCTCGCTGTTCCATAATATCATTATTCCACCGATTTCATCTGGCTGAACGGAGTATTTGAGGCCAATCAGCGCACATGTTACGATGACGATTCATACAATAGTGGTTTGCCCATTGTCTTGTCAAGACTTTGCACGAATCGTGAATCAATATTAATTACCGTTTAATAGGATTTTTAAGGGGACTGTGCCAGGTTTGGATCGCTAAAAAAATTCTTGAAAAAAACTAGGGGTTATTTTTGGTAAATTTTGTTTTTTTATAAACTTTTTCTTCTTATAATTTTTCAATGAAACAAACACGTTTTTACATAAGAATTTTTATCTAGACATCTGAAAAGTGCACTGCGCTCAATAAGATTAAGACCCCAATCGATTTTGGACTTTCTAGCAAAATGTGGAGAGATATTGAAAATTTGTGAGTTCCATTCGACTCAGAGCGCTAAATGACCCCTAGAGCCAAACTTTCATCATCCTTTGCAAAAAAACTCTGAAATTAAAAAGTGCAAAGTAAGAGGACTCTCCTTGAAGTTCGTTTCAACTGACAAGAGAGGACGTTTTATTTTGTGTTGTCATCACCCTAAAAAATCTCCAAAACATTTTAGGATGGACCAAAGAAGATTCTGAAAGTCTCAAAGGGCACAACTTCCAAGTTTTCCAGAAAAAAGTCGAAGAAACCCTTAAAGTCCTTCAAAGTTGGCTGTTTTTAGACGTTGAGGGTCCTTTCTCAGAAACTAGGAAGTTTTTAGGTCAATAACTTCTGAACTTCTTTTTAATTCATTAAGAAGCTCTATGGCCGTTTCTCAGGAAATTCGCAATCGTAGTTAAATAAACTTCCTTCTGAGATTATTTCACTTTTCATCAAAAGAATCATAAAAAATTCCTATTGCGGTGAATAAAAAATCTATGGAAGGTTTCTATAAAAAAAAAGCTGGGGAAGCAGAATGAAGCCACGGGTGCAATCTAACAAACTACCACTGTCTCAGCATTTCTAACAAACCAGAACGGTTGGAAAAAAGGTTTCTTCAGTGCTTTTTGACCAGAAACATAATTGCTGTTGCACAGATTGCCACAAAGAGGCTGTTGCGTGAGCAGGTAAAAGGTCAGCAGTTCATGGTCGGGCAACAGAAATCAGCAGCAATTATCACCTTACAGCTGCGGAAGACCTGTGCACAAAGAGACTGCGTTGCGCAAGCGGCGGTTGCGGCGAAGAGTCAAAGGGTCGGAGCCGGTGGCTGGCAGGTGCGAGTCCACTCCGCCGCACACATCTGCGAATTCCCGAACTGCTCTTCTCCGTAACCAGCCACCAATTAACTTTGTCGTATGGTGGGAATCAAACGGAGAATACGCGGAAAGTTAATCTGGACACTACAAAAACATAAAAATGAGGAAATTGATGAAAAGAGCAAGAAATTACAATTGGAACAGTTGACCCAAAAAGATTGAAAAATTTTTTTTGATCGGATTTAATTTTTTTATTCACCTCATTTTTTTGTCATCTGCTATTTTTTTCCATTTTTTTCAAAGAGGATATTCTCTTGTGAATAAAAATAAATCATCGTAAAAATCTGATGAAGAAGGTTTTTTTGCTGTTCTGACTGACTTTGGTTAGGTTCAAGTTTGACGTATGAAATTTATGAAATTTGTTTCATAAAAAAATATTAATAATAAAAAAATATTACTTCATTTGAATGCTTTCTAAAAACCGCTATATTTTTTTGAAAAAAATGATCACTAGCTAATTCTGGTTTATTTTTTTATGTGGGCGGGTAAATTTAATATTCTTCTAGCTGAATAACATCAACTTTCCTTCTATAATTAGTAAAAACTATCCGTTTATCAACCGTCAAAAATTTAACTCGAAAATTTCTCTCAACCTCGAACCGTAATTTTTCCATTTCACCACAAACAACTTTGAACCAACCGAAATCTTTCTTCGAGAAGACCTTACGCGCGAGAAGTTTGTGGGCTATCTTGATGAAGCCATATCTTGCATCTACCTTTGTTTGAGACGCGTGCCCCGCACGCGACATCAACCCATCCATCCATTAAATTTTTTTCCCTCATTTCAAGATTTTTCTTATCTACTTCGTTACCCACCGGCACCGTTTTTTGCTGAACGAGATGCGTTGAAAACAACGGCCATTAACGGTTCGGAACGTGCTTGTACATTTTTTTTTTCTCAGTTTCACTTTCTTTTGCTTATTGCTTCAAAGCATTTGAAAAACTCTTGTGACTTCGAATTTGGATTTGAAAACTGAAGTTTAATGCAGATAGAAGTGAACAATTTTTTGCCTGCTTAAAAAGTTATGAAAGAACTCAAGAATTTGAGTGTACTTTAAAAAAATAGGGCCTTTAATAGTGCTTGAAAAAAAATCGCTTTTCTTGAATGATGAGAAAACAGGGTTTCGTTCAGAGTGACCCCCAATTTTCCGAGACCTGAACTACAATCTTGATGAAAAAAGGAGAAACAGGAACATGATGCTTTGAAAAACCAAAAATATTTTGATTAAACTCTCCTGAAGTTATGAAATTATGAAATCCCATTGATACCTCGCCAAGAAGAAGTGAATTTTGCTTACTTCTTTGAAAATGTTCCGCAAAAAATTTCTTTGATTCTTTATATACCAATATTTCAAGCAGTGTGCTGGAAAAAACTTTCCCTTATTCTAAAAAGCTATTTTTTTCCGTTTACAAAACCAAATCATAAAAATAATGAAAATTTATTATCAATGATGCAATATAAAACAATATGAATCAGTAGCAAAATACCCATAAAAGTTTGAAAGAAAAGTGTAGTTCTGGCACTTCAGCAATGGGGCTCCGGTTTGAAGACGCATTTCGAAGATTTTTTGGTCTGTTCTGTGGGCTGGTCTTTCAAGATTCCAGCTAGACATTCGATGTATTTCTGTGCCAATTGTAGGGTTTCAAATTTGGACAGCTTCTTGCCCGTGTCGAGCACTGGTAGGACCGTTCGTAACTGAAAAAAAGCCTTATTGAAAAAGTTATATGCGATATATTTCAAAAAGAAAAGGTTTGAAACGGTGAGAAGGACAGGTAGAGCACTCATAATTCAAAAACGTCATATATCGGAGGACAAGATTGTCGCGTGAAGCGCAACGAGGTTCACGGGGGATAACATCTGTTAGCAGACACTCGCTCCGGCCTTGGAGGCATGCCAGCTACCGTATCCACGTTTCAAACAGTTTTTTCAAACCTAATCGAATTTCTGGAGTTCTTGAAGATACCTTATCATAAGCGACGTTCAACGTGTTCATTCTTTTCCTCTCCCGTTCATTGGCAGCACTTCGTCTTCTTCGCAAAAGTTGAGGTGAAGGAGTTTTGTAGCGACGGTTTTTCTTCTTGTCGAGGTTGGCGTCGCCGAGGCTGGAACCAATGAATGAATAAGTTGGAGTGAATTTTATTGAGAATTTGAGCTAGAAGGTCACAAAAGATGTTATGAAAGATTCAGGAGTTGATTTAGGGCAGTTACCATTTTTTTGAAGCTTTATCTTTTTATTCCACTTTTTGACTTGAGTGAAAAAAGATTGAAAATGAGAAGAAGCTTTTTTTGTTTTTTTAGGTTCAAATTAAATCTTGAAAATCCTCATTTCAATCAGAAAGTTTTTTCTGGTTTGAAATCAAAAATCTCATGTTTTTTTCGAAAAATTTTGCTGATAAAAGTTATTTTTCTCAAGACTATAAGTTTGAAGACTTTTTTTCTTTTTCTAAAATTCAAGAAATATGAGATAAAAATAAACTCCATTCTGAAGGAAAAAAAAGAAAAAATTTCGACTTTTCATAATATCACACTTCAAAAAATCATACCTGAACCCGGGTGGAAAGTTCGGACTTTGCATTGGAGTCGACATTGCGGAGAGGCTGAGAGAGCTCTCCGAGCAAGGAAAAGAGTGAGAGCCCGTGGGCATGTAGATCTGGTAAGGGTTGAATCCTTCGGTCCAATCCATTTTGATGAGCTCGGTTGCAGGTGTTTTGAATACACGAGTAGTTGAGGAAGGCTAAGGATGACTCGAAGACGATCCTCAGTGTATCTCCGCCCATCGCATTACCGCCACGCCTTTTTGCCGCCTCTCAAACCTTCCTCGCTCCTTGGGTTACTGTACAAAGGGGTAGAGGGGGAAGAGTCTGAAGTAGAAACGTTGAGATTTTCGAAAATAGTTTGAAGGAATTTTTTTTTTATTCGGTTTTTTTGGTTTCTGACGAGAGAGGTAACTTTACTTGAAAGTTCTGAATCTGCTATGAATTTTTTCAATTGAATTTTTGAGGTCTCCTGTTGGCTAGCTTAGCCAATCAATTAAGAATGACAATAGACAGTTTCAAGCACATTATTTGTTGAAAGCAGTTTTAAAAATCTCATTTCTAAACCCAGAATATGGAGCAGATAGTGCTTGTGAAAGATGCTTCTAATAGTTTTTGAAGCATTTAAATGTCAACAGTTCACACGAGAGCTACAGTCAACGTAGTAACTTTTTTTCATTGACTATTGATTTTTTTGTAATAAAGTCAGTTTTTTTATCTTCATCAGAAAAAAATCAGATCGATTCAGAATACGAAAAATTTTTCATTATAATTATTTTTTTCATTTCCGAAACTGATTTTTGGCGGTTGATTTTAGTTTCTTCAGAGTAACTTCTCCATTATTACAACAAACAAATATTATCGGAGTTTTCTATTGCTTAGTTGATCCTGTGGTAATCACTTTTTTTCAAACTGAACGCCTTTTTGATGAAATACAAAAAAATCTTCTCTTTTTTTCAATTCTTTCTAAAAAAAAAACTGACAGCTTCGTCCATTCATTCCTTCAAGAAAAAGAGCTGTTATTGTTGAATGAAAGGTCGAGTGATTGAACTCTTATCTGATCAACGACAGCCATATTCATTCACAGCTTGCGTCATTCATCAGGTTTCCAACACCGTTTACGCATAATTGCCTGGCCCAGGCAGTTCTTCGGTGTCCCCTCCCGCTGACTTACCTGCGTAATCCATTACCGGCTCCGTGTTAGAAAACAAAACTTAATTGGGCTGTTCCGTGCTGCGACAATTGTTTGGTAACAAGATTAGGAATTCATATGGCGTACTGTTTTGCGGTGGGATCCGTAGTTATTTTATTAAATTATGGGAGAAACCAGGCTCATTGAACCTACTTTGTTTTGAAAATGGAATCTTTCTGTTAGAAAGCAATTGATGCGGTAATGTACACTAACGAGAAACTTTAAAAAAGGTTTGAGAAAAAAATATTCTTCCTTCTTGTAAAAAAACACCTGTTAGAGAGATTTCAACCTTAAAAAAAGTGTTCTTTTTTTATAAAAAAATTGTTACAGTAGATCAGAAAAGAGATAATTTCATGAGATTATGTTCTGCGCATGAGGAATTCATCATCGTAATGAGATTACTCTCTAAACTGTATAACAAAGAAACTTATATTTTTTATGTTCAAAACGTCTTTGCATGAAGTTCATTCTTCCGGAAACTCTCTGAATTTTCCACCAGAGGGTTAAAAATAATAGCCTTCACCACTCTTTTCTTTCAGAAAGAAAAATTTTCATACAAGATCGTTTTGGTCAAAAAATGTTTTTTGTATCTTTTGTGACGATACTGTATATAAAAAACCGTTTTTTGGTTCACAGAGTAGTTCAAAATCAGCTGACGCGTTCAAAGAATTTTCATAAAATGAACCACTTCACTCAATTAGTTCGTGAATAGTTCCACATCACTGAATTTATCACATCTTCTTGAGCTGGAAGTTTTCTTTGTACCGTAGAAACACCTCGCCGTTCACGGTTAGAGTTCTGAAGAAAACCAATCCAGATCGAGAGGCGTAGTCTAGAATTAGCCAAGACGCCGACTAACTTCCTATTAAAGCGCTGCTGTCGCTGAGGACAGACGCGTGCCTGTAATTATCAACTCCGTCAAAGCAAGCCGCTGAACCCAAGTTTAGCAACGACTTAATGACACTCCTCAACTGTAAAACTCAACATCAGAAAATCTTCCTACAAGTATAATATTTATTCATTTCAATTTGGGTACGCACATCGGTAGGGTCGAAGTGAAAATTGGCTAGCGAAGCAAGAACTAGAAATCGATGACAAAATATGAGAATAGAAATTTGTATTTTACAATTGCAATGGTCGTATGAAGTATAATATGTAAGGGAATTGGAATGTTCATTCGAAAAAATAAGTGACGAGATAGTGACTATTTCTACACACGAAGCTCGATAGTCTTATTTAACAGGCACGGCTTCTCCATTCTGAGCTTCTGAGTCGAGCTGCTTTCCGAGGTACTCCCAGTTGTGGACCATGAGTTTTTGAACGGCGAGAAGGGCGTGGTAGCGGACGTTCGGGTCATCGGCGGTCAGAAGTCGCATAACGGCCTGCTTGCCTTGGAACTGCTCAATCACCCTGAAAATTCGAGTTTCGTAGAAAAAAAATAGCTCAGTTTTTTGAAAACTCCAACCGTTTGACGAAATTGCTGAATCGTACGTTGTTTAAAGTATTCTTTTAATAGTGTCGTGTTGTTAAAAATTGAGGACAGATAACAAAAAAAAGCTCAATTTGTTTTTTGGGTCATTACTTAAGTTATTTTCATTATATTTATTATTCAAGAGTTAGGGAAATCGTTTGTGAAACAATTTATTGTAAGAATTCCCAAACTCCATGGGAAAATTAGAAAACAGGTATTTGTGAAGCGGAGACTTTAGTCGCATCATAGTGTCATTCAACACGACATAGTGCGAAAAAAAAAAATGATTTCCCTATTTTTGAGGAATGCCGAGAAATCTTGTCTTCATGAAATTAAGCAAGATTTTCTCGTATGAACTAGTCGCGAAACTGAGACATTTTAGAATATTTTCGCCATCTTTATAATTAAAATTCCGGGTACCCGTCAACTCGTTGGGGTTGACTCTTTCCCCTGTATTGTTATTTCTCTGCCTATTCCTTCACTTGATCATCTATTCTTCAATTATTTTTTTTTATGTTAAATAATGGCAGTGAATAAACTATCTATATAAAAATTCTAATTATTACTCAAAACTGTTTTTTTATTTAGTGAAGGTGTATGTGATTATAAGAGCAAAAATATTTCCCAGGATTCAAGGAAAAACTGAGAAAAATTGAATGGGAGCTATGTTTGGCTCAATTCCAAAGATTAAAACTTTGACTGAGTTGAACAACGGTTTCCTCGCGATTCTTCCAATTTTACTTATTTTTCCGAAAAAAAAAATAATTCTCACGTCTTTCCACGCGGATAGTGACGGACATATTCACCAATATCGTGCGATGCGACACAAAGGATCAACGGATCGTTGCTGGTTTCCAAAAGTCGAATGAGGATCCTGATTGATTCAATTGAAGATCATTCAGCTTAGCATCAATAATCCTACTTGACAACTTCGAACTGCTTGTCGTTGAACTTGGGAGCATTTTCGCGCCAGAACTTGTCCGACTTGTGAACTGGAGACCATGTAAGACGACCAGATCGCACCTGAGTAAAGTGAGTTTTGAATTTTTCTTTTCGAAAATTTTTCAAACCGAGTTCGGATTGTACAAACATGTAAGTATGGAAAAGGTAATAATAATAAAAAAACCAACCAAATGTTATTTTTTTGTCGCAAAATTTTTTTTTATTTTCTAACAATGAATCTTTTTCCAGAAGAAAAATTTCTCAAACGCTCCTTGATTATTTTTTCTCCATTTTTTTATACTCCTTATGAAACGTTTAAAAAAAATTGATACCTACCTCACTATAATACTCATCATACGAGCTCAAATCGTGCACGGAAAGAGTCAATTCATCACTGAGGAACTTGACATCCTCCTGAAATATCCTTTTGAAAAAACCGAGCACATGACGAAGACAAACCTCAAGATCAGGATCATCGTACTTCTTGGCATCCATCAGTTCCAGAGTCTTCAACGTCTTGCACTGGACCATTTGAAGAGCCGCCTCGCGTTTCACTTCGCGATCTTCGACTTTGTTCAGGATATTGGCAAAAGTGGCGAAGATGATGCGGATGACCTGAAGTGAAAAGTTTTTTGTGTTTCACGTAAAAAACACACCTTTTCCTTGGTCGACTCAGAGAGGACATCACCGAGAGCTTGGATCAGTCCAACGGTAGGAGCCATGCGAGCGATTTCCGTATTGAAAGTCAAGCACCAAACAGCGAAGATAAGCTGGTATTGGAGTTGGAAGTTGATACGGCTGTTGAGAGCAGAAACGAGGGCTTGAATGCCTTCCTCTTCCACGAAGGTCTTTCTGAAAATGTTTACAATTCTAACGATTCACAAGCTCAAAAAGTGTCTGAAACAATATGACATTTTCAAATCAGTTCATGATATCTACATTTAAAACAAATGTATCGTAATATATCTTAACTGAATATCAATTAATGAACCGGATCTAAAAAGCTTGAAAATGAAACAAAAATTTGCTGAAATCCAGTTTGTCCAGACGATCTCTTCCCGCTAATTCTTTCAGAAAATAATTCACCTGTAGTTGTCGTAACGCAACATCATCTGAAGGCAGCGAGCAGTTGTGTTCATGTATTCGTTCGTCTGAAAACCCCGAAATTTAATAAATTCAGAATAAAACTCTAACCGGCGTCACTTTGAGCTGGCTTTTCAAGAAGTTGTAATACTCAGTGAGCTGTTCTCCATGCAAGGTGCTGCTGCCAAAGCAGGCCAGTTTAGCGATAACCAAACTCATCTTAATATTAAAAGTTCAAATTGAAAGCAAAAAAAGTTACGAACCTGATTAATGATGAAATTATCGCCGCGCTGGAGCACTGGCAAAAACCACGTATAAACTGTCGTCTTTTCTTTCTTTGCGACGGAATGGAACAAATCAGCGCGAGCCTTGTCTTCCTACAAAAATGTTTAAAATAAAACTACTGGCTCAAAAAAACCTGGAGCAAATCATCCAGAATCGTAAGGACATAGCGGACGTTCTGTTCCTTGGCAACTTGCGTGATCAAGCTGACGAAGGTGTTAACAGCCTGATTGGCGACGCCGCTTTGAGCCAACATCGCATCACGCTCTTCTTTGGTCTAAAAAAATGACCATTGTAAACACGACAAAAAAAATTAAATAACTTTAAAAAATCGAATTCTCTTTGAATCACAATAAAATCAAAAAGGAAAAAAACCTTCGTGGCTTCGTACGCCGTGATAAAGTTGTAATCTTCTTGCTTAATCATTTGCGACCGCAAGTAAGACCCCCAGTTTGGTTTGTTGGCCCGCACCTTTGAAAAAACTCGATTAAAAACGTTTCATCAACAATAAAAACATCATTCGCTTCCAGCTGAAGACGCGAAGTCGCGTTGATCATATCCATCGTCGGGATGTGCGGGAGCTCGGTCATCCTAGACAAAAATATTATTAAGCCAATCAATAAAACACGTTTTGATAGAACTAAAAGCTTAAAGTTATCGAAATCCACGAGGAAATGTAAATTCGTGGAAAAAAAAACAGAGAAATGGAAGAGGGCGCGAGACCAGCACAATGAACCAACAATCACTGGCCGACATTGTTCGCGTTGGGACCAATTCTTTTTCGCGGGGAGGCCGCAAACACCGTGGCGCTACTTTGCATTCTGAAAACTTTAGAAATTCAAATTTCATGGTTTCATATTGACTCTACAGAAACAGGAAGGTTAAAAGTAAAGATAGAAGTTCTAGATTTATAAACTGCATTTCTTCAACAAGGAATTTAATATAACATTTATCAAACTGAACAGATTTAAAATAATTTTTTTTTTTAGATCGAAGTCTTTAACAGAGCGCGATTACACCAGTTCAAGATCGTAAGTCAGCGCATCAAATATTTGTCAATGTACAATATTTTTTGTTTTCATTGGAGATGACTAAACTCAAAAAAAGTTTGTCATTGATATCCGGCTAGATCCATAACCAACATTAAAAGCCGAAACAGTTTTGCTTTATTTATAAATTTGATTTTGTTCAGTCATAACCGGGGAATTCCTTTTTTAATTTTTTTATTGAATTCAGCTTTGATCCATTCATGTAGCTACTTATACGAAATAACCTCCTTTTATGGGTTGACATTAATACACTCATAACTTCTTTCCGTCATTTTCAAGCTTCCGTGTTCGTTTTTATAATATTTTCCAGCGTATCTGGGCCCTTAAAAAAACTTTTTTGGTCAGCAATTGAGTTTCACGTATTCGTGTAATATCAAGGTTAGTAAAATTGGCTTACTGATCCAAATTTTTTTCCAAGCGTTTAGAAAGAGATTTTAAATAGATTCTTTGCATATGGAAACAACACCGTCAAATAGAATATTTCAAGCTTTTTGACAGCTAGGAAGAGTATACTCAAAAGCTATGCAACTTTTTTGATAGTATAGAGTATGAATTTTGCTAGTATTTACTACAAATTTCAAGGAAATCAATTTGAAATCAAATGGAAAAAGAAGCAAGAAAAAAACGAAGCAAGAAAAAAACGCTTCCAAACAAGATGTTGAAGATTCTGAGTAATAATAAATCAACCTAAAGCCGTAGTTTGGAAAAAACCAAATTTTGTGATGGAGTTAAGAGAAATCTGTATTCAAAGTCCCCAATTTGATCCAAAATCTGGAACGCAACCAAGTAGTTCACCCAGCTTGTAAACATTCAAGATCACTTTTAGGAATTTAATTCAAATAGGCATTTTGGAAATGAATTTTTTCCCATACGGTGAACTTTACGTCTGTCTTAAAATTTGTTCAAAAAAGTTCCAACTGTTCATCAATCTTCAAAGTAATAACAATTTATGTTGACAAAAAACAACAAATGTATTTAACGGCGACGGTGGACGGTGCGCTTGACCTTGGGCTTGGGAGGGAGGATAATACCGTCGTACTGAAAAATTAGAGTGAACAGCAGAAAAATGAAATAAGTTAGAAACTGAAATGATTACGAAAAGAAAAATACCTTGTGCTGGAACCATTTGACGGCTTCGTCGCGGTAGACACGGTGCGAAGGTCCGACGCGTCCTGGGGCACGTCTTCTCTTGGCGACACGGCGTCCAGCGCGATCCAAAACAACGTAGAAGTCCATTCCGTAGATACCGATCGAGGGATCGTACTTGATTCCGAGATCGATGTGTTCCTGAAAAGGTATTTTTTTATTCTTTGGTGGCTTTAGAAGGCTTGTCGACTTTTTGAGAACTATTTATTCTGAAAAGTTATCTTATACTAAATTGGCCGGTTGGAAATGAGCTTTGATTTCATCATGATCGAAAGCGGGAATTTTATTTTTAAAAACGGTGACTGAATTTATTTGTGTTATAGGACTTTTTCATGAAAAAAGTATTAACAGTAACGCTCAATTTTTACCAGCCAACATACTACTTCCTATAAATGGTTATTTTCTATTTTTCTCGACTTTGATGAGGGTTTTAATAAAATTTTGACAGTATCTTTGCTTGCAGAATAACAATTTCCGAAAAAATACACAACTCGGTTTACCACTGAGTTTTTCCTCTTTCTCTTAAACTTCATATTCAAATTTCACCAACCTGAATACCGAAACCGAAGTTGCCGGTGGCGGAGAAGTTCTCCTTGTAGAGTTCGTATTCCTTGACCTTGAGGCCCTTCTCAAGGATCTCCTCGGCCTTGGGTCCACGGACGGTGCAGTGAACGGCAATCTTTTCGTTTCTGCGGATTCCGAAAGAACGGACAGTGTAGCGGGCCTTCGAGAACACTGGGGTCTGACCAGTGAGTTGCTCCAGCACCTGTGAATGAAAATTAATAGTTTCCTTGAAAAAGTGTATTTGAAAATAGCGCTTATAAAATTTTTTCAAAACATTACTTCCAGAAAAAAATCTCATAAAGATGAAACATAAACACTAACCTTAGCGGCACGAGTCAGTCTGTCACCAGATTCTCCAACGCAGATGTTGAGGCAGAGCTTCTGGATCTTAAGCTCGCGCATCACATTGCGGATCTTCTTCTCGCGAATTTCCGCTGCCTTCTCAGCGTCACCCATGTCTGTTTCCTACAAAACAGCAGATATCAACAATTTGAATCAATTACCAACAACAAAAATAGGAAAAAAAAAAACGAAAATCGATTAGAAACATGAAAAAAATATTTTCGTAACTCACATGGAAAAACTAGATTTTTCGCTTCTTCAAATGAACTTGCTTGCTTATTTTGGTTGCAGAACATTAAAACAAAAAGAAAAAAATAGATAGAATAAAAAACACATGAATACCAAAAAAAAACCACAAGAAAACAGTAGAAAAATGGAGAAAAAGAAGAATATAGCGCTTTTTCGAAAATTTCAAAGTTGAACTTTGATGATAAAAAAAGCATACAGTTAGATAGAGAATGAAACGGAGATTACAGCTATATTTTTTTCATTTCAAAACGACCAACTTTGAAAACCACGCATACTGTAGCGCGCGGTTGGCGGTGTCCGCCCTGCGCATCTAAGGTTATCGATCTCTGCGCCCTCCGCGGCGAGAGAGTACTCGCTTTTCAAATCTTCCCCACATATTTCAGTTTTTATAAGTTCATTTTTAACCGTTTTCTGTTCTGTTTTCTGTAATAATGTTCTAAACAAGATGGAGAACACGTAGCATTAATGTACCATGTTTGATTTTCAGTTTTAGGTTTAGTTTTCACTGTTTATCGCTATTTTAGCGTTTAGGTTCACAACTTCTGTTTCAATTTGGTTTTTTTCATTCTGTTTTCACATATATCATTTTAATAAGCATTTAAACATTTCCACATAATGATTTCATGTGTTGCTTGAAGTTTTTCATTTTTGACTATAGACTGTTTTTTTTCAAATTTTTCGAATTTCTGTTAGTCCTTTCTGTAACGGAATGTAACTGTGAGTTTTGTATTAGTAGTAGTGGTAATATTTTGTTTATTACGCTATATCCTTTTCTAGTAGTCACAAAAACCGCTTTTCTTTTTATTTTCGTTTCTCTTTTTCGCTTTTCTTGTACATTGCTCTCATTTGATGGATTTTCAGCATTTGACGCCGACGTTTTTCAACCTGCCAGCCTTATTCGAAACAATGAGACTCTTTGGAGTAGGCGGAACTGGTTCAAAACATGTGATTCAAACCAGAGAAGGTTGCCAACAGACTGTTACCACTAAAAAAAAAAATTCTTCAGGTCAATGTGCCAAAAGAGGTTGATCCCATCGTTTGAGCGAATGAGAGATCTTATATACGAAGGTAAATTTTTTGCTCGAGAACTTCTCACATATTTTTTTTAAAGATTGTTGAGTCGTTGTGGCCGCTTAGACTGATTAAAAACAATTTTCGATTGGAAGTCGTCGAAGAACAACGAGAAAAAAGGGATTCAAGCGGAAATCGACAGCGTCCCCATCCTTTTCGAAGTGAGTTCTTCACAATGAGCAGATGGATAATTCTTTCATTGCCCAGCTTTGTGAATTATCTCTTGATATTTCAGGAAGAAACTCGTGTCGCGGATCTTTGCTCAACGGGTCTGACAGATGTTCTCATGTAACAGAATCAATGTCAACCTTGTGAAGAAAGACGTGTTCCACACCTGCGACGACTTCATTCCGGTAACTTTATTCCTTTTTTCAGATTGACAAAATTTTATTCACAGGGCGTTGACACCAAGGACGTCGTCAAGCTTCGCAAGGTCGAACAAAGAGGAAAAATTAATGAAGCCTCAAGCTGGCACCGGCCGAGAAACTTTGAGCAATGCAAGTTTATTTTTTAATGACCTGGTGTATGGTCTGGGTAAGAATTTTTTTTTCTTCTGCCAAATAAAGATTTGCGCATCATTACTGCATTCATTACTTTAGTGAAGTTTTATAAACAAACAGATTCGAAGCAAGGAAACTCGACAGAAACATTTTGTCAAACGAAAGCATAGAATCCACCAGGAACTTCAAGCTACTGCACAAAACAGATACGAAAAATTAAAGAAAAGCTCAGGAAGTTTTCATTTAAAAGCTTATTTTGCGTAAGTTTCTACGAGTTCGAAAAGAAAAAAAGGTAAGTTCCAGCAATAAAAATCTTTACACAGCACAGACAAAACAAACAAATAAATGACAGAGAAGAAGTCAAAAAGTGTGAAAGGGTTTGCCAAGAAAGATTCATGAGAACAAAGACATTTCATCGTTTGGCAGCACTTAAAGAACAATCTTTCAAGACGCAAACTGTTTATGTGAGGTCACATAAACGTTTGAACGAGTAAAGAAAGACTGGTGTTTGGGAAATGGTTATCTCAAAATAGTCGGTAGAATCGCTGGACAAACACAGATAGTCGTTTGAATTCCTTGAAAACACCAGTAACTTCTGCTTTTTAGACCAAAAACTTGGCCATCGTGATCAAAGTCAAGGAAAAGGATAGAAGATCTCTCAATATGACACAAAAATTTTTTTGTTATATTTTTTTCAATGAGTCGCATTACAATAAAAAGATAACCGTGGCGATCTCTAGTATCTTTTTTTCCGATTCATCGCGACGCAGTATTTTTTTCGAGAAACAGAGCTCTTTCTGAGACAGTCTCAATCATTTAATTTTTAGCTATTTTTTTAATCAACTGGAACGAGATTCAGTTTTTATATCATAAGATAACTTTGCTTACGTTTTTTTTCAGAGCAACGGAAATTGAGAAAAAAAGCTTGAATTTACTCAGTCTCCGGCAAGTTCAGGCGTCTCAGAACGGGAATTCTTGTTTCACCGAGCAGAACAATTATTTGCGGACGTACTGAGCCGCCATAACTTTGTACTAAAACAAAAAAGACAGATCTGAAAAACATCTAAGCAAAGTTTCATCAAAGTCAGGATCTGGACGTATTTTTATTATTCTTATGCTTTCACAAGTCGTGCAAACTGTTGGAAACTCTGGCAATTCAGTCTTTTCGTTTATTTTCTAGTCGCAATCATCGAGAAATATCATACCAAACTCAAAGTTTTCCAATTTTTTGAACTTCTTCCTTTTTTCTCTCTTTAAAATGAAGTTTTTATCTATCTGCAATTTATTTTTTGTCTTTTCGCGGTATCTGTTCGTTCGAAATTTTGTGCAAACTTCTTATATGAATGAATTTATTTTTCAGGAAAAACACCTGTATCTCGACATGTCCGTCTCTGGTAGCCCTCTCCTGAAAGGAATTCTCGAGGCCTCCAAGGAGGATCATACGATCTACATCCATAAGAATACGTACATTTTGGTAAGCTTTCGATATGAACAGAAATAGCTTTTGGATGTCACCTCCTCTAGAATATAGAAACCCTTGTGGTTGCTTATTCTAAAAATATTTTTTTCAGCTTGAACACGAAAACGAGCTTTTAATGTTCGGAGTGTCATTTTATTCTTATCTTTTAACAAAATTTTCCAGGTGGATTCAGCGCCGGAAGCGATTGGTTGGGCTGTTGAGTCATTCGCAATTTCTTCCGACGGGCTTCTCTCGACATGGGATTCCACTTTGGAGGCTTTCAGCCGGGACTTGATTCCCCGGACGCCTCCATTTTTCTCGACTCCTTGTTCTTCGTCTGTGATCGAGGTTAGTTGAGCTCTTTCATTGCCAAAAAACTTCAAAACTGAGGCAACACATTCTATTTTTTTTTACGTGGTTTGATTTGAAATCCGTTTTTTTGTCACAGTAACTGAATTTTTTCAGGAGGACTGGGAAACAGGAAAAACTGGCCGTGCTCACGAATGGTCGACGACGTTTTCCGATGGCCTGCTGTCGTCAACGGACTCCACCTTGAAGGCGATCAGCCGGGACTTGATCCCCCGGACGCCTCAATCGTCTTCCAAACCTTTTTCTCTTGATTTGGAGACAACGTCTTCCGACGGATTATTGTCGACTTTGATTTCTAGTCTGTCCACAACGTCATCCGGTCTCTCCGTTACAAGTCCATCTCTGACAAGAAGTCTTTCGTCTTCTCACCGTCCCGTCAGGGTGAGTCATGTTTTTACTCATTTTCTCTTCTTTAAGAATGGAAGACATCTTCACACATTTCAGCATGTTTTTCAGAACTTCCATGTCCGTCGGGACCGAGAAAACGCCAAGAATATGATCACCTTCATGTGCGAACGATCGTCCAGTGAACAACTTCTTGTAAGAAGAATGAATGATAAGGTAACTTTTGCAAAATTGAACGAGATTACGAAGAACGATTTCTCAGTTCAAGGAGCTGATGTCCGAAGCTTCGGATGAGTCGCCGGAATACAACGAGAGTATCACGACCAACGCTGCCAGCGACCATTCAGTCCTGATCCCCAACTTCTCTGGATTGAGAAACGCGGTACATTTTTTCTGATAATTTATTTAATCATTTCTTCTTGACAAGGTGCCATGCAAATACGAAAAAAATTACAAAAAAGATTTTGGTTGTATGGGCTGAATTCGTGTGAGAAAGTTCGGCTGATAACGTTTGGGAAAAATTTTTCATACTTTCCGCTCAATCCTCTTGAAGTACGAGCATGACACTTCTATGAAAAATAGGCGATTTTTCAACCGAAATTCTCACCTAGTACCTATTTCAGATCTCCACTGGATCCTTCGAGGTCGTCGCCACGTTCGAAGCCGCATCCGAATCTTTCTCCAGGTAAGCTTTATTCAGCCTTAGTGATATTTGGATTTCAGAATGAATGTGTATGCGAGCGTCGAGGAAAGCCTCGAAATGTTGGGCGACGTCAAATCGGCGGCTATCAAAGAAGGAATCCGTGTGACGGGGTTTGTCAGAAACAGGAAATTTCAGCAAAAATATATTTTCAGATTCGTGAGCTGTGCCATTGGCTGTCCTTGCGAATGTAAAGTTTTGCCTGCTCATCTGACTCAGATCACAAAACTCTTGCTCCGCTTTGGTTGCACTGAAGGTGAGGAATTTTACCATTGTTGGGTATTTCGTAGAAAATTGGTGCTTGGAATAACAAAGTTGGGATCCGTGTCTCTTGGTTCTGCAGGACTCTGATAAAGACGTTCAAAAAAAAAGTGAAGTCAAAAATCTTACATTGTGAATTTTTTTATGCTTCCCTTCTTATCACGCTTTTCGTGATTTTAATAATTTACGAAAACTTTTCAGTCCACGTCAAAGAGACAAAAAGTCGCACTGACGGATTCAGCGGGAGACTTTATCAATATTCGGCTCACGTCTACTCCCACGGATGGAACTGCGGTACCGTCTGAAAAACGCCAACGACATGACACTTGTGGATATTCACATTCCTGTCCAGGTCAGTAATCTGAAATTTGCTGGAACTTTTGTTTTCGATTATAAGTATCCATTGTAATTTTCGGGGTCAAAAAATAATTTTTCATATGAACAAGAGCCGAAAAGTTAGAATAAAAAATCTTTATTTTTTCTTAATACATATATAACTATTTTTCAGAAAGGAATTTGTGTTGGAAACACATCGAATGGGGAATCTGACGGAGTTCCTCATCTGCCGTCCAAGGACAACACCGGGGAAGAAGCCGACGTCGTCATCTACAAATTCTAGTTACTTGTGCCATTTCTTCTGTCATTTCTTTTGCTTTTCTTGGAATTCTAGCCCGTTTTCGTCTGTAAATTCTTATCCTTTGCGTCTAGTAAATATTTGTATTGTCTGTGAATACCTTTTGCGTCGAATAAAACTTTCTTTCTCAGTCTTCGTTTTTGTAGAATTACAGTTTCAGTCTGTTCATACATTCAGAAGAGCGAATAAAGCATAATCCAAGTTTGCATGACACTTCATGTCAGAATGGTTACAATGAGAAGGCGAACAAAACTACGATCCTGTCAGATTCGCCATAGAAATCGTAAGGATTATCAAGAAGTTGAGATTTTTTTTTCGGTTCGTATGTTTTCTTCAAACCATTTTCAGCAATCGTCGCCTTCATTCGACGTTTTTCAAAATTTCCGCCCTCTACGAGATAAAAATATTTCTTCGGAGTAGCCGGTGTTGGTTGGAAACATTGATTCTTATCAGAGAAGGTTGCCCACAGACTATTACCACCAAAAAGTTTTTTTCAGGTTTCTGTGCGCACGGAGGTCGACCTAAACAGCCAACCAAAAATAGAGGCCTTGATTTCGAAGGTAAAAAAATTTCTGCTTGAGAATTTCTAACATGTACTTTCAGTATTTTTTTGACTCTTTCATTGGCGCTTGGACTGGACATAAATGAAAAAAATATTAAATTGGAGTCGTTGAAAAAAACAACGAGAGTAAAGGCTTCAAAAAAGTCGACATTGTCTCAAAGTCAAAGTAATTTTTTTCCCGTTAGCAGAAGGATAATTTTTCAGTTTCCCAGGTTTTTCAAATATTCTTGTGACCTCTCAAGGAGAGGTTTGTGTCACGATATCCTCGCTCAACAGGCTGCTCTCATGTAGGAGCAACACTGTAACCTCGCCATGACGACTTGTTCTACGCCAGGACGATTTAATTTTTTTGCGGTATCTCGATATAATTTTTTTGATTGAGGGAAATGTATGCACAGGGTTGTGATAACGAGCTTTGAAAACTTTGTAAACACCTGAGAAATGATGAGGTCTCAAGAAAACGATGAAAAATTGGAAAAAAAAAATTATTATTGTGTTTTTTTCGAAAATTTCAAAATTGACAAGTGATGATAAAAATTACATGGTTAGATAGAGAATCAAACGGAGATCACAGCTATATAATTTTTATCACAAAAAGACCAACTTTGAAAACCAAGCATACTGTAGCTCTGCGCGCGCCCTGCGTATCTATGGTTATCGTTCTCTGCGCCCTCCGCGGCGAGAGAGTACTCGCTTTTCAAATCTTCCCCACATATTTCAGTTTTTATAAGTTCATTTTCATCCGTTTTCTGTTCTGTTTTTTGTATTAATGTTCTAAACAAGATGGAGAACACGTAGCTTTAATGTTCCATGTGTTATTTTCAGTTTTAGAATCAGTTTGCACTGTTTATCGCTAATTTTAGTGTTTAGGTTCACAACTTCTGTTTCGATTTGGTTTTTTTTATTCTGTTTTCACATATATCATTCTAATAAGTTTTTAAACAATCTCACATAATGATTTCATGTGTTGCTTGAAGTTTTTTTTCTGTCTTTTTTTGAATATAGGCTGTTTTTATTCAAGATTTCCGAATTTCTTCTAGTCTTTTCTGTTTTATTTTTTTACACTGGAAATAACTAAAGGGTTTTTTTGGTAATGTGAGGTATGTTCTGTTTATAACTAGATATTTACTTCTAGTAGTCACAAGAACCGCTTTTCTTTTTTGGTTTCGCTTCTCTTTGGCACCTTTTTCGTTCATTTCTCTTATTTGATGATTTTTCAGCAATCTTTGCGGACGTTCTTCAATTTGTCTCCTGTATTTGAAGCGATCAGAAAGGTTCGGAGAAGCCGCAGTTTCTCCGGAACGTGTGATCTGACACTGAGAAGGTTGCCAACAGAATATAACAACTGAAAAAGTTTTTTTCAGGTTTATGAACCCACAGAGGTCGATCTCACCAGCGGATCTTATGAGAGATTTTTGGTTTGGAAGGTAAAGATCATTTTTTTGAAAAAAACTTAAACAAGTTTTTTTAAGATTGTCAAGTCGCCTTTGGGCGCCCAAATGGACCACGAAACAAGTTTCAAATTTAATGAGTCGAACAACAACAAGAAAAAGGGGATTCAAGCGAAAAATTCAATGAGGTGAGCTTTCCCGTTTAAAAAAAGTAATTCTCGAACAGCCTAGACTTTGAAATATGCTCATGATATTTCAGGAAGAAACTCGTGTCGCGGATCTTTGCTCAACGGGTCTGACAGATGTTCTCATGTAACAGAATCAATGTCAACCTTGTGAAGAAAGACGTGTTCCACACCTGCGACGACTTCATTCCGGTAACTTTATTCCTTTTTTCAGATTGACAAAATTTTATTCACAGGGCGTTGACACCAAGGACGTCGTCAAGCTTCGCAAGGTCGAACAAAGAGGAAAAATTAATGAAGCCTCAAGCTGGCACCGGCCGAGAAACTTTGAGCAATGCAAGTTTATTTTTTAATGACCTGGTGTATGGTCTGGGTAAGAATTTTTTTTTCTTCTGCCAAATAAAGATTTGCGCATCATTACTGCATTCATTACTTTTAGTGAAGTTTTATAAACAAACAGATTCGAAGCAAGGAAACTCGACAGAAACATTTTGTCAAACGAAAGCATAGAATCCACCAGGAACTTCAAGCTACTGCACAAAACAGATACGAAAAATTAAAGAAAAGCTCAGGAAGTTTTCATTTAAAAGCTTATTTTGCGTAAGTTTCTACGAGTTCGAAAAGAAAAAAAGGTAAGTTCCAGCAATAAAAATCTTTACACAGCACAGACAAAAACAAACAAATAAATGACAGAGAAGAAGTCAAAAAAAGTGTGAAAGGGTTTGCCAAGAAAGATTCATGAGAACAAAGACATTTCATCGTTTGGCAGCACTTAAAGAACAATCTTTTCAAGACGCAAACTGTTTATGTGAGGTCACATAAACGTTTGAACGAGTAAAGAAAGACTGGTGTTTGGGAAATGGTTATCTCAAAATAGTCGGTAGAATCGCTGGACAAACACAGATAGTCGTTTGAATTCCTTGAAAAACACCAGTAACTTCTGCTTTTTTTAGACCAAAAAAACTTGGCCATCGTGATCAAAGTCAAGGAAAAGGATAGAAGATCTCTCAATATGACACAAAATTTTTGTTATATTTTTCAATGAGTCGCATTACAATAAAAAGATAACCGTGGCGATCTCTAGTATTTTTTTTTTCTTTTTTCCGATTCATCGCGACGCAGTATTTTTTTCGAGAAACAGAGCTCTTTCTGAGACAGTCTCAATCATTTAATTTTAGCTATTTTTTAATCAACTGGAACGAGATTCAGTTTTATATCATAAGATAACTTTGCTTACGTTTTTTTCAGAGCAACGGAAATTGAGAAAAAGCTTGAATTTACTCAGTCTCCGGCAAGTTCAGGCGTCTCAGAACGGGAATTCTTGTTTCACCGAGCAGAACAATTATTTGCGGACGTACTGAGCCGCCATAACTTTGTACTAAAACAAAAAAGACAGATCTGAAAAACATCTAAGCAAAGTTTCATCAAAGTCAGGATCTGGACGTATTTTTATTATTCTTATGCTTTCACAAGTCGTGCAAACTGTTGGAAACTCTGGCAATTCAGTCTTTTCGTTTATTTTTCTAGTCGCAATCATCGAGAAATATCATACCAAACTCAAAAGTTTTCCAATTTTTTTGAACTTCTTCCTTTTTTTCTCTTTAAAAATGAAGTTTTTTTATCTATCTGCAATTTATTTTTTTGTCTTTTTCGCGGTATCTGTTCGTTCGAAATTTTGTGCAAACTTCTTATATGAATGAATTTATTTTTTTCAGGAAAAAAACACCTGTATCTCGACATGTCCGTCTCTGGTAGCCCTCTCCTGAAAGGAATTCTCGAGGCCTCCAAGGAGGATCATACGATCTACATCCATAAGAATACGTACATTTTGGTAAGCTTTCGATATGAACAGAAATAGCTTTTGGATGTCACCTCCTCTAGAATATAGAAACCCTTGTGGTTGCTTATTCTAAAAAAATATTTTTCAGCTTGAACACGAAAACGAGCTTTTTAATGTTCGGAGTGTCATTTTATTCTTATCTTTTTAACAAAAATTTTTCCAGGTGGATTCAGCGCCGGAAGCGATTGGTTGGGCTGTTGAGTCATTCGCAATTTCTTCCGACGGGCTTCTCTCGACATGGGATTCCACTTTGGAGGCTTTCAGCCGGGACTTGATTCCCCGGACGCCTCCATTTTTCTCGACTCCTTGTTCTTCGTCTGTGATCGAGGTTAGTTGAGCTCTTTCATTGCCAAAAAACTTCAAAACTGAGGCAACACATTCTATTTTTTTTTACGTGGTTTGATTTGAAATCCGTTTTTTTGTCACAGTAACTGAATTTTTTCAGGAGGACTGGGAAACAGGAAAAACTGGCCGTGCTCACGAATGGTCGACGACGTTTTCCGATGGCCTGCTGTCGTCAACGGACTCCACCTTGAAGGCGATCAGCCGGGACTTGATCCCCGGACGCCTCAATCGTCTTCCAAACCTTTTTTTCTCTTGATTTGGAGACAACGTCTTCCGACGGATTATTGTCGACTTTGATTTCTAGTCTGTCCACAACGTCATCCGGTCTCTCCGTTACAAGTCCATCTCTGACAAGAAGTCTTTCGTCTTCTCACCGTCCCGTCAGGGTGAGTCATGTTTTTTTACTCATTTTCTCTTCTTTAAGAATGGAAGACATCTTCACACATTTCAGCATGTTTTTCAGAACTTCCATGTCCGTCGGGACCGAGAAAAACGCCAAGAATATGATCACCTTCATGTGCGAACGATCGTCCAGTGAACAACTTCTTGTAAGAAGAATGAATGATAAGGTAACTTTTGCAAAAATTGAACGAGATTACGAAGAACGATTTCTCAGTTCAAGGAGCTGATGTCCGAAGCTTCGGATGAGTCGCCGGAATACAACGAGAGTATCACGACCAACGCTGCCAGCGACCATTCAGTCCTGATCCCCAACTTCTCTGGATTGAGAAACGCGGTACATTTTTTCTGATAATTTATTTAATCATTTCTTCTTGACAAGGTGCCATGCAAATACGAAAAAAATTACAAAAAAGATTTTGGTTGTATGGGCTGAATTCGTGTGAGAAAGTTCGGCTGATAACGTTTGGGAAAAATTTTTCATACTTTCCGCTCAATCCTCTTGAAGTACGAGCATGACACTTCTATGAAAAATAGGCGATTTTTCAACCGAAATTCTCACCTAGTACCTATTTCAGATCTCCACTGGATCCTTCGAGGTCGTCGCCACGTTCGAAGCCGCATCCGAATCTTTCTCCAGGTAAGCTTATTCAGCCTTAGTGAAAAAAAAATATTTGGATTTCAGAATGAATGTGTATGCGAGCGTCGAGGAAAGCCTCGAAATGTTGGGCGACGTCAAATCGGCGGCTATCAAAGAAGGAATCCGTGTGACGGGGTTTGTCAGAAACAGGAAATTTCAGCAAAAATATATTTTCAGATTCGTGAGCTGTGCCATTGGCTGTCCTTGCGAATGTAAAGTTTTGCCTGCTCATCTGACTCAGATCACAAAACTCTTGCTCCGCTTTGGTTGCACTGAAGGTGAGGAATTTTACCATTGTTGGGTATTTCGTAGAAAATTGGTGCTTGGAATAACAAAGTTGGGATCCGTGTCTCTTGGTTCTGCAGGACTCTGATAAAGACGTTCAAAAAAAAAGTGAAGTCAAAATCTTACATTGTGAATTTTTTATGCTTCCCTTCTTATCACGCTTTTCGTGATTTTAATAATTTACGAAAACTTTTCAGTCCACGTCAAAGAGACAAAAGTCGCACTGACGGATTCAGCGGGAGACTTTATCAATATTCGGCTCACGTCTACTCCCACGGATGGAACTGCGGTACCGTCTGAAAACGCCAACGACATGACACTTGTGGATATTCACATTCCTGTCCAGGTCAGTAATCTGAAATTTGCTGGAACTTTTGTTTTCGATTATAAGTATCCATTGTAATTTTCGGGGTCAAAAAAATAATTTTTTTCATATGAACAAGAGCCGAAAAGTTAGAATAAAAAAATCTTTATTTTTTTCTTAATACATATATAACTATTTTTTTCAGAAAGGAATTTGTGTTGGAAACACATCGAATGGGGAATCTGACGGAGTTCCTCATCTGCCGTCCAAGGACAACACCGGGGAAGAAGCCGACGTCGTCATCTACAAATTCTAGTTACTTGTGCCATTTCTTCTGTCATTTCTTTTTGCTTTTTCTTGGAATTCTAGCCCGTTTTCGTCTGTAAATTCTTATCCTTTGCGTCTAGTAAATATTTGTATTGTCTGTGAATACCTTTTTGCGTCGAATAAAACTTTCTTTCTCAGTCTTCGTTTTTTTGTAGAATTACAGTTTCAGTCTGTTCATACATTCAGAAGAGCGAATAAAGCATAATCCAAGTTTGCATGACGCTTCATGTCAGAATGGTTGCAAAGAGAAGGCGAACAAAACTACGATCCTGTCAGATTCGCCATAGAAATCGTAAGGATTATCAAGAAGTTGAGATTTTTTTTTCGGTTCGTATGTTTTCTTCAAACCATTTTCAGCAATCGTCGCCTTCATTCGACGTTTTTCAAAATTTCCGCCCTCTACGAGATAAAAATATTTCTTCGGAGTAGCCGGTGTTGGTTGGAAACATTGATTCTTATCAGAGAAGGTTGCCCACAGACTATTACCACCAAAAAAAAAGTTTTTCAGGTTTCTGTGCGCACGGAGGTCGACCTAAACAGCCAACCAAAATAGAGGCCTTGATTTCGAAGGTAAAAATTTCTGCTTGAGAATTTCTAACATGTACTTTCAGTATTTTTGACTCTTTCATTGGCGCTTGGACTGGACATAAATGAAAAAATATTAAATTGGAGTCGTTGAAAAACAACGAGAGTAAAGGCTTCAAAAAGTCGACATTGTCTCAAAGTCAAAGTAATTTTTTCCCGTTAGCAGAAGGATAATTTTCAGTTTCCCAGGTTTTCAAATATTCTTGTGACCTCTCAAGGAGAGGTTTGTGTCACGATATCCTCGCTCAACAGGCTGCTCTCATGTAGGAGCAACACTGTAACCTCGCCATGACGACTTGTTCTACGCCAGGACGATTTAATTTTTTGCGGTATCTCGATATAATTTTTTTGATTGGAGGGAAATGTATGCACAGGGTTGTGATAACGAGCTTTGAAAACTTTGTAAACACCTGAGAAATGATGAGGTCTCAAGAAAAACGATGAAAAAAATTGGATTATTATTGTGTTTTTTTCGAAAAATTTCAAAAATTGACAAGTGATGATAAAAAAATTACATGGTTAGATAGAGAATCAAACGGAGATCACAGCTATATAATTTTTATCACAAAAGACCAACTTTGAAAACCAAGCATACTGTAGCTCTGCGCGCGCCCTGCGTATCTATGGTTATCGTTCTCTGCGCCCTCCGCGGCGAGAGAGTACTCGCTTTTCAAATCTTCCCCACATATTTCAGTTTTTTTATAAGTTCATTTTCATCCGTTTTTCTGTTCTGTTTTTTTGTATTAATGTTCTAAACAAGATGGAGAACACGTAGCTTTAATGTTCCATGTGTTATTTTCAGTTTTAGAATCAGTTTGCACTGTTTATCGCTATTTTAGTGTTTAGGTTCACAACTTCTGTTTCGATTTGGTTTTTTTTATTCTGTTTTCACATATATCATTCTAATAAGTTTTTTTAAACAATCTCACATAATGATTTCATGTGTTGCTTGAAGTTTTTTTCTGTCTTTTTTTGAATATAGGCTGTTTTTTTATTCAAGATTTTCCGAATTTCTTCTAGTCTTTTTCTGTTTTATTTTTACACTGGAAATAACTAAAGGGTTTTTTTGGTAATGTGAGGTATGTTCTGTTTATAACTAGATATTTACTTCTAGTAGTCACAAGAACCGCTTTTCTTTTTTGGTTTCGCTTCTCTTTGGCACCTTTTTCGTTCATTTCTCTTATTTGATGATTTTTCAGCAATCTTTGCGGACGTTCTTCAATTTGTCTCCTGTATTTGAAGCGATCAGAAAGGTTCGGAGAAGCCGCAGTTTCTCCGGAACGTGTGATCTGACACTGAGAAGGTTGCCAACAGAATATAACAACTGAAAAAAAAAGTTTTTCAGGTTTATGAACCCACAGAGGTCGATCTCACCAGCGGATCTTATGAGAGATTTTGGTTTGGAAGGTAAAGATCATTTTTTGAAAAACTTAAACAAGTTTTTAAGATTGTCAAGTCGCCTTTGGGCGCCCAAATGGACCACGAAACAAGTTTCAAATTTAATGAGTCGAACAACAACAAGAAAAAGGGGATTCAAGCGAAAAATTCAATGAGGTGAGCTTTCCCGTTTAAAAAAAGTAATTCTCGAACAGCCTAGACTTTGAAATATGCTCATGATATTTCAGGAAGAAACTCGTGTCGCGGATCTTTGCTCAACGGGTCTGACAGATGTTCTCATGTAACAGAATCAATGTCAACCTTGTGAAGAAAGACGTGTTCCACACCTGCGACGACTTCATTCCGGTAACTTTATTCCTTTTTTCAGATTGACAAAATTTTATTCACAGGGCGTTGACACCAAGGACGTCGTCAAGCTTCGCAAGGTCGAACAAAGAGGAAAAATTAATGAAGCCTCAAGCTGGCACCGTCCGAGAAACTTTGAGCAGTACAAGTTTATTTTTTAATGACCTGGTGTATGGTCTGGGTAAGAATTTTCTTTTTTTTTTTCGTCGAATAAATCTTTGTACTTTTTAGTCGTATTCAGGATTTTCAGTTGGAATTTTGAAACGGAAAGATGGTAATCTGAAAACTTGCCAGACAGTTTTTGTCAAACAGAAAGCTCAAGGAAAATTAAACAGAAGCATGGAATCCATCAAAGTCACTGCAGAAAGAGATCCAAGAAATGAGTGGGAAACGGAGAAAATTTTTATTTAAGATCTCATTGTGCGTGAGTTTGTACGAGTTTAAAAAGAGAAAAAGGTAAGTTGAGGCATTAAAATTTTTTACACAGCACATACAAACATACAAAAATTACTGAAAAGTAACAGGAATCACAAAGAAGAAGTCAAAAAGTGTGAAAGAGTTTGCCAAGAAAGATTCATAATAACAAGGAAATTCGATCTTCTGGCAGCTTTCAAGAAGGGTATTTCAAAACGAAAAGTCTCTATGAAAGATCAGATTGATGTCTGAACCAATGAAAAGAAGACATTTGAGAAGTGATCATCTTGAAAGAGTCAGATAAGATGGAAATGCTCAAAAAGGCAGATGAATCGTTTACTTTTCATGAAAATGGCGAGTCAACTTTGCAATTTAACATCGAGACGCTTTTTCAACTTGGCGAATAAAAGATCTTTTTGAGAAGAAAGGTTTTCATGCATTTTTTTTAATAGCGATTATAATCTTCCATTTTTTCCAATTGCCACTATTTTGCGCGGAAGCTCTGTTTTTTCACGGAAAGCAGAGCTTTTTGTAAGACTGTCACTCAGTTTTGCTATTTGTCATTCAACAAGAACGAGATTCAGTTTTATATCATGAGATAACTTTGCTTAGGTTTTTTGTCAGAGCAACGAAAACTGAGAAAAAGCTCAAATTCATTCAGTCTCCGGCAAGTTCAGGCGTCTCAGAACGGGAATTTTTGTTTCATCGAGAAGAACAATTATTTGCGGACGTACTGAGCCGCTATATTTTTGTACTGAAACAAAAAAAAAAGATGCTCTGAAGAACATCTAAGCAAAGTTTCATCAAAGTCAGGATCTGGACGTAATTATATTATTCTTATACTTTCACAAGTCGTGCAAACTGTTGGGAACTCTGGCGATTCAGTCTTTTCGTTTATTTCATTGTTGCAATCATCAAGAAATAAGAAACCAAGCTTGAAGTTTTCACAGTTTGTTAGACTCCTATGTCTCTTCTCTCTTCAGAATAAAATTTTCATCTATCTCCGATGTTTCTCTGTCTTTTCGTGGTATATGTTCGTTAAAAGTATTTGGAAATTTCTGATATGAATGAATTTATTTTTCAGGAAAAACACCTGTATCTCGACATGTCCGTCTCTGGTAGCCCTCTCCTGAAAGGAATTCTCGAGGCCTCCAAGGAGGATCATACGATCTACATCCATGAGGATGCGTACATTTTGGTAAGTTTTCAATATAAACAGAAATAGCTTTTGGATGTCACCTCCTCTAGAATATAGAAACCCTTGTGGTTGCTTATTCTAAAAATATTTTTTTCAGCCTGAACACAAGAACGAGCTTTTGATGTTCGGAGTTTGATAATTTCATCTTTTAACAAAATTTTCCAGGTGGATTCAGCGCCGGAAGCGATCGGTTTCGCTGTGGATTCCTCCGCAATTTCTTCCGCCGGGCTTTCCTCGACATGGGATTCCACTTTGGAGGCTTTCAGCCGGGACTTGATCCCCCGGACGCCTCCATTTTTCTCGACTCCTTGTTCTTCGTCTGTGATCAAGGTTAGTTGAGCTCTTTCATTGCCAAAAAACTTCAAGACTGAGGCAACAAATTCTATTTTTTTACGCGGTTTGATTTGAAATCCGTTTTTTTTTTGTCACAGTAACTGAATTTTTTCAGGAGGATTGGGAAACAGGAAAAACTGGCCGTGCTCACGAATGGTCGACGACGTCTTCCGATGGCCTGCTGTCGTCAACGGACTCCACCTTGAAGGCGATCAGCCGGGACTTGATCCCCCGGACGCCTCAATCGTCTTCTACACCTTTTTCTCTTGATTTGGAGAAAACGTCTTCCGACGGATTGTTGTCGACATTGATTTCTAGTCTGTCCACAACGTCATCCGGTCTCTCCGTTACAAGTCCATCTCTGACAAGAAGTCTTTCGTCTTCTCACCGTCCCGTCAGGGTGAGTCATGTTTTTACTCATTTTCTCTTCTTTAAGAATGGAAGACATCTTCACACATTTCAGCATGTTTTTCAGAACTTCCATGTCCGTCGGGACCGAGAAAACGCCAAGAATATGATCACCTTCATGTGCGAACGATCGTCCAGTGAACAACTTCTTGTAAGAAGAATGAATGATAAGGTAACTTTTTGCAAAATTGAACGAGATTACGAAGAACGATTTTTTTCAGTTCAAGGAGCTGATGTCCGAAGCTTCGGATGAGTCGCCGGAATACAACGAGAGTATCACGACCAACGCTGCCAGCGACCATTCAGTCCTGATCCCCAACTTCTCTGGATTGAGAAACGCGGTACATTTTTTTTCTGATAATTTATTTGATCATTTCTTCTTGACAAGGTGTCATGCAAATACGAAAAAAATTACAAAAAAAGTTTTTTTTGGTTGTATGGGCTAATTTCGTGCGAGAAAGTTGGGCTGATAATGTTTGGGAAAAAAATCTTTCATACTTTCCGCTCAATCCTCTTGAAGTACGAGCATGACATTTCTATGAAAAATAGGCGATTTTTCAACCGAAATTCTCACCTAGTACCTATTTCAGATCTCCACTGGATCCTTCGAGGTCGTCGCCACGTTCGAAGCCGCATCCGAATCTTTCTCCAGGTAAGCTTTATTCAGCCTTAGTGAAAAAAACTATTTGGATTTCAGAATGGATGTGTATGCGAGCGTCGAGGAAAAGCCTCGAAATGTTGGGCGACGTCAAATCGGCGGCTATCAAAGAAGGCATCCGTGTGACGGGGTTTGTCAGAAACAGAAAAATTCAGCAAAAAGATATTTTCAGATTTGTGAGCTGTGCCATTGGCTGTCCCTGCGAAGGTAAAGTTTTGCCTGCTCATCTGGCTCAGATCACAAAACTCTTGCTCCGCTTTGGTTGCGCTGAAGGTGAGGATTTTTTCCATTGTTGGGTATTTCGTAGAAAATTGGTGCTTGGAATAACAAAGTTGGGATCCGTGTCTCTTGGTTCTGCAGGACTCTGATAAAGACGTTCAAAAAAAAAGTGAAGTCAAAATCTTACATTGTGAATTTTTTTATGCTTCCCTTCTTATCACGCTTTTCGTGATTTTAATAATTTACGAAAAACTTTTTCAGTCCACGTCAAAGAGACAAAAAGTCGCACTGACGGATTCAGCGGGAGACTTTATCAATATTCGGCTCACGTCTACTCCCACGGATGGAACTGCGGTACCGTCTGAAAACGCCAACGACATGACACTTGTGGATATTCACATTCCTGTCCAGGTCAGTAATCTGAAATTTGCTTGCACTTTTGTTTTGATTATGAAAATCCAGTGTAATTCTCGGAGTCAAGTAATAATTCTTCATTTGATTCATGACAAGAGCCGAAAAGTTAGGATAAAAAATCTTTATTTTTTCTTAATTCATATATAACTCTTTTTCAGAAAGGAATTTGTGTTGGAAACACGTCGATCGGGGAATCTAACGGAGTCCCTCATCTGCCGTCCAAGGACAACACCGGGGAAGAAGCCGACGTCGTCATCTACAAATTCTAGTTACTTGTGCCATTTTTTTTGTCATTGATTTTGCTTTTCTTGGAATTCTAGCCCGTTTTCGTCTGTAAATTCTTATCCTTTGCGTCTGGTAACTTTTTCTATTGTCTGTGAATACCTTTTGCGTCGAATAAATCTTTCTTTCTCAGTCTTAATTTTTGTAGAATTACAGTTTCAGTCTGTTCATACATTCATGCCGTGTTCAAAGTAATTTCCGCGAAATGCAAAATACCCGTTAGAGAAAGGAAAAGATCACTTAATTTTGGAGAATCAGAGATCATTTTGCATTTCGCGGAAATTACTTTGAACACGGCATCAGAAGAGCGAATAAATCATAACCAAAATTTGCAAGACGCTTCATGTCAGAATGGTTGCAAAGAGAAGGCGAACAAAACTACGATCCTGTCAGATTCGCCATAGAAGTCCTAAGGATTATCAAGAAGTTGAGTTTTTTTTTTCGGTTCGTATGTTTTCTTCAAACCATTTTCAGCAATCGCCGCCTTCGTTCGACTTTCTTCAAAATTTCCGCCCTCTACGCGACGATCAGACTTTCTCGGAGGAGCAGCAGTTTGTTCAAAACCGATGATGAATAATAGAGAAGGATGTTATTAGATTATTACAACTGAAAAATAAAAGTTTTTCAGGTCTCTGTGCCCCTAAACAGCCAACCAAAAGAGAGGTCTTGATCACGAAGATAAAGTTTCCTGCTTCAGAATTTTTTTAATAAATATTTTTTTAGTATTTTTTTGACTCTTTCATTGGCGCTTGGACTGGACATAAATGAAAAAAATATTAAATTGGAGTCGTTGAAAAAAACAACGAGAGTAAAGGCTTCAAAAAAAGTCGACATTGTCTTCACCCCACTCAAAGTTAGTTTTTCCCGTTAGCAGAAGGATAATTTTCAGTTGCCCAGATTTTCAAATATTCTTGTGACCTCTCAAGGAAAGGTTCGTGTCACGATATCCTCGCTCAACAGGCTGCTCTCATGTAGGAGCAACACTGTAACCTCGCCACGACGACTTGTTCTACGCCAGGACGACTTAATATATTTCGGTATATCGATCTTATTTTTCCTACTGAAGTGAAATGCATGCACATGGTTATGATAATGAGCTTTGAAGAGCTTTGTAAACACTTGAGAAACACAAAAAGTCGCAAGAAAACAAGAAAGAATTGGAGAAAAAAAGTATTTATTGTATTTTTTTTCGAAAAATTTCAAAAATTGACAAGTGATGATAAAAAATTACACGGTTAGATAGAGAATCGAACAGAGATCACAGCTATATAATTTTTATCACAAAAAGACCAACTTTGAAAACCAAGCATACTGTAGCTCTGCGCGCGCCCTGCGTATCTATGGTTATCGTTCTCTGCGCCCTCCGCGGCGAGAGAGTACTCGCTTTTCAAATCTTCCCCACATATTTCAGTTTTTTTATAAGTTCATTTTCATCCGTTTTCTGTTCTGTTTTTTTGTATTAATGTTCTAAACAAGATGGAGAACACGTAGCTTTAATGTTCCATGTGTTATTTTCAGTTTTAGAATTAGTTTGCACTGTTTATCGCTATTTTTAGTGTTTAGGTTCACAACTTCTGTTTCGATTTGGTTTTTTTTATTCTGTTTTCACATATATCATTCTAATAAGTTTTTAAACAATCTCACATAATGATTTCATGTGTTGCTTGAAGTTTTTTTTCTGTCTTTTTTTGAATATAGGCTGTTTTTATTCAAAATTTTCGAAGTTCTGTTAGTCTTTACTGTTTTATTTTTTTTACACTGGAAATAACTGAAGGGTTTTTTTGGTAATGTGAGGTATGTTCTGTTTCATACTAGAAATTTGTTTCTAATAGTCACAAGAACCGCTTTTATTTTTGTTTTCGCTTCTCTTTGGCACCTCTTTCGTTCATTTCTCTCATTTGATGATTTTTCAGCAATCTTCGCGGACGTTCTTCAATCTGTCTCATATATTCAAAACGATCAGAATGGTTTGGAGAAGCCGCAGTTTCTCCGGAACGTGTGATTTGACACTGAGAAGGTTGTTAACAGATTATAACAACTGAAGAAAGAGTATTTTCAGGTTTATGAACCCACAGAGGTCGATTTCACCAGCCGATCGAATAAGAGATCGTGGTCTCAAAGGTAAAATATGATCATATGACAAATTTAACACGTTTTTAAGATTGTCAAGTCGCCTTTGGGCGCTCAAACTGACCACAAAACAAGTTTCGAATTGAATGAGTCGAGGAGCAACGAGATAAAGTGGATTCAAGCGGGAAACGACAGCGTCCGAATCTTCATCGATGTAAGCTTTTCTTTTTTAAAACATGGAGAACTATCAAACTGGCTAGGTTTTCACCTATTTTCATGATCTTCCAGTGAAATTTTCGAGTCGCGGCTCGTCGCTCAACGGTTTTGGCGAATGCTCTCATGTAGGAGAGACACTGAAAACTTTGCCACGATGACGTGTTTCAATCCAGCGACGATTTGATATTCATACCGGTATTCGAATCACATTTTTCTGATTTAAATATTTGTATTTACAAGGCATCGACATGAAGAACATCGTCAAAACTGCAAAGTCGAACAAAGGGGCAAAATCGAAAAAGCCCTGAGTTGTCGCCGCCTGAGAAACTTTGAGCAATACGAGTTCCTTTTTTTATTCCAGGTGTTTGCTCTGGGTGAGGTTTTTCTTCTTTTGTTTGTCGAATAAAGTCTAATATTCATTGTCGTATTTAAGATTTTCAGTGAAATATTGAGAACAAACAGGTTTGAAAAATGGAAACTTGCCAGTTACATTCTTTCAAACAGAAAGCTCAAGGAAAGGCAAACCAAAACATGAAATCTACCAATAATGAAAGCTACTGATCAGAATAGAACCGAGAAATGAGTGAAAAGCTCATAAATTTTTCAACAAAGATATTGTTGTGTGTGAGTTGCCACAGGTTTGAAATGAGAAAAAGGTAAGTTAAGGCGATGAAAATCTTTACACAGCACACACAGAATAAATAGACAAAAATGTATCAATCACAGAAAACATATCAAAAACGGTGGGAAATCAGTTTAAAAAAAGAAGAGATCCAAGACTTTTTCACGGACAAGGACATTTGATTGTTAGACAGCTTTCTTCAGAACAGTCTTATGAATCGTAAAAATGTTTATGAGAGCTTGCATGAAATTTTTGAAAAAAATAAAGAAAGACTCTTGTTTGGAAATTGGCTATCTTAAATGAGTCAGAGTCGGAAGAATCGCCTACGAGACACAGATGAATTGTTTTCTTTTCATGGAATACACAATTTGTATTGGCATTTTCATCCCAGATCGCTTCTTTAACTTCGCGATCATTATAAAAAGCCAAGAAGAATGATAGAAGTAGATCCCAATACATGTTTTTCTCCTTCTTGCCAATACTTTGCGCGAAAGCTCGGTTTTTCACGGAAAGCAGAGCTTTTTTTGTAAGACGGTCACTCAGTTCATTTCTTTTTTTGCTATTTGTCATTCAACAAGATCGAGATTCAGTTTTAAATCATAAGATAACTTTGCTTAGGTTTTTTGTCAGAGCAACGAAAACTGAGAAAAAGCTCAAATTCATTCAGTCTCCGGCAAGTTCAGGCGTCTCAGAACGGGAATTCTGGTTTCATCGAGAAGAACAATTATTTGCGGACGTACTGAGCCGCTATATTTTTTTGTACTGAAACAAAAAGATGCTCTGAAGAACATCTAAGCAAAGTTCCATGAAAGTCAGGATCTGGACGTATTTTTTTATTATTCTTATGCTTTTCACAAGTCGTGCAAACTGTTGGAAACTCTGGCGATTCGGTCTTTTCGTTTATTTCATTGTTGCAATCATCAAGAAATAAGAAACCAAGCTTGAAGTTTTCCCAGTTTGTTAGACTCCTATGTCTCTTCTCTCTTCAGAATAAAATTTTCATCTATCTCCGATGTTTCTCTGTCTTTTCGTGGTATATGTTCGTTAAAAGTATTTGGAAATTTCTGATAGAAATGAGCTTCTGTTTCAGTAGAAGCTCCAGCAACTCAACATGTGCGACTCCGGCAGCCCTCTTGTGAAAGGAATCTTGAAGAAGCCGAAAGAGGATCACACAATTTATATCCATGAAGATGCGTGGCTTCTTGTGAGTTTTCATAATAAACAAAAGTAGCACTTGGAAGTCACCTTCTCTAGAAATAGAAATAAGCTTCTGGTTGCTTATTATAAAATGATTCTTTTCAGCCCGAGCACGACAACGAACCCGTGTATGACCCCAGAGACACCAGCGTGCGTTTTTTTTTCTAAATATATTTTTCTCTAGAGAAAATTATCAGGCTAAGTCACTATTTTTTCAGTTCGAGAGCTATGACCCCCGCGATGCCCCGGCAACTTGGCGAATGAAGGTAACATTTCTCTCAGAAAAAAAAAACATTGACGCCTTTTTTTCAGTACTGGAACTTTAAGCGACACCTGGCTATTTTGTTCCAGAAGAAAAGAGCTCCCTACGTTGAGGTAAGAAGGCAATACAGTTTGAATAATCATGAACTTTCAGAACGATTACACTGAAATCTTGTTCCAACGAGTTGCGGAAAGTAAAGATTTTGAGAGTACTCCGTTCTCGGTGAGTCAGCTTTCAAAAAATGAATGAATATTTTTTTTGACACGAGAGTTGAGTCCGATAAAATGTTGAACATATACTTTTTGTTCAACTACCAAGTCTCTGACAAAAGAATTAAAAGTTCTTAAGACTCGAACAATAATCTATTAGTGCAAACTTTTCATTGCACTCAGAACTTCGTTTTTTTCAGATCCATTCGTCGCCGAACAACCGGACTTCTCCAGTCAAAGTAAGAAGAAGAAATGAAGTTTTTTTAAATACAAGCAAAAATTTTAGGTGTGGAGTCTCGAGTCGTCTCCTCGTCTTGTTTGCGGAACAGATTTTTATCCACAAAAAGACGTGAGTTTCAGATCAATATGAAGACTTCTTTTTTTCCAAAAAAAATCCAATTGATTGACATTTAAACAAGAACTTCAGGCTGTCATGGCCGGAATAGACGTCGAAAGGCACACTGTGGTGCAATTCCATCCGGAGCGTCGATGCGTTACTTTTGATGTTCGGAGTTTGATAATTTCATCTTTTAACAAAATTTTCCAGGTGGATTCTGCGCCGGAAGCGATTGGTTGGGCTGTTGAGTCATCCGCAATTTCTTCCGACGGGCTTCTCTCGACATGGGATTCCACTTTGGAGGCTTTCAGCCGGGACTTGATCCCCCGGACGCCTCCATTTTTCTCGACTCCTTGTTCTTCGTCTGTGATCAAGGTTAGTTGAGCTCTTTCATTGCCAAAAAACTTCAAAACTGAGGCAACACATTCTATTTTTTTTTACGTGATTTGATTTGAAATCCGTTTTTTTGTCACAGTAACTGAATTTTTTCAGGACGACTGGCAGGAAGGAACGCCTATCCGTGCTCTCGAATGGTCGACGACGTTTTCCGATGGCCTGCTGTCGTCAACGGATCCCACCTTGGAGGCTATCAGCCGGGACTTGATTCCCCGGACGCCTCAATCGTCTTCTACACGTTGTTCTCTTGATTTGGAGACCACGTCTTCCAACGGATTGTTGTCGACACTGACGTCTACTCTGTGCACAACGTCTTCCGGTCTTCTCTTTTCGAGTCCATCTCTGACAAGAAGTCTTTCGTCTTCTCGCCTTTCTCTCAGGGTGAGTCATATTTGAACTCATTTTCACTTCTCCGAGAATGGAAGACATTCTCACGCATTCTAGCACGTTTTCCAGAACTTCCATGTCCGTGGGGACCGAGAAAACGCCAAGAATATGATCACCTCCATGTGCGAACGATCGTCCAGTGAACAACTTCTTGTAAGAAGAATGAATAATAAGGTAACTTTTGCGAAATTGAACGAGATTACGAAGAACGATTTTTCAGTTCAAGGAGCTGATGTCCGAAGCTTCGGATGAGTCGCCGGAATACAACGAGAGTATCACGACCAACGCTGCCAGCGACCATTCAGTCCTGATCCCCAACTTCTCTGGATTGAGAAACGCGGTACATTTTTTCTGATAATTTATTTGATCATTTCTTCTTGACAAGGTGTCATGCAAATACGAAAAAAATTACAAAAAAGTTTTTGGTTGTATGGGCTAATTTCGTGTGAGAAAGTTGGGCTGATAATGTTTGGGAAAAATCTTTCATACTTTCCGCTCAATCCTCTTGAAGTACGAGCATGACATTTCTATGAAAAATAGGCGATTTCAACCGAAATTCTCACCTAGTACCTATTTCAGATCTCCACTGGATCCTTCGAGGTCGTCGCCACGTTCGAAGCCGCATCCGAATCTTTCTCCAGGTAAGCTTATTCAGCCTTAGTGAAAAAAACTATTTGGATTTCAGAATGGATGTGTATGCGAGCGTCGAGGAAAGCCTCGAAATGTTGGGCGACGTCAAATCGGCGGCTATCAAAGAAGGCATCCGTGTGACGGGGTTTGTCAGAAACAGAAAAATTCAGCAAAAAGATATTTTCAGATTTGTGAGCTGTGCCATTGGCTGTCCCTGCGAAGGTAAAGTTTTGCCTGCTCATCTGGCTCAGATCACAAAACTCTTGCTCCGCTTTGGTTGCGCTGAAGGTGAGGATTTTTTCCATTGTTGGGTATTTCGTAGAAAATTGGTGCTTGGAATAACAAAGTTGGGATCCGTGTCTCTTGGTTCTGCAGGACTCTGATAAAGACGTTCAAAAAAAAAGTGAAGTCAAAATCTTACATTGTGAATTTTTTATGCTTCCCTTCTTATCACGCTTTTCGTGATTTTAATAATTTACGAAAAACTTTTTCAGTCCACGTCAAAGAGACAAAAAGTCGCACTGACGGATTCAGCGGGAGACTTTATCAATATTCGGCTCACGTCTACTCCCACGGATGGAACTGCGGTACCGTCTGAAAACGCCAACGACATGACACTTGTGGATATTCACATTCCTGTCCAGGTCAGTAATCTGAAATTTGCTTGCACTTTTGTTTTGATTATGAAAATCCAGTGTAATTCTCGGAGTCAAGTAATAATTCTTCATTTGATTCATGACAAGAGCCGAAAAAGTTAGGATAAAAAAATCTTTATTTTTTTCTTAATTCATATATAACTCTTTTTTTCAGAAAGGAATTTGTGTTGGAAACACGTCGATCGGGGGAATCTAACGGAGTCCCTCATCTGCCGTCTAAGGACAACACCGGGGAAGAAGCCGACGTCGTCATCTACAAATTCTAGTTACTTGTGCCATTTTTTTTGTCATTGATTTTGCTTTTCTTGGAATTCTAGCCCGTTTTCGTCTGTAAATTCTTATCCTTTGCGTCTGGTAACTTTTTCTATTGTCTGTGAATACCTTTTGCGTCGAATAAATCTTTCTTTCTCAGTCTTAATTTTTGTAGAATTACAGTTTCAGTCTGTTCATACATTCATGCCGTGTTCAAAGTAATTTCCGCGAAATGCAAAAATACCCGTTAGAGAAAGGAAAAAGATCACTTAATTTTTGGAGAATCAGAGATCATTTTGCATTTCGCGGAAATTACTTTGAACACGGCATCAGAAGAGCGAATAAATCATAACCAAAAATTTGCAAGACGCTTCATGTCAGAATGGTTGCAAAGAGAAGGCGAACAAAACTACGATCCTGTCAGATTCGCCATAGAAGTCCTAAGGATTATCAAGAAGTTGAGTTTTTTTTTTCGGTTCGTATGTTTTCTTCAAACCATTTTCAGCAATCGCCGCCTTCGTTCGACTTTCTTCAAAATTTCCGCCCTCTACGCGACGATCAGACTTTCTCGGAGGAGCAGCAGTTTGTTCAAAAACCGATGATGAATAATAGAGAAGGATGTTATTAGATTATTACAACTGAAAAAAATAAAAAGTTTTTTTCAGGTCTCTGTGCCCCTAAACAGCCAACCAAAAGAGAGGTCTTGATCACGAAGATAAAGTTTCCTGCTTCAGAATTTTTAATAAATATTTTTAGTATTTTTGACTCTTTCATTGGCGCTTGGACTGGACATAAATGAAAAATATTAAATTGGAGTCGTTGAAAAACAACGAGAGTAAAGGCTTCAAAAAGTCGACATTGTCTTCACCCCACTCAAAGTTAGTTTTTCCCGTTAGCAGAAGGATAATTTTCAGTTGCCCAGATTTTCAAATATTCTTGTGACCTCTCAAGGAAAGGTTCGTGTCACGATATCCTCGCTCAACAGGCTGCTCTCATGTAGGAGCAACACTGTAACCTCGCCACGACGACTTGTTCTACGCCAGGACGACTTAATATATTTCGGTATATCGATCTTATTTTTCCTACTGAAGTGAAATGCATGCACATGGTTATGATAATGAGCTTTGAAGAGCTTTGTAAACACTTGAGAAACACAAAAAGTCGCAAGAAAACAAGAAAGAATTGGAGAAAAAAAGTATTTATTGTATTTTTTTCGAAAATTTCAAAATTGACAAGTGATGATAAAAATTACACGGTTAGATAGAGAATCGAACAGAGATCACAGCTATATAATTTTTATCACAAAAAGACCAACTTTGAAAACCAAGCATACTGTAGCTCTGCGCGCGCCCTGCGTATCTATGGTTATCGTTCTCTGCGCCCTCCGCGGCGAGAGAGTACTCGCTTTTTCAAATCTTCCCCACATATTTCAGTTTTTTTATAAGTTCATTTTTCATCCGTTTTCTGTTCTGTTTTTTTGTATTAATGTTCTAAACAAGATGGAGAACACGTAGCTTTAATGTTCCATGTGTTATTTTCAGTTTTAGAATTAGTTTGCACTGTTTATCGCTATTTTTTTAGTGTTTAGGTTCACAACTTCTGTTTCGATTTGGTTTTTTTATTCTGTTTTCACATATATCATTCTAATAAGTTTTTTTAAACAATCTCACATAATGATTTCATGTGTTGCTTGAAGTTTTTTCTGTCTTTTTTTGAATATAGGCTGTTTTTTTATTCAAAAATTTTTCGAAGTTCTGTTAGTCTTTACTGTTTTATTTTTTTACACTGGAAATAACTGAAGGGTTTTTTTGGTAATGTGAGGTATGTTCTGTTTCATACTAGAAATTTGTTTCTAATAGTCACAAGAACCGCTTTTTATTTTTTTGTTTTCGCTTCTCTTTGGCACCTCTTTTCGTTCATTTCTCTCATTTGATGATTTTTTTCAGCAATCTTCGCGGACGTTCTTCAATCTGTCTCATATATTCAAAACGATCAGAATGGTTTGGAGAAGCCGCAGTTTCTCCGGAACGTGTGATTTGACACTGAGAAGGTTGTTAACAGATTATAACAACTGAAGAAAGAGTATTTTTCAGGTTTATGAACCCACAGAGGTCGATTTCACCAGCCGATCGAATAAGAGATCGTGGTCTCAAAGGTAAAAATATGATCATATGACAAATTTAACACGTTTTTTTAAGATTGTCAAGTCGCCTTTGGGCGCTCAAACTGACCACAAAAACAAGTTTCGAATTGAATGAGTCGAGGAGCAACGAGATAAAGTGGATTCAAGCGGGAAACGACAGCGTCCGAATCTTCATCGATGTAAGCTTTTCTTTTTTAAAACATGGAGAACTATCAAACTGGCTAGGTTTTCACCTATTTTCATGATCTTCCAGTGAAATTTTTCGAGTCGCGGCTCGTCGCTCAACGGTTTTTGGCGAATGCTCTCATGTAGGAGAGACACTGAAAACTTTGCCACGATGACGTGTTTCAATCCAGCGACGATTTGATATTCATACCGGTATTCGAATCACATTTTTCTGATTTAAATATTTGTATTTACAAGGCATCGACATGAAGAACATCGTCAAAACTGCAAAGTCGAACAAAGGGGCAAAATCGAAAAAGCCCTGAGTTGTCGCCGCCTGAGAAACTTTGAGCAATACGAGTTCCTTTTTTTATTCCAGGTGTTTGCTCTGGGTGAGGTTTTTTTCTTCTTTTTGTTTGTCGAATAAAGTCTAATATTCATTGTCGTATTTAAGATTTTCAGTGAAATATTGAGAACAAAACAGGTTTGAAAAAAATGGAAACTTGCCAGTTACATTCTTTCAAACAGAAAGCTCAAGGAAAGGCAAACCAAAACATGAAATCTACCAATAATGAAAGCTACTGATCAGAATAGAACCGAGAAATGAGTGAAAAGCTCATAAATTTTTCAACAAAGATATTGTTGTGTGTGAGTTGCCACAGGTTTGAAATGAGAAAAAGGTAAGTTAAGGCGATGAAAATCTTTACACAGCACACACAGAATAAATAGACAAAATGTATCAATCACAGAAAACATATCAAAACGGTGGGAAATCAGTTTAAAAAGAAGAGATCCAAGACTTTTCACGGACAAGGACATTTGATTGTTAGACAGCTTTCTTCAGAACAGTCTTATGAATCGTAAAATGTTTATGAGAGCTTGCATGAAATTTTGAAAAAATAAAGAAAGACTCTTGTTTGGAAATTGGCTATCTTAAATGAGTCAGAGTCGGAAGAATCGCCTACGAGACACAGATGAATTGTTTTCTTTTCATGGAATACACAATTTGTATTGGCATTTTCATCCCAGATCGCTTCTTTAACTTCGCGATCATTATAAAAGCCAAGAAGAATGATAGAAGTAGATCCCAATACATGTTTTCTCTCCTTCTTGCCAATACTTTGCGCGAAAGCTCGGTTTTTTTCACGGAAAGCAGAGCTTTTTGTAAGACGGTCACTCAGTTCATTTCTTTTTTGCTATTTGTCATTCAACAAGATCGAGATTCAGTTTTAAATCATAAGATAACTTTGCTTAGGTTTTTTGTCAGAGCAACGAAAACTGAGAAAAAGCTCAAATTCATTCAGTCTCCGGCAAGTTCAGGCGTCTCAGAACGGGAATTCTGGTTTCATCGAGAAGAACAATTATTTGCGGACGTACTGAGCCGCTATATTTTTGTACTGAAACAAAAAAAAAAGATGCTCTGAAGAACATCTAAGCAAAGTTCCATGAAAGTCAGGATCTGGACGTATTTTTATTATTCTTATGCTTTCACAAGTCGTGCAAACTGTTGGAAACTCTGGCGATTCGGTCTTTTCGTTTATTTCATTGTTGCAATCATCAAGAAATAAGAAACCAAGCTTGAAGTTTTCCCAGTTTGTTAGACTCCTATGTCTCTTCTCTCTTCAGAACAAAATTTTCATCTATCTCCGATGTTTCTCTGTCTTTTCGTGGTATATGTTCGTTAAAAGTATTTGGAAATTTCTGATAGAAATGAGCTTCTGTTTCAGTAGAAGCTCCAGCAACTCAACATGTGCGACTCCGGCAGCCCTCTTGTGAAAGGAATCTTGAAGAAGCCGAAAGAGGATCACACAATTTATATCCATGAAGATGCGTGGCTTCTTGTGAGTTTTCATAATAAACAAAAGTAGCACTTGGAAGTCACCTTCTCTAGAAATAGAAATAAGCTTCTGGTTGCTTATTATAAAATGATTCTTTTCAGCCCGAGCACGACAACGAACCCGTGTATGACCCCAGAGACACCAGCGTGCGTTTTTTTTTCTAAATATATTTTTCTCTAGAGAAAATTATCAGGCTAAGTCACTATTTTTTCAGTTCGAGAGCTATGACCCCCGCGATGCCCCGGCAACTTGGCGAATGAAGGTAACATTTCTCTCAGAAAAAAAAAACATTGACGCCTTTTTTTCAGTACTGGAACTTTAAGCGACACCTGGCTATTTTGTTCCAGAAGAAAAGAGCTCCCTACGTTGAGGTAAGAAGGCAATACAGTTTGAATAATCATGAACTTTCAGAACGATTACACTGAAATCTTGTTCCAACGAGTTGCGGAAAGTAAAGATTTTGAGAGTACTCCGTTCTCGGTGAGTCAGCTTTCAAAAAATGAATGAATATTTTTTTTGACACGAGAGTTGAGTCCGATAAAATGTTGAACATATACTTTTTGTTCAACTACCAAGTCTCTGACAAAAGAATTAAAAGTTCTTAAGACTCGAACAATAATCTATTAGTGCAAACTTTTCATTGCACTCAGAACTTCGTTTTTCAGATCCATTCGTCGCCGAACAACCGGACTTCTCCAGTCAAAGTAAGAAGAAGAAATGAAGTTTTTAAATACAAGCAAAATTTTAGGTGTGGAGTCTCGAGTCGTCTCCTCGTCTTGTTTGCGGAACAGATTTTTATCCACAAAAAGACGTGAGTTTCAGATCAATATGAAGACTTCTTTTTTTCCAAAAAAAATCCAATTGATTGACATTTAAACAAGAACTTCAGGCTGTCATGGCCGGAATAGACGTCGAAAGGCACACTGTGGTGCAATTCCATCCGGAGCGTCGATGCGTTACTTTTTGATGTTCGGAGTTTGATAATTTCATCTTTTAACAAAAATTTTTCCAGGTGGATTCTGCGCCGGAAGCGATTGGTTGGGCTGTTGAGTCATCCGCAATTTCTTCCGACGGGCTTCTCTCGACATGGGATTCCACTTTGGAGGCTTTCAGCCGGGACTTGATCCCCGGACGCCTCCATTTTTTTCTCGACTCCTTGTTCTTCGTCTGTGATCAAGGTTAGTTGAGCTCTTTCATTGCCAAAAAACTTCAAAACTGAGGCAACACATTCTATTTTTTTTACGTGGTTTGATTTGAAATCCGTTTTTTTGTCACAGTAACTGAATTTTTTCAGGACGACTGGCAGGAAGGAACGCCTATCCGTGCTCTCGGATGGTCGACGACGTCTTCCGATGGCCTGCTGTCGTCAACGGATTCCACCTTGGAGGCTATCAGCCGGGACTTGATCCCCCGGACGCCTCAATCGTCTTCTACACGTTGTTCTCTTGGTTTGGAGACCACGTCTTCCAACGGATTGTTGTCGACACTGACGTCTACTCTGTGCACAACGTCTTCCGGTCTTCTCTTTTCGAGTCCATCTCTGACAAGAAGTCTTTCGTCTTCTCGCCTTTCTCTCAGGGTGAGTCATATTTGAACTCATTTTCATTTCTCTGAGAATGGAAGACATTCTCACGCATTCTAGCATGTTTTCCAGAACTTCCATGTCCGTGGGGACCGAGAAAACGCCAAGAATATGATCACCTCCATGTGCGAACGATCGTCCAGTGAACAACTTCTTGTAAGAAGAATGAATGATAAGGTAACTTTTGCGAAATTGAACGAGATTACGAAGAACGATTTTTCAGTTCAAGGAGCTGATGTCCGAAGCTTCGGATGAGTCGCCGGAATACAACGAGAGTATCACGACCAACGCTGCCAGCGACCATTCAGTCCTGATCCCCAACTTCTCTGGATTGAGAAACGCGGTAAATTTTTCCAGATAATTTATTTAATCATTTCTTCTTGACAAGGTGTCATGCAAATACAGAAAAAAATACGGAAAATATTTTGGTTGTATGGGCTAAATCTCGTGTAAGAAAGTTTCGGGCTAATGATATTTGGCAAGAAAATCTTTCATACTTTCCGCTCAATCCTCTTGAAGTACGAGCATGACATTTCTATGAAAATTTAACAATTTTCAATCGAAATTCTTATCTAGTACCTATTTCAGACCTCCACTGGATCCTTCGAAGTCGTCGCCACGTTTGGAGCCGCATCCGAATCATTCTCCAGGTAAGCTTATTCAGCCTTAGTGAAAAATAACTATTCGGATTTCAGAATGGATGTGTATGCGAGCGTCGAGGAAAGCCTCGAAATGTTGGGTGACGTCAAATCGGCGGCTATTAAAGAAGGCATCCGTGTGACGGGGTTTGTCAGAAACAGGAAATTTCAGCAAAAAGATATTTTCAGATTTGTGAGCTGTGCCATTGGTTGTCCTTGCGAATGTAAAGTTTTGCCTGCTCATCTGGCTCAGATCACAAAACTCTTGCTCCGCTTTGGTTGCACTGAAGGTAAGGATTTTTTCCATTGTTGGGTATTTCGTCGAAAATTGGTGCTTGGAATAACAAAGTTGGGATCCGTGTCTCTTGGTTCTGCAGGACTTTGGTGAAGACTTTCAAAAAAAAGTGAAGTCAAAATCTTACATTGTGAAATTTTCATGCTTCCCTTCTTATCACGATTTCTGTCATTTCAATAATTCACGAAAACTTTTTCAGTCCACGTCAAAGAGACGAAAATCGCACTGACGGATTCAGCGGGAGACTTTATCAATATTCGGCTCACGTCTACTCCCACGGATGGAACTGCGGTACCGTCTGAAAACGCCAACGACATGACACTTGTGGATATTCACATTCCTGTCCAGGTCGGTAACCTGAAAATTGCTTGAACTTTTGTTTTTGATTGTGAGAATCCAGTGTAATTCTCGAGGTCAAGTAATAATTCTTCATTTGAATCATGACAAGAGCCAAAAAATTAGAATAAAAAATCTTTATTTTTTCTTAATTCATATGTAACTCTTTTTCAGAAAGGAATTTGTGTTGGAAACACGTCGACCGGGGAATCTAACGGAGTTCCTCATCTGCCGTCCAAGGACAACACCGGGGAAGAAGCCGACGTCGTCATCTACAAATTCTAGTTACTTGTGCCATGTCTTTTGTCATTTCTTTTGCTTTTCTTGGAATTCTAGCCCTTCTTCGTCTGTAAATTTTTTTCCTTTGCGTCTAGTAAATATTTCTATTGTCTGTGAATACTTTTTGCGTCGAATAAAACTTTCCTTCTCAGTCTTAGTTTTAGTAGAATTACAGTTTCGGTCTGTTCATACATTCATAAGAGCGAATAAATCATAACCCAAATTTGCAAGACGCTTCATGTCAGAATGGTTGCAAAGAGAAGGCGAACAAAACTACGATTCTGTCAGATTCGCCATGGAAGTCGTGAGGATTATCAAGAAGTTTTTTTTCGGTTCGTATGTTTTCTTCAAACCATTTTCAGCAATCGTCGCCTTCCTTTGACGTTCTTCAAAATTTCCGCCCTCTACGAGACATAAATATTTCTTCGGAGTAGCCGGTGTTGGTTGGAAACATTGATTCTAATCAGAGAAGGTTGCCAACAGATTATTGCCTCCAAAAAAAGGAGTTTTTCAGGTTTCTGTGCGCACAGAGGTCGGCCTAAACAGCCAACCAAAAGAGAGGTCTTGATCACGAAGATAAAAATTCCTGCTTCAGAATTTTTAACGAATCTTTTTAGTATTTTCGACTTTTTCATTGGCGCTTGGACTGGACATAAATGAAAAATATTGAATTGAAGTCGTTGAAAAACAACGAGAATAAAGGCTTCAAAGAGTCGACATTGTCTTCACCACACTCAAAGTTAGTTTTCCCGTTAGCAGAAGGATAATTTTCAGTTGCCCAGATTTTCAAATATCACTGTGACCTCTCAAGGAAAGGTTCGTGTCACGATATCCTCGCTCAACAGGCTGCTCTCATGTAGGAGCAACACTGTAACCTCGCCACGACGACTTGTTCTACGCCAGGACGATTTAATTTTTTGCGGTATTTCGATCTTATTGTTCCTTTTGAAGTGAAATGTATGCACATGGTTATGATACAGAGCTTTGAAGAGCTTTGTAAACACATGAATAACAAAAAATCGCAAGAAAACAAGAAAGAATTGGAGAAAAAAAGTATTTATTCTATTTTTTTCGAAAATTTCAAAATTGACAAGTGATGATAAAAATCACACGGTTAGATAGAGAATCGAACGGAGATCACAGCTATATAATTTTAATCACTAAAAGACCAACTTTGAAAACCAAGCATACTGTAGCTCTGCGCGCGCCCTGCGTATCTATGGTTATCGTTCTCTGCGCCCTCCGCGGCGAGAGAGTACTCGCTTTTCAAATCTTCCCCACATATTTCAGTTTTTATAAGTTCATTTTCATCCGTTTTTTGTTCTGTTTTTTGTAATAATGTTCTAAATAAGATGGAGAACACGTAGCTTTAATGTTCCATGTGTTATTTTCAGTTTTAGAATTAGTTTGCACTGTTTATCGCTATTTTTAGTGTTTAGGTTCACAACTTCTGTTTCAATTTGGTTTTTTTTATTCTGTTTTCACATATATTATTCTAATAAGTTTTTAAACATTTGCACATAATGATTTCATGTGTTGCTTGAAATTTTTTTTTTGCCTTATTTGACTATAGGCTGTTTTTATTCAAAATTTTCGAAGTTCTGTAGTCTTTACTGTTTTATTTTTTTTACACTGGAAATAACTGAAGGGTTTTTTTTGGTAATGTGAGGTATGTTCTGTTTCATACTAGATATTTGTTTCTAATAGTCACAAGAACGGCTTTTCTTTTTGTTTTCGCTTCTTTTTTGGCACCTTTTTCGTTCATTTCTCTCATTTGATAATTTTTCAGCAATATTCGCGGACGTTCTTCAATCTGTCTCATATATTCAAAACGATCAGAATGGTTCGGAGAAGCCGCAGTTTTTCCGAAACGTGTGATTTGACGCTGAGAAGGTTGCCAACAGATTATAACAACTGAAAAAAAAGTATTTTCAGGTTTATGAACCCACAGAGGTCGATCTCACCAGCCGATCTAATGAGAGATCGTGGTCTGAAAGGTAAAATATGATCATATGACAAATTTAACACGTTTTTAAGATTGTCAAGTCGCCTCTGTGCGCTCAAACTGACCACGGAACAAGTTTCAAATTGAATGGGTCGAGGAACAACGAGATAAAGTGGATTCAGGCGGGAAACGACAGCGTCCGAATCTTCATCGATGTAAGCTTTTCTTTTTTAAAACATGGAGAACTATCAAACTGGCTAGGTTTCCACCTATTTTCATGATTTTCCAGTGAAATTTTCGAGTCGCGGCTTGTCGCTCAACGGTTTTGGCAAATGCTCTCATGTAGGAGAGACACTGAAAACTTTGCCACGATGACGTGTTTCAATCCAGCGACGATTTGATATTCATACCGGTATTTGAATCACATTTTTCTGATTGAAATATTTGTATTTACAAGGCATCGACATGAAGAACATCGTCAAAATTGCAAGGTCGAACAAAGGGGCAAAATCAAGAAAGGTCTGAGTTGGCGCCGCCTGAGAAACTTTGAGCAATACGAGTTCTTTTTTTTATTTCAGGTGTTTGCTCTGGGTGAGGTTTTTCTTCTTTTCTTTGTCGAATAAAGTCTAATATTCATTGTCGTATATAAGATTTTCAGTGAAATATTGAGAACAAAGAGGTTTGAAGCATGGAAACTTGCCAGTTACATTCTTTCAAACAGAAAGCTCAAGGAAAGGCAAACCAAAACATGAAATCTACCAATAATGAAAGCTACTGATCAGAATAGAACCGAGAAATGAGTGAAAAGCTCATAAATTTTTCAACAAAGATATTGTTGTGTGTGAGTTGCCACAGGTTTGAAATGAGAAAAAGGTAAGTTAGGGCAATAAAAATCTTCATACAGCACACAAACACGGAACAACAGATTATATCAACCACAAAAAAATATCAAAAAGTGGGAAATAAGTTTAAAAAAAGAGATCCAAGACTTTTCAGCGACAAGGGCATTTGCTCGTTAGACAGCTCTTTTCAGAACAGTCTTATGAATCGCAAACTGTTTATGAGGATTCGCATGAAAGTTTGAACAAATAAAGAAAGACTCTTGTTTGGAAATTGGCAATCTCAAATGAGTCAGAGTCGGAAGAATCGCCTACGAGACACAGATGAATCGTTTTCTTTTCATGAAATGCACAATTTATATTGGCACTTTTATCCCAGATCGCTTCTTCGATTTGGCGATCGTTATAAAAGCCAAGAAGAATGATAGAAGCAGATCCCTAAACATGTTTTCTTTTCTTCTTGCCAATACTTAACGCAAAAGCTCGGTTTTTTTCATGGGAAGCTGAGCTTTTTTTGAGACTGTCCCTCAGTTCATTTCTCTTTTGCTATCTGTCATTCAACTAGAACGAGATTCAGTTTTATACCATAAAATAACTTTGCTTAGGTTTTTTTCAGAGCAACGGAAATTGAGAAAAGCTCAAATTCACTCAGTCTCCGGCAAGTTCAGGCGTCTCAGAACGGGAATTCTTGTTTCATCGAGAAGAACAATTATTTGCGGACGTACTAAGCCGCCATAACTTTTGTACTGAAACAAAAAAGACAGCTCTGAAGAACATCTAAGCAAAGTTCCATGAAAGTCAGGATCTGGACGTAATTATATTATTCTTATACTTTCACAAGTCGTGCAAACTGTTGGAAACTCTGGCGATTCAGTCTAGTCGTTTATTCTCTTGTTGCAATCAACAAGAAAGAAAATCACCAAGCTCGAAGTTTTCACAGTTTGTTAGACTCCTATGTCTCTTCTCTCTTCAGAATAAAATTTTCATCTATCTCCGATGTTTCTCTGTCTTTTCGTGGAATATGTTCGTTAAAAAGTATTTGAAAATTTCTGATATAAATGAACTTCTGTTTCAGGAAAAGCTCCACAACTCAACATGTGCGACTCCGGCAGCCCTCTTGTGAAAGGAATCTTGAAGAAGCCAAAAGAGGATCACACAATTTATATCCATGAAGATGCGTGGCTTCTTGTGAGTTTTCATAATAAACAAAAGTAGCACTTGGAAGTCACCTTCTCTAGAAATAGAAATAAGCTTCTGGTTGCTTATTATAAAATGATTCTTTTTCAGCCCGAGCACGACAACGAACCCGTGTATGACCCCAGAGACACCAGCGTGCGTTTTTTCTAAATACATTTTTTTCTCTAGAGAAAATTATCAGGCTAAGTCACTATTTTTTTTCAGTTCGAGAGCTATGACCCCCGCGATGCCCCGGCAACTTGGCGAATGAAGGTAACAATTTCTCTCAGAAAAAAACATTGACGCCTTTTTTTCAGTACTGGAACTTTAAGCGACACCTGGCTATTTTGTTCCAGAAGAAAAGAGCTCCATACGTTGAGGTAAGAAGGCAATACAGTTTGAATAATCATGAACTTTCAGAACGATTACACTGAAATCTTGTTCCAACGAGTTGCGGAAAACAAAGATTTTGAGAGTACTCCGTTCTCGGTGAGTCAGCTTTCAAAAAATGAATGATAATTTTTTTGACACGAGAGTTGAGTCCGATAAAATGTTGAACATATACTTTTTGTTCAACTACCAAGTCTCTGACAAAAGAATTAAAAGTTCTTAAGACTCGAACATTAATCTATTAGAGCCAAACTTTTCATTGCACTCAGAACTTCGTTTTTTTCAGATCCATTCGTCGCCGAACAACCGGACTTCTCCAGTCAAAGTAAGAAGAAGAAATGAAGTTTTTTTAAATACAAGCAAAATTTTAGGTGTGGAGTCTCGAGTCGTCTCCTCGTCTTGTTTGCGGAACAGATTTTTTTATCCACAAAAAGACGTGAGTTTCAGATCAATATGAAGACTTCTTTTTTCCAAAAAAATCCAATTGATTGACATTTAAACAAGAACTTCAGGCTGTCATGGCCGGAATAGACGTCGAAAGGCACACTGTGGTGCAATTCCATCCGGAGCGTCGATGCGTTACTTTTTGATGTTCGGAGTTTGATAATTTCATCTTTTAACAAAATTTTTCCAGGTGGATTCTGCGCCGGAAGCGATTGGTTGGGCTGTTGAGTCATCCGCAATTTCTTCCGACGGGCTTCTCTCGACATGGGATTCCACTTTGGAGGCTTTCAGCCGGGACTTGATCCCCGGACGCCTCCATTTTTTTCTCGACTCCTTGTTCTTCGTCTGTGATCAAGGTTAGTTGAGCTCTTTCATTGCCAAAAAAACTTCAAAAACTGAGGCAACACATTCTATTTTTTTACGTGATTTGATTTGAAATCCGTTTTTTTGTCACAGTAACTGAATTTTTTTCAGGACGACTGGCAGGAAGGAACGCCTATCCGTGCTCTCGAATGGTCGACGACGTCTTTCCGATGGCCTGCTGTCGTCAACGGATCCCACCTTGGAGGCTATCAGCCGGGACTTGATCCCCGGACGCCTCAATCGTCTTCTACACGTTGTTCTCTTGATTTGGAGACCACGTCTTCCAACGGATTGTTGTCGACACTGACGTCTACTCTGTGCACAACGTCTTCCGGTCTTCTCTTTTCGAGTCCATCTCTGACAAGAAGTCTTTCGTCTTCTCGCCTTTCTCTCAGGGTGAGTCATATTTGAACTCATTTTCACTTTCTCTGAGAATGGAAGACATTCTCACGCATTCTAGCACGTTTTCCAGAACTTCCATGTCCGTGGGGACCGAGAAAACGCCAAGAATATGATCACCTCCATGTGCGAACGATCGTCCAGTGAACAACTTCTTGTAAGAAGAATGAATAATAAGGTAACTTTTTTGCGAAATTGAACGAGATTACGAAGAACGATTTTTTTCAGTTCAAGGAGCTGATGTCCGAAGCTTCGGATGAGTCGCCGGAATACAACGAGAGTATCACGACCAACGCTGCCAGCGACCATTCAGTCCTGATCCCCAACTTCTCTGGATTGAGAAACGCGGTACATTTTTTCTGATAATTTATTTGATCATTTCTTCTTGACAAGGTGTCATGCAAATACGAAAAAAATTACAAAAAAGTTTTTGGTTGTATGGGCTAATTTCGTGTGAGAAAGTTGGGCTGATAATGTTTGGGAAAAATCTTTCATACTTTCCGCTCAATCCTCTTGAAGTACGAGCATGACATTTCTATGAAAAATAGGCGATTTTTCAACCGAAATTCTCACCTAGTACCTATTTCAGATCTCCACTGGATCCTTCGAGGTCGTCGCCACGTTCGAAGCCGCATCCGAATCTTTCTCCAGGTAAGCTTATTCAGCCTTAGTGAAAAAAACTATTTGGATTTCAGAATGGATGTGTATGCGAGCGTCGAGGAAAGCCTCGAAATGTTGGGCGACGTCAAATCGGCGGCTATCAAAGAAGGCATCCGTGTGACGGGGTTTGTCAGAAACAGAAAAATTCAGCAAAAAGATATTTTCAGATTTGTGAGCTGTGCCATTGGCTGTCCCTGCGAAGGTAAAGTTTTGCCTGCTCATCTGGCTCAGATCACAAAACTCTTGCTCCGCTTTGGTTGCGCTGAAGGTGAGGATTTTTTCCATTGTTGGGTATTTCGTAGAAAATTGGTGCTTGGAATAACAAAGTTGGGATCCGTGTCTCTTGGTTCTGCAGGACTCTGATAAAGACGTTCAAAAAAAAAGTGAAGTCAAAATCTTACATTGTGAATTTTTTATGCTTCCCTTCTTATCACGCTTTTCGTGATTTTAATAATTTACGAAAACTTTTCAGTCCACGTCAAAGAGACAAAAGTCGCACTGACGGATTCAGCGGGAGACTTTATCAATATTCGGCTCACGTCTACTCCCACGGATGGAACTGCGGTACCGTCTGAAAACGCCAACGACATGACACTTGTGGATATTCACATTCCTGTCCAGGTCAGTAATCTGAAATTTGCTTGCACTTTTGTTTTTGATTATGAAAATCCAGTGTAATTCTCGGAGTCAAGTAATAATTCTTCATTTGATTCATGACAAGAGCCGAAAAGTTAGGATAAAAAAATCTTTATTTTTTTCTTAATTCATATATAACTCTTTTTTTCAGAAAGGAATTTGTGTTGGAAACACGTCGATCGGGGAATCTAACGGAGTCCCTCATCTGCCGTCCAAGGACAACACCGGGGAAGAAGCCGACGTCGTCATCTACAAATTATAGTTACTTGTGCCACTTTTTTTGTCATTTCTTTTGCTCTTCTTGGAATTCTAGCCCGTTTTCGTCTGTAAATTCTTATCCTTTGCGTCTGGTAACTTTTTCTATTGTCTGTGAATACCTTTTGCGTCGAATAAAACTTTCTGTCTCATTTTTGTTGAAAAACCTTTTGATTACACTTCATGGATTGATATGAGCTAAAATGGAATAGCTGGAGTTTTGCGGACGATTCAAGCCAGAAATATTCTGAGGAAAAGCGGTATCGAATCATCAGTTTTCAGTTCTACAGTTGATCAGCTGAGTAAGACTGCCCACTGAAAAATAATTGGCTATCACATAATCTTTGAGCTTGGCGCAGTCGAGATCACTCCGCTATTCGGCTGGGTGCCTGTTTTCTGCAAATTTTCATCACGTGAGTATAAGTGTGATCCAAAAAGTCGTTTCGGAAATAAACTAAACCGAGCTATCGGTTTCCTTACGAAGTTTTCACAAAATGCGCGACCGAGGAGAAACCGGATTGTTCAAATTTGGTTTTTGTTGTAGCTGTCTGGTCCAAGAAGTTCAGAAGGTTCATGAAGAAAAAAAAAGTGACTGACAATTCAATTGGCCACAGTAAAGAAAGCGTTTTCATTTCGATTGTAAAATGAGTTTTTTCCCGATTTGAAAGGCGAAAAAAGAAAAAAAGGCAAGAGTGACGTGTTGCGTTCGAGACGCGGCTTTTAGCGGAAAAATACGAGATCAAACAGAATAAGTGAAAAAAATTATAGAAAAAAAGTTACAAATTTTTCACATTTTTTTATTTTGTAAGAACTTATTTGAAACCGTAAAAAAATGAATCACTGTAAAAAAAGTTATCAAAAAGAATGAAAGACTAAAAACAAGCGACTCGCCTCTGAACTTGAGCTTTCCGTCAAAAGACGCTTTGCGTACGCAACATTTTTTTTCCTTTTTTAAATTCGGAAAAGGATTGATTTCATTTCATTTTGAGCCCAGTTCAATTAATGTGAATTTGCCAAAAAGTTCATGAAAAAAATATACCAAAAATTCATTTTTTTGAGAAACATTAAAAAAATGGTTGGACCATAAAAACTGATTAAAAATTCGAAGAAGAAACAGAAAAAGTTTTCATCTTCGGACCACTCGAAAAATCGTTTCCTACTATCACAAGAAAGACGAGATGCTCTACGCGCCGTTTTTGATCAACGACAGTTTCACGAACCGAGAAACAACTTTTCTATAATTCCATGATTCAGAAGATAATTCTTTCTAAACTTGTGATGTGTATGTGTAAAATTTGAGCCGTCGTTTCAAAGATTTGCAAATTGACACTGTTCCGACGAAAAAATATTGAATGCCAGATCCAGACACTGAAAGAGAAGGACAGAAATGTAGCGGATCTCTGTACCGGATCCTGCATTGAAAATCTCCTTTCTTTTCGATCTTATCATTTATTGACCTCGTTTTAAACTCCTTTTTTTCACGTTATCATGCATTGACCCCACTTGAAACTTCATTTTTTCTTTTCACCGTATCATTTAATGACCTCGTTTCGAACTCCCTTTCTTTCACACTCTTCCTTTCTTTTCACTTGTTGGAATGAGAGTTTTTTGAGATGCTGAGATTTCTTCTTGATCAAGATTCTTTAGAAAAAACGTGAAAACATCACCCAACCTTTCATGAGTTTTTTTTTTGATACTTATTTATTTCACACACCTTTTAATTATTTTTTTCAGATTACCTTGATTGAGAATATGCTTTGAATCAAACATTTTTTCCTAAATAGTACGAGTTTCAAAAGCATTCACTTTGATATGTATCATTTCAGAGCTAATTTTTTGATGAATTTAAGAAAAAGTGCTTTTTTTCTTAGCAAAAAAAGAGTTTTTTTAGATTTTCCAACAAAAAAATCTGGCCACAGTTATAATAGTTATTGCTTGCCTTATATTCCCACCCTGATAAATTTTTAATCTTCCTTATCCCACGCTGATAAACTTCAAATTCTGATATTCCCACACTGATAAACTCTAAATCTTCCTATTTTCACACGGATAAATTTTAAATCCTCACGTTCCCACGCTGATAAACTTCAAATTATAATGTTCCCACAGTGATTAACTTTATATCCTTATAATCTCACACTGAAGGGCGTTTTTTTCTCATGCGATGGCAGTTTGCAGGAAATCTTCCAAGCTATGTTTTCTGTTTCAGTTGTATACGATACAAAATCAAAACAATTTTCTTCAAGAACCAGGTTCAAGCTCACAAAAAAGTTTTCGAGTTTTAACTAATTTCAGTCCAGAGGTTGAGAACCAATAAGTTCAGATAAGCGGTCGAATTCGGGGACGAAGACGGTCTCTTTTTTTCCTGACCTGAAGTATATCATTTTCATTTTATTTATTCATTTTTTGCTTACTCTAGCTGTCTTTTTCTAGCGATTGCGACTGCATCTCTCATAGTTGGATAGAAGTTTTCTTTAGCAACGAAAGAATAAAATCCACTGAGTTCAAACAGTTCCCGAACAGGAGCTGAAAAAAAGTTATGATTTTTAAAAAATAAAAGGCTACTAAATTTTTCTTATTTTTTTCGCGATGAGAAGTTAGAAAAATTTTTTTTAATAATAGAAGAGAAATTTTTCACCTTTCGCGGCTGCAAAAATAAACCAGGATTCCTCTGCTTCGCATTTCACAGTAAATCTGAAAAAAACTCTCTCACTGTTTGCGCGGCTTGAACCAATAAAAATTAATCCCGCCTTTTTCAACTTTCTTTCTATTTTTTTAAACTCTTTTTACTTGTTAATGACATGACAAATCGTTAAGAACTCTAAATTTTTCAAACTTCAATCGTTTTTCTTACCTCTTTCAAGGCACTCACGCCCATGTAATCTACAAAAGTGAATCCGGAGCAGTCGATGATAAAATGTCTGGAGAGAATTTGCTCAACACGAGTCTGCATGTCGGGCGAACGTGGCTCCTTGAAATATTGGAAAAGCTTCAGACAAAAACTTCTCACCTCAGTTTTTTCGATATTTTTCAAATCGACAACAGCCATTTTTTCGATGTTATCCCGAATATCGGTTTGCATTAGTATCGCTTGCCGTTCGTTCATCAGGACAAAAAATTCTTGCGACTTCTCCCATTCCTGATACGCTTTCTTCACTGTTTGTTTGAATCTGAATCTCCCTTTTCCAATGTGAAGCTTCTGTAAGATACCGTTCAACGTTTGTGAATAAAAGCGGGGAATCAAAGCGAAACATGCAAATCCCCTAAATTTAATAATATTTTCAGGACAGAATAAAAAGAACTGACGCTGTAGAAACAGACATCTTGGTATCTTTCGGAATCTCTGTAATCCGTAGTTCCTTTGACATTGGCGAGCAGATGCCATCGAGGCCTGAGGCAATTTTTTTTTACAAAGAGGTGACACTAGTCTTGCCTTTTTTTACCTGTTTTTTTGAATTACTGTATTTTTCTTCTTTTTATTTATTAATTTCTTTGTTTCATTCAGTATACTGTTGATTTTTTTTTTGCTGTTAATACAATGTTTGAGAATTTTTCCCCACATGTTTTTGCATGATGGCTGAAAAACTCTTCATCAAGTCCTGATAAAAAAAAACAGGCAAGGAGGAATAAGTTGAATAAATATGACGCCGTAACGCAACCGGTCGTGTGCCTACGGTCCAAAGAATCACAAGTTCGATCTCCTCCGCGAACCAACCAAGCGGTTGAAAAAACGTTGGTAGTTGGAAAAAACCAACTGAAACCACCAGCCATAAGAGAGAAGGGCTGAAATATCACCAGATACAGTTCACGGATATCAGAATAGATCCCCGTCCCATCGACTGGGGCGCCAACGCCGCTCAAACGGTACAAAGGCAAAATTAAAAGAAGAAGATTGGGTAACAAAATAAAACAACAAAGAATCATTGATCGAAATCAAATGTTGATACATTACCCAATACAGAAAAATGATGCATGACTTGGAAAAATAATACTCAACCTGCAAGGCAGAGTTTCTTTCCTGAAGACTGAAACCTCCCTTGAAAAAAGGTTCATAGAATGATACATGTTCTGAACCGAGTTTAAGCTTCAAAAACAATTTTGAACTCAACGGCTCACAAATTGTTCAATTCTCTAGTCCGAATCCCAGTCAGGAGCACAGGACAGCTTATGAAAAATTAAAAAACGGACATAACATTCTTATATCAATTGAACGAATTCAGTTTTACCCCACAGACCAAAAATTCTAAGAAAACTATCCTAAAAAAGACAAAGCCTATGCAGAATAATTACCCCGTAAAAGTTAGAGGAATCGCAAAGTATGAAAAGCAAGTTCTACCCTGACAATCTGCTCGGTGAACTATCCTTGTTTGAAAATATGCGATTACTGAAAAAACAACACGGAGAACCTATCAATGGGTTAACTTCGGAAGTTTAAGCATTTACCATGTGTAACAAGGGTAAGTTTTTTCTCACCTTCGTGTCTGATCGCGCATCCATTGGACAAATTATGTCACCATGGAGCCCGATATCTTGCTCATTATGAAGCAAAAGTCACAGAAGGATATAGCAAATTGAGAGCTGTCTTACTAAAAGACTCATCAAGTTCTCATACAACTCTATAAGACTGTCACAAGGCAATTAAAAATTGTCAAGTTTGAACATATGAAATAATTTTCACAAAGAACAATGTTCTGAAATTCGAAAAAATATAATTACAAATCAAATGCAGAACATAATAGTGGCTCATCCACCCCACTTTGATAAATTATACCGAAGGAAAAATCTCACACAGCAAGACATAAGAGTTATAAAACACAACCATTCTTTGGATTTATCCAATCCATCTACAAAAAATGATAAAAATCCTCCTACGACTCTGCAAAGCAGTCGTCAGAAGAAATACCATATCATGGAAAGCTTCTATCGGAAAAGTTGCCATAGAACTTTAATGAATCAACTGTTTCAAGTCCCGGTTTTAAGCATCGCTGTTTACAAAATGCCAGGCAGAACACAGAAAATTTCACAGCAGTCCACCAACCACAAGAAAACACGGACATACTATGAAAACCATATTGAAAAATCTATTTTCAACAAACAAAAGAAATCTTAAAAAACACAAGATTCTTACAGTTATGGAAGGTAATCATCCTATTGGTCGGTGTATCCGGCTTGAATTCTTATACGACTCTGTAAGTGAGCCGTGAAAGAAGACCCTTCCATTTGAATTAAGACCATCGTGTCGGACGAAGCAACCTTTATACAAGGATTTTCAACATGGTATGGCCTCACTATCCTTATAAAGAAGCACGATTTGATACATCGCGCTGATAGCTTTTGTAGAAATAACTACATGCAAGCTCTTACACTAAGCTGCAGCGCAGTAGTGAGAGCAAGACGGGAAATCTTTCGGTTTGACCATCGCTTCTGATGGCACCACCGTCGTGCGAAGATTTCCCTAATAACACTAACTTGACTGCATTCTTCAAGAAGCACAAGTTATAAGGAAAAATGGCAAATTCCAATTCGGATTTTGCCTAGGACAGGAATCTTTAAATTGATTCGAAGTCCACTGAATAAAATCATCAGAAGGTAAGTAAATATACTGATGAATGCACCTCACGTGGGTTTTTTTTTGATTTTCTTAGGATTCCGTGTTCAATTCCTTTTTTTGTTTCAGAAACGACAAAAAATTTCTACTTATGCCAAAATCGAGAAGTCAGAGGGAGGTCCCTGAATATATAGGCAAAATGCAGAAGGACCAAAACTACGAATTCAAAAAAAGTGTTTCAAATCCTTGCCAGTGCCTTCTCAATAGTTTTTTTCTCAGTGATTTTTTTAGTGAAAAATTATAATAATAAGGCTACAATCAGAAGGCTTATAAGAAAATTTTCAAAAAAAAAAGTTTTTTTCTAGGCTTGAAGGTCTCACAGATTTTATTTGTGAATGAAAAGGCAAATTTAAATTTGCAGGATTCAAAGCTAATCTGGAACAGATTGTCGGAAGAAGATTACAGAGCAGAGAATTTCGAGAGAATGTTTTTCATTTGATGAAACCTGAGATCAAAGTAACGTTCCGATGATTATCCTGGGATGGATGGAATGGCGAGGAAGGCGGAGAAAAATGCGGAACGCTTAGCGGGTGCGTTCGCGGTTCTTGGCACGAGATCAATTCAATCACCAGCGACTCTTTAGAAAGCTCGTTTATTGCTCTTCTGATTTTTTTTCATTTTCGCAGTAAAAAATAGGAGATTTGATGGAAAAAGAACGGTGACCGAGCTTTCTAAAAGTTGGTGGGCGGTTGAATTGAACTCGTGCCAAGAACCGCGTACACGCACTTCTCCGCCTCCCTTGCCCTCCAAGTCAAAAGTGATTGACCATAACGTTTTCTGATTTCTTAGAAATAGGTTAGTTGTTTTCTGATTATGTGATAATTTTTTCAACTTTCAGATATCTTTTTTCAAAGTTGATATCTATTTTAAAGTCAGCCAGTCCTTCAAAATAAGTATGACTTTTATAAACTTCATTTTGACGTATTCTTCCGAATTCAGATTTCAAGACATGAGCAGCCTGCGAGATATAACGTGACTGAAATGAACCCGAAATCTCACCACTGCTCTCGAATGACCGTAGTGAAAAGAGCGTAGAAAATTGAAATGATAAGTCCTTCAGAAACATCGATCAACACAGTAGCCGCAAACGATACGACCCAGATGCTCTGTTACAATGTCTTATGACTTCTGAGATTCAGGTAAACTCACAAAATCAATTTTCGATAGTGGCCATAAAGTTCTCAGATCGGAAAACTTCTGGATCATCCCTTTCAATGCGACAACGACGATGGATGCGAGGACGCACTGGTAATCGATTTTCGGTTTGTTTTTTTCTTTCAAACCTCACCATAGGCAGAGGCTCCAAAAATTTACCGAAGTAAAATGCGACGGCAACAACAAAAACTGAACCGAAAACTGTTGACAACTGAAACATTTTTGATTTTTATTTCGAATTCGGACTGTCACACCTGCGTTTTAGTACCGGCTTCGACATTGACGAGCGTTCGACCGAGCGAGCAGGAAACAGGATAAACTGGGAGTACGCTGCTGCCCAATGAGCAGAACGACAGTGCGATAAGTTCCTGGAAGGAGAAAGAAGGACCGTGTGACCTTTGCAGAGCTTCACCGAGATTCTCATCTTCATGAAATGAGATAAAATTACTTTCTGATTTTTTATCCTCTTCTGAACAACCTTTCTCTCTGAAAACTTGACGTCAACTTTTATTCGTTCCAGTTCTAGTTACTTTTTATCATTTTTGCATATAATATGTTGTCCGATTTGATGTAGACGTTAGGTTATTCTTTCCATATTTGGAAAATTTTCTAGTTTTTGAGCAGTAGGGAGCCATATAATAGTCTGTTTTTATGGATTTTGAGAATTTTCTCAGATTTTGAGGCTCCTTTCTTAAAAAAAACTAGAAAAATTGTGGTTTTTTTAAAAATTTTTTTCCTTTCTGTTTTCGAATGAGTTTCATATCATTTTTTTCGTTTCTTAATTTTTCATATTTATAGCTTAATGAACTTTATGTGATTAGCCTCTGTTTTAGTTTTAATTTCAGTTTTAGTTTTCCTACTGCTTTCTTAGCTATTTTTATTTGAACTTCTGAAAATCTTTTTGAAGTTGAATTTTCCTGTAAGTAGTTTTGTGAGCTTGATAAGTTACTGATACAATAATTATTTATCTTCCAATTTTTTTTAATTCATGTTTTTTTTTCTTCATTGTATTTTTTACAAGAATTTTGAATTAATGGTTTTTTTGCACGTTATGTGTTCATGTACTTCTTTTTCGAAAAAGCTTGAATCGAAATATTTTTTTCATTGTATCAGACATTTCATCATATTTATCTCGTGAGATCCACTTATAAATAAAAAAATTTTCATGGATCCATTTCATTTCCTCGAAATTTTTGATTAGCCGCCTTGAGAGAAGAAAAACTAACCTGACCAGCGTCGATTTTGTAGTTTAATTTCTTTGCAAACATTTTAGCCAAAGACATATGAATGGCAACAGTTACAATCGTGATCCCGAGTGCCTCATCGAAAATATCGGGAACTAAATCGATTCTTGGGACTGAAACGCTTGGTAAACTGAATTTCAAAACTCCTTCATGAAACATTTTGAAAAACTGACCCCGTCGGAATATGGCCGATTATTTTGACGGCGAAGTTTTTGTGGAGGTCCAGCAACTGAGAAAAAACTGTTCCCAAGAGCATCTAATAATTCGGAATCAATGAAAAAGGTCATCCTCAGAGACAACTGACCACAATTATTTCTAACGGAATCGGAACATTTTTTGTCTTTCTCTTGACGATTGGATTCACATACTCTTTGCCAATATGTAAAATAGCGATGGTCAATATTGAAATCGTCAAAGTAACGAGATTCGTTTTTGGCAGAGTCCGCAAGAGATCGTAGAGATGCTGAAAATATAGAAAAGGGTACAACTAGAATTCAATACCATTATGAGGTAACCAGGTCCCATTCTTCGTCGAAGATTCCGAATTCCGAATAGATCTTTGATTTGTGAGACAAAAACGTGACAAGAAGCTCCAGTTGTGAAGCCAGCGACAACCTCAAACTTCGATTGAGGCTTTGTAAAAATTCTTGATTCACCTGATCGGATAAGTAGGTTGTCAGAAAAGACAGACGTAAAAACCCCATCAATAACTGAAATTCTAAGTGAGTGGGAAGGAGGAAAAGTCGCTCACTTCAATAGCTCCAACAGTGATGATCAAAGCAGATGCTACTTCTAGAGGAGTCGGTGCGATTCCGCTTTCTTTGAGAAAAGATATCGTTACATTAGTTTTACCAGCGTCGATGGCTTGCTGCGCTGCTGCATCTGTTAACTTAGTGACAGCAATTCCTGTCATGAGACTGACAACGGCGAATGATCCTGAGAAAAGAGCTAGCTTTATTTTGTGAGAAGATCTTCAACCTATAGAGTTGTGCCGAGAGGTGCCGAAGATCATATAGAGAAGAGGAGGAAACAGAGACGTATAAAGGCCTACCATGGCGTTTTGCTTAGCTAGAAGCGCATATGCAAGGCCTAAAGTTTCCATTTCGGTTGATGCGAGGGACCTTTGAGAAGTCGTTCAAAAGGAAAGTATGGTCAGAACGTTCCTTGATGTACCAAATAACGATTCTGAAAGTTTCAACCCGCAAAACTTCCTCGTTTTTGAGAAAAGACGCCTCTAAGTCAAAGAAACCCTCAAAACCCATTAAAATAGGCTATTTTGGGGCTTCAAGTCCTTATTTCTCGTCAAATAGAAAGTTTTGCAAATTGAAAATTTCAGGATCTTCATCTGGTACAAAAATGATTCTTCTGGCTTATTTTTAAGGAATTCCGAACCGCAAAGAAAAATGACCTTACTTGTGAAACAGGAAACAGTATTTAAAAATTTTTTTTTAATTTGCAGGAAATCTTTTTTTTTCTTGCAACAAACCTTGAGGAACTTGCATCACTCCAACCGTCAGACCTCCTATAAAATCGCTACTTAAATTTTTCTTGAATATTATAGCAAGTAAGCCAGTCAAGAATGGGAATGAGGGATAGAATCCAAGCTTTGAAAAAGCTGCCAAGACGTGAATGGGTCAAAGTATCTGAAATAATAAACTTTTCAATTAAAAAGGATTTTTTTAATGAACTTACGAGTGCAAGTACTTCCGCATATGTTTTTTCGCAAAACTTTCTTCGGATGATGGATGTTGATAGACGAATGTTTTATCGAACTCATCCTTTTCGAAAATTTTTGTGAGGAAAAGAGAATGGAAACCTGGTTCATGGGCGGTCTGACAACGACGCTCGATCGCTTATTCGTATACCGAACACTTGATGAGACATTCATAGGTACGCTTGTCACAGATGTAATGTCACTGGTTTCTTCCATTACCCTGTAGAAGATGATTCCGTTTTTTGAACATAAAGTTACTCGAAAATTTCCAAAAAAGCTCGTTTTTTCTGGATTCCGATGTTAAAAAAGAATTCCCGGACTATTTAACGTTTAACATGGACAAGTTTTTGATGACCTTAGTAAAATTGTTTGAAATACTGGATTTATGTTTTAAAGATAAACATCAAACGTTAAAACTTATCAAAGCGTGATGAGTATCGAAAAATGTGAATTTCAAAAAAATTCCTAACATTGAGCCGAGTTTTTGGAGGCAGTTTTTTTATTTCAAAAATGAAAAATAAGGTTAAAAAAATTACTGAAAAAAATAAATAGCGCATGAGCAGTCTTTAATGTTTTAAGTCACGGTGAAAAAACTCATTTTTCATTTTTCAACATGGAATTGAAAAAAACTCTGTTCAGGAATACTTTTAAAATACACTTTAAAAGCCTCCTTTTCAATAAAATATCTGTAGGAAGAGAACCGAGAAAAAATGAATTTTCCCCCCTCACATGTTGAGCGTGTTTCAGATTAACATACATTTGTTTTACATAGCAAAAGTTGACATGGTGTTTGAGGCCGTCGGAATGCTCGATTAGGCAAATGGGGATAGTCTTTGATCATAAGAAATCACCAGCACGCGAAACAACACGAGTTGCAAGTTTTTGTGTTTAATGACCTTGGAATTTTCAATAAAAAAATTAATAAATCTTTATTTTGAACGCAATGAAATCTGTTGGGCAAGAATGGAATACAACGGAGTTTTTGTGATATGTTACTTTTTGGAGATTCAAGTTGAGAGTATCGCGCTTGGCTCTAGCACATAATGAAACACATTGATCGAGTAAAAAATATCTTTTTTTTGTCTTTCTTTCAAAAATCATAATAAATAGGGTATAAAAGGTCCTATGAACCACGTCTGCTCAGAAACCGTAAAAAGGCAGACTCGTCTTGTTATTGGGTTTAAATGGTCTTCGGTAATTTCTGAATTTCTTGATGAAATCATATGTTACTGGAAGCCACTCTTGCCGCCTTCGGATGCGTGGGACCCTTCTCCACTAGAGTTCTGAAAATAATTGCTTTGAAATTTTACAAAAACAATCGCCGTTAAAAAAAACGCAAGATTCCAAGATAACTAACTGTATTTGCCCTCTCCTCGCGTTGACAGAAAGCCGGACAGTGGGAGAATCGCCCGTGGAAAAAGGTGAGCTTATTTTTTTGCATCCGACTAGTTGTAAGAACGCTTCCCGGTATTCGGATGAACACAAGGCGTACAGATAGAAGTTATAAAGGTAACTGAAATAAGCAAGTGGAAATGCTTCTTTTTGATCTGCGAACCTGGTGACTTGCAGTAAATTTGCGATAGCTCGAAACGTCTGCCAAAACATTGATTCGTTGACCAAGTTTCTGAACTCAAATTCCAATAAAAAAATCAAAATATTCATGCTAATTTGAACTAGATCAATCAAAATATCAGGTTTTGAAATTGAAGTTTTCTTTTTATGGTAAATTAAAAAAAATTCGGACAGATAAGAGCCTTTTTAAAGTTCGAAGCTTAAACAAGAAGGGGATTCTTCCATTCTCACTTGATGAATAATGACAAGAAAGAAGCTGGGAGGTTGCAAATGACGAAAGTGGTCGAGGTGACGAGAAGTAGAGCCGAAATACGGCCGCGATCCTCTCGGACGCTTCGCACGGACCTCCTGAAAGATTCCCACAATGCCGGTCTAATGACTTCAGCCGACCCTGAGAGCTTGGTCGTGCGACTCGTCCGTGAAGAACGTCCCCATTTCGATTGTCTCTTCTCCATCCGTCGGAGGCTTCTGATCATTGCTGCGTTCAAGATGACGAGTATTATGACTGGACCCCAACGAGAAACAATCTTAATCAGTTCTTTCTTGGATTTTTTTAGATTGGTGTAAATGAAAAAGGATATTTTCCTAAACTGTGTGGGTTTCTTTCTAAACGGGAAATACAATATTTCTCATTAAATCACAATCAGTTATCAAATGAAGAAAAGTTAACTCTGGTGATAAGAACTGGGTATTACGAATTTTTCTGCGTCTTGAAGGTTAAGAAAAGTTTAATCGCTGAAATAAAAAAGGGTTTCATAATCCACTTTTTTGTAGTGAGGCAATAATCGATCACATACTCCAAATTTTTCGTCATTTTGTATCAACTACTTTGAGATTTTTGGTGCGAATCTCTGTTTCTGCAACCAAGAGTTTTTACCTCGCGGAAAATCAAGTAAGCCTGAAACCAGAAGTTTTCTTCCACTTCTTTATTTCGCGTCACGTTCCACGTCGGTCTTCAAATAACCCAATATTCAAATCCACAAATTCAATGAACAAACTCCAGATTGTCGTGAGAAACATGTTCGAGCTTTTTTTGCCACATTGATGGGATGTAAATCAGGAAAGCCGTTAAATATAGCGAGAAAATGACGCAAATCGTGCGAGCCCGTGAGTCGGAGGCGTGGAAAAATTTGATAGGGTGACATACTGAAAGGTATCGATCCACCGTCATTGCGACAATGTTCAAAGCACTGAAATTGAACTTCTCTTGAGAATAATCAAAATTTTGATTACCTGCAACAAATCAATGCATTTATAAGTGGCAGTTCAACATGAGCATGATATAACATGCCGAATCTCCACCTCGGGTCTATCAAACTAGCGTGTCTCAAAAGGAAAGGGACCAAGGATATTATACTAAAAATATCCGCGATGGCAGAGGCCTTGAGGTACAGAAAGCAACCAGTAGGAAGTTGCAGCAAAGTACACACGTTTAGACACTGATTAACCATTCCTGAAAAACCGCTTCGTTATTCCAAAAATTATGTAGCTTGAAACTTTTCCCATTGTTTATTACATAAAATAACTATCAGTTTACCTATAGAAAGGACGATCGGCATAACAATAACGTGAGCCACATAGTCGACCTGAGCCATAGGCGCACCCTCCGCCTCAATTGCTCCAAAAACTTTGCGTGACAGCCCGCTGAAAAATGTGAGAATGCTTCTAAACAAAATGGGATGAAATAAACGTTCATAACGTTTTTTTTTCACACCAAAAGCCTCGTCGAATCTGTGGATCAGAATCATGATCTTTATAAGCTTTTCTAATCAGAAGAATCGCACTTTCAGAATGTCTTATTTTGATATCCTAATCCGAAAAGCTCAGGTATTATCAGCATGACTGTTCAAATGTAACTTCTTTTCGACAACTAAAAACTCCAAAAGCTCGTTTGACAATATATCACAACGTGCAATTTTAAATATGAAGAGAGTTTTAAAAATTTCTTTAGGTTTTTTAAAAAGCCTCCTAGGTAAAATTTAATTTAGAATTAGTCATTACACGGAGGCTTAGAGATTTTCAAAAAATGAGGAAGAGTTTGGAACAGGAAACAAGGATTTTTTAAAAACGAAAAAAAAACATAAGAGAATACGCGAAAAAAAAACAGTGCCGAGCAACAAGAAACCGGGAAGCAACGCTTCGACACGGAACGTGACCAAGCCGATCCTTGGCATGCTTTATTTCCAGCATTGTTCTTGGAGAAGCCTTGAGCAACCTTAGTGCACAACAATGAGCTTTGTTCTGAAAGTATCTCCAGCTCGTGGGAAAAATTCTCGCCCAGAGTGCTCGAATTTTCAGGAAGCGTTTCTGCATCAAAAACGAACTTTAAAATTCGATTTCGGGAACACTTTTCTAGACTTGAAAATGAATTCGATCCGAATGCTTCTTCTTTTTCGCTTTTATATGGAACGTTCCGTAATTGCCCTATGATGCGGGTCACATGGCAAAGTCTATCAGAGAATAACGACTTCCCTGAAGAAGTGCCGTTTCAACCTCAAAGCGAACATATTCTAACAAGGTAATTCTAACTGCGGAAAAAGCACGAGATTCTTTTTCGAGCTTACTAGAGCTCCGTCAACAGCAAAATGAAGGCAATAGAACTTGTTAGTTTGAAGCTCCGCGTAGGTCATAAGCAGCAACTACATGTGTATCTACAAAAAAAGAAGAAAAAACTATGTCGGAGGCGGAGACACGAAAGTACAATATATTAGAGTTATAGTTGGAATATGGGGTGATATCTGCACAAAATCGTAGTTAGACAAACGCCGCTGTTCGACTGAAAAGTTCAAAAAAGTGCTCTGCATTGAAAGCAAAGTGAAAGAGTTCAAAACACTCTATTTCCAGACTGAACAATTACAATCCTTTTGGGAGAGTCTGGTTTGAAAATAGAAGACTACTCAAAAAAGTTCGATTCGAAGATTTTGTCCCTCCATTTGAACTTATTGTCAGTTTCGTCGGCTTTTTCTCAAAGTTAGATTTTTTCATTTTATTCCGAGCCTTTGTAATACTGTTTCTTAAAGTAGAAAAAAAACCTTCAGAAAAAAAAAAACGAAAAAATTATTTTTTTCGAGCCTGTAAACTTGAGGATGAAGCTAGGAAAATGATCATATCGGATGAAACAATTTTCAGCAGTTTTCAATTTCCGATGGATATATACATGTCTAGCTCATCCTCAACAAATAACAAAAAATGCAAAACTACGAGAGAAAAGCGTAGCTTTCGGCAAAAAGGTGAAGGGAAAATGACCAGGCCTGCCAAAAACTCTGCAAACGCAGCCAATCTCATCATCTCTCAAATGCTCATTTAGCCCACCCTTACGGATTCTTGGGAATGATTCCATGAATTGAGAGGTAAAGTTTTCAATAGATTGAGTTAGAATTGCATTTTGGGTGGCTGCAAAGACTCATCGATAAAAGAGCAAACAAAAAGATTCCAGCCACAGACTGTCAAGCTCAATTTTGCACAACTTTCCTCCGAATTTCATTTTTTAGTGTGATTAGGAAAATATGAAAGATTTTCAACTTACCTCATTTTCAAATCTGAGTCGTCTTCCAGTTCAGAAACTTCGGAATGCTTTTTTCCTCATCGACACTGAAAAAATATCACGATTAAAATGAACTTTCCGCTTGCAAGATCGCGCTTATTTTTTTTCATTATTTTAAAAAAATTCTTTTCGGGTGAACGCACTGAATGAGATTTTATAAAAAAAGAGTCGCATTGAAATTTTTTTGATGGAATTATCGAAAAAAAGATGAATAAATTATATAGGAAATGAAGATTTGAAAAAGGAAAGTCATTTTTATTTTGCGGTTGCGATTTACCTGAAAATTGGCAAAAAAACTCTTTGATGTACCAGAAGAAGAATCTGAAAGTATCAACTTGTACAAATATCTGGTTTTTGAGAAATAAGCGCTCAAAACCATTTTAACGGATTTCTAGTGTTTTCTTTGACTTTAAAGTGTCCTTTCTCGGAAACTAGAAAATTTGGCAGTTTAGGATTTTTAGGATCTTCACCTGGTACATTAAGAACTGTTTAAATCAATTTTCAGAAGGAGAGTTACATGACCTCCCGGGTGAATAGTCAAAATTATTTTTGTTTGTTTTACGAAAGATCGCCCTGTGAGATTTTCTGAGATTTCTCATAAATTGACGGATTTCCAAACAAACGCATATGGTGTTCAAAGAGTTTAGATCTTTCGTGTAAACTATTTCACAAGAGGAAGAATATCCTCGAAAAAGCTGGATTTTTCCTTCTATGCCACTACTCAATTCAAAAACAGAACAAATTGGATGACAGTGGATCGAAACTGAACTTCCTCTTTGAACGTAGACAAAACATAAGGCACCAGAAAAGAAAACGAAGCGCTTTTTTTCACGCGCCTTTCGTACTTCTTCAGATTAGAAGCGCAAATAATTCAGTAGTCTGGCTCGTTTGTCTTTCCCGTCTTGTGCCTATATCATGCTATGGGTTGAATAGAAAGCTGGTGAGGGTTCAAGAAAACGTGAATAGTTGAAAGCTCAGTTCATGGGCAAGGTGTTTCTGAACGGATAGAGAGTTACGAATATTGTTAGTAGAAACTCTTTTTTTACAGTTTCAAAAACAGAATCAAAAAAATGAGTTCAAAAAAATTCCAGCTTTTATTATAAAAAAATATCCACAGAAAAAAATAAAAATCAGCAAAAAAATATTATTGTGAACACCGATATGAGCTTCACTGTTCATTCTCAAAAAAATGTGGCAGATAGAAACCAAGTTTGTCAATTCAAAAAAATTGATAATTTGAGCTGTTTTTTTAAGCACAATAAAAAAATTTTTTTTTCAATCGAAAAACTGAACATTCCAGTTGAATTCCAAATTCCAAGCCCGAATAAAAAAACCAATGGAATCCGGTCACTTCCTGAATTTTTTTCATCCTTACCAAAAATTTTTTTCAATTTTCAGCATAAGATTTTATTAGTATTATTTATATTCCAAAGGAAATTTTATAAGGAATGAATTTCCAAGAAAGATTTTTTTCGGTCTTCAAGTCAGTTTTTTTGAAATTGAAGCTTCTGCTGTAGCCACATTTATGGGTTTTTGTTTTTCGCAAGGTTTGAAAATTCCTTTTTCTCACATATAGTCACACGCTTTCACAATCGCCTAAACGAAAAAAAGTTCTCCTTACTTGGACGAATGGGGGAGTGAACCAAAAAAGTGCACGAGAAGCCTTGAAAAAAAGGCAATTGAACGAAATGGGAGAAAGAAAATAGAATGAAAGGCAATATCTGCAAACGAAGGCGTCTATATTCACACTGGAATGCGGTGTCTACAAACCTTTCAAACTCTTTCTCACGTTTCTGAACTACTTTGGATCTTATAATACCATGGTGAATAATAAGATTCAAAGTATACGGGAAAAATTCTCGATTTGAACAATGATGTTGGGTTGATTGTACTTTTTGTGAGAATTTTCAAACTTCTGGTCTTGTGGAAACTGTTTTAAAATGCTACCTGTATATTGAAATTAACCTTGAAGATCACCAAGCATAGAATTCAATAAAAGCTCCAAGGTACTGGTTTTCTTCAACGACCTTGTCATAACATGGTTTATGTGTAAATTTTACTGTTTGAAAATTTCGCGATGTGCTATTCATGAACATTGGAAACAAGTTCTTTGATGTAAAGATCCGTTTTTTTCATATCCCCTAAGTAGAAGTTTTTTCCCCTTTGAACGGTGAACCTTTGCATTTGGAACAAAAGTAATTTGCACATAATGGCCACCCGGAGAGCGTCGCTCAAAAAGAGAAAACAGAAAGAAATTATGAAGAACGTTCAACTGAAGTTAAAACTTTTATTGTTCTCATTCGAAATTCTTCCTTCCGTGTAAAATCTTCCCTCGAAGTGGTCGCTCTCATTCCGAGGCTTCCACCTAGAGCATGGTCTCCGGGCTCCAGCTACACCATCCACTACATTTCGAGCTCGTCAAAGCGCAACTGGATGGACTACGCGCAGAAGAACGAGGCGAAGGACCGTAAAGCCATGCTTACAACCTGATCAACTACACGCTTGGAGTAGTTCGCCAAAGGAGGATGTTCGTTATAGCTTCAAAAGTATTTTTCACCGCCTAGTCAATTACATCAAACTAAAACAACAAAATTAATGATTTGATTGATTGAGAAAGAAAATGCATATTCGAAAAATTTATTATACAACTATTTAAATCAAAAACACTATCAGAATCGAAATGGATTAGATTTTAAAAAACCTGCATGGAAGGCATCTGTCTAGCAGATACTTGTGGTGAATACACAGGAAACCCGAAAAGAATCACATTGAGGTTGGAAGAAGGAATCAAAACATAAGATGGGTTTTGCTTTTGCCAGACGCGATCTTGATGGATCCGCTTTTTTGCACGCCGAGTTTCCTCCTCACAATGTACCACTCGACGAGCAGCGCCGTCACTACTAACGCCAGGCAAAGAAGAAATACGTGGCGAGCCCATCTGAATAATCCTATCATTACCACGAAAAGGTGCTAAGGAACTTCCGCGTTACAGATGTGATTAGGGTGGGGGAGGGATGAACTTACATTGGGACGGAGTGATCGCGAGTTTCTCCATTTAGTTCATAAAACTCTTTCAAGGCATATCCGACGTCGTCTATCAAATCTTCTATCACTTTCGCCATTGGCCATCCTGAAGTTTGAAGTTTTTTTGGAAAAATATCACTCTTTATTTTTCATTCTTTTCTGATTTTGCTCGAGTTGGGAACCACTTTAGTTTTTTTTTTTAATTTTTCCGTTTTTTCATAAATATTTTACATGAATGAAGATAAAATTATAAAAGATTCTATAAAATGAGAACAAACCAATAAGTCAAGCACTCATTTATATTTGAAGTTTCCGTTATTCAATATTTTTTTCCTTTTTAGTGAAATATTTCAAAGTGAAATTAATTAACAAGGATGGTCATTTTACTTTTCGGTTGGAAACTTTCTGAAAATGAGCCAGAACAATACTTTTCGTACCAGATAAAGATTCTGAAAGTCTCAACCTGCACGAATTTCCACTTTACGAGAAGTGAGGGCCTTAAGCCCCAAGATAGCCCGTTTATATGGATTTTGAGGTTTTCTTTGACTAATAATCGTCTTTTCTCAAAAACGAGATAGTGGTGTAAGTTGAAACTTTCAGAAAAGTCTTCTGGTACATCAAGGAACGTTCTGACCATACTTCAAAAAAGTCCTAAACGCAAAGTAAAATGACCTCTCTTGTCAGGTTTCAAAGAGAATAAAATTTTTTTCATATAGACGAATTTTCCAAATGATAGAGCAATTTATGGCTTTTTTTCCTGGGCTTGGAAAAATTTTCATCCCAATAAATCATACCTTGAACTAAAGCGTTGTTCACTTCACTCTGAATGTTCGAAAGAGAAGATCGGAGCCTCGATGAGCCTAGATCAAAATATCCTTCAAAACTATCAGCACTTCCTGAAATACCTGTATGAATACGGACATAAGGTATTTTTCTCGCGTCGTTGATTAACCCATCAACAACGACAAGCTGAAAATGATTTCTTTTCTAATTTTCTGTTCAGAAATTGAACTCACAGCAAGCAAATTTGTTTTCCCACAAGACTCAGTTGTACCAAACCATCGTTCATAGACCTTCCATGTATAAACCTGAAAATAATTAGTTCAGGGTTATTATAATGAACAAAAAAATGTTATTTTTTTAAAATTAAATCAACACGTTTCTGCTCTCCGTTGTATATTTTGAACATTTTTTTAATTTTTCACAGATTATGATCATTTCAAACTTTGGAAACCCCGAAACTTTTTAAAACCGTGTTAAATGATTTTTTTATTGTATTATAAAATAAAGCGTTCAGTTTTCAAGAAAAACAAGGCAATATGAAAAAAATAATAAACTTAACGTTGCCCGACTCTATTAATCACCTCACGTAGTTGAAATTTTTTCAATTTTTCATTTTTAAGAGTCGTTTTGTATCAGGTTGTCCAGAAAAGGATTCCTTTTTTCGAGGGTCGACTTCAAACAGTCATAACTCGTTTCAAAAGCCATTTTTTGACTGATCTGAAATTTATGAATTACCAGCTATTGACTATAAGAAAATTCATAGAATGAAATGAATGCACGACGGGCCTAAATTAGATATCGATAGCGAGACATATTGAAAAGAGATCGGGCTCTTTCGCGGTCTTTATTTCTGCTCATCGGGATTTTTTTTGGCAACTAGTTACGGATTTTTTATTAGCTAAAGTCTGTTGGACACATTTTGAGTATTATAAACCGTCTCAATAGCTTTGCCTTTTTGGTTGAACTCGAATGAAGAAATGATGCAAAATCGCAACTTCATGCGAATTTTGGAACGGTCTACTCAAATTTTTTAATGGAAATCTGTTACGTAACATTTGAAAAACATATACTGAGCTTCTAAATGATATATAACAATCAAGTATCAAAAGAAATTTTGTCCTAAACACCTTGTCAAAGTTGAAGCATCGAAAAACGAAATCCCTTTCTTGACAACCTAATATTTATTCATGGGGAGGGTAATGTCCGAATCTGTTTTGAAAAATTTGAGGATAGTTTTCTGATACTGTAGAGGTTTTCTCTAAATTTTAAAAAGATTATTTAATTTTCTATATGCAAAATTCAAGCCTTCTAGACCACTACTTGGAGAGCAGAAAAATGTGCTACGCTGGTTTGCATTTCTCAAATCTTACTTGTCCACTATATGAGGAGCTCTTCAAAAATTACTGATAGTTGACAAACAACGCAATAAATGACTTGAAGAGCAAGTTAGCGATCAAAAGTGAATTTTAAAAAAAACTCGATACTTGTTGATGAACAAAAATTACAAGTCAGGAATTTTTGACAGGTAATTTCAACAAAAAACCAGCAACCTTTTCCGTTGGTTGCTTCTTAAAAAACCAATCGTTAAGTTCAAAATTTTTTTCTTCCAAGTTGAAGCTTTTCCTTTTACCGAACAAAAGCTTCCGTCTATTTCATTCAAAACCGTTGACAAGTTTTTGGAGATTCGAGAAAAGTTTTCTTCTATGCACGCATTCATGTTCTATAATTGTCCAGTTCCGTGTGCATTCAGGCCAGATGTTCACATTCAGCAATTTTTTTACGCAAAATTTACAGCTATTGAATTCGGAGACCCCTCGCCACCTTTGAGGGTATTCAGCAGAAAATGGAGGGGCCGCTCCTCTAAAAGAGAAAAGAAAAGTAGGAGCAATTCTCTGCCAATTTTAGTGCTTTCGAAAGAAGTTTTTTGAACCTCTTTGTTTAAAGAAACAGTCAGGAACCATTTTGAAGTCAAATTTGCCGAATCATTATGAAATATCAATGAAAGGTCATGGAAAAAAAGTCTACATCCTGAAGAGCCGTTTGATCTTTGAGTAGCAATCCAAAGAAGGGAAGAAAGAAGAAGCCCATAATAACCTTGTAGAAGGTCTTGACGTTGGTGACGATTCCACTAACGACTTCTGCGTCCACTTGGTTGCACTCGTTCTCGAATAAACAAGTGTACTCAGCATTTTTGAACACGTCTGTCGCGCTGCTCGGAGCTTCGAGCTGCTTGGCTGGAAATTTTGAAACAGTTTAGTGATTTGATACATAAATTGAAAATTCTGATTTAGATCTTGCTGATCAAGTAATTTTCGCTGTCTAGAAAAAATGAGTAAATGTGACAAAAAGGGATTGACTAACGAAAAATATGAATTTTTTTCCCGGGAGGGTGCGTGTTAGTTCATGAGATAACATTCGTTTTGTGAAGAAGACACCAAACCGCCCAAAAAAAAATCAATAAAGCTGATCTCAAGTATGAGCAAAAAAAATCATTACCTTTTTTCAGTTTATGTTTGATTATTCTACATATCTCATCAATTTCAATCACCTAAATTTTTCAAAACCCACCAATGATAACTCCAATCGTTGATCGATTCCGGTCGGTGAAGAGCGAATGATACCTTGAAAATCAATAAAAATGAAAAGGTCAATCCTTGTCTGTACTATCACATCTTTTTTTCGGAATTCCGAGAGAAGAAATTTGCAAATTTTCGAAAATTGGAGACCGAGAGGGAATTAATTGCTGGAGTCAAGGGCCAGGACATTCGCAAACAGAAAGAATTTTTCTTTCACTTCAATTTTCAGCCTACCTCAAAAAAGCTTTTTCGATGCCAGCCGTGTTAGTGTAGGCCAACTGATGATGGAGATCGCATATGAAGGGAAATTTCGGTAGCGCGGAGCAAACCGTTCGAAACTGAAACAGTGATGTAAGTCACTTTCTGAAAGAAAATTTCTGATTTTTCAGTGTACCGTCTAAGCAGGAAGGTCATTAAAAATTTCTTGAAAATTAGGTAGAGCTCTTCGACATGTACCAGAAAAAATTATTCTGAGAAATTAAGAAGTGTAGATATTTCTAGTTATTGAGAAAGGACTCGTTAAAGTCAGAAAAAAGCCACAAAATCCTTGAAAATAAGCATTTTGGAGCTTTGAAGTTTTGCAAGTTAAAACTTTCAGGATTTTTATCTTGTTTAACAATGAGCAATCTGACAAATTTTCAAGAAATTTTCAGCCCCAAAGTGGAATGACCTCCCTTTCTCAAAGAAACTTATGCTGCTTTTTTCGACCCATTCTCAAAATTCCCTCTATCGACTCTGAGCTAAAGTTATTCTGAAAATTTCTCGACGTACGTCGCCTTGAAGGAGTTAACTTGATTTATGTTTGCCGGCTTTTCGAATCCACTTCGGGTCGAGCTTATAATAAAATCTGTTATTCTTGCTTGGCCGAGTCGCGTAATTGAATTTCGCGCAGGTGAAAAACAAAAAAAGAAGCAGTACAATGGTTTTCCGGCTTCACCTGCGAATCCCCGAAATTAGAGAGCATGAAATATAAACGATTCTACTCACTTAGGCAACACATCCGTAACCGTTGGTAACCAATATTCGTTGAAAATTTGAAATCAAAGCCGAAAAGCTCATTTTTTTTTAAAAAGGATGTAATAACAAAACATAAAATGCAAAATAATGATTTGGTCCGAAAAAAAGGAGAAATTTTTGATGAGAATCATGAGTTTTCACCTTCAAAAGCTAGTCTTTTTTACTGCTTATTACACAGCTTCAAAAAAGTTTTTGTTTTCAGAAAAATTTTAAATAAATGGTGATTGGAAGATGTACTGAAAATTAACTTCTTAATCAATCTCTTCTTTTTTCCAAAACTATCCTGCTTATAAGGAAACATCACAAATCCAAGAGGATAATTGTTTTTCTTGAAAGACTAAGGTATTTGAAAAGTTTTTCAGTCAACTTTTTAGTTGCTTCTATTTCCTTCCACTGGAGGAATGTCACCAACGGAGAACAAAAGACGGAACTAACCAAATTAGGCTCGTGAAGAGGCGATGGGAAGTTGCAAGGAGAATAAATAGGCGGAACGGGCGCCTGTCCGGCTTGGCAGAAAGAAGTAGAGCTGATCCACAGAAGCAAGGCCGGAAGGCCTGCACCGTGCCGAGGAAGAAAATTCATCAAGAGGCCATCTCTGGGAGGTCCGGAGGTCCAGATGAAGAGCTGAAGTTTTTGAGTAGTCAGGACCTGAGTCGTTGGTTCAAGGTGAAGAGATGAAACCGAAAGCGCCACAGGACCACGCCCTCGTCCAAAATGGGCCTCCACATTTCTCTTTCGAGCACCGCGTCTCTTTCACGTTTTTTCTTTTTTGCTTCAGTCAGGGGAAGGCTTACTGGTTTCGGAGCATAGGAGCGAGGGAAGCACTCGGCTCAGCGATCTTTTCACTTGAACACACTCAAACATTTCCCTGGAGGACCAAGCCAGACTCAGACCACGAAGATGGCACAGCTCAAGCCTCGGATAGCCGCGGATGCGACCTTTCGATTTTGGTCGTGTACCATTTCACAGTATTCTCATGATGGAATAAAATCAGAAACACCTTTTTGAGAGTACTCTTATCAGCAATTAGAAGGAAAACACGCAAAAACACATTATTCAGCTAACCTTGTTGAATTTTTTTGAAATTTGTACCTTGGAAATTGTATAATCAGCGAAAATGAGAATAAGAGGATGATCTAGAAATTTTTGATTACAAGAATAAAGTCATTCAAAGTCTATCTATTCCAAGTTTGTTCGTGAAAAAAATTGGGGTCCAAATAATTTGAATTTTTATTCCAGAAAGCTGATTTCCTCGATTTGATCATCTTCATTGAAAATCTCATCATGAGAAATGAAGATCCAGACTACTCGGAACATATTATTTACCAGAAAAAATCATTTTTTTCATTTTCGATACTTTAATTTGTGAAATGTATGACGAGTTTTTCTCGTACAACTTTTCTCTGCCATTATTATCAATAAAAAATTCAAATAATATTTTTCCCAAGAAGAAGGGGCTCGCAATAATTCCACCGTCTTTCCAAAATGAGAGCCGAACTCATTGCTTTTTTTTCGAAGCCCGGAAGCTCTTAGTTTGTTTTTTTCTGGCTGCGCGCTTCAAACAGCTATTAATGAAAATGAGAAGGACGGATTTTCGACAACATCATCAGTCCGTATTTCATGTCCCATAACCTCATTTTATTTTTCATCTTGAGCCGCTTCAATCCAATTTTTGCAAAGGAAGTGACTATTTAGAGTTATAAAAAGATGGAATGAGTGGAAAAGAAGTACAACTGTTCCTAAAGAGAGATTTGAATTTATGTAGGCTCTGGGTTCGCAATATAAAAAAGGCTGTCCTCGATGGACTCAAAATGAATCTGACTCAAACGTCTTCAGATGGAGTCGATAAAGCTGATCAGTTCAGAAAACGGCTTTTTATCAGTTTGTCATAGAAATTGGATTTTCTGCCAAACATTTTTTTGCTTCAAGCTCTTTTCGAATCAAATTGAAAGTTAAGAAAAAAAGGCTTTTAGTAGGAGCTCAATTTATCAGTTCAGGAAATTGAAAAAGTTTTAATCAAAATTTCAAAATTTATTATTCTCGCTTTTATCTTGCGATACTATTTTTAGTCCATTCACAAGGAAAGAATTTTCCTGAAAATTGGTCAGAGAATTTTTTTAATGTACCAGTAGAAGACTCTGAAATCGAAACCTTCAAAACTTTCTAGTTTTTGAGAAATGAAGTCTCCAAGTTCGAAAACAGCCTGATTGAACGGATTTCGAGCATTTTCATCGACTTTCAAGCGTCTTTCCTCTAAAATGCGAAAGTTTCGCAGGTTGAGACTCTCAGGATTTTTATCTGGTACTTGAGACAAATTTTAGAAATTCCCAACTGCAAAGTAAACTGATCTCTTTTGTCAATTGGAAAAATGAATGAAAGTGTACTCGATCAAAAAAAGATGAAATAAACGATATCCATTTATCAGGAATTATTAGCAACAATGAAAAAAGGGAAACCCTTTCGGCGCATTTCAGAGAGAAAAAAATCTTGACCAGTTCAATACAACGAGAAACAAAAAAAAGGTCTTTTTCTGCTTCTTGATTCAAAGGATTTTTTTCAAAGTTCTCAAGAATTTGTAGGAAAAATCAAGCCGCAATTCTTTTAACAACAACAAAATAAAACTTCTCGAATAATTTTTCGCAAAAAATGGCAACATCAAAGACCCGGACAAAGAGAACCAACAGCAAATTATTGCAATGAAAAGTTAAAAAAAGGGTGCGCTGGAAAACAACTTGAGGGTCTCACTGGTATATGATATATTTACGAAGGTCCTCCCCCACCCCAAGAAGTTCTCTTCCCACGGCTGCCACACAACGACGCCATACGCTTCAACCGCGTTATCGCCATACGCTTTTCTTTTTTGTTTCACCAATTGCGGAAATTCTATCCGCAATTTGCCTTCGTCTGCCCTATACTGGATTGGGTTACGCCGGTCATCTTTATATTGACTGAACGCCTTGAAATGACGTCTGTACGTTGGGAAAAGCTATGAATAGTTAATCAGTACGATGAGCTAAAATCTGACTTTTCTTATTTTAGAACCTTCAACGGAAGGTTTTTCTTCAAATAGCAATTTAGGGAAGATTAACTTGAAATCTGGACTTTTTTAGGACAAATGGATCATTTTGTGGAACTGTATTTGAACGAAAAATGTGATTCTACTTTATTGGAATATTTATACAACACAGCGTTTCTATTTGTTGGTTATTGAATCTCGATTTTCTAATTAATGAATTGTTTTTTTATTGTTTCAAAGGCTTGCTAAAAAAATCGCAGAATAAAAACCGGTTTTTTTCAAACAAATGAAGAAAGATTATTTTAAATAGACCTTTTAAAAAAATCAAGATGCTGTGATTCTGAAATTTTATGGGTCCAAACAGCTCACCGACATACTTATAAAAAACCCCAAATCTTCAAAGGGACAGGTAAAAAAAAAAATGAAAAATTGACAAGATTGGATCCAGAAATATATTCAGAAGTTCTCAATAAATTCAGGAGAATGGCTTCCAAAATAAAATAAGAAGTTTTTATCCCATTGCAAGCACTTGGCAAAGAAACGCTGCAAGATAAACTCCAGCAAGAGCTCCCATTTGCCCTCATCTTTAAGTATATTCACGGTGGAGAATAAGACTAGATATTTGCGACTTCCGCATTTGGATATTGGTTGCCTGCTCAAGGCTTGACAACTCCTTAGAAATGTATTGCGATTCTGAAACGGGAGAGCCGATAGCTCTCTTCCAGCATGACATCAGCATTAAATAATTATACTTCGTAATATGCATCCCTTCTTCGGCTCTTATCTTCAAGCGAGACGGGACTGGAGTTGCCAAAATAGGATGATGGAAAGGCTTTTCATTCCTTTGAAGACGTGTTTGACAGATGTCTGGAGCTTTAAAAAACAAAGACAGGAACCAAGTTTAGTGGAAATTGGAAGAAGACGAACAACAGACCATAATCGAGAAAGAGACGTTTCTCTTTCAAGGGCTTAGAAGCGGCGGGAAATTGGTTTTCGGCCAAACTCTTACGGCTTTGCAGGTGGTCTGAGTTAAAAATGTCTGCCACCAAATGCATTCATCTCAATCTTTTTACATAAGTAAATCACTCGGGTTTATTGCAGTTTTCTTCAAGTTTTGTTCCTCTAGTTCTGCAGTGTAAAATTATGAAAGCGTAGGGCATTCCAATAATTTACTGTGTGAAGCCTTGTCACTTCAAAGTGACCGTCAAACGGGAGAGGCAAAAATTTCACGTTATTCACCGCAAAAATTTGTTAATTTTTTTAATATTATCTGTGTGAAATTCTTGAAAAATCCCATACTGTAGTGATCACAAAGGAAAAGTTTAAAAAAATGACCTTCCTGATAAAAATTTTTTTCCACTTTTTTTCAAAGTTTTTTATATATGAAAAAAACCCAAAAAAATTCTTTCTGTAAAACCAGTATTTTTCAAACAAAAAAATCAAGTTACCCAATATTTTACGCAAAGAAAGTTTTATCCAAAACTTCTTCGCGAGTACGACACGTAGGAGAATAGCTAATAAGAATGTAGAAAAAAAAGTTGAGATCTACGAATCTGCAGAGGAACCCATTTGTGGTAGATGTTACAATACACACGATATTCAACAACTGAATGAACAAATGTACATACACCTGGCATCGAAAAAAATGCATACTGATGGGCAAGGAAAACGAAAAAGGGAAAGGTGAACAGACAACAAAAACGGCGAAAAAAAAAATCACGGAGCAGGAGAAAATGGGAGGATTTGTGGGATGAGATCATAATGGCTTTCGGCTGCAACCAGCCGTTCTTGAAGTATAATTGAAAACTTCGGGGATTAGAAGAAAGTTAAAGAATTATTTTTTCCTTGTGGACCAGCCAGAAGAAAAACTCTGCCTTCTTGATTTTATGCAGAAAAATGAGATATATCGACAAATGCAAACCATATTCAATGTCTTTAAAATATATTGGAAAGCCAAGTTCACTACGTTTCAAAGGCATTTTCTTGTTTCATTTCATTCTTTATGGCTTTCGCACTGTTTTAAAGGACTCAGTACTTTACAGATGCTATAATCTGTCCAAATTTTGGATGTCAAGCAGCTGAATCCGCCGCTCAGGGCTGAAAAATCTTTCGCGTCAATGTTCTGTCTATAGACGGTCATTTACTAGTGCTGCGTTATTGACTTGTTTTTCTAGCTTTGGACCAAAACTTGTCCCGCGGGATTGTTAATCGACACGTAAAGGTACTGAGACATCAGAGGCGGAATTAGCTTTATGACATTCAAAATCTGAACAGACTATAGGAAGGAAATTATTGAAATTATTTTTTCAAGGATCAAAAATTTGAGATCTCAGTCAGTGCTTTGTTTCAGAAATTGAATTGATCTGCAGCTGTCTTTCCAACTTCAACATATATCCAGAGAGAAAGCTTAGCTCAAAAACTAAAACCAATACGAACAAAAAAGAACCCGTGATCAACTATCTTCAGAGATACAACGCGAGACGTGCCGTCCGCTGCTGACGACGACTGTACTCCGTGGTGTCTCACTCGTTTCGTAGATTGAAGTGGCCAGATAGAAAGCGTTGCACGCGAATTGCGAGAAGTACAATATTTGCACGATTGCTGAAAACTGGCCCTTTTTTCAGACTTCTGATGAACTCCTACGCTCAAATGTGCTGACAAGGTCTTTTGGGATACTGCTGTTATCTAAAGTAGCCCAGACTCTTAGAATGTGAGCTGGTAGATTGAGCAAAATGTTCAGAACCGATATTACTATCGATCTCATGACCATCGCTGTTTTCCTCTTCAGATATGCTGCCCTCTTTTTAGACATAACCTGAAAATCTTTGATATTTTGGGTAACTGAGACACGATGAGTGATTTTCTATGAATTACAGTCTTGAAATTCCAGATTTTTGTATAATCTATTGACCAAAACGGTGATAAATCTTCCAGTGGCACAAAAATTCCTTGCAATTTTAGAAAAAAAGGATCCAGTTTAAATATGAAGCTGTTTAGATATTCTTTTTGAATGAGTTGTTAAAAATAAATAAAGAATCTTATTGCGATTCTGATTATCAAAAAAATGTTCGTAAACGATTAGAAGATATACAGCCGTAGTGGGAATTCAACGAGACACTGGTTTCTAAAACCTATTCGAAATCGTTTTTTGTGAACGAAAACAAAAACTTTCAAGGTTTACCTGCGTTGTTGAAGAAATGGTGAGGGCTAAAGCCATATTGTTACGGAGATTGAGAGCTTCACAATCCGCGGCTGTGGAGTAGCTGAAAACGTTAGTGAGAAGAGAAGTTACAATTTAATCATGAAGAGAAACAGTATAATCATTTTGGAATTTTTACACAATTTTATTCACTGACCTTCTCAATGGCGGCCCGCTAATTGCATATCTCCTTTCAAAAATCGCTCGATCGAAACTGTCGACGGAAAATGGCGAATAACAATGTAGTAACACGATGAAATCCAACGTGATTCGCAATAAAGAAGGAATGGCGTAGAAGAAACAAACGTCGCCAAGATGTGCAAGCTGAAACTTTTTATTTATCATTATTTCGCAAAAAAATTCATAGTTACTTGATTTTTTTGACTATTGACTATTTTAAATAGGCTCTTTGCAAACTCAAGCAAAAAAGTTCGACGCGAGCCGTTTTATGCCCAAAATGTTTTTCTTCCAAGTTTCAAGGTTTTTCTTTTCAAAAATATCAAAAAAATGAAACTCAAAAAAACGGTATTTCAGTCTTTGATTTTGATTCAGTCAGAACGTTTTTTTCTATTTTTTTCTGTCTGGATGTTCGAAATGACAAGCTTTTTTTTAGGGATACGAAGAGTTTAAGAAATTTTTCTGAAATAGAAATAAAAAAACTTTCTTTACTGTTAAAGTTTGCTGTTTCAAATTGAATAATTTGAAATGACGTCACTGTCAAGTTTTGAAAGTTGGAAATTTTTTTTATAGTTGTACCAACTTGATTTGATCCTCACAAAAAAACTAGTCAAGTTCATATTTTTTTCAAAAATAGTAACCAAATACATCAGTAAAGAGTCAAATATCAACTAACAGCTGGTTCTGGCCTAAGGAAAGCTTTAGTTTTTCATGAATAAACAAAAATTACTTCTAGGTTCAAAAACAGAAAATAAAATAAGTTATTTTGGTATGAAGAATTCCATATTGGATTGAATTTGATAAGAAAAATTTGGACGAGTTTTGAGTCGTCCAGAAGTAAACTTTGATCTTCTTTTCAGGTTTCAAGTACAACGACAGAGTTTTTGTAGCTTTTCCGTCTTTAGCCAATATGTAGAAACAGTCTCACCTTCACATATTGTGCATCAATATCATCTTTTTCGCTACACGTTGTCCCCGTCTCGTCCTGCCGGAATACGACGAAAAACAAAATCCAAGACTCAAAAATACAACAAGATAGAGCCAACGCTCTAAAATTCAAAAATCATTTTGAATATTTTTTTTCCAACTGACTTGAGCCCGTTTCTAGGCTGTCTCCAAATGGTTCTGTACTTAATGGGATGGAAAACAGCCGTGTATCGCAATATCGACAAAACGAGCCAACACCACACGGAAAAAGCTGATGAGGTGTGAACCAGATACAGGCCACCCTAAAAATATTAGACTATGATATGATTACAGCTGTTTTTTTGATCATAAAGCTAACGAAAGTCGAAGAATGATATGAGAATTAAATTTATTCATAACAACTGTATGAAAGTTCATCGGTTTGGTTCGAACTATTTTTTGAAGGCTTACGTTCTTTTAGAAGTCTTTTTTAAAGTTATCACCCATTATACTTGTCGGTAAAAGGAAGGAAAATGTAAATTCAATCAACTTTTTTCTGGATAATGAGAGAAAAATGGTTCATCTTCCATTCTCGAAAACGTATCCGCTTTGGTATCAAGTAATAAGCAATCTCAAACTTCTTCAGATGATTTCTACAGTTTCAACGTTTATTTTACTCAAAAATTGAAATTCTGAATTTTTGCTTGTTTATAAATTTCCCCACGACTTAAAAAATTTTTTTCCAAACTTCGAACTTTTCATAGGACTACTTTTGTCAACATTTTTCTGATGTCTTGTAACTCACTTTGCATATAAAGTTCAAAACGAAGCTCGGCGCTTCATATTTTGGTACAGAATGAAACAACGATTGTGCAAACAAGGAGAATAGAGTTATTGAATCTCCCACCTAAAAATAAAAAAATAAAAAAATTATTGGACTTATAAGAACTCGGAAACCGTCATAGCTGCTAAAGGAAGTCCCGACGTTGTTTCAAACCTGACAGCACTTTTTCTGAAAAAAATTAACGTCCTTTTTCATCTATTTTTGTTTAGATGCTCTTACTTGGCTACACGAAGAAGTCGAGAAAGTACATATCCATTCAGAACGATGCCGGCCAGAGGAACGAAAAAATACAAAACAAAATACAAAGTCTGTAGACCGGACATTTCTTCGTTAGAACGACATTGTCGTCTTCTCTGAAAAAAAGTACATTTTGAAGCAGCCGAACGAGAAGGACTATTTTGGAACAACTTGGAGCGTAGGAGATATCATGAATAAAATGGAAAGTATTGCGTGCCAATTTGATCTTCTCAGTGGAGACATTTTTCATCGGGAATAAGGAATTTCGATCGAAGTGTGACGTTTCTGATTCAGAGATCGTCACAATTGTCATAAGAAAGGGCCTTTTTCGTTGAATCTCGAATTCAGTATTTTTTACGGTTTTGAAAGGTTTGTTTGCTTTTTTATTTTTCGCCGCACTTTGTTGTCTGAGTGTCTGAAAATGAAAAGAAGCTAGTTTTTGAACTACATTCTTTTTGAAATCTTCAGAACAATCTGAACTGTCTGCGTCTTCTTTTCTCTCATCGACTAAGTGAAAAAGCAAAACGCAAAAAATTTGGAGCAAAAAATTACCGTTTCAGAAGAATCGTTACTCTCAAAGTTTGAATCGAAAAAATCCCTTCATCTTCAAAAGTCTCAAAAATCCAAAAAACACAATAACTATCTTTTTATTCCAAAAGGATTTTTCTTTCAAAACTGCAGAGCGAATTCAAATTGCTGGAGAAAAATGAAAAAAACTGAAAACAAAAATTCTCAGAGAAAAGAAAAAATTGAGAAAACTAATAAACTTTCAGCTAACTAGTAAATACAGCTAGACGTGAACGACAGACAATAAATTACGTCGTCAAAAATGCGAATATTCATAAGATGACACACTTGGATGAGGAAGTCCGATCTTTTAGCAGGTACAGAGTCTTGGTATCCTTTACAATTCTTCTTGAAAGAACTCAAAGATATAAGTTAGGTGTAGGATGCTTCAAAAACAAAGGAAAATTTTCAAGGGAGCAAAAATTGTAGAGCATAGGCGATCGAGTATTATGACGCGCAATTAGCACCTTTAGGGGTTCTGGCTTTGTTTACAACGGAATTTGAACCCTTCAAGTCTCGTCGCTGAAAAATGGAGATCCACTCAACGCAGAGCAAAAGTTATTTATAAAGAAAAAGTCGAGCCGGTTCAATTTCCGTTCAGAAAATCCATTGCCCGAAAAAGTTGTTAGGATCCAGGTGAAGCTGCGATGAAATCTATCTCTCTGTCTGGCGGAAATGATTATAGGTCGTATCTTCTAGAAATTGATTCTAATAATAATCTCGGTAATGAAAACACATTGATTGGAGAGGTCGGTTCGTAATTAAGGGCTCCAGTTGGCGTTTTTCACACATCAATGGATGCACCAAAGCGCAACAGGTTGTGTGCCTGTCTTCGGTCCACAGAGTCACAATTTCAATCTCTGTCTCGCCCCAACCAAGAAGTTTAAGAAATGTGGGTAGCGGGAAACCACGACTGCAAAATTCCCAGCTGTCACACACAAGGACGGATATGTCACTTGAGCCAGTCCACTTATTATCAATAACTCACCTGAGCACCGCTTTTTCTTGTTTTATGCACTTTATCTCTAAATTTGAGCATGCAGGATTTCCATTATAGATGATTGAGAAGTAGTGTTTTGATGCGATCTCCATTTATTCAAATTCGGAGTCCAAAAAAAAAACTGAACTGGTTCTTGAATATCCGACGCGTCTTATCAAAGCTCGTATAGGCGACAAAGAAATTGCTTTCAATAAGAGCTTTGAGCTGCATCGATGCGCAGACTTCAGATTCCACTGACATTTTTATGCCTTCTGTCCCGACTCCATAAAATCTTCAAATGCGATTCAATTCCTCAGCATTGAATGTTTCTGTAGATAAGCAATAACTTGAGAGCCATTTTATATAATCTACTAACTGTATAATGATTGTTTTATACAACTTTAGCTTACTGCTGCAAAATAAACAAAAATAATAACAACATTTTTCAATCTCAAAAGTTTTCAAATTTATACTCTATCCTCGCAATTTATCCACTTTCTCTTTGTATGGCTCTCTTTTCTCTCCCTCACTGTGACCCAGCACAATAACACACTTGCTCCAGTTCAAAACGCAATAGCGTTGGACGCCTGTGAGCAGAGACGCAGAGAAAAGCGAGAAACAGCCAAAATCGTATTCTCCCATTACCTTTTGTGCATAGAAAAAAGATTTTTTTTTCTTCTGTAGTTTGCGTTGATTTTGTGATTTCTCATTCGAGATTATTATTGTTTTTTTCTAAATTTATAAATTTATCATATCTATATATTTTTTTATTTCAGATATTCTCGATTAAAAATGCAACTGTTTGTCCTTCTGAATGATCACCAAGATGTCACACGCAATAGTTTCAATTTGGTTATGGACGAAAAGGTATTCTATAATTACTGATCATATAGTAATTCAAAAAATCGATTCAGTCGACTTTGAATCAGCTGGGAGAAAAGATTTCGTCAGGATTTAATATTAACCGAGACCACCTGCGTTTATTTTTCGCTGATGGTCAAAGAATTGTCGGTTTTGATTTGAATAGCCAGCTTTCTCAAATTAAACTGCACCATCTGGATAAAATTATTGCCGTGAGTTTTCAAATTTTCATTACATTTTCTCTTGGATATAGATAAAGTAGAGTATAAATTTAAAAAAATTTTTGAGATTCAAAAAAATGTTGTTCAGTAAGCCAAAATTGTATAAAAAAATTATTATACAGCTAGTGGATTATATAAAATGGTTCTCAAGTTATTGATTATTTTCAGAAACATTCAATGTTGGGGAATTGGATTGCATTTGTAAAACGTTTGGAGTCTGCACAGAAGGCGAAGGCATCAAATATGTCAGTGGAACCTGAAGTCGACTGCGCATCGAAGCAGCTCAAAGCTCTCATTGAAAGCAATTTCTTTGTCGCCTATCCGAGATTTGATGAGACGCGTCGTATATTCGAGGACCAGTTCAGTTTTTATTTGAACTCCGAATTTGAAAACATGGAGATCGCATCAAAACACTACTTCTCAATCATCTATAATGAAAATCCTGAATGCCCAACTTTAGAGATAAAGTGTGTTAAAAAAAGAAAAAGCGGTGTTCAGGTGAGTTATTGCCATTGAATTTCCGATTGATTGTGACCATTTTTAGAGAGGTCTGGAGTGTCATGTATATCGAAATGGAGAAATGACGAAGATATATCATGTCAAAATCCACACACGAACAGCTAAATGGCACGACAATGAAAGCTGCGATCTCCGCGAGCTTTTTGCTTACAAGTTATTGGAACTCATTAATGTCGGACCGAAAGTGCATTTCTTCCCGAACATGCATTATTCTGGATTTGGACTCTATATCGCCACTGAAGACAGTAAGTTATTTTGTTAGATAGATAATTGAAACATTAATATGATTTAGTTTTTGGATTTCGCCAGGAAGCTGATATTGATGAAGAGAATCCAACGAGAATGGCTCAGCTTGAACTTCTTTCTTGTTGCTTATTTTTGAGTGATCTCAAAAGCAACGACGAAAATTATGGTGCTGATGATCAAGGACAACTGAAAATTGTTGATTTCGAAGTAAGTTTGGATTTTTTTTTATTTCATAGCAAGTTCCTTGACTATTTAGGTTGGTGGTCATGACGAAAGTTCAGAAAACGTTGCAAGAAAGTTTTTATCTCGAAATACGCAAATACGTGTTGATGTTGGAAAAGCTTCTTTTTCATCTTGGGACCTTCTCAAGAATATCGATTTGGCCAATACTGCTATCGAAAATCAGAAGAAGCTGCTAGAAAAACATTCAATAACTTTCAAATCAGACCGAATCTTGGACGACTATTTGACTAATATTAAGAACAATGTTATTACGTTCGCTCAATTATTTGAATAAAAAGTTTTTTCAAGAAAAAAAAAACACTCGATTGATCTTTGTCCTACTTTGCCATTTATTACAGGGTGCGCGGAAAACACGGACGCAAATATAATTGACTGTAAATGTACCGCAGTATTAACGATGTGTTTCAAAGTTTATCGGATAGTTTCTTTAGAACAATAAAAAAAAACAGCAATTAAGATTTTCAACAAGACCGCCGCTATTGCGAATGCAGAACTGAAAACGCTTGTTCGACGCCGATTTAGGCTCATTTTCGCTCAAGGGAAGCCTTCAGAGGTTCGATCTTCTGATGTGGTGGAGTACAGGCCTTGGACTCCAGACGGTCCCATACGGAGTAGTACAGCGGATTCAGATCCGGCAAATAGGGCGGCCATTCTGAAGATTTGATGAAGCCAGAAAGCTCTTTCTTGCACCGCTGTTTGAGGCTCTTGGCCTCTGTGTCTTGTTGGAAAATCCATGGCCTGTCTCCAAAGTGTCACCTAGTCCATGGGAGCAGTGCCTTGATTGGAGCCCAAACGATGACCGAGAAAAGATGGCTCTTGCGACTGACAAATCTTTCCCTCAAATTAGAAGTTTGGTCGTTGAGGGCAATGATCCTATAGTTTTGACGATTCACTGCTTTCGATCGACCCTTGTGGCTCTTATCGGCTTGGTCAGGATTTGTGCTTTCTGTATCTTGAACTGTTTCATATGTAGTTTATCCGTGGAAGTCCTCCCAGACCTTCTCGGACTGATGAAGTCGCGGACCTTTTTGTTTTTTCTGCAGGTGAAGCAGTGGCCGGTCGTCCGTTCCGAGAGCGGTCTTCAGTAGTACCGAGCTCATTGAAACGTTTGATGGTCTTTGACATCAACGACGAGTGGACGTCGAGTTGTTGGGAGATGAAAGAGTTGCTGTGACCGTCTCGATGAAATTTTAGAACTGAAGGGAAACTTTGACGCGTCATTCTGTATGATCGTAATGAATTCTCAATGATTTTGTATCGAAACATAAATAAAGGTTTAACAATTCCAATGAACAAAAAAAGAAGAAATGAAATTAAGGATACCTTGCATCCGGGCGCGTCAAAATTTGCGTCCGTACTTTTTTTATTCAAAATGGTTGGCGCACCTTTCTCGACCATTTCGACCACATTTTTAAAGTTACGCATTTCGGCCTTTTCATCATTTTTCAAAATTGTTGAAAATGACACATTTTCGAAATGTTGAGACACAAATTCAATGAAAATAGGCGCCAAAATGGCTTGAAATTGCAAAATTGAAGATGGGTGAAAAGGTGCGCTAGAACGGCAAAATATATATTATTGTAAGCTTTTTTTGAAGACATGAAAATTGGACCACGGTGATTTCCATAATTATACTCCTCGTGTTTTTTCATTCTATTTTTTTATTCTCAAAAAAATTCTTTTTTGTTTCTTATTGGATATTAATGTTGCAAAAAAAAGGAAATTAAGATAAAACTAAGAATAACTAAAAATAAGAAAACTGCGAAGTGGATGCGAAAATGTCAAAGTGGAAGACAAAAGCAGTGGAATTGGAATCGTCGCAATTTTAATTGACATTCTGATTGCTTGTAATTCTTCCTTCCTAGTCTGGAATTAATTTTCTTTCCCAGAGAATCTTGCCGTTCAATTTTTCCTCATTGTAGTATAGTTTTGAATTTTTAAGTTTCGCAGAAAAACAAGGAAAGTTGATGCAAAAAATGGAATGTGATACTGAAGTTTCTTTCTCCCTGTTCTTATCTAAGTTTTTTTTAAAGAGTCGGTTAGTTTTTTTAAAAAAACACGACGATCATATGATTTAGAGTAGCGGCTCCAAAAGGGATTGTACAAAGTTGTAGCCGACTGTAAAGCTACTTACGCGGGCTGGCAATGGAAATTGGCATCACTGCAAGTGTTGAGGTTTATTTTTTGAGATTAAAATTCGAACACCAGTGCTGATTCAATCACTTCGCAACCGCTCAGGTTTAATTCGCGAAAATTTCATTATTTTGAATAATCATTTCCAGTTGGGTTAGCAGGTAAAATGACGAATATCAATATGAGATACAAGAAAAAACTAGCGGAGCTCGCTTTCGTTCATAAATCTGTGAAAGCACTTCCTTGAGAACAAAAAATAAGAAATTATGCGGAACCTAAATGAATTTCGCTCAAGAGCGGAATGATAGAAGATCAAATAACACAATTCGGCACAAAACCTCGGATTTCTAAGGTACAAAAAAGACGTGTTCTAATGGTTGATCACTCCGAAATTGGTATAACGAAGAGGAATAGACGAGGCTTTCCCGTTGTTGTTTTCTTGCTCGCGATTGAGTTAACACTTGTGGGTGAGTAGGACTCCTCCCGCGCACTATTAACACGCCGCTATAAGAACGGCTCATAGAAGTTCTCATCTTCTAGAAAATAGCCTCGCCGCATAATATTTTTCTATTTTTGGGTGGTCGGGTATCTGAACAACTCGTAATTTCAAATTACACAATGAAGATAGTCCAAAATGAAAGAAAGTATAGTTGTTTAAGACCTGCGTCCACTTCAGAATCAGAAAATTGTTCACGTAAAAAATAATTTTTCATTCAAAAGGAAACTATTACAAAACACAGCCTTGTAATCTTCGAACTGATAAGTAACTAGTCGGAAAAAACTTCAGAAAGAAAAAGAAATTCTTCGCAAACAATCTCATAAATTGAAAACAAACAGGAAAAGAACTTCCTGAAGGAAAGGAAATAATCAGATGCTGGAAAATGTGCGCAACCTATGAATATGCAAAGGTGTCACGAGAAAAAACTTAAAGGAATACGCCTGAGTCCTTGTGTGCGCAAGTATATGTTTTACACCAGGAAAAAAACCTGTAAAAAGGCCCCTACTTCTGAATTTTTCATTTGAACCAAACGAACGCCGAACAAGCCAAAAATAGGGAACGGAAGGAATAAGTCTCGGTTATGAAACAGGAATATCTTTTTTTCCTGGAAATTATCTCTAACATAGTTCAGAGATAATTTTTCAGAAAGAAGAGCATAATAGTGAGAACAATAGAAGAATAGTTGCAAATGCCGACCTAATAAGTTGTACTGAGAAATTTCACAAATATAATTGTCGGCTAAATAACGAATTTTTTGTAATTCAGATGAAAGCTAGACAAATTATAAAAAAAAGCCTTTTTTTATATTTAATTTCCTAAGTCCAAAGTCCTTTTAGTTGCATACGTCAAATTTCATCAAAAAACGGCCAAAAATTTTGACCGTTTTTCGGAACTAAAATCTGAAGAATGGAAGTTTCTGCTTCAAAGCGCCATTTTCCTCGATGTTGAAGAAAAAAAACACACTTCGTAATGTTGAAGAACTTGAAAATTCGAATTCTCCATATTATTCTATTCCGAAGGGCGTAAAATGTTTGTTTTTTAGTTTAACTTTGGACCTAGAAACTTTTCTGCTTTATGCTTATCCAAACAAGAAAGATCTTTTTCAGAATCCCCAGCCCTTCCTTTAACATTCAGAAAAAAAAACCAAAAGTTCAGGTTCCTAGACATGACAAGTCCAGGAACAGACTTCAACAATGGGATCAGCTAATCTGTCTAATAAAAAATTTCCTTGCGTCAAAGCACTTCTAGAAGTAATTCAGCATTACTTCGAGTTCGAATATTAGACTCACACCTTTCATTTATACTATTTTGAAAGGATAAGTTAAAACTCAAGGTCTAGTTCAAAGTGCGTGGTCGCAAGAAGATACAAAACCGCTAGAGTTTGAAGTTCGAAGGCAAAATAACGCAACAAGTGGGATAACTAGTGAACTCAAGAGCCGCCTGCGAAGAAATTTGGTCCTCAAAAGACAACGGGAAGCGCCAAATGAGCAAACAAAGGTTTTAACGCGCGTGAGAATTTTGAACCCATTTGCCGTTCCTACAAACAGCTTCATAAGTTTTTTTTTTCTTCAATCAGTCCGAAGATCATTTTTATAGACAGCATACTTATGAATAATTTTTCAACGCCTAGTGGAAAGCAAAAGGAAAAGCTCAGAGTTTTTAAAAATTTCTTAAAAAAATCGAAGATGTTTTTAGAACATTAAAAAAACTACTCATGTTAGCTATTTCTGCCAAAAAAAGAGGAAAAAAATCTTTAAATTGATTCCCTGGAGTTCAAAAAATTGCGCATACGACATTGTTATTAAAAAATTTTCTGATTTTTATAAATTCTTGAATCCGAATAATTCTACAATAAGAGAACTCGTTAAAATAGATTTCTTCACGATGGAGTCATTCCAAAAGACCGGACACATCAAAAGGCTCAACATAAAACAAAAAAGCAGAGATCTCAGCGGCTACTGTCGGAGTTAGCCTGCAGGCACAAGCTTTGTGTTGTTTTCTGAAAGGCCAGAGTGCAAAGAGCGACTGACGAACAAGATTACTACTCTGCGTGAGACCGCCAAAACCTGCGAGGGTTGTTGTCCGTGTTGGAAGAAGTCCAGGAATAGACTATCCTTCCCACTCGTTTAATTTTTCATTCGTCTGCCAGCGACACAAGTTTCAAAGTTTCTCAGGTTTTTTCCTTATGCAGAATTCATTCACTAATTTTAACAGAAACTGAAAAAAAAACTCCCCTGACTCATAATTAAGTATATACTGGCAAGAAAAGCAAAAATATGCAAATGGCGGAAGCAAAAATAGAAGCTTCGTATACAAAAAATTATATTTTCTGCATAGGCAAAAGAATCCAAAAAAAGAAAAAGCTAATGAACTAATTGATTATTGAGAGTGTGTAAGTGAATTAGAGTAGTTGTCTGAGAATGATTGAGTAGGATATTGTGACTAAAAAAAATTATGATGAGATAAATTAAAAAAAATGAGGTCAAGTGAGTTTCCATTCCCGCCTACTTTGACTCAGAAACGAAAGAAAATTTGAAAATTTGAAAGATTTTTCGAAAAAAAAAGATTAGATGAGCTGCTATTTTCATTGAATTATTTCAGCAATATTTTATTCTTGTGTCCGTTTAACTCAGATATGAGGTGGGTGTTTCCGGAAAGAAAATGGAGGTTAGAGCGATTTACTGAAAACTTACAAGCCATCTGACCACATACATTTTTTGGTATGATGTTAGCTTTTGCAGAAATTTTTTTGGAAACCTCTACTCCTATCTATCGTAGCCGACATCTTCCATTACAAAGAAGTTATATTACTCGACTTATATGATTTATTTTTTTAGTAGCTTCTATGTTTCTGAGAATATTAGTAAACCGGTTCCGACAGAGACTGTTCACTCATAGAGAGACAAAAAAAGCAAATCCGCTCTGTAACAACTTATTCTCCGACATGAGCCGAACTGTGAAAAATGTTTTTTCCAAAAATCGGTGAACATTTTCATAAATTTGCCTTTTTTTTGAAATAAAAAAACATTAAAGTCAGTGTAACTCCAAATTTTAAAAAAATGGAACCAAAAAAATTAGAAAAATAGAAAAAAAGCAATTTTGATCGACTTTTTTTGGTTTCCTCCAAGTTAGACATAAACACTTGTCAATTCAGAATTTGGCGAATCTGTGCAAATAACTAGCTGTGGAATCAGACACCTGGATCCACGTATCGGGACATAGCAATCCAGCGGATCTTTCGCACCTTTTTCGATTTCGAAATGAAAATGTCGCCGTTTACTCTGGCTCTTTACGTCTCAGCAGGTTTATTCACACTGTATGTGCTGCTGAAAGGGTCCAGAAGGATTTCTTTAGGTTTGGATTTTTTTTTCCTTATATAATCTTTATTGAATCTACTTATCACAAATTTGAGAAAAAAAGATATTTTTTGTGCATTATTCGCGAAAAATGATGCTAGAAAAGAATTTACGACGTTTTCCTAATGAATTTATTTGTAACTGAGGTTGGAGATTTTTTCTGTTCGAAAACTTATTAAAAAGTTCGCAGACGCTCACACAAGACAATTGACATCGTACCTCGCTCCTTCACTTTCGATACCTTCTCAAAGAGTTATAAATCTTTTTGAGGCTCAGGTGAAATAATCAACATTTTGTAAAAATCAAGGAGATTTTTCAGGCCCCTCAGAGACAAAATAACTTCAAAAAGTTGGTTCGCGGAGTCGGTGGTTATTTTTCCTTATACAATAACGTCGTTCCAGAAGTTGGCTCCCGAGTCTCTCAATTTTGATCCGAGTTATTTAGGTTTTCTGTCCAGAACTCGTAAGAGTCGGTACAACTCACGACGGCGGAAAATGGATGTGCAATCCGTTCAGGTTTCTATTACAAGCTCGAAAAACTTTCTCATCGAAAAATAAGAAGAAATTTATAACTTATTTCCATGTAAAAACGTCGATAGAACGCTAAAGAAATTTTCATTGCATTGAAGCTGGAAAACGTAACCTTGAAGGAAATAAATAAGGCGATCTTTGGAAGACAAGGAAATGAGATAAACGGACGAAAGACGATCAAAAACCTCACTTAAACATTGAGAACGGGAATTACCTCCAAAGTTTACCTACGTCGATCGACATTTTGGAGCAATGCTACCAACCAGCTCCTTGCGTTGAATGACGTCGGAAACAGAAAAAAACAGCAGCAAAGGAAACTTGAGAAGTTTTGTTTTAGCCTACCAAAAAGCTGCACGATCCTCTCGTTGGGACTTCACAACGAGATTTCCTTCGAACGGCAACTTCAGTCTTTGACTGATAATACGTGTTCGATTCTTGGCTATGATATGGTTTTTTGAAACTTCTTTACAAAATGAATTCATAGGTTTAGATCCGACAACGGCAAAGTATTCAACAGCAAATGGCTCAAATTAACGGAAAAGTGAAGTTTGAAAATTATTCATTCCATGAATTTTTTTTTCAGATCAAAAAAACGAAAATTGTCAAGCATTCTCAACCAGAAAACAACGAGTTCACAATTGAAGATTTGCTGAAACAGGAAGACACAACGGAAGTTGAAATTTTGAAAATTGATATTGAAGGTTATTTTTGCGCTTTCTAGATTCTTGAGAAATTGCCGCAGACTATGAAATTGAGTTAAAATAAACTGAGAATTAGCTTACAGTAAACATTTAGAGTCAAAAGTTCAATAGAATTCTCGGTCTTCAAAGTCAACACAATATATTTTTCGCTAGAAAAGAAATTTGAATTCCTTCAGTAATTTTATAATAAAATTATTATCATTAACGGAATTTTGAGTAACGTTTGACAGGTCTTAAAAAAAATTCAATCACTTCCGGTGGAACCAAAATAAAATGTAGAATTTAGGAACCGAATTCGACGTCCTTCTGGATTTCCTCGACAAGTTCCAAGTGGCACAGGTCAGTTGAGACTCCGAGAAAATATTGAAATTTTTTGTTTCAGATTCTAATGGAAGTACACAACGGCCCAACAAAAATGGCCCGACTTCTGACCCAACTTTCTGCAAGAGGATATTGGCTTCTAAGCTATGAAATCAACGGGAAATTCCATCGTTTGAGTGAATTCTCGTTCATTCATGAGACGGCTTTTGATCGTTACGGGGCAACGCCTTTGGCTCAGTATCTGAACATCATAGGCGAGCCCTTTTTATTTTGAAACGTTTTGGAAGTGATGGATTTGGAGCTTTAAGTAGGTCAAAATTTAGAGAAAAGGAAGGTTTTTGTTAGAAGATGATGAAACTTTGTCGAGAGAGGTGTCCAAAATTTTGCCCTAAATGCTATGGTTGCTAAAAAAAAACAATAAACCTCTTTTTTCTTACAAAGAAGTTGTTAAATTTGAGAGCATCATAACTGCAGCAACAACCCGGAAATGCAATTTTTCGATCGGTTTGGAAACAAAGTATCCTTTAAGCGAAGTTTCATTGAAATCCGAACCGGACATTTTCTGCACTTCCCTTGTTTGTTTTCAGAGTAGAGTGTGAATTTTCAAAGTCAGAACAAACTCATAAAATACCGAAAAATGTCTACAATGTCTATTTTCTAGAAGATCCAAGCGAAGGAGAAGAAAGTGCATCGGTTGAAAAAGAAGAGACGGGAAACAGCGAAGAAGCTGAAGACAAGACGCAACAAAATGAAGAGAGATGACACCTTCCCATTCAAAACCTCGCTCACTTTTTAGACAAACAGAAAACAACACTAGAGATAGATACATAGGTAAACATTTCGAGAAATCCGAACAAGAGTTCGATCCCGTGCTTTACTCATCCAACAAAATTATTTTCGTTTCAACCATTTTCACCAACCAGTGAAAGGATTTCCTCTGAAGTTGTTGACTTGTCGTGTTTTTCGTGTCCGAACTTTTTTAACCAAATAAATTTATTTCGAAAAGCTCTTCTCTAAATTGGATAAATCTGGAGTGAAAAAAGGCAAGACTGAACAAAAAACTCCGAGAAAAGGAATAAACATATCTTGAGGCACATTTGAGATAGTAAGGCACTTCTGGGACTGAAAAGACTGGGAAATGGATTTTTATATATAATTATGAACAAGGTTTACACAAAATGATTTAAAATGAAAAACTGGGTCATTTTTAGTGGAAGAAACAAAAATATACATAGGGTAGTGTCAAAGAGAAAGTTTGAAGTTGTTGTAAACATGAATGATTTGAAATTGCGAATACGAAAAATAAGAAATGTTCATATAAGCCAAGCTAGAACTGTTTTGTTGATAAAGGAAATCAAATTTTCCGAAACTAGGTTTATGGTTCATCAATTGTTCTTTGTGGAATTCGTCAATGTTGCTTTGAACATTTTTAGTTCCAATATTTGATGGGAAACTCTGACTTTTTAAAAAATCTGAAAATCTAAAAACTTGGATTACAAAAAAATAATACCTAACTTGAAACTTTTTAAAAATAATGCCAAGCTAATCTTATATTTTTTTCAGGCTGGAAAAAAATTGACTACAGTTCGAAAGGAAGAGGTTTTTTTCAATTCCGATTGTTGTAAAATAAATTTTTTTCTACATATAATAACGATAAAGAACTAGAAACTAATAGGAGGGGTTTTAAATTCATATCTAAATGTTTTTTTATAAGGTATTTTTTTGAACTTGAGTGGGAGTTTTTCATTCTTGTTTTAGTTCAGAAAAAAATTTGAGCTAAGCACATTTTGAATTATTTTTGAAGTAGATTTTTCATTTTGAAAGTAAAAATTCTTTAGAAAAATTTTTTTTCATTTTTCAAAAAAACCTAGTTTTTATAAAAATCTATGTACTTGAATGATAGGAATGGAGTGAAAAACTAGAGTTCAAAAAGAAACACACTTAAGAGGACAACCGATCACATTCTCCTAGGTGGTGGTCGAGAAGCGTCTCTTCTATGAATCTCACGATTGATGGCGACTCTCATTTTTTCATATCTGAAATATGGAAATGCTTGGATTTTTAATTTATAAAGTTGAAAACTTCCTCGCGATATCGATTGCCTGCTGCTTGTAGAGTTTCCGCATCATTTCTTCATATTGCGCAAGCTGGCTGATGCCAAAAAGGTTCCACTGAAACGGGAAGTTTGAATATTGCAGTGCTTTTTGAGTATGGTCAGTCTTTCTAGATTTGAAAGGCGAGACCGGTAGCTTGGCAAGGGTGAGGCGTTGCGTGTGCGACGCGGCTTCCTAGCGGGAAACTTTTATTCAAACACTAGCTCCGATTTTTTTTTCGACAGATTTTCAATGAACTTTTATTTTTCAATGATTATATTCGACTTCGAGTTTCCATGCCAAAAGCCGCGTCGCACACGCAACGCGTCACTCTTGCAAATCTATACCTCTCACCTCTCAAAACGTTAAAAATTGATTATAGCCAAACCTCAAGCAGATGATCCAAAGAAGTATCAGATTGGGCATACATCAGAAGCCATGGCGGTAATTCTGAAAAATTTTCAAATGGTCAGAAACTAATCTCGATGAAAAAGCAACCATTCTCTTGTATGATATGAAGATCTGCTGTAAGCTCCATGTTGGATCGGCTGGCCACATTAACAGATTCGGTTCGGAAAATGGGGTTGGCGATCCCAGGATGGTCGAATTGACGAACTCCAGTTGTTTCACTGAATGTCAATGCTTTTCAAAGAAAGAATTTGATTCTCACTTGAAATAAATAACTCCGAGCTGAGGATCGAAATATTTTTTCCATCCGGGACGCAAGTTATCTTTCACTAGCGGATGTACCCAATGAGTGCGACGGTTATTGTGGTCGACGTAATACCTGAAAGAAAGTTCAGACATGTGACATGAAACAGAAAACTACCTGATCCCGTCGTTTGTGTAATCAATGGCCCAGTTTGGAGGTAATGTTGGCTCATCGACAAACGGATCGTCGTCGTGCACTGAAGTTGAGATCATTTTTCAAAAGTATAATAAGAATATTTGTTTCGTTTGAATGAATAAGTTCTCAGAGAGAATTTCAAAGAATACGGATTGCACAAAAAACTAAAAATTACAATAACGGTTGGAATATTATAGATAATACCCGGTTTTTTTCAAAAATTTCCATTTTCAATATTTTTTTCTGAATAATTTTTTTCATTTGCCCCCAAAAAAATTTTTTTGAATATTTCTCAAACTTGAAACATCGCCATTCAAAATCATTCCATCCCTTTTCCGATTTTTTTCACTTTCTTTCATGATGCGATAACCTTTTTATGTATAACTCGATGAAATCATCATTTTATCTCAAAAAAATAAAAAATTAAGCCGGAAGTGTGTTCAAATCCAATAGCATGGGAAACGCTTCAAAGAAAACTTTTAGAAACTTCGTGATTTTATTTGAAAAAGCTTTTTACCTCAAAGCAGCGACGGATCAATTTAAAAAAAGCTTTTTTGCTCTTGAAGTAATGGAAAAACCGTGGAGGGCGGAGAAGCTTTTATTCTCAAGAGCCGAGACGACATTACAAATTTTCATCAATTGCAGCCTGTTACCTTCCAATTTTATAGTATATTTCTCTTTGAACCTTTTCGGGATGATTATTCTTCTCTTAGCCGTTAATTTGAGCTTTTGTCGTTTTTCCCATATTCTCACTTCTTTTGTCATCGATTCGATTCATTTTATTTTATGAATTGTCTTCTTAAGGAAAAATTGAGGATTATCGTAAGAATTGCTCTTATTTTCAAATTAAAAATAATGATTCTTATTAAGTTATCTTCAAAGCATAAGAAATCGAACCTGAAGTAATGTCTCCATATTTTTTTGAACTGTGATGACAGGATCAGCACTCGGAAGCGTTTGCAACGACTGAAACCGCGGTTGTTCGCCCGTTGAAAGTTCATCTCTGAAAGTATTTCTTTTCCTCTATTGCCAATGCTTTTCTACCAACCTCAAGCTGATATCTAACAGTCCCTGCTCGACATTTCCAATGGAATGAGAAGCTGTCAAAGCTTTCCTCGGTACAAAGCGGAGGCCACCTCTAGAACTATTCAGTTTAAAAAAGTAACAGTAGAATAACTCGCCTGTTGAAGCTTCTAGAAGACAAAACGTCAATATTTCGAAGGCCGAATGACGTGGAAGGACTAGTTTCGATTTCGTCACTTCCCTCCAAGCCACCATCGTTTTCACTAAAATTGAAATTGGTGGCTTTTTGATACAACGCATGTTTTGGTTAAGGCCGGGGAATTTTTTGACTCTAATTTCGGTTCGAGAATAAGCACGGCTAACAGAAAATCATCTTTTAGTGCTACCTGAGGTTTTCATAAGAAGGTTCTATGTCAAATAAACGCTCAGTTTTACTTCTGGGCGAAATCTGAGATTGACCAGTTTTTGCAGAACTTGAGAAACAATAGTGATCAGTTGATTTTACAATTTGAACTTCTCTAAAGCCATAAAATAATGAATAATATGAGCTAACCTAACAGTGGACCTCGAATGGAGCCTCCTCGCTGGTTCCACAGCCAAGTTTTCCCCGATATCGAAAGTGTCGTCGAAAACTTCGTTATAACTAGGATCCTCCATTTGAAGAAATTCTGGCTCTGGAATTGTTTGAGCCAAAGTTTGAGCTGCGGCGGCCGCAAGGGCCGCAGTTGAAATCGGCGACCTTCTCGCGGCATTCACAGCGTGGGCCGAAGCTGAAACCGTCCTTTTGAAACTGATAGTTGACCCAATAATTCAAAAACTCTAATCGATTGTTATAAATCAATGAGAGCCTTTTCCTTCTGTTTTAAAGCATTTTGGTTTGGTTTCATTTAACAAAAATTTGAATTATGGCTAATTTTTTTAATCTGTTTTTTCTTTCAAAAAAAGCAAACTAATTCAAGTTGGTTTCTCTACAAAAATGAAATAATTTTTTTGCTTTCTCGGTTATAACATTTCTTCATATTTACTGTTATTTTTGACTATTTTTTTGTTATGGAAGTTCCTCAGGGTAACTGAAACATCATCTCAAAATATTTTTTTTTGGTTCCATACATATCCATCCATCAAATCGCAGATAGTTGTTTTTTTTTTTGAACAGACCAGTTTCATGCATCAAGCTAGTTTAAACTTTTTAAAAACGTTCCCAGATTCGTAGAAACTGAAAAGCTTTTCAATGGGTTTTTTTTGAAACAAAAGGCCTTGAACGATCTATAACCGTCAAAAAAGCCATCAAAAGATCTTACCGCTAAGTGAAGGGACCGGCGGTGGAGCATCGCGTTTAACGTATCTTCCTTGAGTGCCTTCCACAGCAGCCGTTTTTCGGCGAGAAAACAACATTTCTGCAAAAAAAGCAACATAAAATTGATGAAAGGCCGCCGTGAGAGAACAAAAAACCATCGCAATATGTTTTCTGGGACAAAAGAAAAGATGACGCCTAGAGGAACGAACGTTTGCGTTGTCGATTAGAACGCGGTGTACACAGCCACGCGAACGCAAGATTACTGAACCAGAAACTGATTGGTCAACGGGTCCGCCTGGGGCCCGTTAACCGGATAATTGAGTGAAATCTTTTTGCAAGAAGCATTTTCCTGTGACACATTTGGCTTTTATTTGAAAAACATAATCTGAAAATGATGCGACAAAGATAAATTTCAAATTTTATGAAAAAAATGTTTTCTTTTGTTGCACTTATTGCTACAATTCAAAGAAAAAGGGGTTTGACCCAGAAGAAAAAAAATAGTGAGCAACAGCTGTTCATTTCAAAAAATTTTGAAAATTTGTGTAATTTCGCTTGTGTGTATGCACCTGCGCCTAATACCGTTCTCCGGTCAGATCGTTCATAATTATTTCTTCAAAGCAAAAGATTCAATTATAAGCTTTGGTTTGAAGGCTTAAAAGGAGAAAAAAACTCAGAAAAAATAACTGATATGAAAAAAATTCTTCTTGTGCGAATAATTTTGATAAATTAAGACATCGTTTTTTTCTTTTCATTGTTTGAGGTGAGCATTTGCACAGCCTTCAAAAAACTTTCCAAGTATTTTTCTTCGAACTTTTGTCATTTATTATATGTTTTTCAAGAACTCTGAGGCCTTGAGAACGTGAACGACCTACAGACGTTAACCTGTCATTAAAAAGGTTGTAAATAAGTTAGCCTACATATGCAGGTCAACCGAAAAAAAGGTATAGATAGTTATCTTTTCTCTGCGAACAGCCCATTTGCGAGGATGTCAGAAATCTTCGTCAATAGTTTTTTTTTAGAGTTGGTGAGATTTCAAATTTCTGGTATTTGTTTTCAGTGTTTCTATTTATCTTGCAGTCGTATTGAAATGACTGTTTATATGAAATCTGCGCTTCCCAAACTGTGAAGCCCTGCAAAAATAGCGCAAACTGATTCGTTTAGGGTATTGTATTTCTCGCATGATTTTTCAAAACAGTTGAAAAGGTCTATATGCAGGATAACCAAAATTAAAGTAAAAAGTCTTAGCTTTTTTTATATTCGGAATTGGAAAAAGAATTTTACGTTCTTCATAGTTCCTATAACTTTCTAACCAAAGGAGTTTAATTTTTTTAAGTTCAGGGAAATCATTTTTTTGAGTTAGAATACTTTCAAAAATGTGTTTTTCTTCAAAAATATCTTTTTAGGGGTTGATTTTTCTGATCTTTTCCGTTCGAAAAAAAATCTTATTTTCAACACTCGGTCTTGATGTTGATGGAAAGCATTCTCAAAAAAGTTTTTCGTCTCCAAGTGTAGTGTGAAAAAAAAACGCGTTTGAGGTACTTGTCCTTGATTTTGAGGGGTACCCGGTTTCAAGTTGGTCAGATGGTTGTATGAAGCTAGTTTTTCTTTTCTTGAGGACGCAGCTATTTTTTTTTCATTAAATGTTTGCATGAACTTGTGGAATCTACAATAGGAAGATTTTCTTCAGAGTCATGGAATAAATGAAGAGTTGGCTGTCGGTTTGCGTGACACATTGACCAAGATTGGGTTGTAGACCATCTTTTCTTCTTCAGATAGTAAATTCAGAAAGTTAAGCATCCTGACGATCAGCTTCTTGTTCATGGGAACAGTACGGTTTCTTGAAACTTTTCATTCAAAATTTTTTTTCTTCGAGATTTCGACCATTTTGATACGTACTGATAATGAAGATGGAAACTAAAAAAATTAAAGTTGAGTCAGGTGACTGTCTTTCCAAGACGGACTGCTCTTTATAAAAAAAAAAAACTCCTCCAGGCTTTGCACTATAATTTTCTCGTCCTCAACTGCCGTAAACGTGAAATTACCGAAAATTTTAAAAGTAATGAGTATGAGCTCGCTAGCTATAAAAATCCACAAATCTATACTTCAAACGTTGACTGTAATATATTACCAAAGATCCGCTTCAGTTTTCGCAAAATTTGAGAAGAGAAACTGATTTCAGCGTTTTTAATTGCTAAGTAAGAGAAAAAAACTGATAGCCTTCATGAAATTTCTTTAGATTTATACAAATATTACAAAAGATTTATGACTCTTTTCTTTGTAGATTACTATAAATATCTTATCAGATGAGCTTTAAGAGGCTTTAGTTGAGTATCGAGGAAAAATAGCTTCTTTTCAGAAGCATTGCATATTTTCTTCTTTTTATCATTTTCGCACAATTTTCGTGTCCGATCAAGACGCATGCGTTTCTCTTCTGACAATAACTCTGTTTGTTCTGCTTTTAAGGATAGTTTTGTACCTAAAATAGACGCGAGCGTGGTCGAAGAATGTGTCGCAGAAGCGGCGTTTCAATCGGTCAGCACCGGAAGCAAACAATGTCCTCTGCTGAATGCGAGCTTAGGAACAACCTCTGCTCTGTTTGTACCAAAAAAAAGGGCGTCGTGCTCCCCTGAGATCTCTAAGAAGAGTCGGAGAAGACAGAAGTGCGAAGAGTATGTGCCAGGGTCTGAGCATTGAGCTCACGTGTGGCTCCGTGCCCTGTGCTTGTGCTCACAAGAATGTTACACCTCGACCTCTGCCCCCACTGAACTTCGTCATAGACGTTTGTTTTCCGACCACATCTTGCCCTTTTTCGTTCATTTCTCGGTTTTGTGAAAACTTCCGAAAACTAAAAAATAAATTTTTTTATTTTTCATGCAAAAAATTTGCTTCATTCTAAGGTAATGATAAGGTAATTATCACTATTATGGTAAATCTAGCTGTTGAAATTGTCCGAGGGTCAATTATGATTCGAGAACGAAAAATTAACGCTATTTTATGACGGGAAGATAGCTTTTCCTCATTTGAAAACGATGATTTCCGGTTTGTGCTCCCGGCGCAGGTGGACGCCAATCTGACCTTTGCAGAGCCAATGACGGAAGCCGGTCCAAGGCGCCAAATTTATCAAATGATGTGACAACCGCCCACTAAAATTAGTTTTTGACTGCGCACTCCGTTTGGAACGAGATTTTTTGGTCCGACCTATCGCGGGCGGAGAAATACACTGGTGGTGTGGTCAAAGGCCTACAAAGGATAGGATAGACGCTTCTTCCACTCTGCGGTCCTCTCCAAATTCCCGCAATTTCGCCGCCAAAATCTTTGATTGTAGTACTTCTGCTCTAGAAACGATTGAAAAAATTGGTATCTTTGTTTTCCCAGCGTGATTAACTGTCAATATGGTAATTATTTGATAATCCATTTACCGGTATCTCTGCGATGGATACAATTCCAATTTTTTTCTTCACTTATTTTACTAGATTCTGAAAAAGAATCTTTCTAAAAGTTGTTTCAATGTGGGGAGGGGTCAATGAACTTTACGTGAGATTTGTCGGTCCTTAATAAGGTCGAGCGATGAACTAATGTTCAAGGTCAACTGCCTTCGGTTTGCAGAACTATTGTCTTTGAACTCTTGCTGTCATTTCCTTTTTTCACCAGGCGTCTGATTCACCTCAAAGAATGATACGTTGGGCATCGTTGAAATTGTTTTGTTCTCAGAGCGTCATTGTTTTTATTTTTTGATTGATTCTTTTTTCTTTTTACAACAATTGGAATCCAGTTTTTCTTCGTGTTTCTGCGCTGTTTTTCAAAATATATAGTTGCTTAACAAAAGCTTCGGTGAAAGAGAAATTATTCATTTTTGCCTTCAAAAAGACTAAACTTGGATTTTCTGTGAGATTTTTGGTTTTTTCTTATTCGAACGCTTTTAATTGGAAGGAGTACTTTTCCAGAATGGTTTATCATAAAAAAAAGACTGGTATAGCAATTTTGAACAAGGCTGAAACCAACTAGATCTCTTGAACTTTTTGTCGTGATCTTTTGTTCGCCCTGGAAGCTGCTGTGAACCAACTAATTTTCATTCAGTCTTTCCGATTTGAAAAAAAAAATCATAACATTCCCTCAACGGATCATCGACCGTTTGTAACTGGAGCCAATTTTTTTTCTCCTCTACGGAGTTAATATGTCAGTTTTGTTGAAAACTCTTGGAACACCTCATTCGATTCGACGTTTCAGAACGTTATACACACAGCTGTGTTGGTGTATTGTATTGCAAGGACTGTTTGCCTTGCTGCGTCCACTTGCAAGTAGCTGTCGGCCACTGCATGAAAAAACCCACTCAAATTCAAAAAGTTGTTTTTTCTGCATGCTAATGATTTCCTGGAGATTCATATTCTCTTTCGAAGCTTTTTTATTTGTTCGCGTATTTCATGGTGATTTAAACGTTCTCGCGCTGTTAAATGCTTCTCAGAGCTCGAGTAAAGTTTCAGATGGTGCTGCTGTTCATGTTAGTTCTGCCAGTGGCAGCTGACATCGCAACTTATGGGTATTCTCCGAAAGGCTTGAATCCGACATTGTATTCCGCTGAAGACAGGTTCCCGCTTCCCTTCTTTGTTATATGCACTGAAATGAACTTTGTTCTGAAAAATTAGAAAACCAGGCACTCAGTGAAACTCGTGAGGTTTCGAGTTCGAACAGCTCCATTTTTTAGATGTCGCTTTTGCGCACTTTTTGAGCCGTTTTTATATCTTGAATTCAAGGAGGGTCTATTATATCATAAAACATATGAGCTAAAATCGAGTTGACCTATTTTCTCGTAGTTGACCCCTCATAAATTTCCGTGGTACAAGGAAGTCCTACTAACTTTTTTTCAGTATCATTCAACTTGACGAGGTGACCTTCAATGACACCGTTTACTGCAACGGGGATGACTGTGTCGGTCACTTAGTGGAGGTTCAAAAGAGATTTTCAGATTGGAATATTCTCATATTTTCAGTTCTACTCGGATTGGTGCGGACATTGTCGGTCTTTCGCCCCTCTGTATAAAAGTTTCGCCAAGGATGTGGATGGATGGCAAGGAGTGGTCAAGGTCGAATTGATTTTCTGCGGTTTTTTTTGATTTCAAGTTTAGATCGGAGCAATTAACTGCGCGGATTCTGTGAACGAGCACGTTTGTAGGAGTAATGGGATTCAATACTTCCCTCTTATCAAGGTAAAATTTTATAATCTGGGAAAAAGTGTCATTTTGACTTTTTCGATTTCACTGCAAAAATTGTAAAAATTGCATCTGCTTAACATTTTATGGAAAAAAATGTCTCATGAAAAATTCTTAAAAGTTTTCAGTATTTTCCACGAAACTCAACGGAGTCTATGGAAAGCTCGCAACTGAAACCATACCCATCTTTGTCTGAGATGCGAGATCAACTAACTAAGGTTAATTCTGGCGCATCTTCAGCAAGATCTTATCAACATTTAGGTGATCATGGATGACTACGCTATCAACCGATTCAATGATTGGCCTACGTTTGACTTCCTTGGAGAGTACGTTGAAGAGAAAAAAACCGAGAGTTATTAAATCATTCAGCGTCGTTACCTACGGAGAACTGTGGGACGGATCTCCATCTTCCGCTCAACACATGGCAATCATTTTTGAGTACAATCAAGCAAGTCTTACTGGAGCTCAGGTTGAACACTTCTTACTTTCTGATTTGATGATCTTTTTTGCAGCTTCTCCTAGATTTACACGCTCATCGAGATAGGCTTCTGGCTAGACGATGCTTGAAGAGTCATCCGCTTGTCGAGGCGTTGAAAATAACTGATTTCCCATCTCTAGCCATTTTCAAGAGAGGAGAAAGGAAGCCAGTGATGGTGGCCGAGTAGGTTTTCTTTTCGAAGTTGAAAAAAAAATCGAACGAATAGTTTCATAACCGTCTTTATTTACAGACTCCGCCGTTTGCTCCTCCGTGAGATTGAAGGTTTCCTGGAGAAACCGTCGGACAACGAGCTTCAGAAGATCCAATTCAGCAGTCGTAAGAACAAAACTATGGACTGCAAAGCGGACCCGGAAAAGTAAGAATTTCACCATAATTTTTCTTTAATATTTCTAAACTTGAGATGCCGAAAACTCTACTTTGTGTCGGAGGTTGACATGCTCAAGGCAATGAGATATGCTCTTTTCCGAGAATCGGCCAGGACAGGTAACTTCATTGCGTTTATTCTCGAAATACAGTTTTTTTAAGGAGCTCCTTTGCAAGCAGCCAACTTATCTGCTCTGCATTCGTTCATTTCCTTGTTAGCTGATAATTTTCCAACTACCACTCTCGAAGGTGCTGAAAATAAGGTTTGTGATGATTCTGGAAATTTCGTCATTTTTCGTTTAAATAAATTGAGTCCCTCATTGAAACGACTGCACCTTGGAAAAAATTGAAACTTCAAAATTCTCCTTTTTAAGTTTTTTTGCGCTGTTGCTGGTGATGCTACTGTTATATCAACTTTGCGTTGAAGAAAATCGTTCATAACTGGATGGGCTAAAAAAGTATAAGTTTCTTAGATAAGCGTGCACCTTCTATGCTCCGTTACTTTTAAAAAAATCACTCTCTTTAAAAATTCAAATCCATTCTTTCAGACCTACTTGGACCGGTCGAGCCGTGCCGTTCGAGTTTTCTCCAGATTGAGAGACTATCTGGCCGATAAAGGCTTGGACGCGGTCATTCAAATCGAAGAGTGGCAGAAAGAGTTTCTTGCGGCAGAGGTCTGCGAAGTTTTCCTTTTGTTTCAAGTCTAAAAATTTGCAGGAGGCAGCCGGAAATCCTTTCCCACTCAACGCCGAATGGCAGCACTGCGCAGGATCATCCACACAGTTCCGTGGCTACACCTGTGGTTTATGGACCACCTTCCACGCTCTCACCGTTTCTGCCTACAACAATTGGGTCACTAACAGCAGTGGTGAGTTTTTGAAAATCTGGGTAGGAAATCGCACTATCCGCCGCGGTTTGAAAAACTATGTTACAACTGTACTGATCTCTCATCAGTTCTGATATTTTACATGCGGATTTTAAGGGAAATTGCTTCATGTATTTTTTTCACTGTAAAATGACTATGCAAAAAAATTAAAATCAATACTTCATACAGGTTTTTTTGCAAGTAATGAATTCCAAAAGATTTTCCAGCTTCCGCTTCAGAGTTAAAAATCGATATATTTTAAAATTCCCTGTTTAGTTCAGTCCAACTTCATTACTGACGCTTCAGATCATGCTTTGGATGTCTTATTACTTCAGAAACTTGAAATTTTAGTGTAGTACAGCTTGAAAGTCTAATGAGAAGCCTGAAAAAATTATAAAAGAGCCTATAAATTCGGAGTTTTGAATGAATCTTTGAATTTTGACTGCAGTATTATTTAGTTTTGACTGAAATCCATATTTTTTCAGAAACCGCCCATCCACTGCCACCTCTTCAAGCCATCCGAGACTGGGTTGGATCATTCTTCGGTTGTAACCACTGCCGCGAGCATTTCCTTCGAATGACGACCAATACTTTCAAAATGGAGGCGCAGGTGAATTCCATGAATTTTTGAGCATTGCAAAAAGTTCTCTTTTCTTTTCTTGAGCTTCACCGGGAATTTACAGGTTCGAAAACCGGAAGACGTGTTCATGTACTTGTGGCGGGCTCACAACATCGTCAACGCCCGATTGCGAGGAAGAGAAACCGAAGATCCGAAATTCCCCAAATACCAATTCCCAGCCAACTTCTTGTGCTCAAACTGCACTTCCAACGGACAACTGGCAGAAGATTCAGTTCAACCTTTCCTCATTGAATATTACTCAAGAATTCGCCCCTATCAAACACCAAATTCACATTAGAACAAGTTTCTGACCTTGTGCAATTCGAAGTTTTGTCTTACAGTTTCATTCCTAACATAATCTCGTATCCAGCTTTTCATGATCATCTTTCTGAAAAAGGAGATATTCTCAAAGTGGAAGTTCCTACCCTGGACTGTTACGTTCCATATCTGGTCATCGTTATCTCGTGTACAAACTTATCTTTAATGTGAATTTTCCGGGGGCTTTTAAACGTAGAACCATAGTATTTATCCAAAAATCTATTGTTTTTTCTTTTTTTTACCTGTATAACTGATGTCACTTCACTTCACTTTTTTGTGCTTATTCCTTTCTTCTTTCTTGCCGTTTCTGTGTTTTATCGTTATGATGGTTGAATGGGCATAAATATTTCTCTATGATTTACAAAGTCAAAGATAATGAAACAATGGAAATTTCAGAATCATCGGGTTGACCAGAGCTTTAACGGCAAAATGCCATCGCTTTAAAAGTCGTTATCGCCGTAAAAATTCTTTTATCAGTTTCACATCGATACGCGCATAGTTCCAACTGTGATAGCTCTAGATTTTCAACTTATTTTTGTTTTCGTATGGATTTACTCCGCACTTTTTTTAGAAAAACATCCAAAATTCATAACGCTTGAAATTTATCAAGTTTTTTTTTGAGTTTGTGGTTCTGGACGTCGGTCATAGAACATTATATCTTTTCAAGTTTCAAAAACTCTGACTTCACTGGAGAAAAAAACGTTAAGGCTGATGATGGTATTTCTGACTGGGTAACGTTTTTCACCCCCGTGAACTTTTAATGAAACTTTTGCTTAAATGTACTTTTAACACTTCAAATTAGAAAAAGAAAAAAAGAAATTTGGCGATAGATCTTATTGTCGAGTTATAAAGCTTCAAGGTCTGCAAAATGCGGACATTCTGAAAAAATCGCTGTTTTAAGCGTCTTTGTTAAAAATTTGAACACAGTTTATTTCTCTCAAAATTGTTCAGTACCAGAAAAAAAATCTTATGAGATTTATTTACGTATCAAAAGCTGATTTACGTATCATGGAAAACTTTTGCGACAAACTTCAGAGATTTAATCACAATTTCGGCTTCTCACTTCCTAGAAAGTTCTATCGTTCATCAACCAGATCGCAGATCATTTCCCTGTTCCCATCTCTCAGTTACAATGAAAGAAAGCGGACCCGCTGAAATCCAGCGTTCCTCTTTGCGAGTCTGTCCTCCGACGCGACACAGGTTTGAAAAAAGGCAAAAAGCAGCAGCACCGGCGCGAAATGTGGACCGCCGGTCGTCTTTTCTCCGTTCCTTCCGACGCGAGGCTTTTCCATCTTTCGTTTCTCTTTTTGACCTCTCGAGCTCCCATTGAGCACCTCAAAGACCTTCTCTTTTTGTCCAATCTTGTCCGATCCCCCTTTTTTTCTCTCTCATGTATACCGGACTGTTTTCAACAACTCGTCGACTTTTATTTGTGTTTCGTGAATGCGTTTTTTTTTTGAAATTATGTTTTGAATCCGATTAGCAGCGAGAATATTATTTTTGATTTATTTGGTAGGATGGAATGTTGTATTAAATGATAATTCAAGCAAAATACTAGTAATATGAGCTATTCGAGAGTATAAAAATGAAAATGCTCAAAATACGTAGTTCGAAATAGTTCAAAAACACCCTTTCAACTAGAAAAAGTAGGAAATAACTGAGTTTTTCTTTCACATGGAGTATGACATCAATAAAATTGCGTTTTGAGTCCGAATAACTGAAAAAAAATTTGAAGCACACTTTTCTGTTCTGATAAAGTTATTTGAGTGAAAGAAAGTCTCGACTAAACTGCGAAGCTTCATGTTCTTCAGATTAAAACATAATCCAAGCCTTATCATTCATTTCCAATCGCACTAAGAAGTGATTAGTAACAAGTACATAGAAGGTATGACTAATTTTCCAACAGTAGTAGTCTCGCAAGTAATCCAATACCGCTCCAATTACAAACAACCCCACGTGCGCTCTTGAATCGGACTCGGACCCACTTCTTAAGGTTCTCTGAAGATTTCATAGTATTTTTCCTCTTTTGTCGTCAGCTGATTCAGTTTTTTGAATTTTTAAAGCATGTAACTGAGAGTTTTTTCTTGTTGGAAAAATAATTTTTGATATTTAGGTTTTGAACTAACTTTCCTAGATTTTTTCAAGAAGAGTTTTTTGAAGTGGTAACTTCACTCTTTCAAAATTAGGAAAAACATTGATAATTTTCCAGTTTTTTTTGGATCAATAATGACCCAAGTAACATAATCCTAAAGGTGAATTTTAATGAAAACTCGACTTTTTTTTCTATTTTTGGCCTGATACGAGCTTTTTCTCTCTTATTGAAATATTTTAAGCTTACTACATCATAGGGAGAAAAAAAATCAATAACTGAGCAAGAAAAGCCCCATATTAATTTTTGTTGCCATCTGTCAGCTATGGGAAAATAGTTTTCTTGTCAGACACTCATTTTCTCCCAAAAGCCGAGTGAAACACAACGGAGTGAGGTCCAAAAATCGGTGCTGTCAGCTCCCACAGTTGTTGTTGGTCCCAAAAACAAAGACTCGGACAAAAGCTGAGAAGCGCGAATCGTTCAGCTCATTGCAAACACGACACAAATCGCCTGCGACCGAGACGATTCAGGGAGGATGAAGCTTTCCTGAGGCCCTCGTTTCGGGCACTCACGGCAGTCCCTCGTCCAAACGCATGGGCAAAACTGGCAGGAAGCCCAAGATGTTTATTGGGAAACTTTCCATCGAAACAGTCGAGTGGGCCGCCTTTTTTTTGTTCGCCGCAAGCTTTTGCCTGAATCCCGCAGATTTGCGTATAGATCCCGCTCATTATTCTTCCTTATACTTGAAATAATCCCTTGAAGTCAAAAAATCAAAAATTTGAATAAGGAATTTTTAATCATTTGTGACAATTCAAATTTGATGAGATTTTTTTCATGATATCGATTTTTTTTTTGCTTTTCACGGATCCTTTGATCTCATTTCATTGAAAATTTACGGCAAACCCTACAATTTAGATTTGTTTAAATCGAGTTATCACTTCAAAAATACTACATTTGAATGAAAAATTCAGAACTAGTAAGTTCTTATGAGGTCGCGTAGGCCTCAAGGAATTTTTCAATTCTCCCAGGGAATCTAAATTTAGTTGAGAAAATTATGTAAACTTACAAATGGAAACAAATCCAGTAAATGTGAAATATTGATTTAGCTGTTATTTTAACTTCTTCAAAAAAATGCTTTACTTTAGTCAATTATATCATGATTCAAAAAAAACTGAGGAATTTTGATAGCTCTCATGAATTCCATGGCTCTTTAAATTTTCAAAGAATCAATGTAGGAATTCATCTTTTTTTCATTGGGATCTGAAAAATTTTATTTTTTAATTTTTTTCATTTCACAGCCGAGTTCATTGAATCTGTATTTTTTTAGAAGTCAAAACCATCTTATTTCACAAATTAAGATCTAATAAATTAGATGGAGGCGTCGCAACGGGATGCCTTCTCATTGGAATGCGACTGGTAATTCTTATCGCAAATGACCCATTTTTTGTGCCTTTCCATCGCGCATTACACGAACAATCGTTTTTTATTAAATTTTCCGATCCTTATCCTCCTTTTCAGTTATAATAATGCTTCTTCTCAAGCTTGTAGGTTTGAAATTGAAAATTTTCATTGAAAATAGTTTTTTGTCAAGATTATATGTTAATATTTTCATGTTTTCGGGTGATAAACTTGTAAAAAATAAAATTATCAAAAAGGAAATGTTGTGACCTCGTTGTGACCAGATAGTTGGAGCGGACCTGAGTGGTGTTAGGAAGATGGCGGGGCACCAGAGACAACACACAGCCCGGAGATTAGCGTGGCCAAATATCGCCGGACTGCAGGTCTCATCACTACAGACAGTCTGCTTCACTCAACTACTTTTTTTCAGCTACTCTTTTTTTTTCGAAAAGTGATCACTAAAGGAGTTTTACGATGTTCTCACTTTATTCCGTTTTTTCCTCACTTTCAATCATTTTTTTGGAAAAAAATAATTTTAGTCCAATTTTCATAACTCTCTGAGAACTCACGAAATTATATTTTTGATTGACTGGCTGTTAATTCTACATTCCAAAACTCAAAAAACCACTTTCTGAAGACCTACGCCTCAAAGTTCCCACTGATACTCAGAAAAGAGTTAAAATTGGTACTTTCTCGAAAAAAATTAGGATTTTTTTCAACCATTTCCAGAATATTGATGAAAAAAATTTGTTTTTTTCTTGAATATTTCTGAGTTCCAAAAAAAGCTGATTTTTCAGCTCCATTCATTACATCTCATCGCGCAAGTATTCTCGAAGCTTAGAAACAGAAAAAAAAGCAACTTTGAAGAAAGTCTGAGGTCTTTTTGACGATGTACCGGAACAAAGTCTGATTTTTTCATTTTTTTTAAATGTTACTTTCCTACGAATTCAATGATGTTGTACACTTTTTTTATATTTCACTGAGACTTGAAAACTTTTCATTTATTGAATTGAACGATTTGGCCTTCTTTCAAAGTAAAATTGGATGATTTTCATTTTTCTTTTTTGATACTTTCTAAGCCACTCCATTAGTTTTCATTTTTGAAAATTTGTTTTTTGCATCGTTTTTATGCTGTTTTCATCTATTGATTATTCTACTTTCACATCCCAGTTTCAGCGCCATAACTTGAAACGGAAAATGCAGCAGCAATAAGAGCTGAGAATGGTTCTGGTTTCAAAGGTTTAACGATTCAATTCATCAGCAGTTGAATGTTTTTAATCGTTTCCAGGGAGATTTCATTTGGATTGAACCCGGAAAGTCCGAAGGTTCAATTCCACTAGGAGCGAGAGTTATCGACCAGGACCATGGTCGTCTCAAAGTAATTGATGATCTGGGAAATGTGAGTTCAAACGCAATTTTTTTTATTTCCTTTTCAAAATCTCCTCCTAGCCTGAGAGTTTAACTTTTGACGGTCAAAGCGGAATCTTAGTACGACTCCAAGAAAAATCTTCTCAAGGGCAAGATTTTGTCGCAACCCCAAGAGACAATCAGTGATACAAGACTTGCGGACTTAATCGATCGCGTACTTGACCTCATTGTTCGTCCTACAACCGCCCAAATACCTTCTTTTATAGATGTTTCCAAGCTGGTTATCACCAAATTTTAAACGGGCAATCAGGAAAAATGCTTTGCCCTTTAGAGTTGGAAATTCCGGAAAAAAAGAAAGGAATTGACACTGAATCAATATTCCTAATGGACAGCCTCACTATATTAATAAGGCTTACGGAGGGTCAAAAGGAAATTGTAAGATCGATCTCAAAAAATTCCGTTTATTGGTACATCAAATTTCGAATTTTAGATCAAAAATTAGACGTATTTCAACAAAACAGAAACATCTCAGTAATAAATTTCACTTTTTGCAACTTTATGATGATCAAGAAGTTAACTTTTTTAGGAACAATGGCTAGGAACAGATCGAAGAGTCCGCCTGATGCATCCGACATCGGTCCAAGGCGTGGAAGACATGTGTCAGCTCGGAGATTTCCATGAAAGCGCGATCCTTCGGAATTTGTTCATTCGATACAGAGAGAAGCTCATTTATGTAGCTAATCCAGTGTTTGATCCATTTACATTTTCTGTTCAGGCATACACTGGCTCGATATTAATCGCTGTGAATCCTTACATGGACATTGCTATCTACACCGCAGAAGAAATCAGAATGTACAAGAAAAAACGGATCGGCGAGCTCCCGCCTCATATTTTTGCTATCGCAGATAATGCTTATTGGAACATGCGTCGGGCTCGCAGAAATCAGAGCATTATTATCAGGTTTTGATTCTCCCCTGAAACACAAAAAATTGAATTTTTAGTGGAGAGTCCGGTGCGGGAAAAACTGAATCCACCAAACTGGTGCTCCAGTTTCTGGCAACAATCAGCGGTCAGCACAGTTGGATTGAACAGCAAGTTCTCGAAGCGAATCCAGTACTCGAAGGTGACCTAAAACAAATTTTTGTCAAAATATGAATCAATTTCCAGCGTTTGGTAATGCCAAGACCATCCGAAACGACAATTCTTCTCGTTTTGGAAAATATATTGATGTCCATTTCAATGAAAGTGGTTCAATTGAAGGTCTGTCTCTTTTAATTTTTTCTGATTAATTCGTTTCTCCAGGTGCTAGAATAGAGCAGTACCTTCTGGAAAAATCACGAATCGTGGTGCAGTCGGAAAATGAAAGGAACTATCATATTTTCTACTGCTTGTTGGCTGGTTTAAACAAAGAGGAGAAGCGGGAGCTCGAACTGGGGAACGCTGCAGACTATTACTATCTGGTTCAGGTATCTATTTTTTATGGACTTGCTAGTTGCATCTTCTTTTGTTGGAAAACATCAAATCGACGTCTTGAGTTTTTCAAAGTCTTAACGATTGGTACAGTTCGCGTAATAAAGAAACTGGACAAGACCTCATAGAAGTTTTGGTTATTTTTGATTATTTTTAACAGTTATTGAGAGCTCTTTTTAATGCGTCAAGTGTTTGAAAATCTAAGAAAGGTTTTAAAATGATGAAGCTCATGAAAATTTTCAGGGAAAAAGCCTAACTTGCGAAGGTCGAGATGATGCGAGCGACCTTGCGGAGATACGTTCAGCCATGCGTGTCCTGATGATCAATGCCCAGGAAATCTGGAGCATCTTTCAACTTTTGGCAGCTCTGCTTCATATTGGAAACATCAAGTTTCGCAATACTCCGACTGACAATATGGAGTCTGTCGAAGTGTCGGATCCCGCAAACATCGTGAGAATATCCCGGCTCCTTCAGGTTTTTTTTTTAAATTAGAAGACTTGAAACATTAATGATTACAGCTTCGCGAACAAGAACTGTTGAACGCCGTTACGACGAAGAGCTTGGTGACGCGCGAGGAGCGGGTTATCTCGCGGCTTACAGGTTTCCTATTAATAATAGCTTATTGGAATAGTTTGTTGAAGGACAACAAGCCGTCGACACCCGCGATGCTTTGGCGAAAGCAATCTATGGGAAACTGTTCATTCACATCGTGCGCCGAATTAATGACGCCATATATCGGTGCGTTATTCTGAAAAAAGCTTTTCTTTAATGAAACGAGGATTCCAATTAACTTTTCCCATGTTTGTATTCCATTCTTTTTTACAAGTTTCTGAGAAAATTTTTGAGCAAACGTAACCTTTTTAGGCTGTCATTCAAACTAGTAACTTCTAGTATCAAAAAAGTTTCTCTCACAATTCCAAATTAATGTACTTCCATTTTTAACTCGAAGCTTTACATACTTTAAAGCTTTCCATTTGAAAAATTCAGTTCTATCTGCGCAAAAACTTTATAAAAATAGTCTCTCTTTTTTCAGCCCATCTGGCGGTGGATCCAAAAGAACTTCAATTGGAATCCTGGACATTTTCGGCTTCGAAAATTTCAATACAAACAGTTTTGAACAACTTTGCATCAATTATGCCAACGAATGCTTGCAACAATTCTTCGTCCAGCATATTTTCAAAATGGAGCAGCGTGAATATGATGAGGTATTTTTTTGAGGATTCAACCTCTTCAGAAAGATATTTTGAATGCAGGAGCACATAAACTGGCGTCATATCAAATTTGTGGACAATCAGGCTACTGTCGATTTGATTGCACAAACCTCCCTCAACATAATGTCTTTGATTGACGAGGAAAGCATCTTTCCAAAGGTATTACCATTTTAAGTTTCTATCAAGAAATTTTTTCAAGGGGACTGATAAAACGATGCTCCTGAAACTGCATTCAACGCATGGAAAGAATGAGTTTTATCTTCAACCAAGATCTGAACTTCAACGAGCTTTTGGAGTCAATCATTTTGCTGGCCCTGTATTTTATTCTACTCGGGGTTTGGAAAAAAAAATCAATCATGATCTTGATAACTGATTCCAGGATTTCTTGAGAAAAATCGAGACTCTTTCTCTGCTGACTTGTTGGCGTTGATATCTTCCTCAAAAATGCCGTTTTTGGTTAGGCTGTTTGATGACGTCGAGTATGACAGCAATAGCCGGTTTGTAAAGTTTTCAGATCCTTTAAAGTTTCCCTCAGGAAAAAAGTGACATTGGGAGGCCAATTCCGACGGTCATTGGAGCAATTGATGGCGCAGTTGACCCAAACTCAACCGTTCTTCATCAGGTGCATCAAGCCCAACGACATGAAAAGAGCCTTGGTTTTGAGAAGTTGCATCAAAATATTTAGAATCTTTTTAAGGTCATGGATCGAGAATTGGTTCTGAGACAGCTGAGGTACTCCGGTATGATGGAAACTATCAGAATTCGACGAAGTGGATATCCTATTCGACACGGCTACATGCAGTTCGTCCAACGCTATCGCGTTCTAGCTCCATCTCTGAGTTGGACTTTTGTGATTATCTCTTATGTTGTTCTGAAATTAAGAAGGACCGACCGTTAGTCTGAATGTTCATGAAGCTGCCAAGCAAATTTGCAACAACGTTCTTGGCCAAAATGCAGACTACCAGCTGGGAAGAACAAAGATCTTTTTAAAAGATCGTCATGACTTGGTTTTGGAGCAGGTTATCTGACATAAACGAAATATAGTGATACCTGAAAATTCAGGAGTACTACCGTGTTCTGAACTCACGCGCAATCGTTATTCAAAAGTGTGTTCGAGGCTGGTTGGCCAAAAAAGACTTTAGTCAACGACGTCAAGCAGCGATCACAATTCAGAAGACGTGGAGAGGATATGAGCAAAGAAAGCGATACAATCAGGTTCTTTTTGTGAATTTTTTTTTTGAGATTTATTCGAATATTCAGATAATCTCCGGTTTCTCAAGATTGCAAGCTCTGTTACGGTCGAGACAGCTCGTGTCACATTACCAATCTCTTCGAAAGTCGATCATCCAGTTTCAAGTGCATTTTGAGATTATTCTTTTCATTAACTCATTTCATTAGGCTGTATGTCGTGGAAGTCTGCTACGGCAGAAAGTCCGCGAGCTTCGTCGAAAAGGTCAAAGAAAAGCTCCAGCCGAAGTTGCATCACCCAACGAGTCGATTAGATCTGAAACCCGAGAGGACGAATTGGTTAGTTAGTAGAAATAAATAAGTGGCACAAAACACGCTCATATCACTTCGCCGCACTTAATTGCATTTGCAAATAATCAAAATTTAGTTCGCTCTGCTGAACGGAAGAGGCTCACAGGTATTTTAGTTCACGCATATTTCCATAATCACTTTTAACATGGCATGCTGAGATTCCCCTATTGCATTTTTCACTGTTCTTCACTTCTTTCTAGAAGCTTGGTTGGATATGGATGATCATTATCTCGATCCTGTTTCAGCTCGACGACCTTTTCGATTTTCTTCCATCTGATGGGAAAAACGGCAGCGACAACGACAGCAACAGCAATAGTAGGAGGGGCTCTGTTTCAAAGGTTCATTCAAAAAAAAAAGCGGAGTAAAAATCTTTTTACAGCCCTCACCAGTTCTCGAAGCGCCGCCACTGCAGAACGGTACACGTGACGTTGAAGAAGATCTGAGCAAGTATCAGTTTGGAAAGTTCGCAGCAACATTTTTCCAATCACAGGTTGAAAGAAAAGCCTGATTCGGTTTGAATTCATTTTTTCAGGCTTCTGCTACTCACATCAAAAGACCATTAAAAGCTCCGTTATTGACCCATTCTGAGCCTAGCACTCAGCTGGGCGCTCTGGCTGTCTGGACTGCAATCCTCAGGTTCATGGGCGACCTTCCAGATGTAAAACTCGGATCTTCGAGCTCTGGGGAAAACGCTTACGTGAGTTGAGAGAATAAAAGTTAGAAGTCATTGTGAAACAGGACAAGACACCTGTTATGAGCCGACTACACGCAACTCTCGGAAGAAAGTATAGTGCTCGAGACGTTGAAGAAGCTTCCGTCAGTAGCGAATACGGTGGAATGAAAACTTTGAAGAAAGGCATGGGCAAGAAGCTCATCAGCATGACTCTGAAAAGAAAAAGCAAGCTCGCCAGTTAGTAAAATCCTTTTTTTCCATCGTACGCTCTGAAACTTTAAGGTTCATCGGATTCTTCATCAATTTCTTCCGACAGTTCTTCTGGATTCAACGCTCTTCTGGAAAATAAGCCGATGAGCAGCTTGGACAAATTGCACTACATCATCGGACTTGGTATCCTCCGGGAAGACATGAGGTTGGCATGGTCATTTCAATTTAAAGGAAGGAATCTTGTTCAGAGATGAAATATATTGCCAACTCTGCAAACAGCTCAGCAACAACCCTTCAAAGTTGTCAGCAGCCAGAGGCTGGATTTTACTTTCTCTTTGTGCTGGTTGCTTCGTTCCTAGTGAAAGGTTGAATAATAATTCAAGAAGAATTTATCAATGAGTTTCAGGTTCATCAAGTACTTGTACTGCTTCATTCGGGAAAGAGGACCTTCTGGAACTGGATACGCACAGTACATCGAAGAAAGGTTGAGACGGACCCAGGCTAACGGAACTAGGCGCCAACCGCCGAGTTATGTCGAGCTTCAGGTGGGAGATCCCTGAAACAGAGGTTAAGAGGAATTTTCAGGCAAACAAATCGCAAAAGCCAGTCGTTCTCGCAGTAACTTTCATGGACGGATCTGTCAAAACACTTTGTGCCGATTCTGCAACGACGTCTTCGGAGCTTTGCAAGCAACTCGCTGAGAAAGTTGGACTGTCGGAAAGCTTCGGGTTCAGCCTGTACATTGCGCTTTTCGACAAGGTTCACATTTCAAAGCAAGAATGATGATTTTATTGAGGTTCAGGTGTCTTCTCTTGGGTCAGGCAGCGATCATGTCATGGATGCCATTTCTCAGTGTGAACAGTATGCCAAAGAGCAAGGTCGTCAAGAAAGGCGAGTTTGCTGAAAAAATATGATCTCCTAACAGTACAAAAATTGAAGAATGAATGATGAAAATTGTGGAATCTTGAGCATTGAAGAAGAAAAAAAACTTGTGGATATCCGGAAAAATTTGCCATTTTCCTTATTGTTTTTTTTACACCTGTTTGCTGTTACAAAGTTTCCTTTAATATACTTCGCCTAACAAATGCATGTTTTTCAGAAACGCTCCATGGAGATTATTCTTCCGCAAAGAAATCTTCAGTCCCTGGCATGATGCAAGGTGAAAATTAGAAATTAACCAATGATCATTTTTGAATACTTTTCAGAGAAGATCCAGTGAGCACAAACTTGATCTACCAACAAGTGATCCGAGGAATCAAGTATGGTGAATATCGTTGCGACAAGGTTTTCTCAAAACAAGCTTTCCAAGAAGTTATTCTTTCCCAGGATGACGATTTGGCGGCCTTGTGTGCCCAAGAGTACTACATCGATGAAGGCAACATGGAGGTGTCCAAACTGGAGGCTCAGCTTTCGAATTACCTTCCGGACGACGAGTTGAGCGGAAAAGATATGGCCGTAGAGCGCTGGACTCAGACAATAATGCACCAGTACAGAAAGGTTTAATTTTCAGCTTCTTGGCGAAAAAATCGTTAATTTTCAGAAGTTCACTTCAAGACAGCCTACCTCACAAGAAGTGAAAGAAGATATTGTGGGTGTCGCCAAATCAAAATGGCCTCTTCTATTCTCCAGGTGATTATTCTTGATTTTTTGAGTGAATCCATATAATAATCAGGGGACCATCAGATATTTACTTCGATTCTGATCATGCATGCTTGATGAGAAGCTACTTTTTTAATTTTCGAACATTTCAGGTTCTATGAAGCTTTGAAGTTTGCCGGTCCACCCCTACCGAAGAATGAAGTGATAATAGCAGTCAACTGGACCGGCGTCTACATTGTAGATGATCGAGAACACGTACTTCTTGAGTTCAGCTACATTGAAATCGCAAATGCGGTATATGGAAAGTGAGTTCAAAGCTTCCGACTTCCTTTTCTCAATATTAAAAATTGAAGAGGAAGAAGGAGTTCTACTGATACCTGCACCCTGCGTACGATCGGCGGCGAGGAGTACACTTTCCAGTCTCCAAACGCCGATGACGTGGTGTCTCTGGTCAATCTGTTCCTGGGAGGCTTGAAAGAAAGAAGTCGATACTTGATAGCCGTCAGACCTCAAAAGGCCGATAGTATGTTTTTTTTCCTGTGGTTTCAAAAATTTGGACTTTTGCGAAATCTCCTCTTTTCGGGAGGTTTTCACAAATCATAAAATTTCAAGCATTTTTTAAAAAAAGTCTGTGTGACAGTTGAACCTTATTAAACTATTTCAGACGCCGGAAGTTTCCTCGAGTTTGAGAAGAGCGATTTTTTGATCATGATAAACGACTTCAATGGGAAATCTCTTCTGACGGAGAGCACTGTCAAAGTGAGAATTTGATCTTCATTCATTTGAAACATGTGTTTTTAGGGAGAGAACGAGAGAACTTGTTTGTCAGGTTTAATCCGAACAGAAAACGTTTACGTTCTACCGACCTTATCAAAACCAAATCGCAACACATTGGTCTGTTTGTAGTTGTCATCAAACAATGAAAAAACTGTTCAGCAAATGTTCCCGAAGGACACAGACTTTAATCTTGACATTCTGAATAACAACAAACAGGTAGACCTGTGTAAAAATTCAATGAAAAAGAAAAAGTCTCAGGTGGCCATTATTGACCACGACGCAGAGCCGTACACACTAGCGCACTTTGCAGAAGAGAACTTCAAGTGGATTCTGAAAGAAAATCGTTGTTCAAAGTAGTTGATTACAGTCAGTTAACCAGACGAACGGGATCACAGTTATCATTGATGACCCTGAAGAGAAAAGAAGCTCAGGTTGAACGATGGAGATTCAGCAGAGAGAATATCGACACTCCGTTACTCAAGAAAATCAATGGAAGGTGGGATTTTAATAGAGAAATCAAGATTAGAAGATGAACTATTCATTGAAATTTACCAATGCTTGATGAGTTCTGAAAATATTTCTATTCATTCATACCCTACCTAATTAGAAGTGCAGTTTCGCGTTTTGCGGTTATGATAAGTTACAGAAACTGAGATCAACTTTAGCTGTCCCTGAATTCAGAAAAGTTCACGCCATGAGAAAAACTTGCAATCACATGCAATTAAAAAATCGTTCAGAGAAGACGCCGCCAAAGGTTCCTTGGAAATTTTCGCCGGCATTCTGAAGTATATGGGAGATGAACCAACAAAACGAAGTCGTCTAGGAACCCATCTCACTGATCATATCTTCAAATTGCCCATTGCCATGGTAGCTTTTATTTTTCGCAGTTTAAATTCCATTCTAAACATCTAGGAGATTCTTCGAGACGAGCTTTATTGTCAACTTGTCAAACAGTTGACATTCAATCCATCTCTGTTGTCTGAAGAAAGAGGTTGGGAGCTCCTTTGGATGGCCACGGGACTTTTCGCGCCAAGTCCCACTCTTGCTAAAGAGGTTTTTTCGATCCCGTTTTGATTCATACAGGGATTTTCTTTTTTACAGGTTTCGCTTTTCTTGAAGTCTCGACCTCATCCAATCGCCCTCGATTGTCAGAACCGCATGCAGAAGCTTGCCAGGTAAAAAAACAAATCTCTTTTTGAAACAAAAAGAGAACTTTTTTAAGAGGTGGCAGTCGAAAGTATCCGCCGCACATGGTTGAAGTAGAAGCGATACAACATAAGACGACTCAAATATTCCACAAAGTATTCTTCCCGGATCACACCGACGAGGCCATTGAAGTCGACTCTGCAACACGAGCACGCGATTTCTGCCAAAAAATCGGCCAGCGTCTCGGCTTGAAGTCGGCTGACGGTTTCAGTCTCTTCGTTAAAATCAAAGATAAAGGTATTATTTTGATTATATTTTTTATTGAAAAAAAACTATCAGAATATTCTAAATTTTTCGTTTTTGGCCATCAATTTTTCGAAAAAATTCAACATTTTACAAGTTCGCTTTTTTAGAATAAACACTGGATAGCCCGTCTTTTATTTTTGGTTTTTCCTAAAACTATTTTCTCGCATTTTTTTTGAACAATGAACTCTTGAACACTTATTTACATCACAAAGTTTTTCAAAAAACACCCGCGGGAGTATTTCGACTAGCGTTCCAGATCATAAATCATGCTTTGCATTGGAATATACCGGGAAAAAATTCAAAAAGAGTTGAAAAAAAATTCAGTGTTGGCTGTTCCTGAGACGGAATTCTTCTTCGATTTCGTCAGACAACTATCCGACTGGGTTCATAACAATCACATTCTCCAGAAGGTACAGAGTTCTAAAACAGAATGAGTACATATTTTTAAAGGAATCTTCGATGGTTCCTCTGAACTATCAAGTTTACTTCATGCGAAAGTTGTGGCTCATCGTCACTCCAGGGAACGATCAACAGGCCGATCTCATTTTCCACTACTTCCAGGTTTCAAACTGATCCGAAATGTTGAATTTTGTATGTTTTGCAGGAGTGTCCAAAATATTTACTGGGTTATCACAAAACCAGTAAGAAGGATGTCATTGACTTTGCTGCCCTTATCTTGCGAGCTTCTACGAAAGACAACAAGGTGACTCTTGATGAAAAATCATAGGAAAACTGATTTTTAGAATGCTCCATTAGCGCAGATTCCTCAATTACTTGATGAGCTTGTTCCAAAAGACAATCTGAAGCTTTTCTCTACTAGCGACTGGAAGAAGGTTGGTAAGATTTGATTTCATGATCTTCTTCTTCTTTTTCCTCTTTTTTGTACGCCTTTGGACCGCTACGCCTTTGTACCGCCGCGTCGGCGCCCCAAGTCGAATAGCCGGGTCCTATACTGAAATCGATGATAATCAGTAGTTTGGCTCCTATGATCTATCCGTCCTTGTGTGAGACGGCTGGGGATTGTTGAGGACTTTGTTCTCCACTACCAAGACTTCTTAAACCCCTTGGTTGGGTCGAGGAACTTGTGACCCTGTTGACCGTAGACAGGCTACCAACCTGTTGCTCTACGAAGCGTTCCGATTAGATTTCATGTTACTTGACTGTTTTTCAGAACATCAGCAATGCCTACGTTCGAGTGGAGCACCTCACATCGGACCAAGCAAAGATTGAGTTCTTAAAGCTGATCAGCAAGTGGCCAACTTTCGGTTCAGCATTCTTCCCGGTAAAACGAATTCAAAATGAGATCACAGAACATTCAAAAATTCAGGTTTCTCAATTTTCGGATCTAAGCTTGCCAGACCGACTTTTGATAGCCATCAATCAAACCGGTGTCAACATTTTCCATCCCGAGGACAAGAAGCTGCTGGTTCAGGCAAGTTATCACCTGAATTTTGTGAGAAAAGATTCGTTTTTCAGTACCCATTCAGTGTGATATGTAACTGGACAAGTGGCAACACCTATTTCAACATGACTGTTGGAAATATGATCAAAGGCACCGACGGCAAGAAACTTCTGCTGGACACTACAATGGTTTGACGAATATTGATTTAAATATTTTTTATTGGCAATGAATAAGATGATCCGGTTTTTTCTTTTCGGAATAACTTTAAAAAAAGGTTTTGAAAAACCTTGCTTTTTTCACTGTCGGAACTTTGCAACTAGAACTTCGAACTACAAATTTTGAATATCGATTCGGATTTTGACAAGATACAAAAAGTTTCGAAATCACGAATGAAACCCTCTTTTTGCTGTGAAAGAGAGAACTTGACCTTCTAAACTTTCAGGGCTACAAAATGGACGATCTTCTGACGTCGTACATCTCCGTGCTCATTGCCAATCAAGCGCAACCTGGCCAAAAAACGCGAGAAGCTGCCATCTAACTGATTCTTCTTTCCTTTTCTACTCTTCAAATGTGTCATTGCAGACTTGATGCCCCCAAAGATTCAATATGCGCTCTGCTCACTTTTCCTGACCAAACTTATGTGGTTATCCAAAAATGCTGGTTTCTTCACTCTGTTGCTCATGTTAGCCTTCTATTTGCTCGCGATGAATGCCTAAAAAATATATATATAGAAGTTCACTAATAAGTTGTCTTTCCATTACCACACCGCTGTGAAATATGATGGTATTATTTTACTTTCAGTTAGAATATTAAGTTATGATGATTGTATCGGAATGAACAGTTTATACCGTGTTTAATGAAAAAAAACAACGAAATGAAAAAAATGGGTGGATAACGGAAGGAGTGCATTAAATGTTGCAGTTAACACATACAAAGGAAAAATCCGCGTTGGCGTTGTTCAAACATTCGTCGGAACAGGAATGATGGGTGGCGTTTCTATCTAATTTAGATCAAAAACAGACAAATTTAACCCTACGTTTCCTGAGAACGTACAATATGAGTGCAGGCTTCGAGTTTCCTACCCATAGCCAAAACCTTACGTATTTTCTATCGTATCGAAAAAGTCATGTTTTTTTCTTTCATTTTTGAAATGAATTGAACAAGCATTCGGTCTATTGCATCGGTATTAAATGGAGAGCAACAACAGAAAAATTACTGGAATCCAAGAAAAGTAAGAGATCGCTTATCAAATCTCTCATTTTCGAAGCAATAAGAAACTCAACAAGCAATAACTTAAAGAACGAATAACACGTTTTTTACATGCTACATGAAGTGCCAGAACTCCGTTTGAAAAAGATGAAAGCAACAAAGTTAAGTAGGAGAAAGTTCAACCCAACAGGAGACACTAAGTTTAACAAATGACACGTATTTACAAAGGAAAGATTGCGGTCAGAAGTTCAAGGATTGGCGATGACGCTGTTCTTGTGGCTCGACTCGCAGTTCTGGATGTACTCCATGATGTCGCAATACGAAACCACAGCAACCGGTTTCTTCTGTGCGTCAACGATGATCTGAAACGTTTTTTTTATGAAAAGAGTTCGAAAAGTCCGGCACGTAAACCGATTTTCTTTTGAGTTGATGGAGAGGTTTTTCGAAAATTCTTTTTAGAGTATTTTTCTGAGAACGGAGAGTATCAAGCGTTTTTTGAAAGATTTTCCCACAAAAAAACTTCAGATTTTGTTCATTTTTTTAAAAACTTACAAGAGCCTGTCGCTCAGTGGAAACAAGGCTCGCGATGGCCTCCAAAACAGTCATTTCCGGCTTTCCGACGACTGGACGAGGCTTGGTAGCGATGATGTTCTGAATTTTGATTCCTTTGCATAATCTCCCAAGCGGTATCTCTCACAATGACTGGAGCAGTCAGGACTTGAAGGTAGTTGTTATGATGTCTCGACAGTTCTCTGATGATGTCCTGTTTCGAGATGATCCCCTGCAGCTGTCCACTCTTGTTGACGATTGGAACGCACGACAGCTTTCTGAAGTGGCGCAAAAAGTTATTTTGAAGTGCGGGTTAGTGGAAACTTTTCGAGGAAGAACTCGATGGCATCCTTGCACGTGGCTTCTGACGTCAGCTGTAATTTTTGTTTGAGTTGAAATAATCATGGCTTTGAACTTGAAGACGAATTTTATATTTTTCGACAGATTTTACTACTTCAGTTTTTTTTCTTTTTAAAAAAAGTATGAAGCTAGCATTTTTTTCATATTTATTCAATTTTTTTCATACAATTTTCAAGAAAATGGAAGTTTGTGAGTTTTAAAGCAAGGATTTACTAAAACTAGAAACAGGAATCATAACTTGTGCTTGAAAAACTACAGCAAAAGCTCAAAAAGGTCAAATAAATGCCTCCACTATAGCTTTTTCAAGTTTTCTCGCAATATTTTTAAAGTTGACCTCCCAATTTTCCGAGTCCAATCCCGCTAGTTCTCTTTTACGTCACCCCGATACAGTCGTCTGCCTGTTGATCTAGCTGAGACTTTTCGAACAAGACATCTTTTTTTGTTCAGATTCGAAGAGAAAACGAGGCAGACGTGGAATTGTGAATAACAAAAAGTGCACGAGTTGGGCAGCACCCATGTGACCTTTGCAAAACTTTTGCGTCTGCCTGTGGGACAAAACATCGAGATAGACGTTCTCACGCAATGAAAACGCGGCCAGCGGCAGAGTGTGGAAGATTAAGCCAAAACAACGTGTTATTCGATCCACAACCGAGCAAAGATTATTATTGATTGTTCCGGAATAAATTTGTTTGTTCGACCCTCCTAACTTCCGCAACGAGAACGGGAGGAAAAGATGTTGTGGTGGCTGGCGTGATTTTCTTTTTTGTTTCCACGTTTCGCTCAACTGTTGTGGAGCGAGTTTGTGCAAATTCGATTGGTTTGCAAAAAGAAAACAAGCGAGCACCTAGGGCAACATTTTGAACTTCAGTTCTGCAAACTTCCTGTTTCTTGATGCATTGAAGGAAAGTTTTGGAAGTTGAGAATGATTTTTTGGGCTAAACGATCAAAGGATGTATGACGAACCGTTCCGATATCATTCCAAGTTCCGACTTTCTTCTGGATGAGAGTGGTCTGTCTGACGTACGGAGCGAAAGAATCGCTGGGATCAGCCTGAAAGAAGTACTTTCAAGCTTAAAAAAATTATTGATATTTCCAGTCTATTTGTGAAATTTTTTTGAAATACGGCCGGTAAATGGCTATTTTTTTTCTTTTTTTAACATTCAACCAAAAAAATTATGAAATGTAATGTTTTTTTGAAGTTTAAAGATGTCTCAAGTCCTTTTTTTCCAATATGAAACCTTTTTCAAAAATCTCACAATTTCGACGGCCCAGAAAAATGTAGGTCGACATGTTCACCTATGATTTTTGATCCTTTCTCACTAAACAGACGGGAAATGCCCTTTTTTGTGTTTTCGAGAAATATTGATCTTTCAAATGTTTGAAGACTGAATTCTTTTCCGAAAAAGTCAATGACTCGGATATGGTCATGAACTACACCCATTACAAAAAGAGAAAGGATTTACCAATTTAAGCACGGTCTTGTGGAGAATTCTGCGCATAGAAATCAAGTACATGGCGGTCCCCTCAGAGCCATCCTGCAACCGTAAAAACCAATGTACATTTTGAGGCGGTATGTTCAAAACGGACCGTGTCAAAGACGGGCAAACTGCGGACGCGGTTGAGACAAAGGACTCTGGCGGCATCCCACACGCTGAAAGGCTCTTCGTTTGAATTTGGTACTTTGATCGTGGGACTTTTTTCTCCTTCGTTGGATCCAAAATTCGAATCCGATGCACATTTACGGTATGCGTAAAACAATGGGTTTGTTTGCCCAAGTGCTGCCTAGGCACCAAAGTTTGATTCAAACGTCTGAGAAAGGGTTACGGTGTGTAAACTTTGGGAAGAAAAATGAAATCGTTCGAAAAAGTGCAATGATCCTTATGCAAACTTGTTTCAATGCTTTCCAGCGAGCTTTGAAATATATTTTTTCGTGTAAAAAAAAGTTACGAGAGGGTTTTTTTGGTTTGAAAAATGTAAAAAAACTTTCAAACGGAAATTATCATTTGGAACTGGGGAGACTCTAGTCTTATAAAGTGAGATGATTCAAAAAATTCGAGCTTGGCATGGGTATTTTTCTCGAACTGAATGAAACCTCTTAAAGATCATTTTTTCAAAGCACGAAATTTGGATTTCTTTTTTTTATGTAACTTTACTTTTTCAAAACCCCGTTGAGCAGTATTTCCTCTCTGAGAAACTCCCTCTCTTTTTTTATTTACCCGATAAGATGTTGCAAAATTTTTCACATGCTTGTGTGTTTTACTGACGTGTATTTCGCTTTTTGTTGTTGACGTATGGGAACTTCCTGCTAGCTGATAAGATTGTTTTTTGAGGATGCCATCAGTTATCAGGAAGTGTTGATGGGAAATTTGTAAGTCTTCACCTCGTCTCGGCCGTCGTGCGAATTAGCGGCTTTGCACTGGTCGCTTTGAAGTAGTCGTTAAGCGTCATTTCGGCCACCTGCAAGCCCGATTCCTTTTTTAGTTTTCCGATCCAAAGCGGGGAAAAGGACAAACACGTGTTCGTGAAAGAAATGACAGCTGCAAAAGTTTTTGGAAGATAAATCTCTGATGCTGTAGTATATTGTCAACTATGAATAATGCATTGGTTGAATGATGAAAACTGCATAAAATGTCGAAGCCAACGGGTTAAGGAAGTTTTTCAGGGCTCTCCACATAAATAATTCAAGTATGTACTAACTCCACGCTGTCCCCTGTGGGCCATCATCAAGGTCGTGAGGCAGTCGGTCAGAGTGAGGATTCCGATGTCGCCTGCAAATCTAAAGTTTCTCAAAACAAAAAGGCACGTCGAATACCGGGAACGTCAGCATTCCACACAACGGCGGCTTGGTGACTGTTGTTGCTGAGAGCCGTCACGGCTTGTCTCATCTGTAAAAAGATGTTTTTGTACATTGGAAGTATGAGGATTGCATCATGGTTCAAATCAATGGTTTTTTGGGATACCATAGGGTACCATTTCGCCCGAAAGCCTTAGAGCAAAGTGCAAAAGATACTGTAGAACTTAATTTTTCCACATTATTAAAAAAAAGCTCTTTGCAGCTCCAACTACCAAAAATAGTTTATTTGGAAAACTTTTACATTAATTGGTGAAACCTAAAAAATGAAAAACTCACTCCCATGGAAACATAAATTTTAAAAGGTCAAGTTTTCGAATTTCACCAACAGGTAGCAAAAAAGCATTGCTGCCTTACATCATACTATATGCTTTGGAAACAACTTGAACCTTCAATTTTTGTCAAACAATTTTAGAAAAAGTATTCAGAAAACTCTTCCTTGAAAGATTTTTATTTCAGCTTTTTATAAATGTATTGTTACCAGTTTTTTTCTTTATTTTATTTTTGATGCCACCAGTTTTCTTCTTACTTTTTTCTAAGTGAGAAGTATTTTCAACTCCATTTGAACATTATCGGCTTCAAATGACAATTTTTTGGAATTTCTGTGCTTCCAGATTCTTCTCAAGAAGTCTCACTTTCAGATTGCCATAGAAAAGGAGAACCGAGCCGTGTGTCGGCTGCAGATCATAACACGTGAGCGATTGCATGTAGTGGCGATAAGGGTCCGTGTGGCGATCTGAATAATTTTCGGTTCTCGACGGCGTCAACAATCGGAAAGATGGCTACCGAAGGCAGTGAAAATTTCGTAGGACGATCCCATGTCTCGAGTCGGTCGAAGAATTGCGTACTCCTGAAGATAAAAAACTATTAGCTCTTGGAAAACCATATTCAGGATGAAGCTTAATTGAAAAACTCGCCGCCTTCTGGAATCCGCTTTCTGGAACACTCATTCGACGACGACTCATTGGGGCCGGCGTCTCAATGTCGTCGTTGTCTTCTGAAGTGAAGTAGTTTGATTCTGCTGGAGAATCGTATATACCTTCGTCATTGTGGTAGGGACTGACTTGGCAGGAAGCCTTGCGCAGAGAGTCCATGTTGCCAGGTCTGGCAGGCTATAAAAAATGAAATTTATTGAAGTTTGCAGTTTTTTTTCTTCTTCGGAAACTTCAGAAGTTAGTTTTTTGAAAGAAGGAACGAATTTAAAAAGCCAACTCGAGAAAGCATGGTGAATCTGCGTCCACGAACAAAGTCCTTCAAGGCAAACGAATTGCGACGCGAATTATTGTCGCTGGTGCCGGACTCGTACCTGGAAAAGTTTACGTAGAAGACGATGAGCAGCGTGAAGATTTATTCTTTCAAATGAAAAAAGTTGCACTCTGGCCTACAGTGGAAAAATGGGAATAAAGAGTATCAGTTGAGCCAACCACGCGACCGGTTACGCACCCATTAAAGTTAAAGTTTTTTTTTTTTTTGATCTGTGGTTTCGCACTGCACATCGTTGCCAATTAAGAGGCATGTTCGAATTGCCATAATTGAGTTGCGTTCGCTATTTCTGAGTATAATTTTCATACTAAACAAAACTCCCGGATGAGCTTTTGCTTACTTTAGTCTTAGTCTATCCCCCCACAAAAAAATGACTTTCTTTTCTTTTCATCAGTACTTGAGTAGGCCAGATGATCAAGTTATTGTCAAGTAAGGTCACAGGACTTTTTAGGCCTATTTACTTGTGCCTATCTGTCTCCTAAGTTGTTGCATTGTCTGATCTTTGTCTATTTGTCAAGTTTCTTGGCGCTGATCTTCTCTAAAAACGTGATTGGAAATTCATTGAAAGCTCTTTTTTTCACAGGGTCTGACAAACTTCCAACACCTTGTTGAATCTGAAAACCTGATTATATCAGGACCGCTCTGGACTATACAGAGTTCACAAGAATATGTGAACCATCAATTTTTCTTTTATTTCTTTGACTTCTCTTCTTCCAACAAACCACCACCGAAAAAAACTGAGATGCTCTATATTTAAGTTACGAGAAAGGCGACCCTAAGTCTATAAAATCAGGCCTCCGTGCACTGATCTTCTTTTAAAATCCATTGAAAGGTCATCGAAAGACCATAATTTTTTCCAGTTTATAAAACATTTCGAGAAGAGCCAGCGATGCGTGACTCAAGAAGGATACCGTATCGTTTTAAATATAAGTTTGCCGTTTCCCAGAAAGAACGGTCGATGGGAATGTTGCACGAAAACATCCGTTCTTTTTTCCTCGCTTTTTCTGGGAAAGACACAAAGAACCAACCCGTGATCCATTGAGCCGGTACAGTAGGCGTTTATCGGTTTGGTCGTCTCGATCATCTTCGCCGTGGTTTGACAATCTATGAAAATGAACTTGAGAAACATGGAAGCTTTTCCGAGAGGAAATAACGAATAAAAGAGAGCGAAAGATCTTCTTGAGAATGAAGAGGAAACGCGAAGGACATGTTAATTTTTTGAAGAAAAAACGAGAGTTGAAAGCGCAGCGCTATAAATAGGGCAAGGCATCAACACGGCGTTGTTTACGTCGAGTTTATATGCGAAACCGGCCAAGTTTTTTTTCGTGAGACGTGAGTGCAAAAACAAAGTTATTGCAAAAATTTCGAGAAGTTCGTAAGCACAAATGTCCAAAAAAAGTTTTTTTCTCAACTATCTGAATTATTTGAAGGGTGAGGTTAAATACAAATTTTTTTGTTTTTCTATTTCAAGTCGAAAAGTCTATTTTAGGTCTCCCTCTCATGAGAAAAACATATAATTAGTAACACCGATTCGCGCGACTCGAAATATAAGAGCAGGAAGCATGGAAAAATGTCTATCATGCAAGCCGCGTGCTGCTCATTGATCAGCAAAAAGAGCGAAAAAGAGAGAACTCGACACTTCTCATTCAGAAAAATCTCAACTATGTTTTGAACGCTGATTTTCGCGAGTTGGAAGAAAAAACGGTTTTCAAATTTTCAAAATAGCTCGAAGTTGTTTTCTTGGCAAAGCTCCAAAAATTTATATTTGTTCTTCTCCAGTTGCCTCCCAACCACACGAAAAGGCCAATCAACGGCCTTTTGCATTCGAATTATTTATAGCGCCACAAAAAGATGGCAACAAGACAAAATATTTTTGCCATTGAAATAAAAAGATAGAGCGTGAGTGAATCAAATGAACGGCGTTGGCCGTTGGTCCCCAGCATTAATTAGCGCCTTTTTTGAGCTTTGAAGAGTCCGCAAGCTGTTTCAACAAACAAATAAAGCAAAAATGACGAGAATATACTGTATTTAGGCTCATTGACTCATGGAAAAACTTTGAAAAGTCTATAAAGTCATGAAGCTTCCAAGTTTTTGTTTCGAAATATCAAGGAACTTGTTCTAAAAAGCTTATACAGAAGACTAGTATACTATCACATCCTTTAAAAAGTGAAAGAAGTCCTTCAGAAGGTCAAGGAGTTTTGAGCATGTGGCCAGAGGAGATCGAAGTGAGGGCGAGGGGCGCGGATCGTCTTTTCGAATGTCCTTTGACCGACTGTTAAGAACACGCCTTCTTTTTTACCGTGCGTTTTTTTTTGAAGCTCCGCCTCTTCCTCCCCACGCAATCCACTTTTCAATGAGACGATCGAGAATCGTCAAAACATTTTTGCCGCGCAGACCTGTGACATTTGAAACAGTTTCTGACCGGCTGATTTGATTATCACAACTGTTTGCTGCCTTGTTTATAGAACTCGTCGCAAAGCGCAAATGGAAACCGAGAGTATGCGAAAAATGAAATTTCTGACGGTCTTTTTATCATGACAAAAAAGGCACTTTTTATTTCGTTCAGGTTATCTGTGTTCAGATAACGCTGTTTCACTTCTCGGCAGGACTTTGATAAGCTGTTTACTAGAAAATTCATAATTTCTCAAGGGATCGAAGAATAAAAAAATTATGATCATCTTTAAAAAAAAGGAAACTTTGAAAAAAGTTACCGGGAAGTTTGAAACCGAAAACCAAAATAAGCCTTGAGAATGATTTTTGAAAAATGATGTAAACTGATGATTTTTCAAACATTGAACTATTTTCAAATAAACGTTTCCGAAGACTTTTACTTTTCAATTATGGGAGGTTTTTATTCAGACAGCTTTTCGAACTGCATTTAAAAATTGAGCTCTCGCGATTTTTTGTCCACATCATAGTAAAGTTCTTTTTTTCACATTTCCAACTGGTATCAAAAAAATTTAAAATGTCAAAAAAACCAAATTTTTCAAATGCCTTCATTTTAAAAACTCCAAAAATTTTGCGGATACTTTACATAAATCCTTATGAGAAGATCATTTTCCTCAATTCACGATGAATTTTCTATAAAACTTACAACTAATTTGCAATTTCTCAAACAATATACTTTCAAAATCACTGGATCATAACAACAATACTTTTCTCAAAAAAAGAAAAAAAGGTTCTAAAATTTCGAATACGTCATAAAATTTTTCAAAAAAATCGCAAAACACGTCCTAAAAAGGTTGTTTAAGGAGCATAAAAGCAAGGCGCCGTGGTTTTAAGGTTAGCGTTGTTATTCTCCGCCAGCGTCCGACCCGAGCGCAGAAGAATAAAAGCAATTCAACAGGAAGCTGGAGGGCGCGCGCTGAAAAACACACACGGCAGCTCCCTCTTGAGGTTTCAACGCATATTTTGGAACTACGTGACCGTTCCAACCGAGTTTGAAATACTGAAGTGGGAAGTGTGTGAGGTGAGCCTGACAGATATAGCTGAAATTCCTGTGGTAGGTAGTCCTAGGCATGAGTATTCCAAAATAAAAAAAATTATCTGGTAAACGCCATAGGGTACTGAGGAATGGCCTGTAGAAAATGTACAGTAAGAGCTTGGAAATGGATTTTTTTATAGAAAAGTTCATTTTTTTCCTGTTTTTTTCTTCATGTCGTAGTGAATAAAAAAATAGAAAAAAATTTTTTTTTGTGTTTTTTTATGACATAGTGAATAACAGTAAACGTTTTGGGGGTCAAAAAACCCGAGAAAATCAGTTTTTGAGCTTTTTCCTGTACATTCTCGACAGGCTTTTTCTCAGCTCCATATGATGCTTAGCAGATATTTTTTTTGCTTCTGAATACTCATCCCTATTTTGGACGCAGCTCCCCTCCTAAACTCTCCTTGTGATTTCAAATCTTAGAACCCTCTTTTCCCAAATCTAAAACAAAGAACCGTGATGACAAAGAGGGATACACAGTAAGAACTGTGAGAACAAAAAGATCCAAGTCCAAACGAACCTTTTCCCATACAACATATCCGTTTTTTCACGCGAACATGGCTGAAAAAAGAGAAAAAAGATGGGAAAGAGTTGAAGGTGCACTGGTTGGCCGCTGACGGGACCTGCAAAAACGAGACAAACAACAATCTGTTCTATGCCATTTTTTCTCTCTCCGCAGGAACACGTGCTTTGTTTCCAAAATTTTGACCCCTTGATCCAAATTTGAATATTTGCATGATCGAATGGTATAAACAGCGTTTCAAACCCTGATATTTTCCGAAAGGACGACAGAGAAAAGTATGACGTCATGTGCCGTCACTTGGAACAATCTACGTCGAAAACAAAAAGAACGGCGAGTGTTTTCAAATTTCGAGCCAGTGGACCTCAATTTCGGGCACTGTGGCATGACATGCCTGGATACATCTATGTTTATCTTGCGCCGCGTGGCTGTAAACTTGACAATGCACCTTGAAAGGTAATAGTTTACTTTGGACCACTCGACTTCTTCAAAAGCCACAAATCAAACGGCGAACAAGTTGCAAAGTTCTATTTTTGATTTTTGAAAACATCATGTTTGAAGAACCGGTTGGGATGTTTGCAGTAAAGAAAACATACTTCTCGTGGAAAAATAATGTCAAGAATTGGGAAATGCTCAAGAAATTAGTAAATGTTCGCTTTTATAAAGTTACCTTGCTAAAGTAAAAAAAATTTAAGAAACAGGAGAGGCGCCGGTAAATTGTCAAATAGCGGGATTTCTAACATCTTCACAATATGAAGAGTTGAGAAATTCGAATTTTCGAGATTTATGAAAATTACCACTAAAATGATCCGCCTCTTTTCATTTATTGTTTGACATGTTTTCAAATAAAAAATTGTTTCTGATTGGGAACTAATCCAAAACTTTTACTCGAGCTTTTTAATGACTTTGACAGTTTTTGAGCTTCTCGACAGTCCTTTCTTCTCCAAGTAGGAGCCGTGGAAATGAAGACTGACCACTCGGGTGGTAGAAATGAGAATGCCAGCCCTGGACGAGCTTGGCGTCATATTGTTCCTACATATCCGTGACCGTTGGAACGTTCAATAATCGTTTACTACCATCCCAAAAAAGACAAGATGCTCTGCGCGTTGTTCTTAATCAACGACAGTTTTGCGAACCGTCAAACAACTCTTTTATTTTTCCATGATTCAGCAGATAACCTTCTCTGAAGACCGAATAAAATAAATTCCGGGATTTTTCTCAACCTTTTCAAGACATGGCGTTTCTTCTGACGCCCGTCTGAAACCCCGGAGAAATTTCAAAAGTATAAAATCAGACAGGTTGCTGTCGAAATTTATATTTATCAGTATTCCGCCTTTTATTTTGGCCAACTTCAATTTTTCTGCGAGAAGATTCATTCTTTGACCATCAAAGGTGTGAGAAATCTGAAACTTGCTCTTTTTTCTCTCTCATTTGATCTTAATGAACACCCCGAGCTGTGAAATGTTGCGTAGGCAAGTTGCAAGAGATAGAACTTATCCAAAAAACATGAAGGGAAGATCTAAAAGGAAAATTTGATTTTTGAAACTTTCCTTATTTTTTTCTGAAAATTTTTTTTTTGTTGCGTTTTTCCATCGAAAATTTTCCCACTATCTGTCGATGAAAAGCTTTTTTGTTTCGTTGAAAGGAACGAGGAAACGTCCGGCTTTGCAAAAAAAAAAAGTCATAATAAAACGCAAAAAAAGCTCTCCCGTTCACATTTTGCGCGAGATGGATGTTTTGATCGTAATCGCTATTGGTTTTTGATGGTTTTTAACACAATGAATTTTCAATGCTTCCTCTTTTTTTGTGGTGATCAAAGATTAAACATATCCAGAGTTGGGAAAAATTTTTAGTTTTGCAAGAAAAGTTAGTTTAATATTTTCATAGTCGCGTTTCAAAATTTCCTTTTTTATTTACCGTTTTCTTGCAGATTTTTTCCTGGTAGCAAAACACTTTGAGACAGTTATTGTGGGAATTCGAATCAAAAAAATCTCCGTTCACGCGTCACCTGACGAGAAAAAAACCGTGGCAAACAAATAAAATCCTTGCAAATACAATTTTTTTCTCACGGTTTGAATGTTTCCTTCGAAAAAAATTGATATTCTAATGGAAAAAAAGCTAGAAAAAAAGTGGAATTTGAAAAAAATAATAGAATGTTACGTCAGATTTAAAAAGGGAAAAATGGAGAAAGCTATGAAAAAAATTTTTTTCGGTAATCTGAAAAACTTATCGGATTTTTTTAGAGAGTTGCGCTCCCAGAATCGAAAAAAATGAGAAAAAAATTAGGAAAAATTATTTTTATCGAATAATCAGCTTAAGGTAAAGGATAAGTGTTTATTTTTTTGTGATCCTTGGTTTCTATGTTGCTAGCCACGTAGAAATATTATTCATAACTTATAAATTCATGTCAACAAAAAAACATGATACGTTCTTGGACTTCTGTTCCTACAGTTCCTGTGTCTGAAACTAGCTGCCAAACATCAGAAAATGATAGTAGGAAATCGTGGTGACAGCTGGATCTCTAGCTATTTTGAATTCAGGAAGGACGAATCCAAGAAACTTGACATTTGACGCTGTCTTCAAAAAAGGATAATCGCGTTTTTCGAAGCAATGAATATCAAAATCAGATTTGAAATGATTATTTTGATCAGATTCGTCGTAATCATGCCTTTTTTAATTGGATCCCCTATCGATTGATATATCATTCGCCTATTAAAAAAACTCTTCAATACTTAGATACGCAAGTGCCCACCTGCCTACCGTAACCCGGCTACAGTAAGAGGGAATGGCTCAAAAAGTTGGGTCCGCATTTCTGATGACGGACAATTATATTGGATGGAGTTTCATCCGAATTAAAAAAATATTTTTTTATTGTACCCGTTGTTTTTAGAAATCTTTGAGAATAACGGAGACAGCGTGTTAATAGAATAAAATTTATAAAAAACCGAAATTCAAAAAAAAAAGTTTGCTGTTGAGTTCAGAAAAATCGTACTTTTGAACTAATTTTACATTCTTTTTAGGATCTTATCTCACTTTGAAAAATTAGTTAACCTACATGCAATTTCTCAGAGTCCGTGGTCCATTTTGTCTCAAATTTCTGGTTCAGATTTGAAGGCCTATCTTATTTCAGAGGTTAGCTTTGTTTTTTACTTTAACTCTGTTTGAGCTGTTTCAGGGTTCTAGAATGCTTAATTTCTCTTTTCAACTTTGAAAGTGGCTTTTGACGTTTCACCACAGGGCCTCAAAATGCCAAGCACAAACTGTGAGAGCCTAAAGAAATTCTTCAGCTCAAGGTAACTCCATCGCGACCGCAATGGGTTCAAGTAACCTGTGATCAGATTCAAAGCGTTTGAAAACACGTCATGAGATTTTTAATGATTTCGAGAAACTTGAAAAAAAACATTACATGAGAGAGAAAGCTTATAAAACTCTAAATATCATTCAAGCAAGTTTTTAGAAAGTTCTGAATTGTCAAGGTATATTATTTTTTGCCTGACAAGGATGGTCATTTTTCTTTGTGATTTGAAATTTTCAAGAATTCGCTCAAACACTCTGAAGGTGTAGATTAATGTCCCTTAATAATCGATTCCTGCGCAAACTTCTAGTTTTTTCAATATGATATTTCAAACTCGCAAAATATGGGATACCATCTTATCGACCTTTAAAAATGATTATTTTAAAAAAACTAGAAGTTGGGCCACGTAGCGACTAGGGATCTTCAAATTAATCTTTGGAAAAAGTTCGAGCAAATTTGTAAAAATTTCAATCGGATAAGTAGAATCATCTCCCGTCTGAGCACCAAAAAAGGTTTTCCGAACACTTTCGGCTATGCTTTGAGATGTTATAAATTAGTATCCATTTTGAAGTTTGATCTATACTCTCATTGACGTTCCAAATGGTTCATTGGGAAATTTTTATGAAAGATTCTGCCGTCGGGAGTTCTAATCAAAATTGATAACGCGAAGAAAAATGTCAAAATGTTTTTGCCAATCATAAAGAAGGACTGAGCTGATTTCAATCTTTGTTTTTGAAATACAGGATCAAAAATTTTTTTTTAATCAATTTTGTGTAGTTCCTGAGCAAACGAAGTTAATTAAAAAAACAAAGTCATAAGTTCGGTTTTTTCATTTTTCTCATTTTAGGAAAGAGAGAAAAAAGAAAAAAAAAATGGATATGGAGAAAATTATTCGAGGTTGCAGGTACGATTTATAGATTTAGTCAATTTTCAATTTCGCTATTTGAAAAAACGAAAGTTAGGTTTTTCATAAAAAGTCCCGATTTACATGTTTTCTTCCAAAAGTTGATTAATTTTCGGCGATCTCTGTGCTGTGGCCAAAAACGTCGAACAAAGTACGCTGCGTGAAAAATTGGAGATTGTGTCAAATGACTGAAAACGTCGATATAATAAATTATTGAACTTTTTTTTCACAGATGAAAAAGTAGTCGACGGTCACCAAAAGAGGAGCATTGTTTTCCAGTTCTCACAGATCTTTGAAAAACTTGAGTTCCAGTTTACAGTTCTGTTTGTGTGGAGATTAGTGATTTATGTTAGTTTCGTGCATTTGGCTGGAGAGAATGGTATGAAGTTGATGTGATCGGCTGATGGAATATGATTGGATGACTACCATAATATCATGATGTGGCTTTGGAAGTTATAATGGCTGAAATACACTTTCGGAGCCTCCGTTTTAGAAATTAGGCTCCTTTATTCTATGTTTTCTTAGAGGAGTTGATTTATTTTATCATTTTTTTATTGATAATATTGCCAAAGTTGGAAAAGGGTCAAAAAGCTTCATAGGAATGTTCCTTTTAGGATGAAAAGACTCCATTTTTGCTGCCTTTTTGGGCTATTTCATCAGCTCCTATGCGTTATTTTTGATGTTTTTCCCTTTTACACGATTTCTTGAGTTTTTAAATGTCGAGAAAAATGGAAGGCTCGATAAAGGGGCTTTTTTGTTCTCATTTTGCTGTCTGTTTGCGGCTTAATTACACTAAATCTCGAAAAAAAAATGGAATTCTCAATCCTATTCGGTTTCGACCTTTCAGTGGCAAACCGATTCGCGGTTACATTTTTTGAATCAGTTCAAAATAGGCGTTCCTGCATTTAAAAATAAGTAAAGGTAAGGCCAGAATGTGTTGTGGCTGAAGAAATTTCTTGAAGGATACTTTGTCAACGAAAAATTCTTCGCCAAAACCCCAGGAAGAATTTTCGAATTTTTTCATGGTAGTCGTGCAATTTCAACGGTTCAAGTTAGACTCGAAGGGCGTCATAAATCAAGCCGGCTGTATTTTTGTTAAAGATTGGAATATTTCTACAATTCAACGATTTATCATTCAATCGAAACAACAAAAAACTCGTATATATAAAAATAAATACCCATATTTGAGCGGAGAGTTCAGCTTTTTTAAATAAACAACCCGTGTTCTATTTACATATTTTGAACACAACGAAAAAAGCGAAAAAGTTGTTAATGGCATTTTCCGGCCGGTCGCGAAAGGAGTGGCAGTTTCTCTATAGTTGTCACAATCGCGGAATCGCTTGAAACTGTACATCTGGAAGCGTCCGTCTGAAAAAAGCTTCCTTATTATTTTTTCTCTCAAAGATGATTTATTTCTAACCTCTGTTTCTGTAGTACTTCGATCAGTGGTGTCGTAGCTTGAAAGGAAAGAAACGCCAGAATCCGTTAAATCATCATGAGACGAAGAAGTCAGCGTTTCTTCAGTCAAGCAAACTCTTTCGGCGACAGGCTGTACATCTCCCTGAAACAAAATTTCTGCTTTTCAATCCTTTATTTCTTATTTTTGTTTGTTTTTAGGTAAACGTCATATTTTCTGTAAAAAAAATACAAACGAGAAACGAAACATCGAAGTTTGAACCACAAATGATTCTGAGATGGTAGCTGTTACTAAGACAGGAATCCATAAAAAGCGTTGAGACCAGTTTTTTAGTGACTAAACATCATATTTTCCGCCAAAAAGTGACGTTCCTGAGGTAATTAAAGTTTTTCAATGAAAGATTTTAACTGTTAAAACATCTAAAAATTATCTTGCGGATGATGTCTGACTTGATACAAAAAAATCATTAATCAAAATGAAAAGGCTTGACAATCTTATAAAATAAAAATTTTCAAATTCAACCAACTTTAGAAAAACAATAGAATGAAATAATTACCAGGATATCTTCCGGAATTTCAATTTGAAAAAGCTTTCTGAAGAAGTATTTCATCTCGAGGCAACGTATATTGGACTTCACAAGGCATGGAGTTCCCTGCCAGTGGCGAAACTTTGATGTGGCACTGAAATGTTATATTCTAAAACTTGAGATTCTGGTTGAGTTGGACTCCATTATGCTTTGAAGAAAGGAAACTCACGATGCGAAGGTCGTGTTGAGGAATCAGCGCTGTGATGATTTTGTAGACGTTTCCTCCGTTTGGACTCGCGCTTGTGTGGATAAAAACAATCTGAAGATAGTAAATAAGTTAAAGCCTTGATACAGCAGCACTTCATTGCCAAAAAAGATAATTCCTCAATCATCCTTCAAAAAAAACTGACTTTTTCCGCAGCCGTTGTTGTTTTTGCAATCCATTGGAGCATATTTTGCTCGACCAGATCTTGTTCGAACCTATCGCAGTGAACAGCATGATGCGATTCTCTGAAATTCTTTTGAATTTTTCTCTCTGAAAATGTTTTGAACTCACTTGAATGCATGCAGAATTCTTTCAATGTATTGCTCTTCACTTCCGAAAGAATCTGCGCAAACAAGTAAAATGTTGTATTTCGCTGAAAAATTCTTTTCAAACGGAAAGATACAACTTCCTTACTTTTGGAACAGTCGAGGTTGACGTCTTTCTCCGTATTTTTCAAAAAGATCCGTTTATGAGCATTTGGCCGGAACTTATTTGTGAAGAGGCATAGAACGACAAAAAAGACAAGTAAAGATATAAGCACAATTGCAACGAAAAATATATAGAACTGGGATCCGTCATTCAGTTCGACAGTTTTTGAGATAACATGGCTGGAACGGAGCCAATCCTGAACATTTTTTTCCTCAAAAAATGTTATTATCTATTTTACCTTTCTGGTCTCGTAATCAACAGCGGGAATTTTGAAGAATTTGCTTTTCTCGATCATACACATGCAAGAAGAACATGCACAGCTGCCTTCCGTTGAATTCTTGGCAAAAACCTGCGAAAAAGTTCATTGATAATCAGGTGAAAACTTCAGGCAACCTTGATTATAACTTGTTCTCCTCGATTGATGCCTTCGAAAAGTTGGGCAGCCATTCTCTTCTCATTGGGAAAATCTTTGGAAGGCCATTTTCTCTCCTAAAAGCCGTTTGGTTATCTGCAGTCTACGCAACGCCGTCCGTCGCTTCGAATGATTTATCCCTCTTTGTCTATCAAAAAAAGAGGCTACCAATAAAACAAAAATGGCAGTCGGATGGTTTCCGAACCGCTCTCTCTCATCGTAAAAAACTTGCCGTTATCTCCCTAGATTGAAGAATTCGGCCTTCTTTGTTGTGAACTGAAATGACATAGGTCGAAACGCACAGGCTGGGAGGAGCCAGAACGAAATAGGCCTGGACAAAAATGACAGTTGGCTTTTGACTCTGTACTAACTTCAATGCTTCCGCTAGCTTCATTGACAAAAACAGCCACTTCAGAAGCCCAATAGCTTGCGTAGCCTGGAAAAAGGCAAAATGAGAAGCTTAAACACGCTTGATTACCTTTCATTTCAGCGCATTTACGTCCCTGAGGCTTTCTAGGGATGGCAACGGTCGCCCCAGCAAGTTCAGCAACGCTTTTTGATTTGACAAGAACCTGCAAAATTAAAATAAAAGTTGCAACATTTGAGTTTTATAAACCTGCGCTTTGTATCGTTTTCCAAAAGTCAAGACGTCGTCAAAGTGAACGCGAACTTCAACATTCTGAAAATCTCCTTTATTTTCAAACTTTGTTATTTGAGATCAAATCGAGAGCTATCGATTGTTTTCATTAGTCCCACCTTGCTATCCAAACTGTTTTCCTCGTCATGTGCCCTTGACAATGACAAACGGTAAGTGCCTACGACGCCTGAGAAGTCGGCAGTTTCTTCGCGTACGACGATTTCAAAATTGTGAAAGTTTTTCGGTATGTTTTCCATGTTGAACTTCACAACGCCGCTTACAGCCAAGTCGTTGCCGCTTGAGTCGGTCTGAATAAAAACGAAAATTGGAACTTTGAATTTTTCTTTTGATCGAAATTGAAACCCTATTGTAATTATTTAAATATTTACGATGGGATCTTCCTACAAATTTAAAGAAAAAAAGTCAACTTCGTTTTAAAAAAACCATCGATCAATCAATGGAAAGAACGGAAAAATCAATGTTGACGAGAAAAAAACGGTAATGATTCATATCAATCAAAGAAACTTTGATCTTTTTCTCTCATAAAAAAACCCTAGTTTTTTTGAAGTATTTTGGAAGATTTTAAGACAAATAAAAAAAGAAAAAAATTCGATAAAAAAACTATTCGCAAAAAGAAAGAAAAGTTTGAAACGGTAATGATTCAAAAGTTATCACTTTATTTGTTATTCAAAAAGTCAACCAAAAAAACCAATTTTTGAAGATTTTTCGAAGGAAAATTGTACCTTGAAAAAGTGATAGAAGCGAACGTTTTCTGGTCCTCGCCAGTCGGCAAAATCCGCCAAAAAACTTTCGGACAACGTCGCTTCTTCATTCAGACGACAGGATAAAGTGAGGCTCGATGTAGTGCAGGAGAAAGCATCGGATGAGAAGATCAGCGAATGGAATATTAAAAGGTAGCGGAACGGTAGTCCTTTGGAAAAGCGAGCAAATCGGGTGCGGTAGGCCACATCGTTCGAGGTGTTGCGCATCACGCAATGATAACGCGAGAGAGCGGCAGCGGGAGCGTCGTGAGGGACGTCAGAAGGTTTGGTTCGGTAATCTTCCTTTTAATGGCTCTTCTCGTCGTCAGAATTCGTCGACTGTTTTCTTGTCGTTACTCCGCCGATTAGAGATCAACATACACGTTTCTGCAATCTCCCTTATTTTTAGAGTATTTATGAAAGGACGGACGTTGTTTGAAATGAAGAAGTGGACACCTAACGAGGGTATTAGGCGAGAAAAAGGCCGGTCTTTTGAAGATTTGAAGCTCCGCCCAGCGCCTCTAAACACCCAAAAATGCTTATTTGCGAAAAAAACGTCTAAAAAATGACTCGCCCAATTTGAAAACGATAATGAGAGCTGGATAGCGCATAACAAAAATAAGTTACAGCTTAAAGCTCGGAAAAATTATTTTTTCCTTTTTCTTCTTACTAAATTTTTGATACTCACATCTCCCTTTTCAAAGAAAATTTGTATTAGACTAAACCGCATCACTCTAGTTTCAAAAACCTCAGGCACTGGCTCTCTTTTCCGGAGCCGTCAAAAAACCTAGACGATTACTGACGCACGCGAGAATGATAAAAAGATCACAAAATCACGGGAAAATCAGGATTTTTTCAACTTTTGTGCACGGCGTTTGAGAAATATTACCGCAATCTCGCTGCAAAAAATGAGTTTCAAAAAGGAAACAGTCTAGTAACTTGAAAAAGAGTAATGAAGTCGATTACGTACAGTGGAAGTGGAATGGACTTACACAAATTCGATCAAAAGTGCGACTGACTAAACTAGAAAGAAAACACTTGTCTCATTCACGACTTTCGATGTTTGATGAACAGAAAAGGTTTCTGTAGAGTATGCCTGTAGAATTCAGGGAACAACTTGATAGAAAGCTCGGACGCAAATTTGGAGTTTGAAAACTGATAATCTCAACATTTATATAAATATTCTAGACATGAAATTCAAAGTCTATTGAAGTTATTCCAACATAAAAAAAACTTTTCGCAGCTTGATTCAAGTTTAAAGCAATCGAAAGGACAGCACACAGCCTGCCTTCTGATAACGTTTACATGAACTAAGAAAGTGATAAGATCGAACAAAAGGAGACACGGGACTGGGTCGAATTGCAAAGAAAGGTAAAAACATTGAGATTCGAGTCAAAGCTTTTTTTCAATTTTAATACTTACTGAAAAGTGTTTTACTGCATTTATTAAGAAAAAAAACCTGAACAACATCTTTTTGTTTGATAAGGAAGCTTGAGAAGGTTGGAAGAAAAGAAGAGAAACAAATCGATGCAACGTGACAAAAGAAACCTAATCGAGAGATATGGATCTTTTGAGAAGACGCCAGGGTGCTGACGTTTGTCTATCGGTAGAGAAAAATGAATAAAACCAGTCGAAAAAAAGTTTGAATTTTGCAAAAAAAAAAAAAGAAAAGTTCATATAAAAAAGAATCGTTATCTTGAAATATTTTTAGAACTAAATCTCGATTCTTTCTCAATCCAAGAAGGCGTTTTTAATAAAATTCACGCAACATAGAGGTTATGATTTGAATTGGACCGATCGAAAAAACCGAGAATAAAACAAACGGACAGAGAAAAAAGACAATTTAGGGCCGAAAAAGGCGTCCATTGGTGATATGATTGCGCTGAAAACGTGTTTTCTGTCTAAAAGACAGTATCGAAGAGTTTTTTGTAATGTTTCTGTGGGTTTTACGACGTCGTAACTAATTGGTTCAAAACAATGTGGGCAGCGATTTTCTAAACGACATAATTTTGGAATCTCTCTTTAGAATGAGAATGCTACGCAATTTATAAAAAAGGTTTGATTTTATGAATATTGACAAAGTTGATTCTTGGGAGTAACTAAATATAACATCGTGACCCTTCAGAGTTTCGAGAAAGTTACAACACTGCCACAAATGATTTGAGGGGTGGGGAACAACTATTTTGAGAAATAGAAACATTTTCAGAGGATTTTCGGTGCTAAAAGCGCATCGCTAGCTGAAAAATATCGTTGGGTTCATTTTTTTCCATAAATGAAGAAACGATTTAGAGGATTGTCCCTTGGGAATACTTCAGGCAAATCCTTGGAAGGTTTCGGTAACCAGCACGAAATTAAAAGATTTTGTGAAAGCTTTGGGCAGGTGTTTAGATGGTAGTTTGAAGGTCTTTGGAAGGTAAGAAACGGAAACTTCCAGCCAGAAGCCTCCCAGCAGGCTTCTGGAAGGTGAAAGAGGTGTTGGCTAGCTATGTAGAAGGCTCTTGACCAATTGCCCGAAACCTTCTGAACGCCTTTTGAGGATCCGGAAGCAGAAGCTCCCCGACTTTTACCTGAGAATACAGCTCGATGGAAATAAGCGAACACTTCTGGAGTGAAGTGCCCGACTCGAAACGACTTGAGCGCAGTTAAATTAAAAAACTGTTAGATGTCAGGTTCATTCCATGGAAGTATACACGAGAATGATACAATGTGCGAAAAATAACAAGAAACAAAATATCGAAAAAGTTTTGTAAGATTGAAAAGCGGTAATTTTCTTTTTGAAATCTCAATCTTACGAAAATGATTTTTTTTTTGATAGGAAAAGGCATTTCGTTTTGAGTTTTTCTCTCATACCTCATAGTCTTAGCAAATTTCAAAAAAAGTACAGATAATGCCGATATGATTTGCTTAGAGTTTTGGTTTGATTTTTGGATTTATGAGAAAAATAATTTTAACGTTTCGGAAGTTGAAGGATGTCTTGCAAAAGGAAATTTTAAGTTGCTCGTGGGATAAGCAAAAACTGTTCATTCACAGTTTTCAGAAATGTTGAAGTTGAAGTACATTTACTCATTATTACTTTTTCTTACTCCATTTTATCATTGGATCTTTTATCCTACTGTTACTTCAAATCATACCTTTTTCGAGTAATCGAAAAGGAAACGAATATAAGTTCCATTGAGAATTTTGTGTTTGCTCGAGAGGCTTGGTCCTTCTTATCACGCTAACATTATTCCACACCACGACACATGGGACTTTTTTTTGTTTATTTCTTGCCACTGTACATTTATATCAAATATGTGCCTGCTTGAATCTCACTACCAAATTAGCTTTGTGATCTCATGTTGCATAAAGTAGGCGAAATAGAACAATTGGAGAAATCGGAATGCGGCACCAGTCATTTATGACGATGTGGAAAGAGCTTCTTATCGTTCTCCTCTCTTGATCAGCACGTTTGAAAAGTCTCAGCATAAACTGTGCCCTTTCTCGCCTTTTCGAAGTAATAGAAAGACTTCAAAAAAATTTTCTTTTAATTTTTTTCGAAAACTTGACACAGTTTAGAAATGAACCGTCTGCCGCCTCTCAACTCAGCTTCTTCTTTTGGCTCTGATCCATCGGTAATCGTTCCATGTTTCATATTATGTACTGCGTGCGTTTTTAGAATTACTCTTACAAAGAAAAAACAACTGCGCATCACGGAACAGACATTGTGCATTTGAACGCCGGTGGCAGGAGGTTGAAGCCACGACCAAAAATGGAAGAAAAGAGTTTTTCAGATTCACCACCTTGTTAGACACACTCGTTCAAGGGAAATCTACGTTCTTCCTGAACTTCGTGCGCGTAGATCAAGTCTCTGGAAAAGTGATCATGAATCACCAGCGAGTTTCGGTAAGACCCGACTGCTTTTTTTTCTAATTTTGATTATTTTGATTAAATGTCTTGTCATAGTTTGAGTAAGAAATGTCAGAAAGACGAATCGGGAGCAATTTTCATCAATCGCGACGGGAAACTTTTCTCGTATGTTCTGCAATACATGAGAGACGGTCGAAACACCGTTCTTCCAGATGACCAGAACCTTTTGAAACGTCTGAGGGTGAGTTTCATCATTCGATTTATATATTTTTCAAACGAAGAAGGGCTTTAATGTAAGGGTATAATACACAAGAGGAAAAAATCCGTACTTTTCCGAGTTTTCGATCTTGATGTTTTCTAAAACATTTGCATAGGTCCTCCGTGTGTGGTCCGAATATTGTGGAGACAACGGCGAACCGCGTAACAATTGCAAACGCTGCTTATAGCAAGTTTCTCACCTAAGCAAATTTCAGCGGGAGGCCGAATTCTTCGGAATAGAAGGATTGAAACAGGCAATCAATTCTGCCCTGATCCAGCGCAGAACGTCGGCAGAAGACGAAGATCAATCCGACATCGCGCAGATTCGCAATTCGGTCAGCCAGATTGCTAACAACCTCTACTACAATGGCTTCAAGCGTTAGTCCCGTGTTGTGGGAATAAAAACATTTATATTGTCTTTTCGTACCCTTGCAAGAAAGAAAAAAGCACAGATGAAAAGTTCAACCAAAGATTCTCTGAATGTTTTTTGAACTCTGTCTGAAGACTGTGATTGGAAATTCAATTGATTTGATTAAACTTTATCAGAACAGGTTTGAAACTGCATTCCTTATCAGAAAAAAAGAGAGTCATCCCAATCTTCTCAATTTTGTTTAGTATGAACAGATTAGGTCAACGACAAAATGAATTAGTTTTTCCTGTCAAGAAGAATTTTGAGCAATTTTCAGTTTTCAGATTCTCCAATATTGAATAAATAATAATTTATATTGCACGCGTAAACATTGAATGGCAATAAATAACGATTATTATGAGTTTCAATAGATTACATGGTGATAAGGTTTTTCGGCAGGACGATCTCCATCATTTGGACGATTGTGTCCATGCCCATCGGAACTTCGCGCTGAAAATTGTTCTTTTTGTTGAACTGGAAAACGCTTGAATTTACCTCCGACGACGCGCCGAAGATACCATCATACAGCTGGTTGAAGTAGTCAACGTACTGCAAATGAAATTTTTTTTCTTTTTTTTTTCGAATCAGTTCATACCGAGAAGAAGGAGTTTTGCAGAGAGTGACTCTCCACAATAGTGTGGCACGAGGCGTGAATGTTATTCACAAGGATCTGAAAAGTCGTCAATTTTTCTTAGAACAGCCAGTTTTTCGTACTCTTCCGGTGGAAGTCATGGGAGAGTAGATTCCAGTAGAGTTGACGGTCGAAACTCGGTCCACCTTGGTCAACAAGACTTTTTTCTGAAGATTCATATCTATTCCGGAAAATACTTCAGAATCAAACCCCATCGACTCGGTATAGACAATCGCCTTCCTTGACTTCCTTGGCGAACACAGAAGCACGAGCAATGTCCTTAGTAGACACCTCTCCGGATTTTTCGCATTCTGTCTTGTAGATGTAGTGCTCGGCTGTCAATTTCAACTCGCTTCCATCTTCCAACTCGAGGCTGAATTCATAGTTATAACGGTTGAATAGAGAAGAATCTCACCGTTGGAATTGCGCAAACTGTTCTGGAACCTTGTGCAGCCAGAAAGTGACGGGGACGTTTTCAACGCCGTTTTCTCCGATGCTTTGAACCCAGTCGCCAACTTTCAATTCATCCATTCGCTTGGCAGATCCATCGAGCAGTTTTACCTGAAGCTTTTTAACTTGCATGGAAGTGTGTGGATCGAAAACCATGGTGTCATCAGTGAAGCAGTAGTATGGACTGCCTCCTCCTGCGGCTCCAGCTGGGTAGTAGACCTGTGGAGGAGCGGCTGGCTGAGGTGGGACGAAAGGCTGAGGAGGAGGTTGAGGGAAGGCTTGTGGTGGCGGTTGTTGAGGGAACTGTGGAGGAGGCTGAGGGAATTGTTGAGGAGGCTGAAAATTCAAATTGCCCTAGATCCATCCATCTTATAAAGGAATTTCGAATTGAGAAACTTGAAAAACAGCTTTTTCCTGACAGAGATATCAATTTCCAAAAAATAGCCGTATTTACTCACAACGAACTGCTGTTGAGGTGGTGGTGGTGGTGGCTGCTGGAAAGGAAAAAATGAAAAGACATTAAGTTTTTCTAAGTTACCTGAGCAGGAGCCGGCTGTTGAAGGAATCCAGGCTGAGCGACGATTTCTTCAACAACAACGTCTTCACCGAATGGACCCTCGACGTTCTACAAAAAGAAAGTTATGAAGTTTCGGGAAGTTTTCAGTACATTGGTTGCGGCGTTGTTATCGCCTGGCAGTGGGATGGGGTCTTCTCCGTTCACAGTCGGAGCTTGGAATGCAAACGAGTTTCCTTTGGAGACTTTGCCGAACTTGTTGAACTCACGGATGGCAGCTTCCGAAGTGATGATTTCATCTGAAATTCTTCTGGTTTATATCAAGATTTGATTATTGCTGTTTTTTGAACATTTTTCTTTTAATTCAAACGCCGAAACTCAACAGAAAGGAAGTAAAATAAGGATTGACCTCTTGTTACAAAAGAGGTTTTTTCTCATGCAAAAGTTCACCTGCAACGTTGCTGAACTCCTGGACAGGAAGGCATGGGAACCGGCGGACGGCAACTTCGTAGAAGACAGATCCATCAGCGTTGAGCTTCTTCTCGACGTTGCTGATGTAGTCGAAGGCGTACTGGCGGTTGTCCTTGGTCACTTCTCCTCCGATGACAATCTGTCCTGGAGCCACGACAGCGATTCCTCGGTCAGTCGACAAACGCAGTGGGTCCCAGGAGCAGCATTGGAGGACGGTTCTGAAAGATGGTACCTTTAGAAAAGTTTGTTTTCCGGAAAAACGGACGGTTGAGAGGAAGCGTTGGTCAGTGGTGCGATTCCTCCTACCCATTGGTTCTCGGAAAGGCATTGGGTCGACTGATAGGTTCCTTCACAGATCTGTAAAATCATAATTAGTAAGGGTTTCGAAACGATAAAATTTAATTTACTGCTTTTCGGACAACCATTTAAGAAAATCACGGAGGGAATTAGAAGGACTTTCCTCGGACGTGAATGTTTAATCGAGTTTGAAGGGCACCGGTCATTTGTAAAGCCCCCGAAACGAGTTCACTTTCTCTTTCACGCTTGAGATCAAGCACGAGGAAATTTCTTTTCTTTCTAACCCTGCCCATGCGGAGAGGAGGAAAGAAAGTCTCGCTCGAACCTGCTGGACAAACGACAGCTTAACGATTTGAAAAAAAAGACATCTCCTAAAAATCTTGATTCTGACGCTTTCCGAAAGAATTTCTCCGAAATAAGACTTTTTTTTTCATTTTCATCGATTTTTGATCGGCATTTTGTTAGATTCAGATCAAAAATCGTTATGAAATCGCGAGAGGAATAAAATTTTTGTGGGTTCTTTTTTTATATTGAAAAAAATCAGTCAGAATTTGACCCGACTTTCTCTAACTTTTCCCTTATTTTTCAATTTTTTTCTTTCCCTTATGTTCTTTTTCTAACAAACACTTTTCTCTACAAATTATTTCTAAATTATCGTTTTTTTAGCAATATTCTTAACGTCTAGCAGTTCATTTAATCGCACTGAAACAGGAAAAAAACATTTCAATGTTCTTGGAAAGGAATTTGGCGCCGCCATGCTTCTATCGGTCAAGCCAGGAAACGCGTTTCTGCGCTCCCTCCAAAAAAGAAACACAGGATAATAGGAAAAATATTGAGGTCAACGCGGCGTTTCTCCATATTGGAAAATTGCTTCAAATTGAAAAATGCGTACTTTTCTTAGTCATAATACTTCGAACTCCTACTCAACTGTTTAGAGTTTTTTGTACTTTTTCTAAAGAGAAAGAAAATGCTTACAGCTGTCTGCTTGGAGTAATAACGAGAGTCGCTTGGATGGAATGGTGGGACACTGCTGCGGTCTTTCCGGAAGAAGCCATCAGGTCTCTTGTTAATGCTGAAAAAGTAAGGCTTGAAATTTCATTTGAAATCAACTTTCTTCTCACAATATTTTTCTCTAGTAAATGAGAGCTTCCCCAGAAAAAGCAAAGTTTTTCGTTTCAAAAAGCTCTTGTAGAAGGGATTTTTATTATGATTAGGAAATTTTGAACCGTTGTTGTAAGGAATTTTCGAGTTAAACAACACAAATTTCAAGTTCTTATGAGCTATTGTCTTAACAAATTGCGACGAATGTACAATTTCAAGTGAAATATGTTCGAGAAGGTTCAAAAACGAAGACAGTTTGAAAGCTAGTAAGTTCAAAATGTGCAGCATACCTTTCAAGAAGCTAGCTCCAAAAAAATTAAATAGAAATCATTGATTTTCTTTCATTATTTGAGAGATATTTGGAAGTTAAAAAACTCCATTGCAACGAACCGGTAGAAATTGGCAGAGTTGCTGATTGGAGTTCCTTTTGGGCTCCAACCAAAACAAGATGGTCGAGCACAACCCAATACTGGCTGTCCGTCGGGAAGGGTCTACAAAAGCCTTTACTTCGAAAAAGAAACGGAAACTTTTACAAACTTCAAAACTGAAAGGAATTCCTGAGTTTCCACAGAAAGAAGCAAAAGTTGCTGTGGTGGTGGCGAGAAGCACGGTTAAAAGACGCATTTCTAAATCGAAAATTCTCAAAATGAGATACGAATTTTGAGAAAAATCAAAAACGGAAGAATAAAGCCCAAAGGCTGATAGAGGACAGACGTATGATTGTTGGTGGCCGAGGCTTTTATTTATGCCTGACCAGCTTCACTCTCGTACCGTCCGTTCCTCATAGGTGTGGGCGGAGCCTGCCGCTCACCTCTAGCCACCTATTTCGTATCTTCAGGCTTTTTGGGGCTAAAGATCTCGCCGCCGCTGCTGAATGGTTTTCATAAGAAATCTTGATCAGCTTGTCTAGAAGTTTAGCAAAATCATGATGGAAGGGAAGAATGCAGTTTGTACGGGTTTGGATACATACTGAGCTCGAAAGGTATTGACCTTTCTCAATTTTTTCCAACTTTTAATGAAAATTGTGGTCTTTTTCAGATGTTACTTTCAGATGATCGGAGAGTTGGACTCTTTCTTCCAAATTTTGACATCAAATTTTATAAATATGGAAATGCATGTCGAAATTAAAAAAATTAATTTTTTTAAATTTCAAAATTTTTTTCAGGTTTTCTCGGGAGCAAATTATAAACACAAATAAAATAATAGTGTATGATAAAATATCCTTCCAAGGAAATGTGAACATGGAATCTTATAAAAGTTCGCTCAAACTTTGCATGATTTAACAGAAATTCCTTCCAGTTACCTGAGCAAGTTTTTATTTTAAAAGATATGATTTTGGTCGTATTTATCAAATAATTTTGCTGAAGCTCCATAATTTGCAATTACGAGACTTCGAACCTCCAGAAATAAACTTTTGAAAACCTAGAAATATCTTCATTCGAACCTTTGCAAAAGGTTAGTTTTTTGAAAACTCCCAATTCCACCCAAACTGACCTTCCTTGTAAGGAGTTTCATAGCTTCAGTTTTAAGGCCTGACTTCCTGAATTGTGGCGAAAACAATGATCTTCATATCCAAACGGTATCTAAGACGAAATTCCCTGAAAAGTCAACAAGCTTCTCCAAACAAAACTTGGAATAACATTTTCGACTTCAAATTGTCATTTTCTTTCTTACAAATTTCATTTTGCAAGTTTTTTCACATCATAACTTTGATTCCAATTTTTTTTCACTCCGTCAAAAAAAAGAAGAAAAACTCAAAGCAAAGCCGACTTGTAGGGGAACGATTGATTGCTTCGAATTTTGTCGCTATTCTCTAAGAAGTATTAATTGATCAATATATTTTCGAGGTTACCAAAAAAGAAGTTTCTTTTTAAGACAAGTTTTTACCGTCTTGAAGATCCTAGAACGGAGGCCGACTCATTCAGGGGAAAAAATGCCGCCCATTTGTAGCTGATTGGTCGAAACGATTGATCGCGTCGAAATCTCGCGACTCTAAAAGAAACTTGCGCCTAAAGCCTTTTTTTGTCTTTTTTCGGGCTTGTAACAAGGAATTTTAGGGTGTCCCCTTTAACCGAAAAGGCGAACGGAGGAGGAAAACTTGAAGAAATTGCCCGAACAATAAATGGAGGTTTATTGAGTTCGTCTTTGCGCTGTGAGAACTTGCGTTACTCGTGGGATCCTATTTCGATCCTATTCCGATCTGCAGGGAAATGGCTTCTGTGTCCTGTCGCGGTAGTAATTGCTTCAGGTGTGGTTTTAATTTTTTTTTTTTTGAGGTTTAGACCTGAGCTAAAACTTTTTTTTTGCACGGTTTGAAAAAGCTCTCTCAAAATGAAGTTTTTGCTTATGTTTCTTATTTTCATGGGACAACTTTTGGAATTCTTTTTTTCGCAATAACTTGAAACAAAGCAAAAATTTTAACGATACGCTTTTTTCCCTGACTTAGAGAGCGATCAAATCAAAAAATTTATTTTGTAACTTCAGATTTTTGCAATTGAAAAGCGACAAACAAATAGAAATAATTTTTCAACAGTGATTTCTATGAATAAAAATAAAAAAAGATCACTATATTGGAACAATTATTAAAAAAATGACACAATGTGCTATAATAAAAAAACATTTCATGTCAACCAAGTGAAACAGTTATGCAAATTATTTTTCGAATATATTCCTTTTATTAGATTGGAAGTAAAAGTACAGTGGTCTGTAAAAAATTAGCTTGTACCCTGGTGATACCTTTGGAAAAAAAACTATCAGTTCACACAAAAATTTCATGAAAATTGATTAGAGTGATCGTCGACTTTTTGAAAGCTTTTGAGGATGAACCCTACATGATTTTATCTTGAATTCTATCAATTTTCAGGTAATCACAGTAGAAAGAACCTTTCTTGCGAGGAAAATATCACTGATTGCGTTAGAGAAGCGAAGAAGATTGCCACAAAGAAGACAAATGAGCAGCTGAATGACGTGAGTACTGATAATGATAAACAACAAAGTCTTCAAAAACGTGCTGATCGAATCCCTCGCTGTGGATCAACTTCAGACCTGCGCAGTTGGCCAGAACTCCTGAATCATCATTTCCTCTATTAGTAGAAGATATAGTAACTACCCATGAAAACATCATCGAGGTGAACCAGAGGCGCTTTGCACACGTTTTCCAGTAGTAAACTCGCTCCTTCTCGAGAAAGAAGAAAAGAAGAGCCCTGAACATGGAAAAAAAATAAGGTTTTGCAAATAAAAGCTGAATTTTTCTTCCTATTTTCAAAAAAAAAATAAAAAAGTGTTAAATTGAACGAACCTGAACAAAGAGAGGATAGCACAAATTAGGGTACATGGAAGATGGGACGTGCCACGGCAACCAAGGGAGGAAAATTCTTGGGTATCCTCGAGAAACTTTTCCGAGCATGAGTGGTTCATCGGACATATCCAAAAGCTGAAATAATTTTTTTGAAAAGGAGTCCAATCATTTTTGATATTGCAGTGCCTTCAAACTCAAAAATTTCAGACTTCCTTTGAAGAATCAAGTACTTCGTTTAATCCAAGCCATTCGGTGGTATGAAAAAAACACCAGCGAAAGTTTAAACGGCGACTTTTCCGATTTTTTCATATCGCTAGGGAACTTTCCGACGGCCACCTTTCCGACGAATCTTTTTCCGACTTTTTTTCTCGATAAATCTTCGTTTTAAATCTCCCTATATAAAGTAAGTAGTTGGTTAATGATTAAAACACAAAGAAAAAGAAAAAAAAACAATGTTTATAGATGTTTTATAAACCGAAAACTTAAGGGAAAAAAGTCGGAAAGGGATCTGTCGGAAAGGTGGCCGTCGGAAAGTTCCCTAGCGATAGGAAAAAATCGGAAAAGTCGCCGTTCGAATTTTCGCTGGTGGTTTTTTCATACCACCAGCCATTCACTGACTTTACTGTTTCAAAACTTCACATTTTTTTGAGCAAAGATACAACTTCAAAATAATTTTTTTGAAAAATCAGTGAATTTTTTTGTTTTGAATAATTTAGAAAAACTTTTCTCATAAGGGTAGTAGAAAATTGTATCTTCCTGTATTCATTTTTAATGATTTATCAAAAAAAGTCTTCGAGGAAATTTTTGACATTTTTTTCGTGATTATTGATATTTTTGATGGTGTGTGATCAAATCAATAAAAGCCGCCATTTCTCACAATCACTACATCCGCTTTTTGAATCGCCTACAATTACCGCGCGCCAATTGCACAGGCCATGCGCACTGGCCACACCCGAGGGCCACCTGTTCGAGAACAGCTTGGGACAACGAAAGACTATAGAACAGGAGCGAACGGAAGAACCTGCTCCAGTGCTGTTGCATTTACGATGGTGTCGTCGTTGGTGACTATGATTTGTTTGACCGTCGGCATTTCGGTCAACACGAATCCGTAGATTGCCATCATTTTCCAGGACAAGTTGTGGTAAGAGTCTTCGAAGTCGAATTGCAGAATATCTGAATTGTCAAGCATCTATGATATTATTTTACAATTGTTATACGTTCAAAGGTCTGGGAAAGTTTTTAGAGGCCACTATAGTAGTCAAATTAATGGCCACTAAAGAGGTAAAAAAAAAGTTTTTTTTTAATTTATCAGAGTTCCTGGAAAGAATAATGGATGAAAAACTACTGAAGTGTCCACTAAATAGAGAACCTCTATAGTGGCCACTAAAACGGAGAATAGTAGCCACTATAGAAGTGGCTTTAGTTGCCGCTTTAGTGCCCTCTCCAAGTAATCCTTGGCGAGCCTCTAGAGTGGCCACTAAAAATTTTCCCAGGTAATTAAAAGCATATTCGACTTTCGAATTTTCAAACTACTCTTGAAACTTCGAATATAAGATGCGTGGCATTAAAAAAGAGATTCAAAACTCAGCTAAAAGGCAGAATTTTTCTCTCCTTCTCAACAAAGTTTCATCACGCTGCATTTTTCTGGCCTTGTTATGCTTTCTCAAACGGCTCATAAAAGCATCCTATTTTATTCAAAAAAAAGTTAAAATTCTTGGGACTAGAAATCTTTTAACTGAAGTTTGTACTGCATTTTTTCGAACTCAGCCAGCGAATAATGAATAATTAAAGCAACTCTACCGTTATGGACGGCGGCTTCGCTAGACAGAGTATCGTTCAAAGATGTGGCGCACACGAAAATCACCGGCACCAACTTTTCTACCTGGAAGTTTAACTTGATTTTTATAAATGAAAAATAAAAGTTTTCCTTCGAAATTGATTCGAAATACTTGAGTAATATTCCTACACTTTGAAGGATTTTCCGTTCTTAATCTTCTCGTTCTTATTCGCGTCCTGCTTTTTTTTTATGACACATCTTCTCGTTTTAATCGGTTTTAATCCTTTTATAGCAAATTTTTTGCACTGCAGAAAATTTTTCACCACCCTGGCCATTTTCCTGTTTAGAAGCAGAATATTTCAGGACTTTGACTCACATAGGATTTCCAAGTCTTCCGAATGAAGTTGCGATAATCTGGAGATCCAGGTCCAGAGCGGACCACAAATACTCGTTCGAGGTTTTCAGGAAGCTTCGGTCGGATCAGAACCGGCGGCATAACGTCCAGTTCGCATTTCGAACCAGTGGGGGTCCAATTTGGGAAGAATTTGTTAATGCCTGAAATTCCGAAGATGGAAGAAAATGTTATCAGCAGTTTGGAACTTTTATGGTAGTTCAAGACTGTATAAAAAGGTTTTGAAAACTGGTCAAGTGTTTTTTTTTCCCTATTTGAAGAAACGAAAGTCATTGAGCCAAGAAAAGAAGATAAAGCCAAAATGGGCAAGATAACTATTTTCGAAAATATCCGTTCATTAGTGGGCAAAAGTATACTGTACCCTGGTAACACTAGAAACTTCGAGGAGTTTTTAAAAAAATTTCCTAGGAAAGTTCTTTATTCAACTTTTTTTATTAAAAATAAAAACTTATACATGTTGGAAAGTCCGATGCCAATGGTTCGGAAGATAACAAATCGCTCTGCGTGTAGCAGAGAGCTCTGAGCGGCAACAAGCGAGACTCCAAGTAGTTGGTCAGCTGAAACAGAATAAATTTGATTTTCTTTATTTGCAACAAGCAAGATAACTAGTTATACTTCGAGACTTTGAAAAATAGAAGTATCAATCAGAACGCTCTTCTGAGTACCAGAGGAAGGTGATACTAAAAGATTCAAAAAGTGTTGTAACTTATTTACCCGGAGCCATCGATCGCAAAGAGAAGTCGAGCTATTTTTTTGAACATTTTTCGTAACGTTCCACTTTTGTCTTGTTTTAAAAAATTTCAATCGATAGTGCAAATTCCAAAATATACAGAGAACTTGAATACTCGAAACCAAGCATAAGTGAATTTAGGGAATACCATGAAAATAGTAGCACCTCTGTTTCAAATTTGTAAATGTCCAGTCTTAGGGCTCGCCGTAGCGCAATATGTATGTTGTGTGCCTGTCTCCGGTCCACAGGGTCACAAGTTCGATCTTCGTCTCGACCCAATCAAAGGGTTTAAGAAACGTTGGTAGTGGGTTACCACGACTTCAAAGTCCCCAGCCGCCACACACAAGGAGGGATATGTAACTAGAGCCAGTCTACTGATTATCACAGATATCAGGACAGGACCTCGGCTAATCGACTTGGGGCGCCGACGCCGCTCAGGCGGTACAAAGGCGTAGAAAGAAGAAAGAATAAAAAGAAAAGTCCTGTCTTAGGCCGATTCACATGGAAGACCAGCACCGAAAAAATCAAAAAACTCACAAACAAGTAGGGGATGACCCAAGAAAAGAGCAGCAACAAGAGCTTGAAGGGAGACAGTGCCAGAGCACGCCGTTGAAGCAACGGCTGAAAACTCAGACGTACCAGCTTCCGCACGACGCGCATCTATGCCGCCAGCAGATACGATCTGCCAGCGGCGACACGAAAATTCCGTCGCTCGCCTCTTTTGACTCTCCAACCTGTCCATGAGCTCTAATCGGTCAAAGTCGACCCAAAACATACTCCAATCTCTTTCTTTTCCTTCAAATTTGGGCCGACGTCATGGACCTCCACGCCTCCGTGTCCTTTTCGCAATTCTTCTGTTCCTTCGTCCCAGAAACAGTTGCGAATCGAGATTCGATCTGTTTGTCGTGACGCTTTCAACATTTCTGGGGAACTTTATATCCTTCGTCGGAGTGACCGAAAACCTTGCAGATGATTTGTTTGTAGACTAGTGTCTATTTTTAAAAAAACTGACTTTCTGTTATAACGGAGACAACAAAGCTGCTCTTACCTATCAATTTGGAAAAGCTTGATAATTTTTTTTCAGTTTTGATGTCTTGTTATGATAGAACCTCTGCATTTAGTTGAAGTTCATTTTGAAAACAGCATCCACTAAACTGTTTCAAAGTCCTTAGATTGAACCAATCTCAAAAAGTATTTACTCATGAACAACTATTTTTTTCAAACTGAACTAATTCTAATCTGGGTTTTCATTGGAAGGAATATTCTCGAAATTAATTAGTTCTAAAAAAAATACATGTTTTTTTAACAATTTTCTGAGTTTGAGCTCATCCATTTGAAGTAAATAAAGTTCCATCGTTTTATTTCTTGCATAAAAATTTTTCCCTCGTAAACATGTGAATCTGAAAAACTTGAGAAAACCATTTATTGCATTCGAACAAAAAAAAAATACCAAGAACAAGTGATAAATATAAAAAATACGAAACATCAAGCAATTACAGTACTCCACACATAAATTTCGAAATCCAAAAAAATGAAATTTTAGAGGAAAAAAAGTTCTTTGGATAAACATTACATCTCTATCATTCCAAAGCAGAACGAAAACCACAAAATTAACACAAAATAACCAGTGTACAACTTATAAAAATTAAACAAAATATACACTTTCCAATACAAAACTGCAGTGCACACTGTTATTAAAGGCGCAGCCTTGCCGGAATGAAGGTCTCGTCACGCGCTGCGCATTCAAAATTTAGGAATCTCCCGTTTTTTCTTTTTTTTAACATTATTTTAATATAAAAATTTATTAATATTTGAATTTCAGCGATACTGATTGTACTTTCATTCAACCAATACAATTTTTCACATATATTTTTTTCCGTTAAAAAAATATTAATTTTTCGGTTTTCATGCGTTTCACCGAAGAATATTTTTCAGGTAATCACAACGTAAAAATGGCCCCACCAACCCAATCTTCGGCTCCCAAGAAGGTTCAGGTAATCAAACTTTTTTTTGAATATTCGTTTTTAGACAGTAAAGAAATATTTTTTTTTTCTCAAGTCAATGTATTTTTTTCAGACCAAGAAAAACGCCGAGAACATCAACTCGCGTCTTTCCATGGTTATGAAGACCGGAAAGTATGTGCTCGGATATAAGCAGACCCTGAAGAGCCTGCTCAACGGAAAGGCCAAGCTCATCATTTGCGCCAACAACACTCCTCCCCTCAGGTTTCTTTTTTTGATTTTTTTACCATTTTACAATTCAATTAAGAGCCTATCAAAACAGTTGAAGAATGAGTATTTGACAAAAAAAAAACCAAGGCGCCAGAAGTTTTTTTTGTAAAATTAAACATTTCAGTAGTTACTATCCTATCCTTGAATGCTCTTCGATATTTTCCAAAGCCACTCAGAAGAAAATGGAAATTTGTGACTTGAACTCGCACATTTCAATTTCATGTAATGATCATGAATGATCAAAAAAAAAAAAATCAAAACAGCAAAAATGTTGTTGCTCACTTTTTTAATTCTCATTTTTGATTTTTCTGGGTTATTGTTGGTAATAAATCAATTCTGTTTGCTGGGTTTTTGACTTTTTTTAAATCCAAGTGTATAAACCGTAAAAAGGAGTATTTTATTGGATTTTTTTTTCTTTTTCGTCCTGCTATTTTGTGAGCAGCGTAGGCGCCTCAAGTCAATTAGCCGAGGTCCTATCTAGTTATCATTGATAATTAGTGGCTCTAGGGACATTTCCGACCTTGTCTGTGGCGACTGAAGATTTTTGAAGTCGTGGTTTTCCAGTTCCAAATTTTTTTGAACCCGTTGGTTGTGTCAAGACGGGGATCGAACTTGTGACCCTGTGGACCGTAGACAGGCACACAACCTGTTGCTCTACGGCGTAAGAAAGAAACTTATTATAACTGGTAATTGCAGAAAGTCGGAGATCGAGTACTACGCTATGCTCTCCAAGACCGGTGTCCACCACTACAACGGAAACAACATCGAGCTGGGAACCGCCTGCGGAAAGCTTTTCCGTGTTTGCACCCTTGCCGTCACCGAAGCCGGAGACTCGGACATCATCCGAAGCACTCCCAACGAGACCGCCTAAATCCCTCCGTTGTTCCTTCGTTGTATACCTGCCAAATTGTTGTTTCCAATAAATTGTTCTGATTAATTCTTTTGTTTATCTGTGGGATCCGTTCATTACTGGCTATTACTTGATTGTGAAAATCTTTTTGAAATTTTTGCAAGAAGTCGATTAGTTTGAAAGCTTGAAAACCAAGAAAAAATATTTTTCGAAGAAGTTTTGCCATAGTTCTCATAGAGTCGAAACAGATTTACAAATATAAATTTTTTTGAAAAAGCTGATTTTTAGCGTAACATTTTTTTCTAAGACATTTTTAGATAATATAGTCGATATACCTGAAGCTTTTTTTATGTCTAAGATTCCGCGTAGCCGTTACAAATGCTCTATTTTTCATAATCCCGGAATTGCAAACTTTTTTTTTGACCTGACAGAACTCACAAAACGCATAATTCGAAAAACAGAGGACCTGTAAAATTCAGCTTTTGAAGGGTTTTGGATATATTCATAAAAAAATTCGGGGTCTCCAAGTGGGAAGGCCCAGTCTTAATAAATTGCATGACAGAAACCCTTCTCATTTGGTTAGTTCCCATGAAAATTTGGTGCTTTCTCGGCGTTTTCTGCATAATTTTTGATTTTTAAAACTCGTCATGATAGATTCTTTTAAAATTTCACTCACCGTTTTTTACAGAGATTCTTTGACGAGCGTTTGAAACTTTGTTGCCAAATAGATTTTGCTCAAATCAACGCCAAAAAGTGAGCAGTCTTGATATTACTGTTTTTATATCTTCTTATTTGAGCTCTAGAACCATATCAAGGGCTATTTACGCTTCTTTAATGTGGAAGCATCAATGAACGAGTTTTAGATAAATACACAATTTATTTATAATCTTATTGAACACCATTAGCTTACAGAATTTGCGTGACTATATTAAAATTTCCAAGAAAGACTGCTCAGAAAAATGTTTGCTCTATTAACATTATTTTTTTAAAAAGTATTTGCAGACGGTTCCTGACCTTCTCAAAATTTTAGACAATCAAGTGATCAAATATTTTGATGAACCAAAATCAAATTTGAGTTTGCAATAAAAATTGGCTTATGACCACTGTTGTGCCCGCAGGTGGCCAGTGAAGACGTTGTAGTAGAAGATTTATTAGTAACAAGAAACTAGACTAGGCTAGCCCTTTTACAATAACAAGGTGTTATATAGTGCTGAGGGAAGAGATCCCGAAGATTATGGAATGTTCCCGAATAAAGGTGGAGTTTAGATAGTATTGAGATTAGAGTAAAAGATGGAACATTCCAGAGTTTTAGAGATCTGTCCCGGAAGCATTAGAACATTCGAGAACAATGTGGAACCTTCTAGAAAGGTAGAGAACAAATGAGAAGATTGTGGAACTTTCTAGAAGGGAAACCTTTACACATGATCCCTATGACGTAATGAGACTAGAAATGTATGGAAAACTATAGAACATTCTAGAATCAGCTTAATACAGTACTGGCCATAAAGGTATTTCAAAGTGGTTATTCGAGCATAACTTCTTTAAAAAGTGGCTCAAATGGCTTGAAACTTTGCAAAAATTTTAAATAGCTACGCAGTAACTTTTTCCCAAGTAAAAAAATTGTTTGCTCAAGTCAGACCGGATTTGAGAGCAAAAAACCAAAAATCGTGAAAATCAAGATTTTTCTCTTGAGATTCGAAAAATCATATTTTCAAAGAAACTTCGTTTTCGAACCAGAAACTTTTTTCCCCAGTAAAACAAGTCTTCGGCTTTCCAAAAAACCTAATCAGCCCCTCACCAACCCGATAGTAAGAGCGTAGTGACTTTTTCTTCGAAAGGCCCTTGCGTTTTGAAGCCTCCTCATTCAAATGGACTATACGAGGTCATTTTTGTTTGAGAACACCCTGTATCATGTTGAAAAAAATTTTTGAAACACCCTCAAAAAAAGTTTTACACTGATTTCTTCAGCTTTCTCACTTTATCTGCTCTCCAGAACTCACTAACTTCACTAGGACCGATTTTTGAAACCTCTGATTTGAACAGTTTTTTTCTGGACTTTCGGGCGTTCAAAGTAGTTTTTTTATCTGGTCAATCGCTTTCAAATCGTGAATTTGAAAAATAATTAATGGCTAAATTTCAGGCTCCTACATCCTGAAGACTGCTAAATTTTTTGCTGAAGCATTAGTTTCACAAGATCAAAAACTTATTTTCCCATAAAGTTTAAAGAAACTTTTTACAGTGCCTATCTTTGATCTGAGAGCTAGAAAAAGGAGTTACAAATTTATCTCATGATCTAAAACATTTAAAAATATGAAAAAAAGGGGTTTTTATCATCTTCCACAAGATTTGGAGCCCTCTAAGCAACACTTGCTGAAACGAAGTTTTGAGAACTTTAAGAAACTCATTATAACTCACTATATCTTTCGAATAAGTAAGCAAAAACACAGTGGGTCTTCTTTTTATTTTTTTATTCATAAAGGTTCTAAAGAAGCTCTGAAATCTGAAATGAGAAATCGAGAATGTTCTGATTTTTGAAAAAGGAGCATAACCGCTTCAAATCAGAGGTTTCAAAAATCGGTCCTAGTGAAGTTAGTGAGTTCTGGAGAGCAGATAAAGTGAGAAAGCTGAAGAAATCAGTGTAAAACTATTTTTTTGAGGGTGTTTCAAAAATTTTTTTCAACATGATACAGGGTGTTCTCAAACAAAAAAATGACCTCGTATAGTCCATTTTGAATGAGGAGGCTTCAAAACGCAAGGGCCTTTCGAAGAAAAAAAGTCACTACGCTCTTACTATCGGGTTGGTGAGGGGCTGATTAGGTTTTTTTGGAAAGCCGAAGACTTGTTTTTACTGGGGAAAAAAAGTTTCTGGTTCGAAAACGAAGTTTCTTTTGAAAAATATGATTTTTTTCGAATCTCAAGAGAAAAAAATCTTGATTTTCACGATTTTTTTGGTTTTTTTGCTCTCAAATCCGGTCTGACTTGAGCAAACAATTTTTTTACTTGGCAAAAAGTTACTGCGTAGCTATTTAAAATTTTTGCAAAGTTTCAAGCCATTTGAGCCACTTTCAAAGAAGTTATGCTCGAATAACCACTTTGAAATACCTTTATGGCCAGTACTGTATAAGCGTTCTGCTCCAACAACCACGAAACCTTTGAATCCTTTTTTTATCTCTTTTTTATAATTTGACCCTTCATTTCAAGCTATCAATTAGAACGATTCAAACTTTCAAGTGTTTTAGTATGTCTACACTTTCACTTGTTCGCGGTCAAAGACGGTTCTACAGTGCTCTAAAAAGTAGTATGTTTCCCTCGGAAGAATTTTTATCATGAATAATATTGCAGTTGTTGTCGGTCACCAGTTTGCAGAGAACTGTTTGAAGTTGAATGTCCGCAATGATATTACAAAAATCTCAAGGACGTTTTCATCAAGAACAGACCAAGTTTCTGAAGTTTTCGACGAATTCAGCAATGAAAAGCTTGAAAAAAATTCAACGGAAAAGCTCGACGCAAAACTCAATCTTGATGACAGGTTCATCTTCTGAAAATATTTGTGATACGCAAATTTTTATTTCAGCGAGGCAGGCATTTCGAAACTGATGAGTTTTCTGAAAGATCAACGTATTAAAGACACCTGTGTTTTCAAACTGGATAATGAGCCGAATACAGTGTATAACCATATGGTATCATACCTTTTTTTCAATGAAAATTCATTTTTTCAGGTCATCTGCACGACTTTAAGCTCCAGGCAAGCTTCTTCTATTGCCAATGCTTTACGACTTTTGACCAAGTCCCTTGGTGACAAGCCCTTGGTAAATTAAATTTTTGTTTTTGGAAGGAAAGATGAAGTTTTCAGGGACAATCGAAAATGATCACTAAATTAGGCAACGGCTGGTTTGTGACGGAGGTGGATTCGATTCAGGTGTGACTTCCAAAATTAATGCTGTTTCAATTTTTTGCGAGAGTTTCTTCAGAGTTCAATGAAAGTCAAAAAATGGGGTACAGCAATTTTTTTAAATTTCAGAATTTTTCAATGAATTTCACTTTCCTTCGAAACCGAAAAAAAAAGTTCATAAGTTAAGAAAGCAAAATTCTGTTAGGAGGAAAAATTTTTTTGCTGTTTCAGGTGCACGTCATGAACGAAGAATGCCGTCGAAAATACGACTTGGAAACGATGTGGAGCGGGGATGAATCCAAACGAATCGAAGCTTTCATGGAACACCAAGAATTTCTTCCTCCGCCCAATACTCAACGCAAATAGTTTCTCTGTATTATTCCCCTCCTTATTTTGACATTATGCCTAGTTTTTATATCTTAATGTTATAAACTGAATAAACAATGATGAGAAATATATAATTCTGAAGGAGAAGAATTGATTACCTCCGGATGAACCAGATATTCCGCGCAACGTTTGCATAAGAAGGCGGGGCTTAGCCGCTCATTGGCCAAAAATTTGGCGCCAACTGGCCCACAATCCTGAAAAAGAGTTTTTTTCTTTTTTTAAACTTTGTTTTTTTAATTTTCGTCCGTCAACCAAAAAAATTATTTCAATGCGTTAATTTTGATCGGAGTCGTTTCAGAGCCTGTTTAAGACAAAGTAAAGCATACGAATACTGCATGGAGATCCTCACCCAAATATTGAGTCCTCATATTGCTTCGAAAACAACAGAACGGGGTAGCCGTGAACCTAAACGCGAAGAGTAAGTGACTGTTTCATAGTGCGTTTCACTCGTTTTGTGTCCTTTTCAGAGCTTCCCCAGCTATTGTTTTCCCAGACGATGACGCGCGTTTCTTGTTGGATGACAAAGATTTGGCACCTTTGCCTTCTCCAATCATCACCATAAGACCCAAAAAGGTATGGACTGCTTTTTTTATTGCAATAATTTGCAGGTTTTTCATAGATGAAATCAAAAACTTTTTTTATTTTTTTTCATGGAATTTCTGATATTGCGCATGGGTATGTTAAAACTTGTAGTCCAAAAGAAAATAAATTTACTTAAACTTTATAGCTTTTTTTGGATATTCAAAAAGCTTTTTTTCACATATAATATTTACTTTCTGAAACTGTAATAAATAGCTTTTTTTTAGTCGATGATATGATAAAAAAAAATTAAAATTGCCACAAAATCCAAAATTTCCTTATCAATTTTCAGGGAAAGCGGAACCTTTTCGCTGAGTTCTGCAAACCTGGCGCAGCTTCAGGGATCGTGGACAATGTCGCAGCAGAAGTTGTCGTCCAAACTGAAGAACCTCCAAAAAAACCGGAAAAAGGTAGAAAATGTCGGGCATTCTGGAACTGTAGTTTGTTCATGAAAAGTTTACTAATATTTCAGAAACTTCAAGTTTTAATGCATTTTTTTTGTGCTGGAATAAACCGGGCTTGTAGAGTGCAAATTCAAAATTTTTAGCAAGAAACTATGAGTAGACTTTAACTGCAAATGAAGCAAAAACGATAAGTTATTGGGAGCCTGACCTTCCAGGCAGGACTGTGAGGTCAAAAATGGCATGCCATCGAGACCAACAAGCCAGAGGCAAACAAATGACTCGCACATCTTTCTCACAATTTTTAGCCTTTTCTCTCTTTTCCCTCTCTTAAATTTTTGTATCTTTTAATTTAGATTTTTTCGCAATTCAAATTCCTTAGTCAAAATCAAATATTCAGGAAATAAGTTACAGTGGCAATGAATGATGAAGGAGATAAACGGGAGGGTTTTGCAGAATCTAGCCGTATGGAAAACTCTCTGCTGCTCACAACCAAACGCTTCATTAATTTGAAAAACCACAATCAGGTTCAGTTTTTATTTACCTAAAAAGGTTTAAAAAAAATTTAGCAAGTGAATTTGAATGAAGCCGCTGTGATGCTAGGAGTTCCGAAACGACGGATTTATGACATTACAAATGTCTTGGAAGGAATCGAATACGTTGAGAAGATCGGCAAAAACAGCATCATCTTCAAGTTTGTTTTTAGCGACTTTTTGCAATTTTTGATGGATAAAACAGTGCATTTGAAAATGAGTAATGGTTCAGGGATTGTTTCATTTCCTTTGTTTATTTTCTCAGAGTTTCTTAATCAAAAGATACACCATCACTCTGAAACTTTGAGTTCAATATTCAACAAAAATAATTGTTCAGTATATTATTAACGGCATAGAAACGTTTTGACAAGTTATCTGGTTTGATTAGAGTATCATTTTTAAAACTAATATATTTCTAACGTGAATCATTACAGAGAAGAAAATGTACCAAAGCAACTCAAGTGGAGTGAAAACGTGCTGGCGAAGCTTGCCGATCAGGAAAGCAATTTGGACACCTTGATAAAAGAAGTCGCTGATCTGCAAAAAAACTTCCTTGAAGATCCCCGCAACATTCCATACAAGTAAGCCGTTTTCACATTCAAAACTTCATTTCAAACACAGTTACGTACGTCGAAAAGATCTGAAAGTTATGGATCCTTTTGATTCCAAAATCACAATTGCGATCAGAGCTCCGAGCGAATCTTCTACTCAAGTTGAGGTGCGTAAATGTCAGTTGTTTCTTCAAAATGAATTCATTATTCCAGGTGTCAGACAACGTTCCCGCTGGAAGATACCAACTGGTACTCCGAAATATTGAGAAAGTTCCGATGGACGCTTTCATTTGCACGATTCCGGAAGCGAAAATTCCTACGCCAAAGAAACCTTCTGTCAAAAAGAGTACGAGAAAGGTCAAGAAAGAAATCAAGAAAGAAATCAAGAAAGAAATCAAGAAAGAGGTTCCCGATGATGATGGTTAGTTGAAATTTCGCAAGATGGGATAATAAATGTTTATTATAAAGATGCTGTTTTCGTGCGACCGAAAGGACCGGTTTCGCGAGTTCAAGCAATCGAAACTCCAAGTCGTCTTTCTCCTCGACCGTTTTTGAGCCCTCTTCGTGTAAGTTTTTTTCTAACAACACTTTTCCATTTATTTTGACTACTTCTTAACAAAATTTAGATTAACTAAAATTCTCGAAAGAACTGGAAATGTTGGATTTTCCTATCATTGATCCTCAGAGAGTTTTTAAAAAGATAAAAAGCTGATGATTTCAGAGGATGGTGGATCCGAGTGCTCTGAACAGCTCTACAAGATCTGATGACTTGATACCTCTCGTGACGCCAGTCTACAAGTTTTTCTACGAGGAACCTACCAGTGTCCTGGATTTATTCTGTTCTGAAGATGGACAAGTGCTGTTGTAACTTCCCTTTTCTCTTAATAAGAGTCTTTGACATTTTTGGTTTAATTTGTCTTGCCTAGTTTTTTGTTTTACGTGGGTTTTTTTTAATTCACCTTTTTCATCCTGAAGATTCTCAAAAGCATACATTTCATAAGATCATGACCCCTCTAGTCGAGTTCTCGTCCGTATTTTGACGCCAAGCTGTTGTCTATGGATTGGAAATAGTGTTTAAAAGGTTTCATCAAATGAAGCAGTTGTGATTCGACGTGATTTTCGTCTCTCGGGTCTCTCTAAACATTGCTGATAACAACTCAAATCTTGGTATGATCTTAAATATTTGATAACTTTCCATTTCGCCGGTTCAACCACTAATCTTTCTTTTTTCTCTGTTTATTTCATTCTCTCAAACTGTTGAGAAACTCATGCAGTTCGACATATGCAATATGCTCATCATCCCCATCATAGTCATTCAGATAACCCATTGTAAATTTAATAGTTGTAAAGTGAAAATGAATATTTGTAAAATTTTCCCTTTTTTCAAGAATTATGTTGAAATTAGGACCGTTGAGAAATAAATGAAAAAAAATTTGACAATGACCGAAATATTGCTAGCTAGGCGTCACTTAAAAGAATGTTATTCATAAATAACACCCGAAAGATTTTGAAGAGTGTGCGATCAAAAATTTATTATTGAATGCATGAAAAATGGGACAAGGACTTCTATGCTCCACGTTCATACCGCAAAAGATATAAATTACGAATTTTTCCCCTATGTTTATTCTGAATATCGAACAAGCCATGAAACGTCATGACGATCTTTCTACTCTTCTTCAAATTTATTTGCATTTGATCCCACGTAACTTTTAACACGGTCAATTTGAGCCCACATACATATAGCATTACGTCAGAACTTGACTTGATTCGGCTCGAAAATAGTCAAGGAAAAGCTAAATATAGTTGAAATTTGTTGCACGCCTGACCTTCCGCCCCCTTGCCATATATTAGTCCTGAACGCTTTTTTTTTCTCTGGTTGTAGCTCGGTGTAGTTTTGGTCTGTCATCTTGACCTGAAAAATCTGAAACCATTTCAAACTATTTTTTTGAAAATGGCTCAAACTTTCTCTTTTTACGATAAGGAAGGTCGAAAAAGCATACTAAAACACCGCAAAACGTTATGAATTCGGAAATTGCAAAAGGAACAATAAGGTTTTTCAATCCATAGGCCTCTGAAATCGCGTCATTTTTTGGAAACTTTCTCGATCTGAAAGTTTTAGTGGTTATCTTGTGAATGAAACTTTTTTTTCCAAGTATCATTCACAAAACTCAAAGTCTCTAGAGTTTCGTTGTTTTAAACATTTTGATGCGCATTTTCTCAGGATATTTTTGGTTCAGAAGCAGATGAGGTTACCAATTTCGACAACTTTCTTGTCAGAAACCGAAAATTTAAACTGGAGCTTTTTTCCAAGCAACGGTCATCGTATCAGAAAATAATGAAAAAGAACTTTTATCCATAAATATTACTTTTTGTCTGTTTTCAGAACGAAATTGTAAATCTTCAGCTTTTTTTTGAGCTCCATCGACAAAAAAAGCAATTGAGCCATATTCCAAAGGTCACTGCATCATAATTGGAAGATGTCGCCGACTCAGCAAATTTAACACGATTATGCAACTTTTTCACGTCTGGAAAGAGTCGGAACCATTTAGCTCATCTTTTTCAGAGAGACAATTACAGAAAGATTTTTTGAAAGCTACCAGTAAGATCTGAATCAGATAAACATCATGCTGAATTTATAATCTCTCAGATATTTCATTTATTTTCGAGCACTACTCTCTAAGATAAATTAAGAAATAAGCTTCTTTGAAATACTTCCCCGATTTTTCCTACTTTTTTTCTTTACCGAAAGGTTGCTGTTGCAAAAACGGCTGCCTTGGGTTTGCGCGATTTTTTTGATTTGTCCCTTTTTTAATGCTCCTACAGGAAGTTTATCATTCTGGATCTGAAACGAAGAAAAATTTTTTGAAGATCAAACAAATCGGATCTCAAATAAGTATCAAATTTCGAATTCTATTTTACCGGGACGTTAAGAATCAATTCGTGCAATTTTCAAGAAATTTTATCAATCAATAAATCTTACGACAATTTCCCTTCAAAAGGTTTTGTGTATCATTGACTTGGTAATGACAATGGCTGAGCCGTGAGGATGGAAGTGTTTTCTCGAAGCTCAAAAATTATATTTTCGGATCCTCTCACGCATAAATGCATAATTGAAACGTTACTTTAACTTGCCGCGGTTTGCGTGTTTTTGTTTGGCTAAATTGAACAAAATAACGGCCAAATTCATTACCAGCAAAATGGCAATTTGTGTGGGAAATGCCGTCTGGTTGTTCAATTTTGCCGTTTCACCCTTAAGTAAGGTTCTATTTGGCATCAACTCGTGATGACAACTATAAAGCCTGAAATGAGATTGAACAACGCTTGTGGGCGATAACTGCGTTAGAGCGCAGAGGCGAGATGCTACTTTTAAGTAGGGAGAAACTCTCGACACTCCCAAAGAACAATTCGTCTCCGGACCTCTCGACCGTCAGAAAAAAACTTCGTTTTTCCTCCTTGTTTCTTTTCGAGGTGACGAATTTAGCAGGATTTTGTTCCTGTTAGTGTGGAAAGCCTTTTCTTCTCACTTCAGTTTATCGCCGCAATACTTTCCAGACTCAAAACATTCATTTTTAACGCTTCATATTTATCAAATTTCGTGGCTTTTCTTCCTTCTCTGGGTAAAGCAATTCTAGGCAGGCCGATCTTTGCTTTGAAGCAAAAATGTCAGATCTCCCAATATTTCATGTTTAATAGCGACATCAAAAATTTTCCGGGAATCTTTTTGACATTCACCATGATACGCTTAAAAAATGGTTTGAGTTTCATCTTCCTTAAATACCGTTTCCTGCGAAAATATTTGCCGGTTTTCCTTTCAGGACTTCATGAATTGAAAAAAAAAGTTTAAAAAAGAAAATAGCTGAAGTTTTTAATTAATGTCTTTTCCAGGCCGCGTTCAAATTAGTATCCCAAGTTTTGAATTGTTTATCCAAGTACTTCCTAGTGCCGTTTGTAGAGAAGCAATTGCGATGAAGTTGGTCACGGTTGAGTGGACAACTCGTCACTTTTCGAGCCTTACTAGCTTTTTGACACCTCTTTTGAATTGCGCTTTCTTTCAAAATAATTCCTATTGAAGAAGAGTAACTTGAGCCAAAGTTTGAAAACAGAAAGCGCTATTTTGGGTGGAAAAAAAACCAAACCAATGTTTTCGGTTTGTCAAGCTTTGGCGCCGAATTATTGCTAATGAGCCGCAAAAGGTAAATATAAATAGAATTTTCGGCTTTCGGCTCACCTTTCACCTTTGCTTTTTGCAGTTCTGTTGATAATCGAGTGAATAATGTTTGTTTGTGGTTTTGGATCAAGCGCGTGGGCTCTTGGAGGAATTTGAAACTTTTCCGCTTTGGTCCTGTTTATTTTGACGAATTTTGAAATTCGCTGTCTGAGGCCTAACAGCTTCCTCATTTGTTCGGTATTCCTCTGGAAACTATTAACAAAAGGTGAGAATTCTTTTTTCAAATCATCATCAAGCTCCTTTCTTCAACCTCACTTCAAAATTTTACATTTCAACTCAGCCAAAAGCACTTACATGTCGAATTTCAGTTTTTATTGAGCTGGAAGTGTTTGCCTTAACTCACATAGTCACTCTAGAATTTCGGATTGGAAAAACACTTCATGAATTCATTTTTGCTGCGTCAGGCTTTATCAAATGACTAGTTTGCATGAATGGTCATTGGCAGTATTTTCGCTTGGTTTCCCTTTTTCGTTTTTTTTTCGCGAGTATTTTTTTGCTGTGTATTCTCAGGTCAAATTATAATGTCAAACGATGTTTGCAAAAAAAAGAGATCACTCCTAAGAGCGAATTTGTCAAACGTAGACCTGAAGAAATTGCTAAGCGAGAGCAACACGTAATGACATGATATTCGATCCTCGAAAGCAATTCAGCTGCGTAGGAGACTGAAAACATCTGGTCAGTTGAAATTGTTTAATGAACGGTGTTTTCCGTCAGCAGTTGCAACTTGTCACATAGTTTTGCCTCGATGTTTTTTCCTTGCCCTCTATATTTTTGAGAAGCTTCTGCAGGGTAACCAGAAAGGTCGAGTCAAAAACGTTGTAATTGTTTTGAGACTCGGAAAACTGGAGTTTGCGGTCCCAAAACGGGGTGAACGCTAGCTGTTCAAATTTCCTCAGTGTCCACCAGTTTGGCAGTAAACAATTTGGAAGATAATGAGAAGTTTCTGATTTCTAGGCCAAAAATCTGTGTCAAAAAGTTCATTATTACTTTTTCCAGCTTTCCATACATTCGCTTTTCCTTATTTCACTAGCGATCCTTTCTGGTTTTTTATTGTTCCCTTTCAAAAGGAAACATTGAAACTGGCGTCTTGATTCTGACCACCTGAAAGCATCAATCCACGCAAAAGTTGTTTGCCAACTCACGTAATTTTGCCAATTCCACCCATCCAATATCTATCTGGCGGACACGTCGTCGTTTTTTTTTCCACCTTAAGGAGCCAAACGCTTTTCTTCGGAAAGTGTGATAAGTTTTTCTTGGCGCCTAATTGGTGCCACTGAGGGCTTTTCGAGGAAGTTGCCTTATGTTTTTTTTGTGAAATCTCAAAGGCTACATCTGAACCGAAAGGTTATTTTCTGCTCTATTTACTTCCTATGTGTGACCTTCCAATTTTTTCTCAGACCTTTGTAATTCGATCTTCACTTTTTCCTACCCGTGCTTCTGGCTTAAAATTTTATGAGTATTTTACTGAATAGAACTTTTTTTCACTAATTATTCCATAGACAGTAACTGAACTAACATAAATCGATAAAAAAATTGCCGAGGAAGATTTCTTAGAGCTTCTTTGATTAGTTTGAATAAAAAAATGTTCTGAGGTACTGGATATTTCTCATCGAATATTTAGCTAATATTAAATATTTAAATATATAAGTTTTGAAACCGCAAAAATTAATTTTTTTCCCCTTAATTCATTCACAAGTGTCCCAATCTATTTATTCACATAGTTTTCAAGCCTTTCTGGAACCTATCGATTTTCTAATAGTATCACTTCCTTTGTCGAAAAGCTTTATTGCAGTCTTTCATCACGCTTAAATAAAAACTTCGTGATCAATGAATACACTAAATCATTGTCGAAAAAAAAACTCTAATTTCTATTAGACATTCAGCAAGTCACGTCTGAAAATGTCGAAAGGCGTGTGACGTTTATTCGTCTCCACCTTCTCAATGACTCTTTGAGCTCAACTAAAATGAATATTTTGGTTTCCGTTTCTATCTTTCTTACGTAATTGCTATTTCTGAATAATTGATTTGGAATCCGATTGAAGGGTAGAGCATGAGCAGTTGGTTGCGGATCATTGTCATCTTCATCTTACTCACGTTTACCGTGTCGGCTTTACCGTCGGACTACGTGCGATATCTTATACAAGGTTTGATTTTTCTCTTTTTACCTATATAAGTTTTTAAATTTCCTCTTTAATCGTCTTGCAAAAAGAGAAAATAAAAGATTTTACCTTGAACAGTGTCTCTGGAAATTTGCACTGTAGGGACAGGATTCTTGTAAGAACTTGATTGGGAGTCATTTGACGATATGAACGTTTCTGTCTAATTTATCAAGAAAAGGTTAATTTTCGCCAACTTTCTTTTTCTCTGACATTGATTGCAGGAAGTGAAAGATTAGAAAACCGGAAATCGTCAGATAAAAGATCATTGAACCATGTTTCGTTGAAAAAACCATTATTGTTCTGTTTCGATGCGCTGCGTAAGGACTCATGAAAAGTATTCGATTGACTATAAATTGGAAGAAAAGCAAATTTGGCTGATTTTGATTACCTTTAACAATAAATGAATTCAAGTTCTCATTTTCAAACATTCCTTTTTACAGCAGCACGACAAAATGACGCTGGTGGAGTAAACTATGCTTATGATCAAGAAGAACCAGCTTATCATCGTGTCAGTAGAAGTCAGGTATGTTTCTAGACTTTTAAAAGTGTTCTCAAGGCATCCGAAAATTGATCATCTAATAAACTAATTATTTGCAGGGAGGTCCATCGGTGAGCCTAGACTCCTTGTCGTCGCTGCCCATGTTGCGGTACGGATAAAGCAAGGCCATTCAACTATATTCCAAACAAAAATGATCTCGCCAGGTTTTGGCTCAGATACCCAAGTGTACATCCATATAGTATCCCTCTAACGTTTTTTTCCATTTTTTTTTTCATCTTAAAAACCTTCGCTTTGAATGAACTCATATTATGTTATAAACCTTTATCGTTCACATTATAAGGCACCCATAGTCGACTGAGAAAGATTTGGTTGATTCTTAGAAGAGGCGACAAATAACGAGAGGGATGAGGAGAAGTAATTGAGCGGATGAATGGGCCGATTGCTTGGGCGTCGTGGTTTTGATGCCCAGAGGGTCTCCTCTGGTGCTCAATTCTTTCAGAACGTTCACAATCGCAGTCGTGTACTGGCCTGAAAAATTACTCTTAAAGTGTTTTTTTTCTGTAAAAGCCAAGTTGGAACCAATAAAATAAGCCGTTTTTGAAAATTTACTTAGACTTTTTTTGCGTTTTTTACAGCAATTCAATTCAACAAAAAAACCAAAAAGGAGTGTTTCAAATTTCATGACTCTTTGAACTCAATTTGCTCCTTACTTCCGAAATCCTAAAAATAAGTCATAAAAAGCAACGTTTGTTAGACTTTTACACAAATAACCCAACAGGTGAAATTTATATACCCGTTTGTAGGAGAGTTTCTTCACTGGAGACGACGGCTTGGAAATCGCTTGCACCTGTGAAATTTCCAATTTCTCTTTCAAAACATTTTTATTTTTCCAGAATTGAATAAAATCAACGTCAGAGCACATGGCGTGACTCTCGACATGTGGAAATGCATGAATGCGAAATGATCACAGAATAAAAATGAAAACTTACTTATAGGCGAACGGCTGTCGAAAGAACCATACAACTTCCGGTCACCTGTAGAAAGCAGAAGCACTCCATTTCTTCCACACTGTTTATCCATGTCCCACTTTGCCCTCAGCCCATCCACAAGCTTCTGTGAACCCTGAAAAAGCGACTTGTTGGTCGGAATAATCCTTTACACAAAAAATTTGTAGTTTCAGATCTTCCTAGATCGTAGCAAATTAGTGTGACCTTTAAAAATTTTGCAAACTGAAAAAAGCTTTTGAACAGGTTTTTCCAAATGCATAGAAGACATGGTGAAATGGCCTTCCTTGAGAGCACTTTTTGTACTTCCTCGTTTCCAAAGAATGGACACGGCCTGAACTTGAAATAACAGTTTACATGAGAAACTTTCCAGATTACTCGAAAAAAGTTACTCAAATTATCGCTAGTTCTTTCGAAATCGCGCTACATGAGCTTTAGGAAAAGCTTTAGACTAAAATTCTTAAAAGTGGAACTCCTGAGTTATTCAATTTCTTACAAATCCGGTTGTTTTCTGATCTTCGAATCATTTCCAGAAATAAAGCTGAAATTGTGTTAAGAGATCAAAAATTTCGGAACAGCTTCCAGAGCTGCGCTCGGATTTGATTCCATAACAGCTTATTCTCCGGAATTTCGAGGGTGCCTGACTATGGGTTTTTTTTAAAAATCCTTTTATGTTTTTGAACTTGAAACAGTGATCGAGAAAAGGAGGGACTTCTAAGGAGAAGCCTGAAGCTCTACGAAAAGTAGATTGCGAAAGACATGATGCAAAAGATAGGATTTTATTAACTGACTTCATTGACGATTCCTAGGATCACATCGGTGCCTTTTCGTGCACAAAAATTGCTGCCACTTTCTTCAGTTTTAGTAGAAAATCGCACAATTTCGGAATTGAGGCGATAGCGTTCAGTTTCGGTCAAGGTCTGCAAAATTTATGAGAACATTTGAATATAAACCCTGGACATTGGTACCGCGTATGGGTCGCAGACGGAGCTTGCGGATTTCATGTTGCACTCGACGTATTGCCCCGCACTTTTTGGGTTTGGGAAAGTATCGACGGTGTATTCCTGGCCTAATGCCAATGGAGTATAGGCGCACACCATCATGAATAGAAGGACGCCCATGGCTGAAAAAAAAACGAAGGGATCAACATCGAGAGTCAGTTTATAATTGTTTTTGACAAGAAAAAATGACGATGATAAGAATGATTGTAAAAATCGGGACAATTGAAGGTTCTGAGAGTTCAAATTTTGAGCCAAAAAAAGTTTTATTATTATTATTTTTTTCTTGGAAAAATTTTTTTTCTCACCAAACGATGTCTTTCAGAGAAGGTCATTTCAAAGGGAATTTCGACTTTTCTATAAGTTCCCTTTAACATTCTGGGAGCACAGATTGAACTATCTTATCTACTCTTTCCGCGCGAAGTATTATTTTTAGAAGTAATCAATATGCAAATTTCAAGCTTCTAACAAAACTGAGCCTATAGCCTGTGTACCACGACTTGGAATTTCACCGAACGACATTCCGCTGCGCCGCTGCGTGCCTTTGCGAATCTCGGTCGCGCTTTTAATTTTTTTTTCTTTTATTAAGGCACTCTACTTTCATGTGCTCCCACAGCAATAAAAATCAAATGAAAGCGTGACTAAGATTCAAAAGACGCTCCGTGAAAGCACGCAGCGGAACAGCGGAATGTCGTCCGGTAAAATTTCAAGTCGTGGCACACAGACTATACATAATGTATTTCAGTATTAATTTATTCATGAATAAACATTTGCTGAGTTAAAAACTATCAAGATCATCGATGTTCTTGGTCAAATTTATAGAAAGTTCCATTCACAATCAGATGACCTTCACAGTTAACGTCCCAGCACGAACAATTTCAAGCTAAGCAACAGAAGTTTAAGAAAAGACGATGTTCTTCAAGACAATCGAAACAATAAGGAACAATGGGTTTCTAGAGCGTTTTCGGTTTAACCAGTCTCATTGCCAAAATTAATTGGAGACAATTACTGCAAAACACTCATCTGAAGCAACATTGATCGAATCAAATGCAGGTGGACACAACAACGAACAACCCAACAGAGTAAGGAGAAATCAAGAATTGACAGTGTAATACTCAGTAAGCGGACTTATTTTTCAACATTTTCAGTTTTTTTTTTCCGCTGACAACGATGGACCGGTGAGCGTTTTGAGAATGCAAACATTAATACAAAACAGGCGTCCAAGCGGCACCATTGGAGTCAGGAACAAACATTCCTTCGCGACTGTATTTTCAATGGCGCTTTTCAATTTTTCGAACGCGTGTATCATTCATGCTGGAGCTTTGAAATGATAAAAAGTATACTAAAAGTTTTCTGAAAAAATTTACAGTTAGATGAAAAATCTAAAATTGATGTTTTGAATAATTTGTCTCACTCTCTGAAAAACAGTTTTTTTCCGTTTTGCGTTATTCTAGTTTTGTAAAGTTTAAATTTTTCCTTTCGAAATGAATTTTTTTCAACTCATAAGTATATTGCAACAGGGAATAGCACAGAATGAGAAAGCTTGAAAAAGGCCGATTTCCGTATTTGCACCCGACTTTAACCAACTTGCGCGCCAAGATAACGGAAGTGGTGAATTTTTTTTCCGAGCAAAAGCGATGGAGTCAGTTTTTTTGAGAATATTTATATTTCCAATAGAAATTAGAGCGATAAAATGACAGTCGGAGAAATCGCTAAAAAAAATATATTTTTGACTAAAAACAATGACCAGATCAATACTTCATTGTGTTTTTAGGAAAAAAAGAAATGTATAGTATTAGATATTGTAATTTTTTTATCAAAAATGCAACCTTCGACATGACTCGAAAAGCGGAAGCAGGAATATCGAGAAAGAAGCAAATTTTGTTTAGCACGCCCTAAATGTTCGTGAGCGCGCAATCTTAAAAATAAATACCTCATTTTCTTTGCGTCCAAAGAAAAGTTCACTTCGAAGATACGTGAACCAGGTCACCTATTATCAGCCCATTTCATGTGTTTTTGACATTTTATTTCTCTTAAAAAGTCTGTCTTACAAACTTGAATATAACATCTTTACATAACTTTGCACAACAAAAATGATAGGAAATAGAAAAAATGAAACAAATAAATACCTTTCAAAAAGAAGTTGATTTGATTGGTTTGACTGAATGAAAAGTTCAAGTATTGTAGAGTTCAAAACCGACCAACGGAAAAATCAAGGCGAAACAAATTGACAATAGCGTGTGGAGAGAAAAAAAGAAATGACGGGAGTGAAAAAAAAAATTGAAAAGAGACAGAGAGAGAGAGATCAAACTGTGGCGTGGGGCAAAACAAAAAAGCTATATTGTAACGTGTTGATGCACGCTAGACCTGTATTTCTTCCAGAGTCGGCGCTTGTGTCGTCGACAAACTGTTACCCCTGAAAAAAATATAAGATATCTCAGAAAAATGGCATCATCTTTAAATTAGTACTTCAACAAGTATTTAGAACAAAAATTTAGGTCAGGAAGTTCCGATTAGTTCAAAATTGGAGACCAAAAGAACAGGCTGAAGAATAATGATTTTACACGTTTTGAAACTCGGAAAAAAAGGTGGATATATTATCGTAAAAAAATGAAATTGCTTACATATTCCTTTTTTTCTAACAGTAAATTTGCTCCACCGATACTATGGAATTACAAAAAAGTAGGGATAAGTTTTGTCAACTTTTCATAAAAGGGCGTGCATTCAACTGTGAGAAATCATATCCAACTTATAATTAAAACAGGAAAAAAAGATGATTTTTTTCTGAAATCAATAAAAATGTTTGGATTTTTTTACCACATCAAAAAAATCATATTTAAAGCTCGAGTCCCTGCATTATTATCTTTTTTTCTCAAAAAAACCTGCTGTTGTGCATGGCAAGAGCGGCGCGACCGTGTCGTGGACACGTTGGGGAAATCGTCGGCGGCCGCATACTCGTCGAATTTTTTTGTGAGATGCTGCTAACAACGGCTCCTGGAAAAAGTCACTTTAAAAAGAGCTTGAATATTTAAAAATAACTTTGAACTTTGAAGTTTTATATTTCTAGAAAATTTGTCAGAAAATTTTTTGCTGAGCCGGATAAAGATTTTGAGTCTCAACATGTGAAATTTTATAATTTTTTTGAAAAAAAGGACGCCTCAAATTTGAAGAAAAAAACCTCAATATCCATTAAAAAAATAGGTTTTTGAGACTGTGAGTCTTCGATTTCCAAAAAGTAAAAAAGTTACACAGGTAGCAACTTTTATAATCGTTTTCTGGTGCATCAAGGAGTGTCTTGGCGGAACCAGGATTGCTACCCAAATATATTGTCCCAAAAACTTTTAATCTCAAATTGATGGAATGCAATTGAGCCTTTTTGACACAAAAAAAGTAACGAATTATAAAAAGAGTGATAAAAAAATCCATAATTTTTTTGACCCCAAAAAAACGTACAAAGTTTTTTTCAACTATACCCCGACCAAATAGAGCTTGACCGCTGATAAAGTTTTCAATGGCCCAGAACCATTGTAATACTTTTCTGGTTCGTTTATGAAGCCAAATTTTTGTAAAAAATGAATATTAGAATTCGATTTCATGCTGCGGGTCCTCAGCCTGGCAAAAAGCTCTTTTTCACTGTCAAGGTAAGTTAATGTTAACAGAAAACAAGACTTTAGTAAACTTGTCACTCGTTAATAGGTAAGGATTCTTAGTCATAATTCATTTTTGTCAAATTTCTATTTGCAATCCTCCAAAGTTGTTGAACCTCATTTTAGAACGTTAGCATGTGCGGGTGAGATATGAAAAAAAGCTATTATATTTATATCAAAAAAAGCAAAAATAAAACTTGAAGGCAAAAAGCGAATAAAGGTTAAAACGGGTAGGAACATGCCTGTTCTTGAAAAGAATGCCGCGGAAGTGTTGGAGTGGCATGCGAAGCGGCGCCGTTGAGCAGCGGCCGGTCGAACATGTCGTCGTGCAGAGAATGGGCCAGGGACGACGTCAGAGGCGGCGGCGGCGGGGGCATCAGCGACAGCTGGACGGTAGCAAATCAGCAAGGAAACATGCAGGTAATGGTTAAGCACTCAAGTTGAGAAAAATGAGAGTAATAGTTCAAACGGCAATTAACATTTCTTCAGCAAGGAAGATCATTATACTTTGCGGTGGGGATTTTTCTGAAGATTGGCTAGAACATTTCTTCATCACCAGAAGAAAACTCTGAAAATCTCAACCTGTACAACCTTCTACTCTTTGAGAAAAGACGCTGCAAGTTTGAAGAATACGCTCAATTTCCATCAAAGTGAGCTGTTTCAGGGTTTTAGACCCTTATTTCTGGAATACTGGGAGGTGTTGCAGGTTGAGACTTTGAGAATTTTCTTCTGGTATTTCAAGGAGTTTCCTAACCAATTTTCCCAATCGAAAAGTAAACCGACTTTCCCTGTAAGCTGATTCCTACTTATTTGACTCTTTCAAACGCTCTTAATTTATTAAGAAAATTGTCGGACCCCTTTTCTGTGTATTTGGAATCCAAGAGAGCAAGAAGAAAACTTTCGAATTTTTCATTTTGAGAGAGAACTCAAATTACAAAAAATATAATAAAGTTTTCATAAAGAAATTTGAAATCTAAGCAGTTTTATCAGACATTTTTCAAAAAGTTCTCGAAAATTCCCAGCCGAAATCGAACAAAGCCATAAAAAAGCGTTTCTATCGCTTCTTCGCTCAATCTGTTCATCGAAAAAACAGAGTTTTCAATGATCAACATCGCCAGAAAAAGGAATCAGACGTTTACCGGTGAATTGAGGCTGTTGTATGGTTCCGGTACGACGCCGTGGTTTGAAGCGTATGTTTGATATTGCAACTGGAGCTTCTTCTTGGACCGTTTGTCTTGTCCTCTCTGAAATCATTTTTTTGTTGCCATATTTGAAGATTTTTTGTTCGGTCTCTTTTTTTTCTTTCTCCGATTATTGAAAATTTCTCAGGTAGTAGAAATAAAATTTGATCATTTCAGATGGAAGAATGTAGAAACACATAAATCATAAACCAATTTTTGATTACCTTCTTATATGTCAGAAGAGCGAAACAGACATTCAGAATAAGGAAAGACACTCCAACGGCTACCACAATACCAAGAGCACTACTGTAATTTCCCGTGACTGTTCTCTCAGTTTCCGGCGTGGCCGTCGTCGCCAAAGGCGGCTTTGCTGTAAAAGGATTTCTTTTTTCTGTTAAAAAATCACTTTACTTGTCTTCGGCTTATTCCCTATAGTTGGAGGAGGCGATGGCGGCATAGGAGGCGGAGGAAAAGGCATATTGTGGAAAGAGGAAAATGGTCGAACTTGTCCAAAAAAGGAGTCTTTCTTGAAATGATCGGACAGGAGATGGTGCTCCTAATTCATAAATTCATTTTTGTCCAAGGAGACTCAAAACCTCTGCCACGACGACGTTTTCCTTGGAATTCTTGTGCAGCTGCGGAATAAATGAGTTCCAAAAGCCGACTTGAGCATTTCGATAATAATTTTTCACCCGTGGACGGTCGGCTGCAACATTACATGTGAAAATTGTCGAAAGAAAGGAAAAAGCTCACTTATTTCGAGATAAGCTTCCCGATTAGGTTGGTCAAACTGAGGCCAGGCTGTTGAATGGAAAACGTCTCCCATTGGGAAATTTTTAGGTACACCGTGAGGTTTAGAAGGATCTCTGCAAGATATGAAATCTTGAGGATTTGAAAAATTGAAAAGTTACCCTGTTTTCACAAAACTGGATATATAGTGCATGATAACTTTGGAAATTCCTCGATCATCATTGTTGAAGCCAGCGTATAACTGAAAAAGTTGGGTTCTTCTATCATTCCAATTTTTCAAGCATATAAAAGACTAATGAGCAAATTGCAACCTTTGGAACTAAAATCAACGAAAACTTATATCATTTTCTTGAAAAGTCGTATATAAGCGGTCTATACCGTTTTTTTTGTGTTCTGTGAAACTTGAATGTTTTTTTTTTTGAAAAGTCGTTGCAATGAAAAATTTGAGCTTGTCAAAAATTAATCGTCGTTTATTGGCCTTTCTTCTAATTTTAAATATTCTGGATTTTTTTGAGATTTTCTGTTAACAGTGAAGCCAAAAAATCAGGCAAATCCCTTTTTAATCGATATCCCCCCTTCTCACTCGATCATCATTGTCTCCTGTAGCCAAAGGGTATCCGAAAAGGTACGGCACAATGTCTCCAGAAAGGGAACCTCTAATCCCGCTGTTCGGCTGCTCCTGCATCCAAGTCCTGGTCTCGTGAGCGAACGCAAACCTCAAACGCAAACATTTTTCAAGTCGTGTGACCATTTCGAGAAATTTACATAAACGTGTTGGCCTCCTTGCGAACTTCGTCAGAATTGTGTTTACGTAGCGTTTCAATCAGTGGCGCTGTGTAGAGAACATCCGCCAGTGCAGCCAGAACTCCATTTCGGATGGACTTTGGGTGGTCCTAGAAGAAAATATGTCAAAGAAGTTTTTGAAATGCTAATAAATTGTTTCGTTGACCATTTTTCAGGATTTTCTATTTTCTAGTTCTCATACAAGCTAACGATGATGACCAAATATTGAAAAATCTTAATTTTTCCAACCAAACCTCCGAAAATACATGGTTTGTGCGCTTTTAAAACTTCTTTCAAAGTTCATTTTTCATTGTATGAAAAAAACTGACGGACAAGGGAACAAATTCTCCGTTCTCTATAGTTTTTTTAGATAATATGAAGAATTCTTCACGTATTATGAGACTTTCAAGTCGGAATTTTTCATTCCTTAGCTGTCAATTGGGCGTGGCTATAACCACTGAGTAAGTAATCACCCTAGGATTATCCCAATCGGTGTATTCATTAAGAATCGCTGAAAAAATCTCGTCGCGATGATAATCGTACAAGTTGCGTACAAGTGTCCTGAAAACCAATATTTTTTCAATTATAAGATTTTAGAAACCTCAAAATCTTGTTGCGTTTGTCTTTCCCGATCCCTGCTTTGAGGTCTTCATTTGAAAGCATATGGTGTGACGGGTTTGTTGTCACTCCCACCAACAAGTCTATTTCTCGAAAAAGGCTTCCGAATTGCGTGGAAAACGATATTTCAGGCTTGTTCGGAATGAGCTGAAAAAAACGACTGCAGAAAAAGAATGAGTGGGAAAATAGAAAATATAATAAGATTTTTGAGGAGACTTTTTTGATTGCTCGTGAAAGAGTCAATTCATTGATATTTTCATTGTCATGAATTTTGTTTGATAAGTTGAAAAAATGATAGAAATGTTTTTCTAAGACGTACCTGTCCATCAACAATAGGAGCAAATCCAGAAAGAAAGGTCGGTACTTCCACTTTAGCCACGGCTTTTGTGATGTTATCCGCGGAATGGACCTGATGAAAAAAAATTTTTCATGCTAAAATCCAGTTATAAAGCGGTTAAACAAAGAAAATCTTTAATGATGATTGTCTGAATTTTGAGGCAAGCGATTGGCACAAAACTGAACAAAAAGTAACTATTCAACGTCCAAAAATGTTTCGGTTTGGCTAAAGAGAAAAGCGAAACAGGTAAGACATTTTTCACTTTTCAAGTTTTGAATGAACTCAGAGTACTTCAAAACACATTGAATATTTGATTCATAATTATCCTTGTCCTCATCACATCCTAGATAAAACTCTTAAAAACCAAAAATAACCTGTAGACATCGGACTATGGAATCGACTCCTTCGTTGAACTGCGAAGATCGGTTTTTAGCAACACACTGGAAATTTGATATCACAAGGAAAAGATAACGAAAAGCCTACGCCAAGCTCTTCGGCAATCTGCATGAAGTAGGTCTGCGGATTGCTTGTCGTGGCCCAAGGAGCTAGAGCAGTTCCGTCGAGTAGAATCGCCCTCCGGAACAGTCTCCGGCCAGGTTGAGTCAGAGGAGACGCCATCAACAAGGAGACTAAGGCTCCGCCGGAACCCCAACCTGAAATTAGTTTTTCTAATGAATTTTTGTTAGTCTTCTAATATTCTTCTAGCTAAATTTTTCATAAGGAAATAAACAAAGACATTGAATTTACAGTTTTAAATTCATGTCAGATCAGCTGCGTTTGAAAATCCTATCAACCAAATCCTCCACTTACCCATTAGAGTAACTGATTTAGGATCGCCACCAAAAGAAGGAAGAATGACATTGAGCATAGTAAGTGCAGATACTAAATCCGAAATCCCGCTATTTCCTGAGCATGACGACGACTCGCAGCGGCCCAAAAACCCTGAATTTCCCTATACCCTTACCCAACTTTTATACTCAATTGACCAACCGTAGACCCCTAATCGATAATTGAGCGTAACAACAATGATGTGTCCATAAGAAGCCAAAGTGGATCCGTTGAAAGCGTTTCCGGAACCCCAGCCATAGTCATCACCATGAACAACAACCATCACAGGAAGAAGATTATCTCTTTGTGAGCTTTCTGAAAAGTCTTTGAAGCTACTACAGAAATTCAGACTCACCTAATCGCTCAGGTATGAACAAATTCATAAACAAACAGTCCTCCGACTGCTTTTTCAGCTTCGGCAGCAACCTGTGAACAAAATCAAATCGTTGCGCCGACGTGTGCTTGAAAGCTCTAAAGGGAAAACATTCAGGTGAGATTTGGCGACAGAGCATACTTGGTCTCGCTGAGTTCGGGCATTGTGGTCTGCATACACGCGGAGGACATTTTTCTTGCATCTTTTGGCATGTGAGTCCACTTTGCAGCCGAAATCGCCATGTTGAAGCGATACTGAAATTTCCAAAATTAAAGAAAGTTCGAAATTTGCCTATCAACAAAACAATTCGAATTTCAAAAATTCAAAGACAATTTTTTTTTGAAGTTTTCCCTGTTTCTATATCAATTGGTTTAGCTTCATACAATCAAATATTTATATTTTTTTCTGCTTCTTCTTGTAGGCGGATGAGAAATAATTTAGCCAGGTGAATGGCGAAAAACTCTTCGAAAGGGTCCAGTTCGCCTAATTTTCAATTTTTTTTTTCAGGCGACAGGGGAGGTCATTTTAGGTAGGGAATTCCTTGAAAATAGGCTAGAACACTTTTCGAGGTACCAGATCAAAAACGGATAAGTCTCAACCTTCCTAACTTCCTATTTTTCGAAAAAAAGGGCCTAAAATCTCAAAATATCCTATATTACGGGGCTTTGAAAGTTTTGTTCGGATTTGAGGCGTCTTTTCCCAAAAGTTGTGCAGCTTGAGACTTCTAGAATCTTCTTCTGGTTCATCAAGAAGTTTTCTAGCCGATTTGCAGAAAAATCCCAACCACAAAGTAAAATGAACTTTCTTGTGTTTGGTTCTATGAACATAGTACATAATTTTTCATGGGATCAATACCTTCTGACTTTCGAGTAAGAACTTAATAACGTGAAATCAATATTTTCAATACCTTTAAGCACATAGAAAAAGCAAATATATGAAAAATAATAACCTGGCCCGTTGGTGAAACTCCATACGGGATGCCAAGATATTGGGAGACTGGAGGCAGATCTTCGCCTTCAGGAGAGACAACTTCTCCTCGTACAATGCCCCATGATGTACTCACTGACCTCAGCTCATAAGCCCTGAAAAAAGTGCAAATTCTTCGGCATTCATTTGGCTGTTTTAACTGAAAAACTTCCATTACTGAATAAAAACTGACCAAACGAGCTCATCCGCTAAATTGAAGAAGATTAAGCTGAGAAATGAGGCTATTCTCATTTCGAATCCTTCATATCGCTGCCATAAGCGAGTCGGTTCCTGAGCGAAAAACAATTCCTTCCGGCTGCTCAGGTCGTCATTTTGGCGCACAAACGTTATTTGCGCGACGAACGGCGGTAAGCAAGAAAAAAAAACGCGAAAAAATATTGAGGTCTAGTGGGAGAAGGGCCGATTGGTTCTGGTCCTACGAGGCTTTTTAGGAGCACGCACGATAATTAGGCAATGATGGAATGCGATTGGTTGGTAGACAGGGATGCCTCAAGACTGGCTAACAAGTGAATTATTGAGGAGGAATCACGGCGCAATACACTTAGAGAACATCAAACACGAGCCATTCGGCTATTAAAAATTCTTTTTCATCGAAAGTTCGAAAGAGAAAAAAAAAGCATGTCGTTGGAATTTTAGAAAAGTTTGCAGTGTTCATCAATATAAGCCCACAAGCCAGTGTTCATGATTTTTTCCTCATTTAAAAAGGTTATTGATAAAATCAGTACTAAAACAGAAAAACTAGGGCCATTAAGAACCCCAAAAAAAGTTTTCAAAAAAAGATGAGAAGAGAAAAAAGACGACGATAAAAGTTTAGAAAAGATGGAGGTCCTGGGCAGCGCCTGGAGATCGGTAATGAAATCTGCACGAAAATGCGGAAGCCGTCAATTGTTCAGATCCGTGACCCTTTCTTCTCCATCTCTTTCTTTTCGAAGCAAACTTAGAAATTGCAACTTATCGAAGTGAAATCAGGAACTTTTTTCAAAAGAAGGTTTTTTTAAAAAGATTGAAAAAAATCTGGAAAGAAAAAAATTCCTTGTTAGTTATTTTTTTTATTATAAGTTTTTTTATACTGACAAAACTTTTAGTGGCCACTATAGGGTTTTGACATTTTAGTGGCCACTGTAGTAGTCGAATAAGTGGCCACTTGAAGGGTTAAAAACTAATGGCCACTTTAGGGATCAATGGATCAACATAACTGGTCCAATCTTTGTTTTAAAATTATCAGAGTTACTGGAAGGAATACTGGATGAAAAACTACTGAAGTGGCCACTAAATAGAGAGCTTTCATACTGGCCACTGAAACGGAAAATAATGGCCACTTTAGTGTCCTCCCCAAGCAGTCCTTGGCGAGCCTATATAGTGGCCACTAATAAATATTTTCCCAGTATTACTGAAAAATTATGATGCTTGAAAACAGACCGGTTAGATTGACAAAAATTTGTGTTAAGCTTAAAAAACAGCTTAATTTAAAAATCAAGAGCATAAAAAGAAAAATCAGTGAACTGTGGAAAATGAGATTGTGAAGTTGTGACATCTTGAAACGTAATAATGTCTTGTCGAAGAAGACCAACTGCCCAAACTTAAGCTTTTTCGCGCTGAGATTCACTCGGAAATATGCAAATTCCAGGCCGCAACAAGGCCATTTCGTCGGTGGGCCACCCAAACTCGCTTATCGGAACACCTACTCAAATTGGATCAATTAAATGAGTAAACTGAGAGGGAAGAGGATTGTCGGGAAGGTTTCTCTACATCTGAATTGGAATAAATGGACAAAGTGCTTCGACAACGACAATGCAGTTAGTAGGCGATAAAATGTGCCCCTTGGGAGCTTTCCATCTGAAATGGAAGAACGATAGTTCACTTATGCACAACGTCTTGATACCCATCTTAGATACGTCTATGCCAAAAAAAACGTTCAGAGTTTGATTTTTTTCCTTTTTTTTGGACATGAGTATGGAAAGATATTTTGATTTTAAAATGGATCGAAATGTTTTAAAGGCGGAGAAGATCTTTTCAGCCTGCAAATAACACTGGAAAAGGTTTTAAGCATCGATACAAAAATAAAAACGTCTATGCACTTTTTCAAGCAAAGTCGGAATGGTGGATAATGGCCACTAGAAAGAAGAGGCTCAAAAAAGGCTGCAAAAAGGCAGCAAAAAGGCAGCAAAAAGAGTTCCTTTAAAAAGCCTCTCATTTTTCTTGGCATTTTAAAAGCTCAAGAAATAGTGGAAAAGAGAGAAGAAGCAAAAATGGTGCATAAAGGCAGCAAAAAAGCAGCAAGAAGAATTCCTTTATCGAGATTCTCATTTCCCTAGAAATTTGAAGTTTCAAGAAATGGTGAAAAAGAAAAAAAGCAGCAAAAATGGTGCATAAAGGCCGGTGAAATGGCGCAAAAAGGCAACAAAAAAGGAACATTTTTTTGAAGCTTTTTCCACTCTTTCCAACTTTGCCTATGTTCTAACCGGAAAAGATTTTCGATTAGACTGTATCAAGTTTTTTGACTTTTCTCTCTCAATATTCTAATTTCAAACAAATACAACAAAAAAACACTATTAGGTTAAAATTCGAATGCGATATTGTTCCTTGAGGTAAAAACACCAAGAAAAATAACTGCGTGAAACGAAATATATAGGAAGATGACGAGGAGAAAATATATCCTTTTGCGCCTTCCACACAACACATAACACTAAAATTGAATGGACATCAAAAGCGCTGTGTAATTTTCAGTTCATTTTTTGGATTCTTGGAAAATTAATTCTTGGTTTATTCTGAATTTTCAGAAGATTTAGGGCTGGAAAATTGAACAGAAGATTCCGAAAATGACCAAGCTTTCTAGAGGACTAGGAAAAACTTGCAAAAAAAGATCAGTACTTCTGAATCCTTTTTTATTAGAAAGAGAGCTGTCATATTTCATGATAAAGACCAGGGAGAAGACGAAGAAAGATGAGCCAACGTCCCGAAAGACGCCGCCATACGGATGTGAGGGCGTTGACGGCTAAATTTCGAAGAAAAGCCTCGCGGCATTTTCAGACATTGAAAAGCTGCCGCTCAAGACCCAGTCTTCCGAAAAATTGCCGACATGTTATGTTTTTGAATCAACTGCGAACAACGAGTCGAAACTTCCTGCTCTCGAAGTTCAAACAGATTGGAAAAGGCTAAAAAATCACGTCGAGGCTCAGTTCGCAATAAAACTTTGATAGGGAGTCTTTTGGATTGGTAGAAAAGGTGGGAAAATGAAGAAAAACTTGGGCAAACGAGTAAAAAAAAAACTGTAATCCAAAAACTGCATCCAGAAGAAATCTCATATGTGAAAGAAAACGATCACCTCAGTTTTTTAGAAGCAAAAAGTTGTATGGAACTAAAAAGGTTCTATCCTCTCAAAAAAAATTCTCCAAGCGCAGTATTTCAAATTGAAATCAGAAGGACACAGGTGAGGACGGAAAACGTGACGTGTTTTCGAGAGTCCAGTACATTAGTGCTTGAATGGCTTCTTGGTGCCCGAAGGCGGCCGAGGCGCCAGGGCCTTTCAAAGCCAGTGTAATCAAATTTTGAGGTTAGAACGAATTCGCGCATGCACACTTCACCGCACGTAAATCTATTGCTAACTGCATTCAAAGCTTCAGGTACTGTCAATTCCGAAAATAAACAATTTATTTTCGTTTTTATATCTTGATATAAATGAAAGGCATGGTATTAGATATAAAAATATATTTTGACACGTGAAAATAAAGTACGATTGCAAATGAAGTGCTTAATGGGGCAAAGTCGAAATGGTGGATAATTGGCGCTAAAAGAGAAAGGCTCAAAAAAATACTGCAAAATGGCAGAAAAAAGAGTCCCTTTATCAAGCATTCCATTTTTTCTGAGTTTTTAAAGGCTCAAGAATTGGTGAAAAAGGGAAGAACCAGCAAAAAGGGTGCAAAACAGTCGATGAAATGGCGCAAAAAGCAGCCAAAAAAGGAACCTTAGTCACCTTCAAAGAACATTTCTATGGAGCTTTTTTCCACTCTTCCCGACTTCGACTATGTATTTTTTTGAAAGATAAGATATTTTTTAACTTGAAAAACAGCTACTTTGAAAAAAAAAGGTCGTCACACCTTCAATCCATCATTTCACTTTGATTACTGACAAGTTATTGATTCAATCCTCGAATTATTAAATCCTGATTTCTCATACGGCATTTTTTGAATGTGTGAAACAAAACACATTCTTGAAATTTCGTACAGAGAACGAGATATTTCTTCCGAAATTCGATCCTCCGTTTCGAAATATCCAGAGAAAAATACTAAACACATTCGAAAAACGAAAAAAAAAGGCAATAGTAATAAGTCACATCGAATCAAACTACGAACCCCCCTTTAAAAAACGTTCATTTTCCAAAACAGCAAAAAAATTTGGAGCAGTGGCTACTCATTAAGCAAGGTGGGCAGTTTTTGCTCTCAAGCCATCTTCACGAGAAACTTTTTGAGGCCCTCGAACGGCTTCTCTAAGGAACGCCAGAGTTCCAGAAGTCAATAAGCAAAGGGTTCAAAAAACCAGAACGTAAAAAAAACAAAGAAAAATACTAAGAAGGATGTTTTTTGAATACGGAGACACGGAAGATGCAAATGACAATGGTTGCAAATCTACAGCTCAGCGAACACAGCATCCGTCTCTGCCAAACGCCGAATCCCATGAGACGGTGCAAATTATCGTGCATAATTCGAACAAGTCGTCGTTTTGAGAAGAAAAAAGTTGAGGCTCAATGGGAATCTCTCATCTGAGATTTTTAAATGTTGAACTTTTTGTTTCCTGAGTTTGTTTATTTAGAAAAAAAGTTCAGAATAAATTTGGACAGGCTTGAAAAATATTTTTTTTACTCATTTGAAGAAAAAAATTGATATGAATATAGGGCTTTTGAATTTTAGTCTCTAGTGATTGCGGTTTCAAAAAGCGATAAAATTATTACCAAAATTTACGCGTGACTTTCATTGCATTCTCCAAAGAATCGCTCCATTGAGATCGCTGAGTTTCTCAAAATCTCGAAGAAAAATTCAAACGCAACTTGCTAGTCTTAGTTCGATGATTTGTTAGAGTGATGAAAAGCCTTCAAATTTTTCAAATCTCATTTTCTTTGCGAGAGATAATTAGTCAAATAAGGTAGACAGATGACTGGACAAGAGAACGATGCTAATAAACGTCATGAACTAGTTGTTCCAGACTGAGAATATAAAGAAAAGCACTTTTCGGTT